CTTTCCAAAGTAGCTATGGCAGTAGGGTCTCGAAAAGTACCATCATGAAAGATGCCATCACTCAGTCGTTCAGCACTTATCAGTGTCCAAAGGAGAGCCTTGGCGCTCTCGGCAGGATTGGCAAGACCTAATTTGTGGTTGAGCACCGACCTCCAGGTCTCAGTAGTCGTCTCTTCGCGGTCGAATAGCTCTGGAAATCTGTGAGGGGCCAAGTTCCACCAATCTTTGCTCAGATCGATCAAGGTGTTGAGGTCAGGCTCATGAGGCAAGAGTGTCAAGAGCTCATATCGCGCGGGATGGAATCCTAATGGTTCCGTACCAGATATGGAGTTGATGAGAGAAGGTTTCGTTGCATCGCATATGCGTGTAATAACATCATTGTCGAATAGACTGAGGATAGGGTTCGCCTCGAGATGACTATTGGTGGACGAGCGTGCCCGTCCGTCCGGCGCTGAGTCTGTCATACCTCGTCAATCAATGTTGGTCGGCTTTAGGTACACGGTATGCCCAAATTACCGGTATACGCAGTTCCGCTGTTGCGTCGTTTGCGATTTCTCCCTGTGTCCGGCGACTCGGTAGTAGACTCACTGCTCAGATAGTTTTCGACAAAATCCTCCAAACGGGCAACTCGTTCCCGCAGACTGTATTTAGCTCCGTCGTTGTTGCCATCTGCTTTAGTCAATGTGGCACCGATGCCTGTCGCATCCTTAGGGCCTTTGTCTTGGGCCACGCAAGGTGCACCACGAGCATAGCATTCGTCGCATTTCGTCCGCCTTCCTTCTCCGTAGGTGCATTTAGTTTTCCGACGTCGACCTGGTCACATCTTCAAATCAGCCAACTCGGTCTAATCGGTGTTTGGGCGATGTAGCCGAACTCCGGAACATGCTAACATTGAGTCACCAATCTCGGGTGGACAGCCTTACACTCAGAACAGCTTCGGGTGCCCTTCCGCATGCTCAAATGAGCCTGTGCTTGCCGCAAGCCGGAACTGCTATTGGCTCCGTTCATCCTGGACGCAGATAAGTCGAAAGGCGCATCGCTTGACTGCAACTCGACAGTGTTGCACTTGCCTGCTGTAGCAGAGCGAGCGGAAACCGTGCACACAGAGGACTGACGGCCTCAGAACAAAAGTTCAAAACACCCAGAGTTTCTAGAGGACCAAAACGGACTTAGCAAGCGTGTCTCATGTTCCACTTGAATCTGAACACAGAAACTATCGTAAATGGTAAGTGTCCCTGGCCTCCGGATTTTCGTCCGACAGGGATGGATGCATTTATTCAGCCTCATCAGCCAAAGAGTATCACTAATCAAATCCTGGATCACGCTGGCGGCCAGACTCCGTGGCTGTGCGGAGCATCCAGCCGCTCCTTCATGCTGTGGGTAAGGGCGAAGCGGAAGCCCTTCTCCAGCACCTACCATTGCACCGACCCTATCTGAGGTTGTGTAAGCAAGCCATGGTCCCGAAGGAGATATATCTAGGGGTGGACTGAAGAAAAGACGATTAGTGGCCCGATTCCGCCAAGACTTTAAGCGCTCCGGAAGACTTTCCTATTGAAGCGTCAACTGCGTGTTGCCCTATCAGGGGCCAGGCTGTCACCACAGCTACAACTCTCCCTAGAATACGAGGCATTATGGCAGACTGACTGCTAGAGTCTCTCCATGGCCCACAGCCTTATCAACATATCCAGGCACTGAGCACTATTGGATATTTCCTCGCAAGTAACGCAAGGGCCTGGGTAGGCACGTCGAGCCTTCTCACAAAGGTACTATAACCTCGCAGATCAGCAGCGGTAGCCACTAGCATCTTCGACCACCACGTAATCGATGCTCATTCAAGCTCCAACAGCCTCATTGCCGTATCAACAACGGTCTGCTTTAGCGGCCTGTATATCTTGTCACCAAACAGTTGCTTGGCCTCGGAATCATCCACCTTGAGCGGATGATCTGCATCCTGCTCCTTGTTCGCCACAATAGCTGCAGCTCGTACCGAAGACAGTCGATCCACCAGTTGTGGGAACTCGTCAGCCAGGATTTTCAACACCATCTGTGCAAGCAATGGCTCGGGACTTGCTAGCAACAAACGTCTCTTCTCGGTCCCGCCTTTGATGATTGATTGAACATGCAACGCGGCAAGGTCGCGGACGTCGATATACCCGATGTACAGTGGCCGCGAAGGGCCGTCATCGGCGCCAGAGGAAGGCTTCAGGAATGTAGTGTAGAAGAGGTCGGCGCTCATGTTGAACTGACTCTTGCCAGATGCATTCCGGTGGAGGTGTTGCAGTGGTGGCCCGATGATCAAAGGCCTTTGCTTGATTAATGGATGACCGCACCCCGAGTAAATCGACTTTCCATGCTTACACTGAAAGAACCGACACACCGAATGATGGTTTCTCACTTTCAACAAATCGCCAAAGAGCCTTTTCCGCCAACGTCTTGGAAATCATGTAACTGGCGCTGGGGTGCTGCAACTGCCGAGCAACCTCGACACTAACCTATATCGATCCGACATCGCATCAGCTTTGCCTCCAGCCTTGGACCTCCCAATTGCGACGTACCGGATTCCAATCTGTGCTTTTCAGCACTCGTCCGTCTAATGGCTTTGTGACATCATACACAGTCACTAAACTACCGGTGTAGGTAAAATGCTTGAGAGATTTGCAATACTTCCGGGCTGCCCGTAGCAGCTCGAGGTTGCTGTTGCGAGTCAGCAAGCGACATGAGATTGCCCCAGAAAGCAGAGCTTCGTCACCCTTGAGCACCAGGCCCCAAGAAATCTCTATCAAAGTCTGTCCCACCACCATCAGGCACCGGTGCTGCTGTGTGTATGATGTAATCAAACTGCGTCTCTTCACATATCTTGTCATATGCACCCGGGGCTGACATGTCTGGCACCACAACGAGGCGGACCCTCGATCTGAACTCGGGATGAGCACCGAAGACGTCGTCAGCCTTGGCCTCGGAGCGGACTGTGCCAACCACATCGAATTTATCCTGTTGGAAGTCAGGACACGACATCGCGAGCGAGACAACGGCCTTCGGTTGATACTCACCTCCACTAGGTTCTGGAGGACATGTGTAGCCAGAAAACCATTGGCGCCTGTCAACAGAACAGTAGGCATGGTGAAGGTTGAGTTGATGGGGACTTGAGTCTAGGTTGGAGATGTTGACTATGCTTTATAGGCAATGCCTTCCAATGCAGCAGCTGTTCCATGGAATCTGGACTTACGGTTCCATCCCTTCCACGGCCAAAAATGTTTGTAAGTGCCGAAAAACCGTGCTATTGCGGGTCTCACTAATCCGCCTGGACAGGACGAAATCTCGGAAGGCGAATGTCTATATTGATAACTGGCAATTTACTAATTCAAGCGGAATTACCATACCCGAATAATGGTCCGGAGGCTCTTACCACCGCAAAAGGAACGGAAATTCGAGATAGCCTACCTAATCCCGTTCCACATTACACGTGTAAAACGGCGAGACCTGTTCACGCCGTCAATATCAACCAGGTAAGCAGACGATGGCACAATGTCAACAGGTCCACAGCATAATCTCCGAAAGCTCGAGAAACTTGGTTCTCCCTACCATGGAGCCTCCAAGGCGGGTTTTGTGGTTACAAAGCAATGATCCAAATAGCGGCCTACCATTATAGAGTCAGCCAGGGGTATTAAAGGCAAGTCCCGTTGGTTACTGTCCTCCTTGTTGCTGCTGCCTCTGCCTCGACCTTGACCTCGACCTGTCCAAACATATCCTGTGGTGATTGAATTGAGAACCACTCCTCGGGTTGACAAGCACCATGCGTCCCTTCGACTACCTTTTCTCCCTCATTGTCTCGTTGCTAGCGTCCCAGACAGCCCTCGGCTCGGCTCTGACCGACTTCGACGATTGGGCTCACCAGCGCGTCGCCCTCGAAAACGTCTCCATCCACCTCCGCTACGCCGGTTCTGGCCCGCCGATCGTCCTCCTGCACGGCAGCCCGCAATTCAGCCTGACATGGCGCGTCATCGGCCCCGTGCTCGCAGACAGCAACTACACCGTCATAGCCCTTGACAACCGCGGCACGGGAGATTCCTCGCTCCCTCCCGACGGGAATTACACGGCCATGGCCTCCGCGGCGGACACCAAGGCGGTGCTCGATTTCTTGAACATCACCTCCGCCTACGTCGTGGGCCACGACTTCGGCTCCGGCATAGCGGCCGCTCTCGCCGCCAGCCACCCGTCCCTGGTGAAGAGACTCGTCGTCACAGAATTCGTGCCTCCGGGCTTCGGGTACGAGACGGCTCGCAACCCCGGCGCGTACTGGGACCTCTACGCGAATTGGCAGCTGGCCTTCTTCTCGATCCCCGACGCCGCCGAGTTCTTCATCGCGGGCAGGGAGAAACAAATGCTCGAGTGGTTCTTCTACCATGGCAGCTACTCCGGCGTGACGAGTTTCTCCGATGACGTGGTGAACCGATACGCCAGCTCGATCTCCAAGCCCGGCTTTCTGAGGGCCATGCTCGGGTCGTACGACGTCAGGGGAAATGCGGAAGTGGCCAGCTTCTTCAAAGGAACGATTGGCGTCGATCCTCTCCAGATGCCGACCTTGTCGATGGGAGGGGAGGCCAGTTTAGGCCCGTTTTCGGCGTCGCTGTGGGCGAACATCACGACAAATCTCGAGTCAGACATCATCCCGAAGGCAGGACATTGGATAGGTGTGTATATTCTGTGCTGTCGGATACTTATCCCCCCCCGCCTTGAACAACGAAAGATTCACTGACCTGCCATGGGTATATCTAGCGGACGAGAACCCGCAATGGGTGGCAAGTCGTGTCCAACAATTTCTCGAGCAGGAGCCCAACCCGCCGCCCTCGGTCGATCTCTCCTCCTTGACGAACAAAGTGACGCTTACGGTTGGATATTTCGGGACCTTGGGAAACGAAGCTTTGGCAAGCTCTTGAAGAGAGTCGAATAAACGCACAAGAAACAGCTCAGAGAGCCGCCCTGGTCGAGAAGGGGTAGCGTAGGAGGTTGCGAATGTGAGATTCGCAAGTATAGCTTTAATTTCTTTCATATCTGAGGTGGGATTTATATAATCATATAGAAAGTCTTGGGTTGGCGTGACGATCACACAGCACGATGACGCCCACCGGGTGTCACTCGATGCAAGAAGTGTAAGAAGCTTGTCCAGCTCCGCTGAAGATTTGGAAGTGGTGAGGGTGGTGCTTGAGAAAGCACTCCTCCATCGCACGCCTCAAGCGAATATGTTTGGAGAAAGACGAATGCTGAGCTTGTCTTGAACACCGCCGCCGAGAATCGCATATACGGTGGGACAATGTTCCTGCGTTAGGATACAGGACTGCGCACACTCAACGAGGTCCAATCTTCTCCAGACCGCCCATGTATGCTCTCAAAACTTGGGGAACGACAACGCAGCCTTCGTCTTCACGCCATCCATTCTCCAAGATCGCAGCAAGAACTCTCGGGATTGCCATGGCCGTACCATTCACTGTGTGCGCAAACTTCTTCCTCGATCCGTCAGCCTCCAAGATCCTCGTGTCTAGTCTGCGACTTTGGTAGTCTGTGCAAATGGACGCTGAAGTGACTTCGCCCCATCCCTCGTCCTTTTTCTTCCTTGAGGGGAACATTGCCTCGATGTCGATCTTGCGATACGCGCTGGCACCCAGATCTGATGTTGGCATCTCGAGAACTCGGCAGGGCAGACTCAGCGAAGACAGGATTTCCGTCTGTATTTCCACCATTTCGGTCAGAAGTTGGCCTGAATGCTCCGTCCAGCTTGCCTCATCCGTCGAGCTTCCATTGCTGCTACTAGATGATGGGCAGTCGGTCCATGCGAACATCTCCACCTTTGTAAACTCATGCACGCGGTACAGGCCCTTGGTGTCGACGCCGCGAGCACCAGCCTCGGCGCGGAAACACCGACTTGACCCAACAAGCTTGACAGGTAAGCGTTCTGCGGGGATGGCCTTGCTGGCGTACATTCCTGCGAGAGGGATCTCGGCTGTCGCAGCAAGACTCCGGGTGGGTTTTCCCGCGTCCTTTTCCGGTTGCGCTATTTGCCAGATCTGTTGTTCATCGTTTTGATCCCGAGGCTGAAAGCCGCACGCAGTGGCCATGTGGGAGTAAATCAGAGACGGTGGAGAGACAACGGACCAGCCGCGTTTCATGGCGACGGACAAGGCATATTGAACTAGGGCTTGCTCCAACAAAGCCGCCTCGTTCAACAAGAAGTAAAACCCCCAGCCAGACGTCATTGATGATGATGCGAAGTCAAGAAGACCGAGCTTCTCGCCGATGATAGAGTGATCAGCCGAAGGGCCATATTGTGGAGGGTTCTCTGGGTCGTAGTTGATGTAGGAACGCAATCTTGGTTCACCACCAGTCGGTGTGCCCGAGTACGTCAGGTTGGGCAAGGACAGCGCCATAGAGCGCGTCTCGAGCTCCAGAGCATCATGCTCAGCTTGGAGAGCGTCGACCTCTGGCCTGACCGACTTCATCTGCGACACAAGGTCCGCCTTGTTTCCTTTCGTAGTGTTCAATTGCTTCTGCAGCTCTTTCAGGGTATGACGAGACCCGACCATGCGTTGGTCGAGCTCTCTCATCCTTCTGACATTGTCCGTCACCCGGCGGGGGATATCCTCATGGCTGCCATAATTTCGCACCAGGCAATTTCGTTCGTAGAGCTCGACATTGTCTCGGATTTGGGTGAGAGGAGGAAATTGGCGCGGCGCAGTCGCCGGTCGGAGTTCCTGGTAGGCGGGTTTCGTGGTGCAGTAGGCTCTTCTGCATCGAAGCAGGAACGCCCTAGCCTCGAGAGCTTTCCTCGACATCAAAGCTGCGAACGTTGGCTGAACAGCAATCCGTTACTGCGCGAAAACTCACAACGCGGTTGGACGCGGTCCCAAAAAATTCCCGCCAACTTCAATCGACATCGGCGAAGTGTGGAGTGCTTATCACTGCCTAACTAGATTTGGTCGACTCACTCGCTGTTTTAGCTGAGGCTCGGAATCCAGCCTTGCGACGGTGCGACAGCCACTCGCTCACTTATTGGGATTCCAGCTCGCTCAGCGTATTTGTGGAAAGTACGGAAAATGTGTGGGCGTCACATTTGTTTCCGAGTGACAACAGCTGCTAGGAAATAGTAGATAGTATACACATTTCATGTGGGACCCAGATTTCGTCGATAGACCGCATTACCCGCTCTTTACTTCATCGCCGGGTGTCCCGTTTGTGCTCAGCCTCCAGAAGATCAGCATAGATGCTGAGGGACTCTCCAATCAAGTTGACCATCTGCCACACGCTGCTCGACTGATACAATTTCGCCCACAGCCGGACAACCATGCCACTCAGCCGAGCCTTCTGCGTCAGGATCCGGTCACAGCTCATTTTATACTCAGTCTCAGCCACGAGCTGAACCACAAATTCGAGCACCCTCTGCTCAGGGGCTGTCAGAGCAGGGCTTGAATCGGGCACCGTGACCGCTTCAAGCCACTTTGCGAGCAGTACGGCGCACTCCAGCGAACATAAAGCATGTTGATTTGACCACAGAATCAGTTGCGTCTGGGCGACGTAGTTAATCCCAAGTTTCACGGGAATGCTGAGGGCATGTGCACAGTGGAGCGCTGCTCGCGTCATTTTGTCACTGCGTTGGACTTTTGGACTTTGGTGTAACGAGTTGGCAACCACTTCCGGATCCCAGCTGCTGAGTGACCTCACAGGGCCTAGATCCATGTTGAGCCGAATATAAGCCAGCCGAAGAAGTGCAGTCGATGTGAAAGTCACGGGGCCGTGGGGGCTTAAGGGATCCATGGATGACTCTTGATTACGTTCCCAATACTTGGCCCAGCGCTTCAGAGCCCGCTCGAAGACGTTCATTTCCTCGTCCGACAGGCTGCTTGAACTGCCCTGCACGATGGGCAGTCGAGCATTGCGTGCGAGCCAAATGTGTTGAATGATGGCATGGATGAGAGCACAGCCACCAAGAGCAGAGAACCCTCGCGCAACGATCTGAGTCGAGCCATTCCATTCGCCCGGATTTGCAAAGAGGCACGAAAATGCGTCTTGAAAATCTTGACGAGGTGACCTTGATTCGGCGCGGGCGTCACGCCAATCTAGCTCATTGCCTGCCTTCCACTCTTTCTCGGAGCAGGGAAGGTCGAGCCGGAGTCCACTTGCGAGCATCATGGGCGGCAGATCGAACAGAATGGTGTGGATATTAAAGAAACAAAAGACCACTAGGTGCGTTCTTTTGATGGTCTCAAACCGAACCCACTCCTGCCAGTCCCCGGTCGGTTGCTCCTGGGTTTGCGATATCTCATCATCTTGGATAAGCGAGTGCAACACACTGCGTATCGACAGTGCATCGGTGACTGCTGGCTCGCGTCGGTACCAGGACGCAATGGCGATCAAAAGCAGTAAAGTCTGCACCATCTCAACCACACAGAATCTTTCGTCCCCCTTCCAATTCGAGTCAGGGTTTACGGTGAAGTTATCTTGCGCTCTTTGGCCCAAGACCATGTTTGCTTTTCTTTTCTGGCGTCGGCGCAAGCGTTCCAAGACTATCGCTCTTGAGACACGGAACAGTTCGACACCCATCTCTGGTTCCCTGGTGTAGCGAGCTCCGAGAGCTGCGATCGCAAGGAGCAACTCGACATGGATACCGTCCATTTGCAAAGTGGCAACGTGAAAGAAGGGATAATGAGCATGGAAGTTTTTGAAGTATCCACCTATCAGTCGTGACAATGCATGTCGGGATGGAAGGACAAAGTCGCCATCTATGCAGCCGGAGAACGTCGCCAGTTCATCAATTATGTGTTGTCGACAGACGGCTGAGATGAACAGATCGCGACTGTTCAGCCTCGTGGGACCTTGTGGGTGAGGCCCAGTGGGCGGAGGCTTGTCCTCAGGAGCCAAGGACGGCAACCGAGAGCCAAAACGCGAGATGGACGAGTCGGCAGCCCTGATATTGGAGAGTGACGTAGGCGTGGCCTGTATCGTGGTCGTGGCCGTCGTTTCATCACGTGAGTTTTCGCCATCTCTGAGATCGTTAGTGTTGTCAAAAACACCGGCCAGAGGGAGGTCAAGGTTTGTAAAGAAGACAGGCAATGGTTGGTAGGTCGGAGAGAACGGATGCGTGAGATTAGGCACGCTGTCCATGAACGTAGCAAAGTCCTGTGTATAGGCGGACTCGAGGGCGTCGAAGCCGCCATCATCCAGACCTAGATTCATCGAGTAATCCGGAACCGGCGCGGTGAAAGGCTCTTTGCTTCCGTGACTTGAATTCTCGTCATTTGGGTGGCCGTAGAAGCGCGCAGACAGGTGGACCTGGTCGATGTGCTGCTGATCTGCTCTGGTATTGCTCACGAGAGATTGCGTCGCCGGCGGGACTACATGAGGCTGAGAGGAAAGGACGGGGCCAGGCCCTGAATGATAGTCGGTCCAACTCGCCAGAGGCAACGGCGCTGGCAAGAGCGTTTCAGGTCTCGATGGTACATGGCTCTGTTGGGAGCGAGTCTCTGGAGGCGATTGATGTGATAAGCGTATGTGTCGGGTTAGCAGATCTCTTGTTCTCAGGTCAGCAGCGTGTCAACGACCAAATTAGTCTTATGGAGGCAGCAGCGTACTTCCGGGTGAACCCTTTCTGACATCGGGGACAGCGAAACGGCTTCTCCTTGGTGTCTCGAATCTCAGTCAGTCATTAATCCAGACGCGCTTTGTTGTGTTCCCCTTACGCGATCTCTCATGGCGTTGGAGATGCTCCAGGCGGGCGAAGCCACGGCTACAGCGGTGGCACACGAATGATTTGGCCGGGGTGGCGGAATTTGTTGTCATGGTTCGCACATTGCTCGTCGAGCGGAGGACAGATGGCACTGGTGGTAGTGGGGAATTTGACATTGGATTCGGGGAAGAAGGTACATTCTTTAAGATGAAAATTGGAAGGTGAGGTTGAGTGTGTAGTATGCGGGGCGGCGGATTTGGCGCGGGCTGGTAGCTAGCTAGACTGACGGAGCCCCGGAAACACGGCTAGTCCCTAGCGCGATGCGGGCACCAATGAGGCTGCCCATGTAAAGGGACTATAGCTTCTCCAATTTGGAGAAGTCAGCTACCCATCGACAACAACACCCAACGACACCCATGCTTACTCGGCAGTGCTCGGCTGAGAGTCTTGCTGACCAGGAATATACGTTGCCCTGTACTATGCTTGTGTCCTCGTGTCCTCCGGCCCCTCTCCGAGATGACTGGTAACCAGGTCTCACAAGCACCTAACTTATCATGCCCACCTCCTCACTCCAATGGTTTATTCCACGTTCTCCTGTGCATGATCCACCGACCAACGGCGACCCTACCCCGAAATTTCCCATATCTCTCCCTCTTCCCGGTAGCCGATATGCAGATGTGCATCATATCCTTAGTTACAAGATACTACAGTCCGTGGCTTCCACCTAAGTCTGCCCACAATCTCTCTTCCAACAGCCGCGAGCGACCCACTGCCCACTATATATCGTGAGCCTCTCCACGTTCATAGGGTGAACAGAGAACACCAAACCAAGTTTCTGCCCCTGTCTAAGAGTAGATATCTCTGAGGCTCTCTGATAAAGGCGACATCTCGACAATGCGAGCACAAGTGTTAGAGGCGTTCAATACGCCCTACAAATTCAAAGAAGTCCCGGTCCCTCCAAACCCAACTGGTCAAGATATCCTGGTCAAAGTCGGGGCCGCTTCTTACTGCCACACTGATGCTGTCTTTGCCTCTGGTGCCATGTGGCAAGACCTGCCCCGGATTGGGTCGCACGAGTTTGCAGGCACAATCGTCCAATTGGGTCCAGATGTGTCACCGAAGTTGGGTCTTAAAGCCGGCATGCCTGTTGGCGTTCCAGGTAGAGCATTTCATCCTTGCGGATCGTGCTATGAATGCCTGAACAACGACGGCGATCCAGAAAAGTACGGTGTATGGTGTCCCAAAGCTGGTAACCTAGGTCTCTCGGCCAATGGCGGTTTTCAAGAATATTGCATTGCGGATTCTCGTCAGATTGCGCCCATGCCGGAAGGCATGACAGCCGTTGACACCGCTCCACTCATGTGCGCGGGTCTGACTATCTGGAACGCTCTGGAAAGAGCGGGGGTCACGATGGAGGCAGGCGGAGGGAAAGGACTCACGATTGGCATTTCCGGTGCCGGCGGTGGCCTTGGACACCTGGGAGTACAGTTCGCCACCAAGCTTGGATGCAAGGTCGTAGCCATTGAGGCATCTGATCCGGCATTGGCCCTTCTGCAAGATGTCGTCAAGGATCTAGGACCGGCAGGGGATGGTGTTACCATCGTTGACGCGAGGAAACAACCCGCAGAGGACGCCCGCATATCAATTTTTGGATCCCCCGAGCCTAGTTTGGAAGGCGAGAAGGGGGTCGATGGAGTCTTGATTCTCCCCGAATCCCAAAAAGCTTTCGAATATGGGATGAAGCTGGTCAAGAACCATGGCATTTGTGTGACCGTCAGTTTCCCAAAGGAAGGTTTCCACATGCAGCCACGGGACCTCGTCTTCCGCCACATCTCCATGACCGGAGTCTTGGTCGGTCGGAACCGACAGCTCAGAGCCATGTTGAACTTTGCCGCAAAGGAGGGAGTGAGGGCGAAAGTGACCACCTACAAGTTGGAGCAACTAAATGAGCTAGTGGAGGATTACCACAAAGGAGCAAGCGGAAAGCTGGTCGTGGATATGTCCAAGTGAAACTCCAGTCAGCTTCTGCATGCTATTTCACGGTCCAATAATTTAGGATGTACGCCTCTGTCGTTATCGTCGTTATTGCAGGACATGAATAGATGGGGCGCACAAATGATATACCAAACTTTATATGGACTGCGCCATTACTCTCACGTACACCACCAAGCCTCACGAGCGCCGGCGAAAACGCCATTTGAAACAAAGCCGACTCGCTAATCGAGGGAGTTTGGAGCAGGGGCTGGCAGCGTTAGTCTCTCGATCTCGCCTGGGATGACATTACGACGCGTTTCGAGAAAAGGCCGCCATGATCTCGATTCTCGAACTTGGAATTCTCGCGTCTTAGTGCCTATGCTCTAGCCGACCAAGGCCGAAGTCCATCGGAACCGTCAGAGCAGCTGACATGTCTTCCTTTGACTGTCCTCCAATTTGGGGACCTGGAGTCTGTTCCCGATCTCGAGATTTCGAATTGACTTGCGCTCATCTCGAGAAACCCGATCAGAGAGACCCATCAGAATGTCTTTGTATGCTAGCCACGTATCTCCAAGTGCCGTTGTTCTATAGACTATAGTCGAGCAATGTCTCAACTTGAGAGGTCTCACATAATACAGCCTCGTGAGTCATTTCAATTGAGCTTGGTCGGGATATCTTTTCCTTCAAGCCATAGCTCCAGATTCGACGCTGTATCCTCATACCATCGGTTCATGACACCTTCTTCCACGTATCCCATATGCGGGCTGAGTAGCACTTGGCTTCTGCCGTCCTTTCCCCAAGCAGTCGTTCGCCAGGGGCTACCTAGCGGTAACGGTTCCACATGATAAACATCCAAAGCCGCACCCTTGATCCTGCCGTGGTTCAAAGCATCCAGTAAGGCCTTCTCATTGATGAGGGCACCTCTCGAGGTGTTAACCAAGAGTGCAGAGGGCTTCAACAAAGCGAGCTCGCTCTCCCCCAGAATGTCTCGACTTCGTTCAGACAGAACATAGTGGATGCTTAACACGTCCGCCTCCTTCAGAAGCTCTTCCTTACTACTCGCCACCTTAAATGTTCCCGGAGGTAGACCGAACGACTTGGCCTTCTGCTCGGCGACATCCTGGGTGAGACTACTAGACCATGCTAGAATCTTCATCCCGAAAGCCCACGCACCTGCTGAGGCAACCCTTGCCCCCAAGTTGCCGAATCCCAATAGGCCCAGCGTTTTGCCTTTCAATCCTGTAGCCGGAGAAATTTCCCAGAGACCAGACTTGACGGCGGCATCGTCACGAGCGATATTGCGAGCGATGCCTAGAATGAGTGCCCAGCAATGTTGCATGGTGGAATCGATCGAGGTCGGCGAGCTCACATCACCAGACTTCCCGAGCCCCTTGGCACCTGCGACGATGATGTTCTGCTCAGCACAAGCAGCCATGTCGATTGCCGAGTTCTTCATTCCCGTAGTCAGAAGCAGCCTGAGGTTCGGGAGCGATCTGATCACGTCTCCCGGCAGGGGAGTTCGTTCTCGCATAGTCGAAATAACGGCGAAGGGCCGAAGGCGTTCGATGAGCGCATCCTTTTCCGCCTTGCCACTGGGGTTGATAGTGTCAGGGAAAGTCGTGACTTCGACCTTGGGCTGCAGATGAGAGAATTTGGCGGCTGCAATCCCCTGGTAGTCATCGAGTATGGCTAAGCGTATCTTCGAGGTCGCCATTTTGTTGCTATGTCGGCTCAAATGCCTGAACGAGACTGAATAGAGCCAAATGTTGAATCCCCAAGTTTAAGGCCTTCTCACACAAAGTAGTTGCTTACACTCAGGTTCTTGAGATGACGTCCACATGCTTGCGCCGGCCTGGACTCATATGACCGACGTAGATGCTGATGAGGCTCTCCATGGCTATCGTAAGAACACGCTTCTCCAAATCGGAGGCTGATCTATACACTTTGACGTTGAGTTAAGCTGGCCTAAGTGAGGCTTTCTGTAGCATGGGCCCGAAATGGACGACCGCATACTCTCCCCAACTTGGAGAGTCGTGGATTACAGGATCGCCCGGAGATAAGTGTGCATGGACCAGCATTGTAAAGTGACACGGCAGATGCAGTCGGCGATTTAAACACTTGATATTTATTCACGGGCTCTCAGTTTCATTCTAGGGTGCATTTTCCCCATTGAACAATCACCAAGAGAGAGAGAGACGTCCCGAGCTTGTCATATATTCGCATACTCCACCATGCATCCCGCCATCGGATTCTTCTTTGTTGCCTCTGTGATTGCGCTACTCGTTAGGTGGGCCAATAGAACCGATATCCCAAAGATCAAGAACCTCCCCGAACTTCCTGGAGTGCCAATTTTTGGGAGTCTCATCCTTCTCGGCAAGTATCATGCTAGGAACTGTGCTCGGTTGGCCAAGACATACGGCGACGTCTTTCAGGTCCGCCTGGGTAACCGCGTAAGTGAAGACTCCCCTCGATGCTATATTGGATGTGTCACCAGATGGTGTTGACTCTTGCTGCCATTCAGAGATTCATTTATGCGAACTCGTTCGACTCGGTGAAGGAGATATGGATCAAGAACCAGTCAGCCCTCATCTCTCGACCAAAGTTCTGGACTTTCCACGACGTGGTATCGCAAACCCAGGGAGTGTATACCTTGGGGACCTCGCCATGGTCTGAATCCCTCAAGAGAGCCCGCAAGGCCGCAGCTACGGCCCTGAACAGACAGGCGGTTCAGACTTACCTCCCATTCATCGACCTGGAGTCCACTGCCAGCATCAACGAGCTAGTCCAGAACATCAAAAACGGTTACGACATTGACCCCAACGGCTATTTCCAACGCTTTTCTCTGAACATCAGCCTGACTCTGAACTACGGCATCCGCATTCAGGGCACTGTCAAAGACAGCACTCTCAATGAGGTCGTTGCCGTTGAGCGAGAGCTGGGGAACATCCGCGGCATTGCGCATAACTGGCAGGACTATGTCCCTTTGCTCCGGATCCTACCGGGGTACAAGTCGAATGCCATCAAATATCGAGGCCGAAGGGATGAATACATCCTCAGCTTCTTCAACCAGCTGAAAGAGCGAATCGCGAACGGGACCGACCACCCCTGCATCGCCGGCAATTGCCTGAAAGATCCAGAAGCCAAATTGGCTGAAAGTAAGAATCGTAATGCTGAGATCTGTTGGCTTTTGTTGCTAACGGGGGACCAGATGAGCTGAAGTCAATCTGTTTGACCATGGTCGCTGCCGGCCTTGACACACTGCCTGGAAATATCAACATGACGATCGCTTACCTCTCGTCACCGCACGGCCAGGAGATCCAAACACGGATGTACGACGAAATCGTCAAATCTTATCCTGGGCAAGATCCGTGGCATGCGTGCTTGTACGAGGAGACGTCCGAGTACGTTATCTCCTTTGTAAAGGTGAGTATCGGAATGGCCATGAGTGATCCTGCCTCCACCAAAGTGAGACTGACCATGACACAGGAGGTGCTTCGCTTCTGGTCGACTCTCAACTTGTCCTTCTATCGCCAAAGTGTTAGTGACATCAATTACAAGGGTGCTGTCATCCCTGCAGGGACGCCTTTCTTGATGGTAAGGGACCGCCTCTCTCTGACGCGTTTGCCAATCATCATGCTAACATTCCATCTCGCAGAATATGTGGGCAGCCAACCACGATCCTACGCACTTCAAGTCTCCCATGGAGTTCGTCCCGGAACGCTTTATGGGACAGTCTGGCGTCGGAGAGGGCACGCAGCACTTTGGCTATGGAGCTGGTACGCGGATGTGTGCGGGTGCTCATCTCGCCAATCGAGAATTGTACATCATCTTCACTCGTCTGGTCTTGGCTTTCCGCATCCATGAAGCCACCGATCCGAAGGACAGGCCGATTCTGGACACCATCGAGTGTAACTCGGTGCCGACAAGCATGGTCACCCAGCCCAAGCCATTCAAGGTCAGATTCATTCCACGGGACCAGAAACAGCTTGAAACCTGGATCAGTAAAAGCTATGAGAACACCTCACACCTCTGAAAGTAGGGAGTCCCCCAATTGTATAAGCTGACATAGACCGACTGTGGGCGCTGAGTTACTGGTCCAGCTGACCCGTCGACCTTTGCCACAAGAATCGACCGCATCCGAGAGCCACTCATTGCTGAAGGGCAAAAATTGAACCCGGCCAGTGGGTGTACAGATGGAGCAACGTGGATCTTTAGGCCATATGAGGGTATGGTTTTGACGTGGACAGATGAATCCGATTCGAGCGGTGGGCAAGGAATTTGAATGTGCTAGAATTTAGGTAGTCTGTCGAGATCCGACAAAAATTGAAATGCGACATGATATAGCTTTGAGCATGATGCAAACAACATAATTTTCGAATACTCTTTAAAAAGTATGGTCCAAGTCTGGGCGAAGGGTGTTGTAGAACAACTGCTCCCCCCGTGTAGCTTGTGGCAAAAAGAAACGTGGAAGGTGAAATGGTTCGGCGCCTGTGCGCAGGCGTTAGCGCCTGGGGCATGTGTTCACCTCCACTGCCAAGTCAACGTCTGGGACATCGAGAGGAATAGATAATGCTATTACGGGTTAATGCTCTGATTTGGCTCACGAATCGCACACAGAAAAATGTGATTCCTCAACACCCGCTCTGCGCGGTGGCGTGGCCTAATGGTAAGGCGTTGCTTTCCGGTTACAATTCTGTTTCGCCAGGGGATTGGCAAAGACTGTGGGTTCGAGTCCCATCGCCATCGTTTTTTTTTCTTCATACCTTTACCGAAACTCTGTACCAACGCCTTTGAGGCTCGTTGGGGAATCGGGCACAAGTGAGGAATCCGCGGGTTGAGAAGACACTACGCAGCTTAGATATCTTCCTGCATCATTTAGAATCCTAAAGTGCCAAATCACCTGGAATTCTTGACGAGGCGCCTTTGCAACTCGTACCGTAAATGGTAACATAAGGGTTGTGGAAGCTCTGTCTATACCTGTGAAGATGACCAGTTTGACAGAAGACGTGTAATCTTTTTTGTACACCAGCTCACCTCGAGTGAGACTCTAATAGAAGGCAGCAACTATGTCTAGTCTAGGAAGCTTAACGGAACGTAGACTAAAATGATGCCATTGAAACGCCATGAACTTTTTCCTCGCCCTGCAACCATCTAAGAAGGCCACTCTACTCAGCCCAGTTGCCTCAATTCCATTATTGGAACTATATACATCCAGCCAAATAACAGCAGCCCAACACTGATGTCTTCCAAACTCTCTCATCTGTTCAAGTACATTCTCAGCCCTTTCATTGATCCACACAGTCCTGCTCGTGCAGATTCCGATGTTGTGTTGTGGTCACTCAACGTCGACCATAACCGCCCTGGCTATATCCGCCGCCACCATAGTTTCCACTCCGGTTGTCCCTAGCTGGCGGTCCCCGATTTTGACCTTGGTGGTAACCATCACTGAAAGACCTTCCGCCATTCTGTTGATATTGTCCATTGCCACCATGGTACTGGTTCGGTGCCTGGCCGCCATAGTATTGGTTCTGTCCCGGGTTTCCATAATAACCTTGATCCTGACCACCATGGCCCTGAGAAGTATGCGTTGCATACCCTCCGTATCCGTTTGAAGGTGGCGGGTTGCGACTATAACCTCCTTGGCCACCGTAGCCTGGTGGGGGAGGCGGAGGCATTCCTGGAGGCCATTGACTCGGTGGCGGCATCCCAGGAGGACCTGCATCAAAGGGAGGTCGGTCGACAGCGTAGTTGATGCGTCCGCCTCGATTCTGCGTATCGAGACGGTCACGTCGAGTATTGTCATATAGTGGCGCACCGCCAAAGTCCCTTCCCGATATCCTGGCCTTTGATCGGATCATGGCCAGGTCACCCTTGTCGAGAACGGGTGGAGGCAAGACAACTCCAGGGAACAACATGGACTTGTGAACATGGGTAGGAGGGGGCATCGTAAAAAACACGTTCAGAGAGCGATCATCGTCCACCGCAGGCTCCAGTCTGATGTCTTCTTGCGGTCCCACCAAGTCCATATGAGGCAGGAAATCTTCGTTTTTGATCACCTCACCAGCCAGCTGACTCTTTTGCATTGACAACTTCACGGTGTTCGGGCCTCCTTTGGCTTTTTTCGAGTAAAATTTCATGGCCAAGATGTCGTACAAAGGATTCTGATCTGATATTATTAGAGCGTCGTGGCCCCGCTCGTTCCTGGCGTGCTCGTCATCCGTCAGCAAATGATACTTTGTGTGCATGGCGGCAAGGAGCCGTCTCTCGTCAATGAACGGCAACAATACAATCGCTTTCCAGGATTGCTTCGCGCCATTGAGATCGAGATCGAACTCCTCTGGGTAGAAGTCGACAATGTCGGATTCCGGATCAGTCATGAGAGGATGGAACGCGCTCGGGATGGCGTGATTTGAAGATGCCGGTAGGACACCCATCAATTGCTCATATGGTTTGAAAGGTGTTCCTTTGTCGAACTTGACGGTCTTTTTCTCAATATCGACAAAGTCTGCGGCGAATGGAGCGTAGTGATAAGGATAATACCACGTCCAAGATGGACATCCTTGGAAATAGTAGAGAAGCACCCAACACAGCCCCTCGACGTAGGCTTCGGCTACCTTGTGGCGGAAGCCTATATCCTGGGGGTCGACATGGAACTTTTGTTCATAATAACGGTCAGCATATCCCTCCTCCCACAGCCGCACTGTGTCTGGCGGAGGGTTGTTGGGATCTCCGCTGTTGTAAGTCTTTTTCTCAATTGGTGTATTCCTTCCAGGAGTGCCAGCACTATCTGACTCTTCTTCCAGCGCTGTAGCTTTTCGCTTGCCCAATATTGACGAAGGACTACCACCTGAAGAATTCGGGGTCCCATTGATGCCATTAGCGCCGTTCTTAGTGGGTGTCTCAGCAGCCTTCTTAGCGAGCATCTGCTCTTTCAGGACCGCTGCTGCGCTTTTGTTCGACGCCAGTGTTTTGTCCACAGCAGCTCTGTTCACAATGGAGTTGTAATCCAGAACTGGGAAGTTTGAAGCCTCAAAGGTCTCAACAGGCCCGGTGGGCACTCGGGCATCCGCCCTGCCACCCTTAGTGTAATCTGGCGAGCTACGGCGTCTCTTCGCAGAACGAGCCTCTCGAGCCTCGTTTGCCTGGTTGCGCCGCTGTTCGTTCCGAGCTCGTTTATCTTCCACTTCCTTCCTGCGTTTGAAGATTGCATCCTCTTGCTTCGCCAGACCTTGCAGAATGATTTGGGCACGTGCAAGGTCAACTCTTCCATCGCAGGTCAAGTAACCCCCCATGATAGGGATGTTGTCCCTCCAGATGGCAATGAGCTTATCGATACCGTCTTCTCTGATTTCGAGACTAGGAAGATGAGGCAAGAAGTCATTGCCGACGAAGAAACACATAAACACCCAATCGTCAAGGGCACGCTCGAGATCGAAACGGAACGTCTGGCCAGGGACAAACATCTCCGCGCCAAGATACTCACGTAGTATGGGCACATTTAGCCAGACAAATGGCTTCAGCTCCTCTGTAGTACCTTTTTCGTCGAACTGGCCAGATTTTATCTTGGCTTCGCCTCTGCAGTTCTCAGCATAATGACCTTGCTGACCGCAAAGCTTGCAGGTTTTGGCTTTGGCATCTCTGACATCGACGTCTTCTCGAAGGACGCGGAAGTGAGGCTCATGCGTGGCAATTCCAAGCATGATTAAGTCTGCATCAAGCCCATACATGACATGTCTTGTATTTGGATCATAGGCGGGATCTGAGCGCTGGGAACGAATGAACTGCATAATCTTGTGCTCACCTTCTCCGGGCACACTGGCATCTGAGATTATGACCTTCAGTTGAGCCCAGGCAGGATCCGTGTTCAGCTTCCACTGGACCCAATATCGAATAGATTGAGCAAGAATGAACATGAAAGGCGTGCCAGGTGTGATGACATTACTATCCCATGTTTTCTTGATTACGTCGTCCACTGTTTCTTCGTTTTCATCTTCATCTCTATCACGTTGCTGTTGACGTAGGAGTGTTTGAAACTCTGCCTTCTTTTCGTCCGCCTCTTTCGCATCTCTTGCTGACCGGAAACGACGAGCTCGTTGCTGGTTCATCTTTGCTCGTGGAGCAACCCCATCTGGTATACGTTAGAATCCCTTTCGGAGAATAATGATTGGAAACACATCAAAGGAGAGCAACGTTACTCACCGATTGCGATCATCAACAATCTCCGCGGTCGCACCATGTTCACAACTCGCTCAGTGTACTTGAAGATTTCCAACATCATCTCGCTCTCATTTGCTGGAGGAGGCTTGTTCTCGGGATGCGAACAGGGATGGACGATGCCGTTAAAATCAAGATAGAGGTTGTGCATTTCTTCTCCATTTGGATTCGGCTTGGTGGTGTCCACAGGATATTGCACGCCATCAATCTCGTACGGTTGTTCCTCGATCACGGGAGTAATGATCTTAGGGTATTTTTTGGTGAGCCATCGGAAGAGAGCTGGGACACCCATCTTGACTCGATGGTACGCCGCGAAAAAGGGAAAAGAAGGTAGAAGCCTGAGTGATTGTGTCGGTGCCTATGGGAAAATGCGCAAGGGATTATGCTCCCAATTGTCAGAGGCAATAGAATAAAAGAATGTCACCCGCTCTGCGAACAGGAGAGGTCTCAAGGATTGCGTGAGATCTGAATCACCATGAAGAAAACATATTAGACTCGAAATTGCAAACAATAGAGTCGAGATGGTGATGGATGCCTGAAGGAAACTGCGCCTTGAACTCCGATCGAGTCTTCCCTCTAGGCCCTGCCCCGTGTCCAAATCTGGTTGGTGAAGGCTTGGCAAATTTGTGAGCAATGACGGAGTATAACGCCATATGGCGCAACTACGGTGGGTTATAAGTAAGTCTATGAAAGTAACATCTACTGTAAGTTCTATGTGCCCTCCCCATCTATCTGTCTTTCCATCCTGTCGACCTTTATGTATCATCTTGTCTAAGATTGCATGTGCGAAGGGCAAATGCTGCTGCCAGCCACTTACTAGCGCGAGGCTCTCTCGTGAGCGTGGTCATCACGTCTTGGTGATGACCCGAACGAGTCGTTCTGTGCTCCGATACCAGTCACAGTTTCAAAGGCCGGGTTGACGGCACTTGAGGCAGGTTTCGCCTCATAATCTTTCCGCTGCCTGTTCTTGGGATTGCGTCGATGAAGTAGATACCTCCGGTTAGCCATTTGTGAGGAGCAAAATTCTTCTGGATCATCTCGAAGAGTTCTTTCGCGGTGAGTGTATCACTCTTGCGGACAACAAATGCCCGAACGTATTCCTCCCCATTTCTGTCGGTGGATAAGTTAGCTCATTTAATAATAGAGGCTGAAAACAGTTTGGAGTGTGGCTGCCTACATAATGGCACCCACGACAGCTGCGTCTGTCACTTCAGGGTGGTTGAGAAGTGTCAACTCAAGCTCTGTTGGTGAAACTTGAAGACCCTTTATCTTGATAAGTTCCTGTCGGATCAATAAGCAAAAGAACGATATGACTAACTTCGCCGGTTCAGTGTGTTGAAGACTTGCCTTTAGACGATCAACAATATAAAACTTTCCCTGATCATCGCAGTAGCCGATATCACCAGTTCTCAACCAACGGTGGCCATCCTCTTGGACAATGGTTTGTGCAGTAGCCTCAGGCTTGTTCCAATATCCCTTCATGATGTTCGGCCCAGATACCCATATTTCACCAGTCTTCTGCCCAGACGCGGTAGAACTGCTCAATTCCTCGTCTACAGGGACAATTTTCGCCGCGCAGTTGGGATTCAGCCAACCAATTGAGCGTCCATCATCCTCCTCGTCTGGGGAGAAACCAGTCGCGGAACAGGTGCACTCTGTCATCCCCCAGCCTTGCTTTACCTGCACACCGGGTCGAAGATACAGCTTCGCAAGGAGTCTCCCTAGCTTGGGATCAAGGGGTGCTGAACCGCTCACGACTTGCTCGAGAGATTTCAGATTGTATCGTTCGGGAGCGTCTTGCTTGCACAACATTGCGATGACAGTCGGCACACCTGTCATGAATGTGATGCGATAGGCATCAAGGTACTGTAAATATCTTGTGACGTTAAATTTTGACATTATGAAAACCTTCGCTCCCAATACCGCAGCATTTATACCGTAATAGGTTTGACCCTATGACCAATGTCAGTCTGTCTGGAGTGTGCCGGACTGTACGACACCCGTATCCTGGAGAGCCGTCACTCACATAGGCATGATACATGGGCAGTGGTGCTAGCCATCGCTCCCCAGAGACGTCGAGTCGTTCCTTGCGAGCATGTGCTTGTGGTGTGCTTCCAACTAAAGCCCGCTTGAACAGGAGTTGTACCGAGTTGGAGACGAGGTTATAGTGAGATATCTGCACCCCTTTTGGAAGCCCAGTGGTTCTCAAGAATTGTCAGTAATGGAACAGGCATCTCTTAAGGCCTCGAAAGTGTCTTGCCGGAACTCACCCACTGGAATAGTTGATAATCGCCGTCTTTCCGTCGACTTCTTCGATGGTAGCTAGGCGCTTCCAAGACCAATGTCGAACAGCGTCTTCAGACGCCCAGATATTTGTCCACGAATTCAAGCCGTGAAGGTTGTACGACGAGAGATCCTCGTCTGGATCATGGAACACCAAAATCCTGTTCCGCGATAGCCCTACTTCAGAAGCGGCATTGAGAGCAACAGCAATCCCGTCCGGTCCAGTGAGCAGCAAGGTCGCTCCGGAATCCCGCAGCTGGTAAGCCAATTCTTTGATCCGAAGTCAGCAGATACAGCATTCTTGAATCAACGACGCCGCTATGAGAAAATCTGGGAGAATAACTCACCCGATGCCGAAGCCGAAGGAGATGCTGCAGAAAAAATGCATCCTGCCGCAATTGTTCCCCAAATCACAACCGGAAAGAAAAGTCGATTGTTGGAGTATAGCAGAAGGCGCTCATCGGCTTTAAGGCCAAGTTGTTGTAATCCAAGAGCTACTCTTTTCGAATAGATTTCACCCTGAGCGAGACTAAAACATTTTGCAGGTGTGTCGGCGTCGAAGTATTGAGGTGCCTCCCGTGAAGCTTTACTCCCAGACTGGAAGACAAAGGTATTGACATCGATAAGAGGAATATCGATGTTGTAAGGAGATTTGAACATTTCCTGACCTGGTTCGAGCTCAGCTATCCAAAGCCGGCTCACTTACAGAAGAACACGATATAACCGGGCGTAGTGCCAAATTGACAAGCAGCGACCTTCGATACGGTAGTTTGAACCCACGTCACGGATCTACAAGGCGTCTACAGCGTACCATCACATATATATTTATTAGTCAACCCCAAATTATCATTGTCGGAGACCCATACTTGCAGCCGATGTGCGGAATACATTTGGGAGGGGTCAGCCTTTACTGCCTCGGCAGGCTCAAGCGGATAGCCAAGACAGCCTTGGTCTTGATGACAAGGCTCGCAAGGCTGGCGGCCTGGGTTGATCGCGTTGCCGCTTTTATGCCGGAATATTTCTTGGCCTGCGGACAACTTGTCTATTCAGCCCAAAGTCACAACGCGTTCTATACCAACATTGATGCTGGAAACGGTCGACGACTGCCTGCCTTGCCAGCCCACACTTATGTTCTTGATCCGACTCCCTGCCCAATATGTGCGCACCGATCCTTTAGTCCATGGCTGACAGACGCTCAGTCAATATAAGACGATCGTCCCCATGACAATGAAACGGCCATCAAGATGATGCGAATTCTCGAAGCACAGGCGCCTGCGCGACAGACTGCTACCGACACCATCCAGACTCTCAGCAGCCGCCTCTCAAGTGCCACGCTACTAGAAGATCGGCGGGCTGCGATCCTCGGTCTACGCAGCTTTGCAAAGCTATACCCTGCTTCGGTCGCCTCCGGCGCATTGAGAGATCTGATTGCCGGACTGAGACGAGATGGAGACGATTCAGATACAATCAAGATTCTGCTGGAGACCCTTTTGATGCTGTTTGAGCCCGATGAGAAATCAACAGAGGCTTCGGAGGAGATCAGTCTGTGGCTAGCCGACGAGTTTACGCAGAGACAGGACAACATCACCGCTCTCCTAGACTTGCTCGAGCCTAATGAGTTCTACTTACGTTTATATGTCCTCCAGATTCTTTTTCATATATCCACCGCCCGGCCACAACGCACACAAGAGGCTATATTCTCGGCACCTCTGGGCGTCTCTCGAATAACAAACATGTTGGACGACAGGCGGGAGGCGATTCGAAATGAGGCCTTGGTACTCCTGGTTGCCTTGACTCCCACCTCTGGAGAAATACAGAAAGTGGTGGCCTTTGAGAACGCATTTGACCGTATATTCGCTCTCATTGACGGCGACGGTGGTCTTACGCACGGCTCTACCACCGTTCAGGACTGCCTGTCACTTTTGGCCAATCTTTTGGACCTCAACACATCCAACCAATCGTACTTTAGAGAGGTCGGTGGGATCCTAAAGATCAAGAAACTGTTGTCGGCCGCCGTTGACCAAGAGGACTCTGGAGATGGCAGCTCAGAATGGCTGAAACCACAGCGGGATATGAACGTGTGGGGCTTATTGGGGATTATCCAGTTATTTCTTGCTCAAGGCGCTCAAGGGACTGTGGTCAACCAACAAATATTTTGGACGACCGGAGTTCTAGACGTTATTTTGCGAATTGCCTTCCATCCTGCATTCAGCACTGGTGTGCGAACAAAGTCACTACAAACATGTGGCGACATCATTCGAGCAAATCATAGTCTCCAGGAAAGGTTCGGGGATCTTGGAGTCCAAATCAGAGAGCCTGATAGCCCTACTACAAATGGCCATCCGTCAAACGCCACCAGTGAGAAGGCGCCCAAGCCCAACAAACCTGCCTTTCGAACTCAGAACGTAATCGAATCACTTCTAGAGGTGGCACTAGAGCCTGCTCCTCTGGCTCTATTCGACGTCCGACTGGCTGCATGTTCCTGCCTCGAAGCATTCATGAATGGCCATGTGGGCATACGAACTCACGTGCTACGGAGGGCTATCGATGGACACAAAGCAGGCGACGATGCAATTCCCAACATGCTTACCGTCTTGCTTGAACCCCCCGGAGCACGTAACAACTCTGACCCGTATCAACAATGGATGGCTGCGGTGCTTTTGCTACATCTCCTGTACGACAATGCTGACACCAAAGAGATGGCCTTGAAGGTGACAGAAGGTGACGCCGAAAGTGGAGAAGAGGTCGTTACCTTCATACAGAGCATCGCAAGCAACGTGGTGGCGGGTGTACAGCACGTCGAGGATGAGCGCGCTTTACTTGGACATTTGATGTTGTTGTCCGTCTGGTTGTTTGAAGATCCGGAAGCGGTTAACGACCTGCTGGCAGAGGGCAGCAATGTTCAAGGTCTTATTGCGGCTGTCAAGATCGCCAAAAGTTCGATGCCTCTCGTTGCGGGTCTTTGCGCATTCGTGCTAGGAGTAATCTATGAATTCTCAACAAAAGACTCTCCGATTCCGCGGAGCACGCTTCATGGACTGCTGAACACCAACCTGGGCAGGGAAGCCTATGTGGATCGCTTGACAAAGCTTCGAGAAAATATCTTCGTGCGAGACTTCGAGGTCCTACCGCAGACCGGCAACGGCGGCCTGCCAGAAGTGTTCTTCGACAAGACTTTCATCGACTTTCTCAAGGACAATTATAGCCGATTCCTACGAGCCATTGACCGGGATCCAAATTTTGAAGTTTCTATTGTGAGCAATGGCGTGCAGAAGGGCATCTCCCGAGACCTCGTCGACAGTCTCAGAGCTCAAGTCGAGGAACAGAAACGAGCGTTGGAGGCCGCTAACAGTGAACTGCTGCAGCTCAAGAGGAGGCTAGAACAAGAGGAGCTCGATCACCGCCGCACGCGAGAATCCACCACGGTCGAGCTATCTAGAATCAAGCAAATCAATCAGAGCCTGCAACAAAATCACGAGGATGAAGTCCACAAAATTCAAAAAGGCTTTGAGCAGGAGAGAAGCACTCTATCGAAGCATCATGAGGACGAGCTCAATCGAAGACGCAATGATCATCTAACCGCCATCGAGACGGCGCGAAAGCAGCATGAGTTGGAAGTCCAGAGATTCGAACAGCGTCTGAAAATGATTGAGCAGGAAGCCGCGCGAGAGCAGGTGGCTCTCAATGAGCGGCACACACGAGAACTCAGTGAGGTAGAAGCTCAAGCACAGAAAGCCCGAGAGAGAGAAGCGGCTGAAATTGCAGACCTGAAAAGCAGAATTTCAGAGTTGGAAGCTCAGCTACAGAAGGCTGAAGCCAACCACGCCCAGGATCTTGCCACAGCGCATGAGGAATATAAGAGCAAAACTGAGAATTTGGAAGCGCGCCTGAAGCGGGCGGAGAGTCGTGCTCAAGAGGCTGAGAACCGTTCCAAGCATCTCGCTGAAGACCTTGAGAAAGAGAAGGCCGCTCGAAAGGACGTTCAGACTGAACTCGACGACCTTTTGGTCGTCTTTGGCGATCTCGAAGCCAAGAGATCTGCCGACAAGAAGAAGCTCAAAGAACTGGGGCAGGAAGTTTCTGAAGATGAAGACGAAGACGAAGACGAAGAGGAGGATGCCGGCGCTGAAGATGAAGATGAGGACGAGAACGAGGACGAGGACGCGGGCGCCAGCGACGACGCCGTCGATTGAACAAGCGTGCGTCTTCCTAACGGTGCCTTGGCCCTGTCTTCTCATGTCGTGTGTACAACTCGGGGCGTTTCGCATACCACGGGGCCCAAGTATTGGAAACTAAAAGTTGACAGTATAGAACTATACCCTGTACAGTAATCAATGTCCTTCCTCCGGAATTTCAGGTGTCGGTGCATTGGGTCTTGGTTTTCCATCTTCAGCATCTTTTGTATCACGACCCTCTATTTCCATTGTCTTGTGCAATCCTCAAACGGTGATTCTGCCCACTCGCCCAGTACTCCCGGAACCCACCGGGCCCTTCAGTGCATCTACGGGGAGTACCTGGCCGTTCCTGGTCTCTGACTCCTGAACAGCACATCGCCTGACAGGTTGTGACAAGAGAACCACTATAAGCTGGCGTTTAGCCTGAAAAGGAGGCAGGAAAGTAGTGGGGAGAAAGAAGCCAGCCATGTTGATATCACATCTACCTATCGCCGGCTATAGACTCGTACCTACAGAAGCTCAGGCAAAACATCAAGAGCGAGACTGGACCGGTTTATGGCTCGGTAATCTACAGTTTCCGCACATCGCTCCCGCCGTCTTCGGCGAATAGCTTCCACACGCTCCTCGCCTCCATACCTTTACACTTGTCGTTCTTCCTCGCCTCCACAAAGACCTTTTGCACCGGGTCGGCCAGGACGGTGCTGGCGCCAACGGAGTTCATGAGCGCGACTGCATCATCAATGACGCCGCCGGCGAGCTCGGTCGTGAAGCCTCCCTTGAAATCTCGCGCGGAAGATGCGGCCGGGTTTACCCCTTTGACCGGGTTGTGGTGGAGGGAGTTCCAGTTCATGCCGGACGAAGCGTTAATAACATCTGAGAAGGCAGGCTTAGTCGGTCTTCCTCATCTGGTGAGACAAAGGACGGGGGGAAGGAAGTTCAGGGGGGCAATGGCACGGCGGGGCGTGTTGAGAGATTCGAGGAACTTACTTGAAAGAATCTTTGGGTCAAGGCCGTAGAGCAGACCGGCGTTCATGACTGCGATGTAGTTCAAGATCAGCATTTGACGGGCGAAGGAGCAAGCAAAGCATATATCCATTGTGGCCGGAATGATTCAGAGCAACTCACCTTCACAAAGCCCCAAATATCCAACATAGCCCAGGTAGTTATTCAACTGTTTCGTCGCGAGCCCAGCACCTAGTCCTCCACACTGGTAGATATTCTCCTCCTTGCCCATGGTTGCTAAAATTGGCTTCACGACGCCAAAGATCTGCTCGTTGGGCGTTCCAACCATGAAGGTCAAAGTGCCCGCATTGGAACCCTGGGGTCCCCCCGAAACGGGAGCATCAACAAAGAGGCCTAGTCCAGTAGAGGCGACCAATTTGGCGAGGGACGTTGATGTCGCGACGTCAATGCTTGAGCATTCAAGGAATATACGTGGCGGCAACGAGGATGATAACCCGGATATGAAGCCTGTTTCGGGATTTGTAAAGGCGTCATGGACGTGCGGTGCTCGTGGGAGCATGGTGATTATAATGTCCTGGAGGATCACGGCTTCCCTTTAGAGTCAACTCATTCCGTCTCCCTGGTGTAGGAGCTCACTCACGGCCTTCTCGGCGACCTCGCGTGGCGAATGCGCCACTTCCACAGAAGCCTTACATTCCTGGAGAAATTGCTCCCTTCTTGCCTCGTTGATCTCACACAGCACAAACTTGGCTGTCTGGGGGATTTTCGCGCGGAGGTTCATTGCCATTCCATATCCCATGACTCCAATCCCCACAAATCCATACACGGAGTCCGTGGGGAGCTTAAGTGGTTGTTGAGCCGCATTGTTCTCCATGTCTGGCTTCTTACAATCAATGAACATGGGGTGTCTCTCCCTCTCTTTCACCTGAAAGTTCAATGTAATGTTCTCAGCGGTCCCCGGGGACGATATTGTAGCATGGGAATCGTTTTGGAGATAATATCTCCCCGCATAGCCTCATTCGGTTTGCCGTTGCTGTAGACCAGTCAGACACTGCGCTTCGCCTGCTGAGTATGTTTTCCCCTGTCCCCTTCTCCAACGGCTCTCCAAGGGCTATCCGGGCCCATCTCCTGTTGTCCTGTTGCTACCGGGACGTTAGACTTCTCGGTTCTGGGCGCTAAAGTCTGGCCCATTGGGAAATTTGTCCTCCGCAGGATACGGAGGAACAGCTCCACAGTACCCTGCTTTGGCACACGCAATCATGATCGTAAGGCACAAACTCAGCCGTGTCGAGGCTCCAGGCATCCTGGAAGTTGCTGGGTTGAGGGCGTCAGACCGGTCCCTGAGGCTAGATCATGAGAAGGTGAATTCATCGCGGCGTAAATGGAATGGACATCCGGCATGCGCAGTTCAACCCATTGACTTGGACATGGTGTCCATAGAAAGTCCAGATCATATTGGAGTAGCCATACCATCTAGTCTGGGTGCTAAGGGTAAGATTGCTTCGCCGGATATGGTGAATTTTATGGACGAGCACCCCAGGCTACATGGCCGTCTTCCACCTCCGGCCATATTGAAAATGAGCTGGTGGCAGGATTGCCCTGGAAGGGACAGGGGTGGGAGTTGAGTCACCCGGTGGTTAAAAGCGGCGCCGGAGCCTCGCGTTTCGCCGCCAAGATTTGTATTGAATATTGAGTCACTCCGCCTCTTGAAAAGACCCTCATACCCCCCACCAACTCGTCCCCAGCTTCAGCTCTGCAAACATGGCAGTCGATTTTGCTGCCGAAGAGGCGGCTACCCTCAAACGCTGGCGGGAAATTGACGCCTTCCAGACCCAACTGCGCCTTTCCAAAGACAACAAACCCTACACCTTTTACGATGGCCCGCCATTTGCGACCGGCTTGCCTCACTACGGCCACTTACTGGCTTCCACCATAAAAGACATCATTCCAAGATATTGGTCTATGAAGGGCTACTACGTCGAGAGGAGATTCGGCTGGGACACACATGGCCTGCCAATCGAGTATGAGATTGACAAGAAATTCAACATCTCTGGACCAGCGGCAGTGAAAGAGATGGGGATCGCAAAATACAACGCGGAGTGCAAAGCCATTGTCATGAGATATGCGACCGAGTGGAGAGAGACCATTGACCGGCTGGGAAGGTGGATTGACTTTGACAACGACTACAAGACCATGAATCCTACCTTTATGGAGTCGGTGTGGTGGGTTTTCAAGCAGCTGTTCGACAAGGGCATGGTCTACCGCTCCTACAGAGTCATGCCCTTCTCGACCGCACTGAGCACGCCGCTAAGTCAGCACGAAGCTCAGTCCAACTACAAGGAGGCACAAGACCCTGCAGTGGTCATCGCCTTCCCGCTACTTGAGGATCCTGAAACCAGCTTTCTGGCTTGGACAACCACTCCCTGGACCTTGCCCTCCAACATTGGCTTGGCCGTCAATGCCGATTTTGAGTACATCAAGTTCCTGGATCAAGACTCCGGTCGGAAATTCATCATGCTCGAAAAGCTGTTGCGGACGCTGTATAAAGACCCCAAGAAGGCCAAATTCAAGATTCTAGAAAAGATCAAGGGTTCAGACCTGAAAGGCAAACAGTATCTCCCGCCCTTTGACTACTTCTATGACGAATTCAAGGACCGGGCGTTCAGAGTCCTCAACGCTGCCTATGTTACGGATGATGATGGTACGGGTGTTGTCCACCAAGCACCAGCTTTTGGTGAAGAAGATTTCCGAGTCGCCATGGAGAATGGCATCATCAGCCACGAGCACCTCCCTCCCAACCCCGTCGACGATACAGGCCGCTTCACAAAAGAGGTAACAGACTTTGCGGGTCAGCATGTGAAGGAAGCAGACAAGCATATCATCAAACATCTGAAGGGGACCGGACGTCTCATCCGGGACAGTCAAGTGACCCATCAGTACCCGTTCTGCTGGCGATCAGACACGCCTTTGATTTACCGTGCTGTGTCGGGTTGGTTTGTCAACATTGCTGGAAATGATAAGGTGCCCAGCATCATTCCAGATATGCTTGACGGCATCATGAAGTCCCATTGGGTTCCCAATTTTGTGAAAGAGAAGCGATTTGCGGAGTGGATCAAGAACGCCCGTGACTGGAATATCTCGAGAAATCGATACTGGGGAACCCCCATTCCGCTGTGGGCGAGTGAGGACTATTCAGAAGTTGTTGCGATCGGCAGCATAGAAGAACTGAAGAAGCTCAGTGGTTACAAAGGCGAGATCACAGACCTCCACCGTGACAGTGTGGACGACATCACCATTCCGAGCCAGAAAGGCAATGGCGTGCTCCGCCGGGTCGAAGAGGTGTTCGATTGTTGGTTTGAGTCTGGAAGCATGCCATACGCCTCGGCGCACTATCCCTTTGAAAACTCAGAGTACTTTGAGAGAACTTTCCCTGGTGACTTCATTGCAGAAGGTCTCGACCAGACTCGTGGGTGGTTCTATACCCTTGTCATTCTAGGTATTCACTTGAAGAAGGTCTTGCCCTTCAAGAACTGTGTCGTCAACGGTATTGTGCTCGCAGAGGATGGCAAGAAAATGTCCAAAAGGCTCAAGAACTACCCAGATCCTAATACGGTGATTGACAAGTACGGTGCAGATGCTCTGCGGCTGTACATGATCAATTCACCCGTTGTGCGAGCTGAACCTCTGAGATTCAAAGAGTCAGGTGTCAAGGAGATTGTTGCAAAGGTTCTTTTACCTTTGTGGAACAGTTACAAATTCTTCGAAGGGCAAGTGGAACTGCTGAAAAAGGTGGAGGGTGTTGACTACTTGTTCAACCCGGAAATGGACACGACGAACACCAACGTCATGGACAAATGGATTCTCGCCAGCTGTCAGAGTTTACTCAAATATATCAACGAAGAGATGGCGGCTTATCGACTGTACACGGTCGTGCCAGGCCTGCTCAACTTGATTGATGAGACGACGAACTGGTATATCAGATTCAACCGGAAGAGACTAAAGGGTGAACTTGGTGTGGATGATACCCTACATGCCCTGAACACCCTTTTTGACGTCCTCTTTACACTCGTTCGTGGACTCGCACCCTTCACGCCCTTCATTGCCGACCTCATCTATACCAGACTCCTTCCATACATACCAAAGTCCCTCCACAGTGAAGATATGCGAAGCGTTCATTTCCTCGCGTTCCCTGAAGTCAGACAGGAGTTGTTCGATCTGGTCGTGGAACGACGTGTGGGACGGATGCAAAAGGTCATTGAACTTGCCCGACAGTCACGAGAAAGAAGAGCTATCGGCCTGAAGACGCCACTGAAGACGCTCGTGGTCATCCACAAAGATCAGCAGTACCTGGACGATGTCAAGTCGCTTGAAGGATACATTACGGAAGAACTTAATGTGCGGGACTTGGTCCTGTCGTCAGACGAAGAGAAATACAACGTACAGTACAGCGTGACTGCGGACTGGCCTGTTCTTGGCAAGAAATTGAAGAAAGACATGCAAAAAGTCAAGAAGGCACTTCCGGATGTGACCAGCAATGACTGCAAGACGTATTTATCCGAGGGCAAGCTCACCGTGGCTGGGATCGAATTGGTTGAAGGGGATTTGGTGGTCAGACGCGCGCTCAAAGAAGACGAAACTTCGAAAGACCAAGAAACGAATACCGATAACGACGTCCTGACCATTCTCGATGTGGCTATCTACCCGGAACTGGCACAGGAAGGTCTCGCGCGCGAGATCATCAACCGAGTGCAGCAACTCCGAAAGAAGGCGAACCTGAAACCCACGGACGATGTCAAGATGGAGTACAGAGTCCAGCAAGACCCAGACAATATTGGGCTGGCGCAGGTGTTTCAGCAACAGAGCTCCTTCATTGAGAAGGCGCTGAGACGGCCGGTGGACCATCACGTTGTTACGGAGGTGGAGGGACCGATCGTGAACGGGGACAACGGCGGAGCCGATTTGATTGTCGAGGAGGTGCAGGAGGTGCAGAAGGCGACTTTTTTGTTGAGATTGCTGAAGCTCTGAGCAGATGGATTTCGACTGGAAAACCATGACGAGCATGAAGATGACATTTTTATGACATTTGTTGTAGAAAGACAAGACCGGGTGAAGAGGGCGTAGATCCGGCCAAGAGGATACGAAAAGAAAGTGTAAAACATGGAGCATGCATGTCACGACTTCTTTGCGTGTCTCTGCGCGGTTGAAGAAAGAATTAGCTAGATGTCTGCCAAAGAAGGAACGGATGAATGAGATTCTTGATGAGAAGATTGAAAGATAGAGGAGTCCTGTAGAAAAGCACCCCCTGATCGAACGATCCCAGCATTGCTCTAGTCGAGTCTTCCAGGCACAACCCGATCTTTCTTTCCCCCCTAATAGGCATGGGCCACCAAATATCGTGATGCAAAACGGGCTGATGACGACCTCGTCGGGACTTACCAGATAACAGTCCTTCAAGCGCAGAAACTCCTTGGCACACATGTCCTGGTACGTCGACTGGTAGTCTGCCAAGATGCACTTGCCGTACACGGAGGCCTGTTCTCACTCAACCGTCTCAGCACTTGGGGTTCTCGGTGATTGTGGTGATGCGTTTCAAGACGGGCATAGGATTCATGAACGCAAAGGGCGACAGCTGTAGCGGCGCACATACCTCGACGGAACACTTTGCGGCGGCGGCGGCGAATTTCTCGATCGGCCTGGTGCGGCCGGACAGGGTGGGCATGGTGACTGAATCTTCCTGTAAGAGGTGGGAGGATGTGTTGATGGGAGACTACATATCAGTCGTTATATCAGGGTGTGAAGAGCAGTCTGATGTCTTGCTGGACCGGAAAAATTGTTGACGTCGGTCCGTTAGTCGCAGCTCTGGGATGTATGCACCACCGTACCTTTTTACGGTGAACCATAGACAATCTGATGACGATCCTGGCTTCAAGGCGCCAAGCCAAGCATCAACAACCCAGCTCGCAACGTAGCAACAATACGAGGTTTCTTCTTCGACTCTACAGAGGCAATCAGCTTCCCTGCATCTCTATACCAGCGCAAATTCAAGGACGACAATCTTCAAGGAGCCACCCCATGCCAACCCCAATCAACAACCAGCCCCCTCCAACTTCGTCCAGAGGAGACCCTCGCCCCTCCCGAGACGACCATTCCACCATCGAAATCTCCAGGCCAGCGATAGTGACCGAACTGTTGGGCGATGCCCGCTGCCAACCTTGCAGACGACGGGCGATGAGATGCCATGTAGAGCCAGGAGCCGCGTCTTGTTTGCAGTGCTCGGTGCCCGATGACTGTGTCTTTGAGCGCCTCATAGTGACCGAGCGCCGCCTGCCAGACTTTGCATGGTCTGATCTGATCGGCCAAACATCCACCATCAGAAGACAGTCCGGTTCAACTGGTTTCACCGCTCAAGAACCTCTAAACAGTCCCGCTCTGCCCGTCAAACGTGAAATCTCCCCTCAAAGTCTCGAGGACCTGCCACAGGCCGATGATCCTCCTCTCAGTGCACCGCGAGCCGACTCTTGGGCTCTGCCGGATGACGCCCTCTCTGCCGATGGACAGCTGTCTTCACGACAAACACAGACCCCTGAGCCCGAGGTTAGAGCGCAACACGCTGGACAAACCGTAAGGTCGACCCCAAGTGGGGTGGTTCACCTCGCAGGGCCTACGATCAGATCATCAGAGCTCAAACGTGCTGATTGCGGCTACCGCGCGAGAACTCGTGCAGAATTGAGGTACAAACCCCCGCCGCAATGGCACTCCCGCGTCACTGCTGATATGTCTCCCACCAGTCATAAGCGCGACCACAAATGCACATTTCCAGGCTGCCCTCGTGTGCAGAAGGGGTTCCTCAGCGGCGCGGACCTGGACAGGCATCTCTATGGCGTTCACAACATTAACAACAGGAACGCCCGGTCCTACATGTGCTTCGGCAAAGACTGTTCAAAACCGGACAAGGAATTTCGTCTATTAGTCCACTTCAGGACTCACATTAAGAGGATGCATCCAGAGGAGAGCGCAGCCACTCTAATTCAACAGTGAGTCCTTGTCAAACGACCTTGGAACACAGCTGATGGGGGAACAGGTCCAATTACTGGTACGATCGTCAGTTTGACTCCAATCCGGAGCATTATTCTCATGAATCCCTCGAAGAGACTGAGGATGCTGCAGCAACTCCACTCTCCATAATAGATCTTACACAGCCGAAATGGACACTCGCTCCAATGAGCCCTTGATGGACGAAGGCGATCCTTTTGATCGACAAGGCTCGATATATGGCCGTGGAAAAACCAGCGCTGTTCATCAGTTCCAGAGCTACGGCCTCGGCAGCTGAACTGCTCGACTTCGATAGTGTTGGCATCGGGCCTGCAGAAGGCACGACCAGTATCAGCGCCAGGATCCTCAATCCTTGAGAATACACAGGTGAATGCTTGCACTGGCTGGTAGCAGTTTTGGTTTGAAGAATGTTGGGCGGTATCGAGCAATGAGGCTGCCTCAATTCTCATTGGCCGGAGCTGGCACCAAGAGAAATACCTCTTGCACGTGCTTGGAAACTTGTGACGTGAGATGTACGTCATCGACCTCTTCATCTGCACAGCTCGACGGGGCAACAACAACGACGGCATCAATCAATGAAAACAGAAAGGCGAACGGATGTCATATGTTCTGTACACCAGGCTGAAGTGAGGCTCCTTCAATCACCCGGATCACTTCTGTTTGTCACTGCTTCCTGATCCTCCTCACCTCTACCCACGAGAAAACCGACAACCACCTCAATCATTTTCACAGAGACACCTTCGAAGTATGTCCTCTCATCACCACCACCACCCTGACCACCACCCGCACTCCTCTCACCAGCACGGCGCAACCCATGATCCCACCGTGCACTCCCCCCACCGGCACAACCACGCCAACAACCCAACCCATCACCCCTCCCTGCACTCACCCGACATCCACAGCGGCCCCGGTCCCACGACGCACGACAAGATGACCTCTGACCCAAACACCACCGAGCCTACCTTGGGCACCGCCCCGGGGCATACCGGCAAGGGTACTAGCGCGACATCCACCTCATCGGACCCGTCGACCGCGCCGCACGCGCCTTCCACGCACAAAATCCTCGGCGACATCAAGGGCGCGGTGCACGGCGTGACGGGCTCCCTCCAGGCGGCCACGGGGACCGTGTTCGGCCAAAAGCACATGGCCGAGAAGGGCTTCGACAAGATGAGCGACGAGGACGCGCGCCTGGCGGCCAAGACCGGCAAGCCTCCCGTCGGGACGGACCAGAGGGGCACGGTCTCCGGGTCGACCTCGACCTCGACTTCAACGCCCACATCTACTTCCACCCCCGGTGACGCTCCGCATGGGCGGACCTGAGCAGACCTGGAACCTAGGCTATGGTGTTAATGGGGGGGGGGGAGGGGCAAAGGTACAGAAATACGAGATGCCGGTATGAGTTATGAGAGAACCCATTCTTCCGAGCGATGGGAGGGGAATTTAAATGCACAGGCAAGGCAGGAAAGCGTTCGGGGTGATGAATACGGGCATCTCGACCCGAACCGGCGCATGAGATCCAAGAAGCAAATGCGTGGGCTGCACGAGACCGAGCAGTCCCTTTCCATTCTATCTTCCGCAGCTCGACAGAGGAGAGGAAGCAGTCGGCTCTTCGACCGGTCCTGTACCGAGCATCCAGATGAGCAATGACCCGACCTAGCTGGCGGTCACTCGCAATAAATATGATTAGGTACCTAGGTACAGAGCATGCGTTCCTGCCGTAGCAGGACCTTTCAAGTACAACACATGCATGACCCAGTGAGCGAAGGGTAAGAAATTGGAATGGAGCACCCAGATTATCGATTCTCAAAAAAAAAAAAATTGGGGAGGATTGATTTACAGTTCCGTTTCAATCTGCTTGCACTTGCTCTCGCTCTCGCTCTCGCTCGCGCTCTGATCTGCTCATCTCGTGCCATGTTTCTTTCCTCCACCACCACGACGTCTGGGTCATCTGTTTTTCTTGTTGCTTTTTCTTCCCCCCTTTTCCCTTTTGAGTCAGCTCAGGCTCCTACATACATACAGGCATGCTTGCTTGCTTCCTCAAGGGCAAGGAAGCCATGTACCATCCATCTCTCCAGGCAGGGCCGCCGCCCAAACCGTGTCAAATTGGAACTGGGGTCGTCGGGATTCTTGTCACTTGCTCAAAATCCCTTTTCGTCTCATCTCGTCTCATCTCGTCTCATCTCAATCTCATCTGATCTCGCCAGGTCATGATAGCCCAATAAATCCCCCGAGTCGTTAGAACGTAGCGCATGGAAAACAATGACAACGAGAAAATTAAAACAGTTTTGCTTTTTGTTTGTGGGTATGCAATCGTCCATGCCGGGTCAAGCCCGCGTCAAAACATGTACGAGCATCAGCAACGCTATGCACAGACAGTCATTAAGAACGTATGGTGGCTTTTTGGTTGTCCCTTTCCCCCTCTGGGTATTATCACCGGATCCGACGCGCAGCTGTGCGCGGGATTAGCGAGCCACATTGGGAACGCTGTGCCTGGAGTGGTTCGCGCCTCGGGCTCAGGTATCCAACAACGGCATAGGCGCCTAATCGCTTCTCGTGCCTCATTCCTCGAAAAAGAAGCCATCCTCTCCCGTCTTCTGTACACCGCTCATTCTGTGCTCGAGCGTCTTCGTCCGGGCAAGGAAATTGTCATCGACCCGATGATCTTCGGCATCCCGCGCCCCGCCGAACTGCTGTTCCATGGTACTCTCGTCCACAAACGTGAATCCTTGGAAGGCGTTCTGCATGGTGGGTGACAACGGCGTCGATGCTGGTGCAGCTCCAGCAGCCAAAGCAGCTGCGCGGGCATTCAGAGAAGACGAGGTATTGAGGGCGTTGGTGAACTCGGGGTCAAAGTTGGAGGTGTCGGCGATTGACGCCAACTTGGGCTTGAAAGGAGGCACCAAGTTCTTCTTGCCAAGCGCATCCCAGTCAATATCCGCAAAGAAGGGATGTTGCATCAGTTCCTCCGCATCTCCGTGGGCGCCAAGTCGGTGCTTGGGATTGCGGTTCAGCAGTCCCTTGACAAAGTTTCGACCCTCGGTGCTCAAGGCATCTCTCGGAAATCGCACTTTGCCGAATGCGATGTTCTTGTACATCTGCTGAGTGTCTTCCGCATAGAATGGACTCCACCCACAGCACATTTCAAACACGAGCACGCCGAGGGACCAAAAGTCTACCATCTTGGTGTAGCCTTGTTCGTCGAGCAACACTTCAGGAGCTAGATACTCGGTCGTTCCGCAGAAGGTATTGGTAGTGTCGTCCTGTGCCAAGTTGGCCTTGGAGAGACCAAAGTCACACAGTGCAATGTGCCCATTTGCGTCGAGGAGGATGTTTTCGGGCTTGAGATCTCGATAGACGATGTCGGATTGATGCAGATGCTTGAGGGCAAGAATAAGCTCGGCAATGTAGAATTTGGCTCGGTCTTCTTTGAATCGGCCTTCCTTTTGAAGATGCCAGAACAACTCGCCTCCTGACATAAAGTCGGTGACCAAATAAAGATCGGTAGGAGTTTGGAATGAGAATTTGAGGCCCACAATGAAAGGCGATTCTGTGGTTGCCGTTCGAACCAGGATGTTTCGTTCGCCTATGGTGTGCTGGATCTCCTTTTTCTGGATTATGACCTTCTTTGACAGGACCTTCATGGCGTAAATGCGGCCGGTGTCCTTTTTCCGGACTTGATAAACTTGTCCAAAGGTTCCCTTCCCGATCAGCTTTAGGATCTGGAAATCGTTCGGACCGACATGTTTCTTTTCGACCGGAGAAAAGTGCATTCGGATGTGAATTTCGCCGGTAATATCATGGTCTTCTGGGCTACGGGGTTCCAGTTTGAAAAAGCCTTCCAGGGTGGGATTTTGCTCTGTCAACTTTAAACATAATCGAATATGCCCCAGGAATGTTTCTGCGTGGCGGTCGTAGACCGTCACGTCCAATTCTGATTGATCGCTGACGACGTCGCTTAAAAGCAGTCAGTTAAACGCAGAACAGGGTATACCATTGAACCACTTACAAGATGGCTTCGTGATCCCACTGGGGATCGCTGACTCTGCCATCTCCATTCGTGCTGCTTTGGCGACTTCTCATGGGAATAGCCATTGGCTTTCCCATGTCACTGTCAGTCCGCCGGACTGACTGTAGTTGACCAACCGGACCTTTCCGGTCATCAACGTCGACATCCATCTTGTCATGTCTCGGCCCTTTGGACACGTACTCATTCCATTCAAATTGGCAGACTACGTAGGGATCAAATGATGGCTTCAAGTCCCGACCTTCCGCAATCTTGATGGAGAGCTTGCCTCTTGGCGTGCTGTTGGGTATTTCATCTTTGGCTAGAGATCGCTTCTCGACTTGAGAATTTGCTTCACTGACGGTGGTACTGGCGCTCGAAAGGGGCGACCGAGTATCGGCCCGCCGATGATCTTCTTGGGACAAGGCTCGAGGGGTATGAGGAGGGGTGCTCTTTTCACGCGGCCCGTCGGCCACGTTGGAAGTTAGCTCATCTGACCCTTTTAAAATTGCAGACGGTGGTAGCTTAGCATGACTTGGAGAAGGAGACTTGGGGCTCTGTGGTCTCGAAGAATGCGTGGACGATGCAGGGTTTGAGATATGTGCGGCCGAAACGGTGCTTTTAGTGACACCTGAAACGGGTAAGGACTGGTGGCGGCGGTCTTTCACCCCGGACACAGACTTGGGAAGCACGAAATTCCTCAAAGCCTGCGTGATGGAAGCTATACCACCATCTAGGAGGGACCCGCCATTCTCTGCCACTTCGCCATCCCTATGCACCACGGATGCGGCGGACGAGATTGGCGTGGGTGGTAATTGAGAAGTGCCACCATCTGAGACGGGTGGTGCAGACTCTTCAGGCGGCTCATCCGGTGGCGGTGTTTGAATGGAAGCTTGTTCTCGCTCCACCATCACCATAGAACCCAACGAAGCAGACGAACTTCGCCGCCTCTCACTCTCTTTTGCGGGCTCTCCCATGTCATGTTGATCGGTTTCAGGTTCAGGGTTTGTGGCAGCTTGAGATGACCGTGACGGTGTACGCTGAGAAGGATCTCTACCCACCTGGCCAAAATACCCGTGTATTATCCCCGGCAGTCGCTTGTCGTGGAGGTCTGGACGCGGTGTCTCTACACCTGAGGGCGTGGGTGAATTCGATCCAATCTGATCGTGAAAGTCCTCTCGGTTTTCGTGTCTCGCACTGCTATTCGGGAGGTTAGCTAGAAGATTCAGAGGATTCGCACGTCCAAGCAGAGAATTCTTCGACGATGACGACGTTCCAGCTGCAGCATAGCCAGAGCCCAAACCGAGCGGGCGGAACATGGTAGCTGCCTCTGAGTCCTGCTCGCCTGTCGGGCACACAATGTATTTCTTTCCATGACCCGTGAGCCCGAAGACTCGACTCACAAGGTCATGGGTCTTTTAAGAGGCCAAGGTGACCAGGCCCCAATTTGTTTGGAACTCCTCAAAACCGAGGCTGGGGTAGGAATCAACCCCGCCATCCACATGGCCAGCCATACACAGCTCTTTCCCAACACGAAACTTGGTTGCTCAAAGGGAAAAGATCGGGACATACTTCTGGGCCATGGCTTGTCTCAACAGATCTGCAGCTGCAGCTGCATGTGGGTTGACTCCAGTCTGCGCCATGTTGGCGGCCTTCCACTCTGGTTTTCCTCCTCTTTCAAACCAACTCTTGTTTGTGAAGTGTCGGGCTAAATGTCGCCGCACTCACCCGTGCAGGGAGGGGTGTTTTGGTTCCTGAGATTCCCGGACGGCAGGCTGGAAGGACGAGTGACGGAAGAGTTGCAGAATTTGGAGAAAATCGGAAAATCGGTCGGCAAGGATCGCAGGGCTTTCTCGGAGCTGGTTTGCAGAGACTTTTAACTCTGAGCAGCGGCCATCCGGACCTTCAGTGAAGGGTGAGACTCGAATGAAAAATTTCGGATCTGAGGTGGCGATTTGGTGGTAGAGGTCAAAGATAACGACGGCAAGCTCGTCAGGAACGGGAGGACGGTGGGTGATATAATCGAGTTGCAGGGCGAAAGGTCAAAAAAGTGTGACTTGGAGAAAAGTAGGCGGGCGGCAGGCCCAGGTCCTCTTCTGGGGGGCGAAGACTCAAGGTTTTTGGGGTGGAAGTCCAAGGGAAACACGGAGATGGAGTGAGAGCGGGATGCAGAAAGTGGTATGATGGCAAAACTATGTGCAGAGCGAGGTCGTTGGGCAGCCCAGCGAAAAGAAGCTCGACGAGGCAGAGAAAAAGGGATTTAAGAAATGGCAGCTGGTGGCAGCATCCAAAGTCAAATAGTAGAGAGGGCGGCCAGAGGCTTCCCAAGGTTCCTGCTAGGTACAGAGAGTCATGCTTGTGGCCTGTGGCCACCGCTCATGCCGCCTACGCCTACGGGGGCGGCCAACTCCAAGATCAAGGACAAGTTCCGGGGTCTGACGCTGGGTGACGGGAGACCCAGGCGTCAAGTTACAGCAGGCTGGGGCCCAAGCGCCCCTCAGTTCTACGATCCGTCATACTGATTCGATTATCGGTGAGCCCTTTTTCGCCTGTGGGAATTTTGCGGCGAGCGGGCACCATCAGAAACCTACCAATTCATAACACACCATGTGCCACTCAGGGCCAGGCTGTGCTCGACCAAGCTAGCAAGGGCTTACGACACAGACATACAAGTATACGGCGACTCAGACGGCGAGACCAGGGCATTCGTCGTGCTCGTCCATGCCTGGTTATCTGCAGGTGTACCAGTGGATGAGCGGTGGACCGAGAAGATATGGGGAGAGAAAGAAGAGCAGACGACGTCATCGCTCATGGGCACAGCGGCATAGCGGGCACGGCGATGGGCACATGGAGGATCCTACTGACTTCCGCCTGGCCTGGAACTTAAACACTCATGCCTTTTCGAGCGTCCTCATGTCTGTCTTGGTCAAACACAAGCTGTGGAGGAAATGTCTTGGCCAGCTGAATGCCTCTTCGGAAAACTGTTGAGCAATATGCTTCGTTGCTCAAGCATCAGCGTCGGTGCGACTCACAGGCAATAAGAATAGTAGCCGCGATTGATTTGCATGTGGCTTTGGCGGTTCTCGGTCAGCTGCAAGTGTCCCCAAAATCCTGTTCAACCAGCAGCGACTAAGCGCCCCAGCACCCAGCACATGCAACGTCTCGGAAGCCCCGCCATGTCATATGCCCTGCCCTGTAGCTCCAAACGCATCTGGACAGCGATGGCCGGCTCGGTTATCCTGGTAGGCTATCGCATATCTCCATAGCTTCATGGGGGATCCTTTTTGGAGTGGAAATTTCTTTTGATTGTCTGACCCGCTCATTTCAGAAATTTCTGTATAACCCATCAATTAATGGAGTATCGCCCAAAGGGTGTTCACCCTCGACCGACAAGGCATTCGACCTTGAACCAAATTCATTCTGTCCCATCAGTTGGTGAAAGACCAAGAGTCCAGAACCAGTTACGCTGGCTTGCCGGGAGAGGGCGATATCCGTCCAGTAATCGGCGCATACGACCTTCTCCGTTGAGCTGGACTTTCTATTCAGGGCATGGCTGGGGTCAGATTGTGCAGATGACCAGCTGCTGTGGAATAGGATGTGAAAGACATCGGCAAGATGTTGTGTAACTCGTGTAACTCAAGATACGATCGTCGTACACTTGGTGGTAAGGCTGAAAAGCAAAAGTCCCAGTGATCACAGAGACTGCGACTGGGGAGCGTTGTAATGATATGCCGTTCGCATCCTCTGTTCGCTTGAGAGTTAATACACGAAAGCTTTGGGATAAGTTACTCATCTTGGTCCAAAGTGAGGTGGCATTGAGAAGCAATACCAGCGACCTATTGAGAATGCCGTGATCTGTGTGACCTTTTTTTCAGCCCTGGCGCGAAGCGTAAAAGAGGTCGACCGTAGTTGCACTAGTTGTCTTTGTAGCCCGCCATATGCGCCAAGATGAATGGTTGACTCGCGTGGCGCGTTTTCGACGCTTGTTGCAAGTTGAAGTCGCAAGTTGGAGATCCTTCAAGACGAAAAGATCGCTATCGTATAGTTCGATTTGGGTTTCGTCAACACAATGGCTCGGCGTCCACGTCTTGCTGCGCAAGCTGCTCAAGCTTCGATGCGTAAGTGTCCTTCTGATGAATCCTTCTATCTTGATCACATTTGCTAACTTGGGCAAGGAACTCCTATCCCTAACATATCCGACAACGAAGACGAAGACATGCCAGATGCTACACCTGCAGAAGCCCCTACACCACAAGATGACGACGAAGATGCAGAGAATGATGATGAGGAAGATGGGATGAATGATGCAGAAGAAGCACCGACTCCCTCACGAGGGTCAGAGCAACCGTCTCGATCGGCGACTCCTCGCCGCGGCCGACCTCCCCTACCGCGTGGACGTCGAGGAGGCAGACTGGGCAGGCCTCCAAAGCATCGTGTCACTACAGCATCGGAAGACGGAGATAACGATGCTGCTTCTGAAACTGCCACTCCGAAGCGAAGAGGCGGTTTCCGAGGTCACAGGGGTGGCAGATGGGCTAAATACAGAGCTGGAGGGTCACGACCACAGCAAGCTCCTCTCGACGACGATGGGAATCCAATGGAAATTGTCAATGACGAAGTCTTACTGCCCGAAGATCCGGAAGGCGAACAAAAGGTTGACAAGAATGGCTGTTTGCTCGGCGGGAGAGAATATCGGGTGCGAACGTTCACCATTCTCGGCAGAGACGACAGACTTTACATGCTGTCAACAGAACCGGCACGTTGCATTGGATTTCGCGACTCATATCTTTTCTTCCAGAAACACAGGCATCTCTACAAGATCATCATTGACGACGATGAAAAGCGGGATCTCATCGAAAGAGATTTGATCCCTCACTCGTATAAAGGTCGCGCAATTGGAGTGGTGACGGCTCGGTCTGTATTTCGAGAGTTTGGAGCCAGGATTGTCATCGGAGGGAGAAAGGTAGTTGATGACTACGAGACCAAGAAAGCACGGGAACGTGGTGATGTCGAAGGGGAGGTGGCTGTCCCAGAAGATCGCTTGCCACCTCCCGGAGAGCCTTACAATCGGAATCAATATGTAGCATGGCATGGTGCCAGTGCAGTCTACCACACCAACACGCCCAGTGTCCCTCTTCCCCTTGCCAAGGCGCAGGAGGCCAAGCGGCGAAAGATCATGGTAACAAGCGACAACTGGATGCTGGAACATGCAAGGGAAGCCAGGCAAGTACCCAACTTTTCGAGAGACCAAAACCCGAACTAACTCGGTCGGTTCAGTCGATTCAACGCGCAATTGACGGCAAATCGCTTGGAAAACATCAATGGCGTCTACGACATACATACCAACGTCATGCAATACCCCGCCCATATGCAACCAACTCATGCACGATGGGAGATTGTCGACGATCAAGAGGACACTGAAGCCCTGGAGAAATCAGGGCGGCTACCTCACCTCGACCCAGTGTATGGACGAAACTTCCGAATCCATGACCTGTGTCTCGAATCGGCACCAGAGTCCTGGTACGGGACGCCTGGTACCCCCGAGGAAGGTAATAGCCTCTCTTCTATCCCAGTGAGCATCCTCGAAGAACTTCCCGCCGACTGTCTACGCGCGTTTGAAGAAGCCAGATCACGCGAAGCTGAATGGCGGGGAAAGTGGCATACAGAACGGGAAGACGGGCTCAGAGCACGCCTGTTGCCATCCTTTGAATGGTTTCCAAAGTGAGATGATGTTGCGGAGCAAAGCATAAACACCGTTGTCGGCGGAATCAATCTGTGAGAACATCTCAACCGGTTCCGTCTTCCGATCATTCGCACCAGCACCGATACAAATCTTGCGCACACGACACTACAAACAGCCTCGGTCGGTCGGACCACCGCACGCAACAGCAACCGGATTGGGTTTTATCAGACGCCGAAGTTCTCAAGGATGAGCTTGGACACAAGACTCGGCAGCGAGGAAAGGATTTGGAAGGAATTGAGACCAGAGACTCCAGCCTTCCATTGCTTGGATCCGATCCAACCTCCATATGCTAACCATGCTTCCCTGCAACGGCCACTGGAACAACAGTGGGTCCCAGGGTCCAGGGGCTTTGCAACTCCCGGTCTGTGCGCGTGGGAATGGATGCGTATTGGAAGTTCCAAACTCAAAATCGGTCGAAGTCGGGGAAACGAAGAGGGGCGTGTTTAATGATGAGCTCCAGAATTCCTCGAGGCAGAGTGCAGCAAGAGACCGATTTCCGGCGGTGATTTGAACGAGAGAATCGTTAGGATTATGATTGGACGTGTTCAACCCCATCCCGACTCACCTGGGCATCTTCCGATCTGTTGGACCAATGGCCTCTCTCGAATGCAACCCATTCTCGTCGAGGCATCGACTGGCGTGCTGTGACCCCCGAAAATTTTGTGCCGCGGCAAACCGCACTCTTCTCGAGGCACGGGAGCAAGAAATGCAGGAGAAGCTACCGTGTGCTCAAGGCTAAAGGCTCCCTCCGTATTCTCTTCCCACAAAAGGCTATTATCGAAGATGATTCAGAGCTAGACACAGCCGATGGGCCGGATTGTGTGTGGTGTTCCATTGATAGAGCACGGGCATCTTATTCAGCTGCACTTTGGGGGCGCTGGCACTGTGACCACGTGAGGGGCGGGCGCACGATGATGTCGTCGTACGTAAGAACCAAGCCGTGTTCGAAATGGAAACGTCGAGGCATGCACAGCACTAAGGAGTAAGTTGTGGCGGCCTTGCTTCCTGAAGCGGATCGGGGCAATGTCGGTCAGCGGTGCTTGGTCCTACAAGCACACATATTGGATGCTTGATGGCGCCTAGTGGCATTTTACACAGGTGCACACATGAGGTAGAGGAGTGTGCAGGTGGGTGAGGAGAATAGGCATCAACGTTGGGGCCCAAATGAAACAGGAAATGCCAATGACTTGACGTGTTGAAGTGAGAGCCACAGCGGCAAACAATGGGTCACTGTTGGAGGGGGGGCAAAACCATGCATGCATATTCATCTTCTCACACCTCGTCACGGTGACGCGGGGTGGCTTTTTCTTCTTGCGAGTCACTCTTGGCCCTCGCATGCTGTGCACAAATAATGTCGTCAGGTTGAAAGTGGCAAGCGGCACAATAGGGGAAAGTTTCGAGGGAGAGGTGCCTAACTCCTACTAATGAGGATGGATGAACCGTTCGTATAGAGAGTACGGAATACCCAGTAGTCGTATGGTTGACAATCAGATCAGTCATTATTATTACCAGCAGTCAGCGGAGTCGTGACCATTTTGAGTGTCTTGTCGATCACACCAAGCCACCGCATCAACAGTGGTCATCTTGCAATTTGATGGTCCGTACTCTGAAACTGCATCGCGCAGCTGAAGGCTGAAGGAGAGGTGAATACATGGGGGTTGAGGAACAAGGGCACTGGACCGGTGTCGTCAGTGCTGACCATCGCCGGTCTCGAGCGTTGCACTGGGGATCTTCGTAAGGGGGGCGAGGGGCGCAGACTGCAGAGCAACTGCAAAATCAAAAAAAGGCCAAGGCGGTGTTCGGACGGACCGGAGAAACGCAGTCGAATAAGTGCAGACTGAGCGCAGACTGAGCACAGACTGAGCACCAGTTCCTGTCATTGGCTGCGGCGTGGCTTTCAACGTCGCAGAGAGATGCAGCGACCTGATCGAGGCCTGACCCCAACTTTTGGGCCACTTGGGGCCTCTTAGCAGCCGCTAGTCCTGTTTGGCGCCTAGCGGCTTCTCAATTATTAATGGCTCGTTCGCTGTGGTGAATTGTTTTGGTCCCTGCTGCTGCTAGAACGAACAAGCCCATGGGATATCACTCACCTCAAGATTTGACGCCCAGCAGCCGTCCGTGACTCCCGCAACTCCATGCTCGCCCACAGCAGAAAGGGCTCATAGAAGCGTTAGCGATCAGGGAACTGTAGATAGTGCGTAGTGGTACGTTGATCGTCACCTCCTCGTCGCCAGCAGCACACACGAGCAAGTCAGCCCACACCCCCCGACTGCATTATTCTGGTCTTCCCTGGCTTGGTCGGGGGTCTTCTGACTGGGCCAAAATCCCCTCGTGCAGTCCCGCGTGGCCATTCAACGGGCCTATGGGCGGCTGGGGTGCCTGTGGGTGCCTGTGGGTGGCCCTCCAGAAGGGCTCTGACGAATGATCCGCCGCTCCCCTTCCTGCTTTTTCCCTGCCCTCCCGACTCCTCTTCGCTGCAGCCGCCTTTACCCAACCCAGCCCAGATTCAACGAGCCTAAGCTAGCTTTGAGCCCTGGCGTCGCCCATCGTCCTGCGCCCATCCTCGGTTTCGCCTTTGGCTCGCCCGCGCCCTCTTCCCTCCGCCATTCCCTTCCCTCGCCCTCCACTCACACACCTTCAACTCGCACCTCGCTGCGCTCTTCCCAGGGTCTCCCTCAACCACTCCTTTTTCCCTTTCACTGGCCCTCCCCTCTCCCGGCCGCTGCAGCTCAAATTTTCGACCTCAATTCATCGTCTGGGCCAAATTCACTTTTTGCCTTTTCTTCCCATCCTAACCCTCTCCTCTCTCCTCTCCTGAAATCTTTCTCTTCACGAAACCTCTCTCCTCCTCGTCAAACAGCGACCGTCCACCAACTCCCCCCCCCCCAAAGACCGACGGTCTGAGTCGTTGTTCGTTGGTGCAGCCACCGTTGCTATTCTCGGCGGTCCGACAGGATATTCCCACCCAGCCCTTCGAATTGGTAATTTCGGGCCCGGGCCCACGTCCTGCCTCAAAGTGAACCTCCTGGGTGACGACTCCTTGCGGTCAGCTTGATTGCCACAATTTCCCACGGCACCACTGTCGCCAGGCTACCGATATTTGGGCCTGCTTCGCCATACCGACTACGTCTCGCAAGCCTCCCGTCGTCCCAGGCACCGTTCAAACCATTTCGTTTGTGACTTGGTGGCCAGATTGGAAGGTTTTTGTTTTTCTGACCAACGACCACGCTGAGCTGCGAGTCACGAGCCCCGTCAGAGCCATTTTTCCTGGCCTTGCTTGCGCGCTCCTGTCTTTGCCGTTCCTAGTGGCTGTGTGCTGCCAAATTCGGGGCGCACCCGTCTGTCCACGCTCAAATTCTCCGTCACAACACCCTCCCTCCGTGCCTGTACTTCCTTTCAAACAAACGCCCAACATCGAACCTGCTGCTTCTTCGCGGTAGCAGTGCATTGTTGATTGATTTGGAGAGCCATCACGCACCGAGGTGACAGCACTTGGTATGATCATCTCCCATCCTCAAAGGGTTTCTCACTGTCAAGAAGCAAACACTTGATATCGAAATCGAGCACCCTGCCTTTTCTATCCGTGTGTTCTCGTTCTCTGACTCGTTGCGCCTGCAGGCTGCCTCCCGAACGAGACTCATTCTACGTCGCCGCCCTCCACCCTGCAAGGCACCAAACTCCAGCCCGATCGACGAGCTTTTCACTAAGTCTTGTCACCCGAATTCGAGTGTTGCTCAACCTAGATTAATCCGCGAGACATTCCTGTCTGTCTACCACCACCCACGATCGTCAAACCCGTCATCCGCCGGAACAGCTACGACTACGTCTGATAGATCAGGCTCCCCTCATCGCTGTTTCCATTCGTTTGCGATAACATTGTTCGACCATACCGTTTGATAAGACAAGAATACCGCCTCCATCCATGACCAGCTTTTGAGTGGGATTAAAACACCAGCTTTTCAGCTCCGGCTTCAACGCCTAGGGCGTGGCCGCGCACTCAGCGGAAGCAGACGGTGAGGACGGATCTCTCTACCCGATAAATACTGGAATTCTAACGGTACCAGGGCCCACGGCTTGTCTGCTCTGCTCAACCTCCCCAACCGAGCATGCCTTCTTACCACAGCTGGGGGGCAGCTGCCCAACACCCACGACTTCCCCCTACGCCTCCGGAATACCAGACCACCTATCTCACACCCTTGAGTGCGGTGTCTGACCAAGGCTTCTATCCTTCGCAAGGCTATCACTCACGCAGATCGCTCTCATCCAGAGACTACAACGATAGATATCAGCCTCCGCCAGCCTACACTGCTCAGCCGTCTCTAGCTGGACAGGTTTCGCGAATCGGGCATGCTCACCCGTCACAAGAATATCCCTATCCGCAACCCTACCACATGCATGGTTCGTCCTACTGGGCAAACCACGTCGGAGCGCCTATTCTCCCACCCATCCGTGTCACCGAGGCTGTAGATCATTTCCCTGCACATTATGGAGCACAGCACACCGAGTCGAAGCCTAAGGAGGAAAAGCCTACAGGGGGTGTCGCGCAACACTTGGATTATGATATGGACCTCATGTCCAGCTTCGTGGCCGAGATATCCCAGAAACTGTGAGTACCGCAGATCCAGGTCTAAAATGCCCGATTCTAACCTCTGCCACAGTGTAACACCAGAGTCCGCACCAACAACCCAGTTCCGCAAATACGTGTCTCAAATTCTGTCGTCTACTCGCCTGCCAAGCTCTACGATCATGCTCGGGCTGTTTTACTTGGCTTCTCGGATGAAGCAGGTGAACGAACGTGGACAATCAACCTCCTCTTCTGGCACTGTCTACCGCATGCTCACCACCTGCCTCCTCCTCGGGAGCAAATTCCTCGACGACAACACCTTCCAGAATCGTTCCTGGGCCGAAGTCAGCAGCATTCCAGTGCACGAGCTAAACATGATGGAACTGCAGTGGTTGACGGACTTCAACTGGGAGATCCATGGTATGATGTACGATGAAGAGGAAGGCTTTTTCATGTGGGTAGAGCACTGGCATGCCTACGAAGAAAAAGCCCAGCTGGCCAAAGTCAAGGAGCTGCAAAAGCTCGCCCCCATCGAGACCAATCTTCATCGCCATCATGCCGTCCAAAATCAACCCCTGATGTCCCCCGAGGGTCCCATTCCACCTCAGTATCAACAAGGCTCACAGTACGATACCCGTTGGGTTCGTGCGTATATTTCGGAATACTCACCACCGTCTGCCCCGCACAGTGGCCCGCCCACGCCAGACTACTACAATGCTTCTTGGGCTTTCACACCAGGCGCTCCTCCCGCATATGGGCGCCAGCAGTACCACTCTGAGAGTGCATCGGCATACACTGCTCAGCGCAATCAACTGCCTACGTATGCTCAGACCTTTGGCTATGCATCTGGTCTGACGCCGACTTGGGTTTCTCACGGACCCAACTGCGGCTGCAGTCTCCATGCCAAACACTCGGATTACTACTTCAATCACCCGGGATACACCATGCAAACTGTGGTGGGTTAACTTGTTCAAACTCCAGCGTTCAGCGATCCGGGTCCGGCTCAAAAAGTTCTTGAATCATACCGGGGTGTTCGGTATTGTTTTTACCATCATCGACCTTTTCGCCTTCAAAGAACCAAAATCGGGATTATGCGAGGATCAGGCCCGTCATGCTTGTCGGAGCTCCGGTCAACTGCTCCTCCTCGACGAAAATTTCTCTAATCGAGTTTCCCAATCTAACGACCTTTTACGACCGGCACTTTCTTGTCTTTCGTTATTCAGCATCTAAAGCGAGCAACTCTCCTAAGAATAGATCAAGCTTTCTTTTCACTATACATTGACGATGGGCATGCCCGGGCGGCGCTTTCATGGCAGGAAAAGTCACCAAAAGTTCCGACTCGGGAGAGGGCTTATTATCGGGCTGGCGTCAGGTTTTCATCAGCACAAGGGGCATCACACAGGGGCTTGTTTTTCTTCCATTCAAAGACTTTGTTTGTTTCACAGTTATTACACCGTGTTTTTATGAGACTTCAATTGACACAAAAGGATGCCAACGGATCATGGCTTGCGTCAGAGCTTGCATAGCACGGCATCGCGGAGGATGGTGGATTGTCACAGAGGTTTGCTGCATCGTCATTCTTGTAATTAGCCATGTGAAACGAGGTGGGGGGTCCAATGAACGAGGTTGAAATGTGCTACACGGCTGTCCAACTGGGCCCGAAAAGGCCCTTTCACGGTCAAGAGTCTGCTGCACGAAACCACAGAGGCACCCTGTACGGAGTACGGGTAGTGGTGGTGTTGGGCAAAAAAGGAAACACAGGACACATCGGTTGACGTTGTCATGGACCTTGCTGTCGTCTTTTTTATTCAAACGGCCGAGACTTGATGCTCGGAAGGCATATACCCCTGATAGATTGCAATGGGCGCTTTTTCATTCGCTTCCAAAAAGACTGCAAAGAAAAAAAAGTACCAATAGAATTTAATCTGTCATCAATATTCCTTCCTTGCATGCACTGGTAGAATGGGATTCGTGTGCTCATGCAGGATCATCAGGGATTCCGTCTGGGTATTGTAGACGAATTGCATAGGGAGGCATGGCATCGGAGCAGGATGAGCTGAAAAGGACAGGGTAAGAAGGCTGGTTCTCACGTATGTACCTCGTACAGAGTAGGTGCTTGAGGTCAGGCTGCGAAGAGTGACGCGGTAAGAATGGTGCCAAGCCTGCAGCCGCGGTTTTGCCGCAGCGACTCTCCAACCTCAACTGCGAGCTTCCATCTCGACTCGGGAGGATTGTAATCAATTCAACCGCCCATAAAACCTTCAACACACCGCTTGACTTTTAGAATCTCAACCTATTTCCCTTACTTTCGATCTCTACATCATCATCCAACAGCACCGATTCCTGGTCCGATCCAGAAACTCTCAACATGTCGACGTTAGAGGATCTCGATGACATGGAGCGCGATGAGAAGGAGCAGAGAAAGGAGGGCGATGACAAGGACAAGAAACCGGCGTCCAACGGCGATGCTAAAGATGCTGAGATGAAGGATGCAGACTCGAAAAAGGATGAGGAAGAACAATACATTGATGACGAGATTCTGCAGTCAAGTACCAGAGACATCATCAACCGGCGGCGACTACTCGAAAACGAAATGAAGATCCTCAAGAGCGAGTTCCAGCGGTTAAAGCACGAGGAGAGCACGATGAAGGAGAAGATCAAGGACAATTTGGACAAGATCGAGCAAAATCGGTGAGTTTCAGGGACATGTCTGGTTGCATCAAGCCGAAAAGCTGTGGCTAACACGAAGCGTGTCCAGGCAATTACCATACCTCGTGGGCAACGTTGTCGAACTCCTTGACCTCGACGTCGAAGCTGAAGCAGCTGAAGAAGGCGCCAACATTGACCTCGACGCCACGCGAGTGGGTAAATCGGCAGTGATCAAGACAAGCACTCGTCAGACCATCTTCTTGCCTCTGATCGGCCTGGTTGACCACAACAAACTGAAACCCGGCGATCTTATTGGAGTCAACAAGGATTCCTACCTCGTCCTGGATACCCTGCCCGCTGAATACGATTCCAGAGTGAAGGCGATGGAGGTTGATGAGAAACCGACGGAGAAGTACACTGATGTTGGTGGTCTGGATAAACAGATCGAAGAGCTCGTGGAAGCGGTGGTCTGGCCGATGAAAGAGGCGGAGCGGTTCAAGAAGCTCGGCATCAAAGCGCCAAAGGGTGCACTGATGTATGGGCCTCCTGGCACGGGTAAGACTCTTCTCGCTCGAGCCTGCGCCGCCCAAACAAATGCGACCTTCCTGAAGCTCGCGGGCCCCCAACTTGTGCAGATGTTCATAGGTGATGGTGCCAAGTTGGTCCGCGACTGCTTCGCCCTCGCAAAGGAGAAGGCTCCGTCGATCATCTTCATCGACGAACTCGACGCCGTTGGTACCAAACGTTTCGACTCGGAAAAGAGCGGTGACCGGGAAGTACAGCGGACGATGTTGGAACTGCTCAACCAGCTTGACGGTTTTGCTTCAGACGAAAGAATCAAGGTCCTTGCCGCCACGAATCGAGTCGATGTTCTGGACCCTGCCTTGCTTCGTTCTGGTCGATTGGATAGGAAGATCGAGTTCCCCTTGCCAAACGAGGAATCCCGAGCGCAGATTCTGCGGATCCATTCACGCAAAATGACCATCGACGAGGGCAACATCAACTTTGATGAATTGGCGCGGTCAACGGATGAATTTGGGGGTGCGCAGCTCAAGGCCGTCTGTGTCGAAGCAGGTAAGTCGTCCGCCTCGTTCATCGTCCCGCTCTGGCGAGATCGCTAACCATTTCTGTCAGGCATGATTGCGCTTCGCAAGGGACAATCAAAAGTAAATCACGAGGCATATGTGGAAGCCATTGCGGAGGTGCAAGCAAAGAAGAAAGACACGTGCGTTCTCATGATCCCCATCTGCCACTTACAGGAAGACTGACTCTAGATTTTGCAGGGTTAATTTCTACGCATAATCCAACCAGGCACTTTTCCAATCGGCCTTTCCCAGAATTCATGGCAGAACATGGCATGTACAATACTCAAGCAAGGAGAATGTCCTCAGATAGATGATTGCCGTTCCCTGGCAGTCCAACTATAACCCATTGGACGGGGCTTTGCGTTGCCGTTCTTCAGATTTGTCCCGTCGTGGCCAAACCTGTCCCGCTATTCAGCCCTCTGGCTGTATGTAGTCGACTACACTTGACTCTCCTGCAGCACAGTTATATCGGAAGCGCCCCAATAAGAACTACGACGACGACGAACCTGGCATTGAAACTCTGTAGTCTGATGTTTTGAGTTCTTATTGGCCGGGACCGAGATGGCTTCCCAGTTTCTTGTGCCGAATTCATGGTCCAACATCCAACTTTCGTATCCGTTCGCCACGGCCATGGTTATATTTGCTGCCTTTCCATAGATAGATGTTTCCTTATCTACGCGCCTTGGTATCTATTTGACCCTATACCAATTAGCAACCGCGGTTTTCTGGTGAACCCCTATCGGGGAGGTTTTTTCCTTTGATGGCATAGACAAACAACACGTTCAAAGTGCTCCATTAGCAGATGAAACGGTGGCTCACGTTTCGGTGAAGCTGAAAGACTTCAAGCAGACTTGAAGAGCTCATATCTTTTTCTTATTTCGAGCCATCTAAGCTGCGTTGATGCATACACTGGCACTCGATGGAAGAACGACCAAAGGACGCCCAATATGATCGCTACGACCATTCATGTTCTCCTCTGGTGTCCCAAGCTCAGCTATTGTCATTTGGATATATCAAGCAAATGCAAGGTAGTACGCCAGCGACGCGAACGCAATCGCTGCCGTCCTTGAGACCCTCGTCGACACCACGACATAGGATCAAGTCGCGCTTCGCGCTATCAACATCAACAGTCAATTGGAAGAAAATTCCACCATCGATCCTCAATCTTGTCCTAGATCATCTCAGGTATCTCCATATGAGTCCTGGATCTCCATCGTGCTCAACATGCTACATGAGGGATTTGAGTTCAGCACAGCTGACGTGCAAGGCATGGTTCTCCGACGCACAACGAATACTGTGAGTTTGCCCATCCCCCTCGCATCCTCCTCCTCAATAGTCTAGGTACACCAATATACAGATCGTCGGCCAGGACGATCCCTCGATGCTTCGGAAATGGAGAGTCTCGCGAGCAGCGCGCTTGATACGTCTGCGGTCTACGCTTCGTTCAAGACCACTCCTCGCCGCTCTGGTCAGGACCCTACACGTGCCAGATCCTCATACACCAATTTATTTGGCCAGTGGGAGTCCAAATCCCGAGTATGATGCTTACCTCTGCACGATGGCGTCCGTGGTCATGGAATGTCCCAACCTGGAAGCCTTGACCGGATTCGTTGCATTCTACAATCACACCTTTGACAGGCTGACGCACGCGCTGTCAACGCGGACGAAGCTACGGCAGCATGTCTGGATCATCGCCGAGAATGAAGACGTCAGTGTGCGAAGTCAGACCCAACTACCGCCGGGTCTTCTGGATGGATATCAGACCTACCAGTTCGAACTTTACCACCGGCGGTGGAAACACCTCGAAACGCTGATGCTCTGCTCACCAGGTAGCCTCGGGGTGATCGAGCACGAGTTGGTCATTCGCGTTCTCCACTCCTTACCGGCTTTGCGTAACTTGTGCATATCTTCCTTCGACGCCGACGACTTTCATGACGTGACACTGCTCTCACTGCCGCCATGGGTCACTACATTACGCCTGGAGGAGTGCTCAGGGATCACTGATGCAGGGCTGATGCAGTGGGCGGCGAACCCCAATGCGGCGCAGATTGAGCGGCTGAGTCTGCTTCATCAGAATGTCGCCAGCTTACTGACGCTGTCGAAAATCTTTGCCAGCCTGAGTCGGCTGTGGAAGTTCACCATCCTGCAAACTGATGTCGTGCCGTCCTGGCCCAAGGAAGTGGGAGTGCTGTTCCAACCAGTCCTTGCCTCGGGGTCTCTGAAATTTCTCCATTGGGATATTCCATCCCAGTCGCCAGAAGCCTCTCCCCCGAACTATGCTTCTGAAGCTGGACGGCGGATGCCAAACATGCAGCTTGCACTCTCAATCTCCCACAACGGCTTCCCTTCGTTGAAGCGACTACGCGCCCCTCGAGATATCTCCCCGCCCGGCGCTCTTCAATCAGTTTGCCAAGCGGTGGGTGCTGATATCATTCTTCCAGACGACAACCCCCTATATCATCAGCGAGGCCTCAGCAGATCGAACTCCCTACGAGCAGCTCGCCTACGTGCTAGGCACTTAGCACACCAAATCAGGACACAAGGAGTGGATTCCGTTCCTCCGTCTGTTCTCCAATATCCAGTGACGCCAGTTTGGAGCCATGGAACAGATCCGGCACAAACACCCCCTAGAAAAGTGTCGATTTCGGCCTCTAGTTACTGGGAACCAGCCGCCTCTCATTCTTACAACCACGGGATGAACGTTCCTACTCCTGACCGGTCCACGATCCACGAACTGGTGTCGCCCATTTCTCCCGGAACTTACCCCTTTTCGCCACTGGCCCCTGATGACGGTATTATTTCTCCCATTACTGCGGAACGGGAGGAGAGGTGTTGGTGCAACGAGGATCCAAACAAGGAAGTCGTGGTGGGGCCACACCGACCGGGCGTGCCTTTCGAGAGCATAGGACCGTGGGAGCCTACCTGGCATGCTCCGAACGATGGGAGCGTATACATCTGTGATGATGATTGGGAAAGTCAGAACGCCGAAGAACAAAAATATGCCATCTCGCCGCCTCCCCGGAGTCCTCTCCGGTCTGCACCGCGCGTTACAAGTCTTGTCTCGTCTGCCTGCGGCAATTTTGTGGCTCGTGATTGTCCTGCGCCAAATGGCCCAGCAAGAACGAGTGACTCCTTACGCCCCACCTTCTATCTCCAACCCGACATTGCAGGACGAGATGAGAACGGCGGTTTGATCGGATGGGCCGAGCTGCTGAACATCCGCGAAAAGGCCAAAGTACGCCCGAACGACGCTTCGCGCGCTGCAAGACCCGACAGACACGACGTCCAACCTGTCGAAGAGGGCGGCAGGGATGATAATGTCAGTAGCACAGGAAGGACAGGCAATATATGCACAGGCTGCTGGGACCGAAGCGTCGACTCCGAGGAACAGCCCGGTGAGCTCGGCGGCGCCATCGTGAAAGTCCCATCTGCGCCGTCCACGACGAGCGCCGCCGCCGCGGGAAAGAAAGACAGACCGAGGTCGAGATCGAAATCGAAATCGAAATCAAAGTCGGCCTCGAGGCTGAGTCTGTCTCTGTCTCTGGGTCTTCGTGGCTCGAAGGAAAAGATATCCCACGACACGGTGTGGAGGCAGCACGTGGCACGCCCTACAGGGGACAGGGGGGGAGGTGTGTCCGCCTTGGATTTCTTCTAATCATGGACCGCGGATCCAGTTGTTGCTTCTTGGCCGGTGTCCTCTGGTGGGCGTCATGGCAAGTTCAAGACGTGTGCCTGTAAGGATAATGTAGTTGGCCATTTTGTACACACATACGTCGGTGTCCTGTCGCGAGACAGAACGCTCTGATAGAGTTCTCGAGAGCCTTGGACAGCTACATATGGCGTATACACAGGTAGTCTGGCGAGCGTAGTTGTGAGTCGTCATTCTGAGAACACTGTTCCTTTGAGTGGCTATGTATTCTACGCTTGAGACAATTGATAGGTGAGATGATTTCGAGGAGACGATATCGTGGTGCCCGAAGGGCATCATTGTCATCACGAATGTGCCTGGTTCTCCTTACTTCTTCTTGCAAACAGGCCGAATATCGCGCCAGTTGCTGGTGGGGTGGATCGGGCAACTGTGTTAGATGAGGATAATCCCCTCCCTCCTTTGCACACATTTTGCTATTATTACTTTCTCACCCTCTCTCCCAGAGCTAAAGAGAAAAAAACTGGAGATCGCGCTTGTTGGCGACTGTCAGGTGCTGCGTGCCAAGACTTAACGACATCAACTTGTCGTTATGTCTTGGCGGCTCAAGAGAAGTTCCATCGACGCCGAGCTCACCTCGCGCCTCACCCGGCCGGCGCCGCTTTTAAACACGCTCACCGTAAATCATATCAGGGACTGGATTACTGATTCTGAGCTTCGAGCCGGGCGCTAGGGACAACATGCCAGTGGCCACCCACTCAACCGGTTTCCAACATGGGGGGTTTGCGCAAGGCCGACTTTCTCGATCGAGACGTCGCCTCAGACCAGACCAAATCACCCATTGGAAACGTGCATGTGAGGATGACTCGACATTCCGGCTTCTCTTGCCGGCCTATTCTTGTCGACGACATGTAACATCCAACACGTGGGACAGGCCCATTTCCAATGGCCCATGGGCTCAATCCAAATGTCGAGTGGAGTTTCAATCAAGCCGGCGTCGTCAGAGAATGTATGATTGGAGCTCACCACATCAGTGTATTTCAGGAGGCTGCTCTACGGGACCTGAAAATGGGATATCAATAGAATAAGGAACTTCAAAGCCACCTGTCTAGATTGCGATGACTTCCCCCAACTGCCTGGCAACTATCATTTTGATTTGCCCTGCCCCAGATGGATCTTGCCCGCTTCCTGCCCATTGCTCGCCTCCCAAGCATAATATAGCGGCCATATTGAATCCTCAAAGTAAACCCAATTTCTCTGCAAGGGATTCTTCCACCCAGTGCCCTCGTCTCGACAAAACACTATGCTTTCAATCTCTTCAAACATTCGGGCGGTCTCGATGACTTGCAGGTCCAGAAACGGCCACTGGCTCATCGTAGAGCGAAGTTGCAGGATGTCCGTGAATAGCTCCTGGATTGTATCCGCGGTCGCACGGAGAAATGGTGAAAGTAGATTGAGGGTTACTTTTGCAGATTCGGCATCGCACCGGAGCCAAAGGTATAGCGCAACGGCAATAGAGATGCGAGCATAGCCCGAAGGGGGAACCGATCCGAGCCCTGTTTTGAGAAGAGCGAGCGGATCGCCATTTAAGAAGTTCTCAGCTTCTCCTATAACCGAATCGCTCGGATGGATGTGTACCGCTTTTGCGAAGTTTATGCTTGCGTGACGATGGTTGCCGAGATGGAATGAGCTGATTGCGGCAATGCTGTGCAGTTGATACCATTTTTCTGGGATCGACATCAGATCTCGCGAGGAGTCCAACATCATTGTGGTCAACTTGATGATTTGGCCCCAATCGCCATTTTCGTATGCAGGTTGTAAGAGAAGTTGGCAGGTCGAGAGCGCTTTCTCTGTATTCCCGTCTCTTAGGTATGCTTCGAGCCTATCGAGTTGCTTTCCAGGAGTCGAACTTTGGCCAGACATGAACAAATTGACAGCTGTTTGAGAAGACATATCGGGAGGCAGGTATCCCATTCGCTCCACAACAGGCAGCATATCTCCCCAGTCTTTGGAAGTTGTATCGATGAGCCTGCCGAAGAATTCACGTGGAACGTCTCTGGCATTGTTCTCTGGCTCTGTCAACATGCTGACCATACGATGCCAGAGGAAACGACGTAGATGCAGAAGTGCTTGTGCCCAAGGCTTGGTATTGAGCTGACCAGGGTCTAAACGGTGGAAGTCTTCGTCCTTACAGATGCCGTAGAGGTTGTCCTCGATGTCATTTTGGCTGGCCCATGCCTTTTGTGCGTCGTCGATTTGCAAATGCGAGAGTAAAATAACAGCTTCGAGCCTGTAGATTCGAGCGATTGCTTTTTGAATAGGTTCGAGATTTGCACAGTACGCTTTGGATCTGGCGAAGACCGCTTTCGCAATGGCGATGTGTCGGGTGGCGAACTCATCCTGCTTCTGATTGCCATCCCAGGAGATGTTTGGTCGAACGATTTCATAGATCCAATGAAGAATTGTCCAAATCAAGTGCCAGTTTCTCAGCTCAGGAGAATCGTCTGAGTCCACAAATTTGACCACCTTCCGCAACGCCCTACTCAAAGACGCCAAGAAGTCCGATTGTTCGCGACTAGTCATCGTATAGCGGTAAAGAGAGACCCAACTGCTGAAATATTGGAGCGGCCACTCGTTGGTTCGGAGTGGCGTATGCAGGCATGCCTCTATGCACAAGGCCAGGTTTTGCCTCCCGCTCTTCGACGATTGCGCAAGCCCTGCGAATGAAGTGTGCCCGGCATTCTTCGCCTTCCAACGCTGAAGCATTCCGTGGAGTAGCTCCGCGAAGAGACCTTTCCAGATTGATGGACCTAGCGCATCTTGTAAATGGTAATGGCATGCTGGGTCTGCATCCTGAATCATGTTCCGGAGACTCAGCGTAAGCAGTGGATGAATCCAGGTAATACTGCTTCCTTCATAATCGAGTCCGTCAAGATCCTTGAGATGCCAAATAATATTTCCCGTTTTCTCCAGGAAATCCTTCTCGTGTGTTGGCGAGGCAGGTTCGATTCCCTCGAGGATCCCTGTTTGCACCAGCAGATCGGTATACCGATGCCATTCTGGGCCTTCGTTCCAAAAGACCGACAAGCTATAAAAGGTCCTCAGTGCCACTGGTTCCGGTATGCTAAACCAATTGCTCATCAGACGAGGCTCCAGCACTGGTGTTAACATCGAGAGGAACGTGCTCCCTCCGACTTCGAATTGTTCGGTTTCGGAACCGAGCTTAAGTCTTCTGTCAAGCCGTCCGCACAGAAGGGCGTTGTAGTATTCAGCCAGTGGCATTTCCATTTTGTGGAACTGCCGCAAGACAACAAATAACGGTCCTGGTAATCGGTCCAGCAAATTGACAATGTCTTCCAAAGCATCAACCCGTTCGGCCATCAAGGATGGAGTTTCTCTGACAGGAGGTCCAAGAATCTTCTGCGCAAGATTTAATGCCGATGCAAGACGGAGTCCGCCGAGCAGAAAGTAAGGGAGCTCGATCTCGAATAGATTGCACCATCGGCTTGCGATCCAACGACTCGAGACCAGTATGGTCAGGCTTTTCCTGGAACTCAAAGTGTTCGGCGCCCGACGCGCAATGCTAAACAACTTCTGAAGATCCGGTAGGATGGTTTCGTTGATATTACTCGCGTCGCAGGCTTCGACCAATCGAAGAGCATCGTCCAAATTGTCGAGGACGAGTATTGTTGACGTCCGTTCGTCGAGGGCCGTTCTTTCGAAGAATTCCCAATTTTCCGAGAGGATACGATCGTCACTTTCGGAAAGAGGCAAAGAAACACCAGACCAGAGCAATTTGTTGATTACCATTGAAAGAAGAGTTTGACCATTACCGGAAGCGAATTTCGCATCAACGTAAAGGACTCGGTCCGCAAATCTGGTAGCTTCCCAAACATATGAAAGATGCCGCAGTAGGCGTGACTTTCCAGTGCCTGAGCGCCCGCCCATGGCCACGATAGCATTAGTTGCCAATTTTGCCTCCAGTCGAAGGACGTCGAATTCACGGCCAACCAACAAAGCCGCATCAGGCGTCGGTTTCGTAGCAATTCCACTTGCGGGGGTCCGTATGTTTGACTGGGAAGACACGCAGACAGGGTAAGATGATCTACGATCAACCGTAGACGCATAGGTCACTGGGACATACCAGTCAACCACTAGGACCATGATCCCAAATCTGGCTTCTCTCTGAGCATCGGCACGAAGGGCTCCCCTGGCCTCGCTCGATGCCTCAGCAAAGGATGTCAAGTCAGCACAGATTGAGCGGTAGAACGTTTCGGCAAACGTAGTCGTCGCAGAGCTCAGGAATTCAAATGACATGCCTAGGACGTCGGACATGCCCTTCGACACAAATGTTTTGGCCAAGTTTGCGTCCATGCCGTCTCCGCTTGTCGCGGTCTTGCAGGCCGTCAATACGACTCTGTCGATTTGATGGTCATTGAGAAGCTCCGCCACCCGCGAGGCTGAGACAAGCTGAAGCCGTCCGCTGAGGTCAGGATGAGCAAATTTCAAGAAGCTTTTTGGGGATCTGTTTAAAGTCAGTGGCCAACATATGAGTGAGATTGAGCGTTAGCGACATGGGGAAAAGACGTACAGCTTTTTTTGCGAGCCTTGTGCGACCATTTTCACGATGCCATGCATATCGAAGTGGACCACGTCAAAATATCCAGGCCCGTGGAGTTGAGTGGCGTGCCGCAAGTGCTGCTCCAGAGCGGCGAATGTTCCGGGCCGTACGACTTCAACCCTCAGTGGAGGCCTGTCTGTCAAAGTCTCCAGGATCGGTTGCATCCGAAGGTGTGCATTTAGAACCGAGTCCGGAAGTGCATCGTTGTCATGCTCCCGCAAATCACGCGCAACGACAAGAAGCACATTGTATGTCTGCTTGTCGGGTAAATTTGAAGAACGTGGCGGAGTATGCGATGAAGCTTCTGGCGTAAGGGTGTGATCCGGGGGAACTTTTCGCACCACTGTCACCTTTGAGAAGAAAGAATCCCAAAGCTCAGGAGTTTCCAGGAGTTCCCAATGTAGCCGATGAAAGGCTGCTTGGTTGATAAGAGTTGGGTTCGGATTTGCAAGGGTGGCAATTTCGATCGTGAGATGTTCTGGCTGCCTGTCTGCCGGAGAGTGGTGCAACGATAGGACGCTTCGCAGATCAAGCTGGCGAAATAGATCTTGAGCATATTCTTCAATTGATTGTGAAAAGCGCCGTGCTCGTCCTTCCTCAAACGGACTGCGTGTCGCATATTCCTCTAAATACCACTGGCATTCACGCTCTTGTTCAGAGGTAAAAGGATCGTGAACATCTCTTTCGGTTGCATCATATTGGAATGAAACTTCCCTGGACACTGCTACCCTCCAGCTCGATGTTCCAGTCGACTGGAGTGCCGTGATGGTTAATGTCTGCATTGTGCTTCAATTCTTCCGAACAGATACTCGGCGTCTAGAGTCTTGAGCTGGGTGCGAGAATCAGCGTCGAAGCGAGTTGAACGTCAAGACTCTGGCGGTGAGGCTCGGGCTGTTTGTTCTTCCGTTCAAAAGGCATCAGCGGTGTTATCTGGTTTAATGGGTAACAGTCACCATGAAGTAAGCCATGGAGCTACAAAGTCCAGGTCGCTCCGTGCAAAAGCCTGTGTGAATGCAGGTCGTCGTTGGGTGTTGGAGAAGGAGGAGCGCCGATTCGCCGACCCCGGGCAGGCTGCAGCGACACGGCCGGAGCCTCAACGGGAACTCGAAGTGCGCTTCTTCTGAATTTCTTGTCGTTTAATCATACCACGCCAGAGTCCACAGAGCACCGCTTGCCGCTGCGTGCCAAACAACAGTCATGGATAATCTATACTTCGTCCTACCATACCCATTGCACGGAAATGTCGTCTCGTCGCTCATGTGCCGAGTAGTGGCCAATCCACTGAACCCCGGCCGAAAATTCATCCCGAACCTCGATGAACCTAGTCCCCTCGTGCTCTCAGAAGTCCTTCCGAATCTTCTCCCCGACCCTATTGCTGTGGAGCCGACAGCCTCGATGACTTCAGGGATGAATACCACCTTGAAAGCTCGTCTGGAGCAGCTCTTCAGCTATACCAACAAAACCAATACCACTCAGTCGTTCGAGCTAAAGGCGCAGATTCAGCGTTACACACTGACACAAAACGACTGGAAGTTTAGAAAACTGCTGGAGAATGACAGGTTCGCGCAGGAGGTGACACAGCTAGTCCGCGAAAATGGCGGGAAAGCCTACATGGTCTCAGCATTCCTGACTTGCGAAGAGTCAACGTGGATGAGGAGCACCAAGGACCGCAGCTCCCATTCGGGGCAAGCCAAATTTGGAACCACTGACGGCAACGCCACGAAGGTGGAGGCGTCCGGGGCTGTTGTGAAGAACGCCGGTCACCGCAGGGAAGGCGAAATCACCGACAAGCTTGTTTTCGCCATTGCCTATGACGTTATCGGAACTGAGTGGTATTTCGAATGGAATGCGAAATGGTTCCCGCAGCTGAAAACGAAGATTGTCCTGAAGTCGGAACTCAGAGCAGATTGGCATCAGTTGAGTATGGGGAAGGAGGAAGAAGAGGAGGAGGTCCTTGATGATGGTGACGAAGGGGACGACAAAAAGCGAGTTTCCGCGGCCAATCTCATTCTTGCGGGGATGAGCAAGGAGGCGTATGATCTTCTTCAGACGTCTAACCCAGACGGCGAGGCGAAGGATTCTGAACACGGACCATAAAGCCGGCTTCGTCTGAGAGTCGTACAACTCCGTGACGCGAGGGAAACACAGCTTTACCTAGGCACGGGGGGGGTGCATATAAAGGTAGTTCTGCGCTAAGATTTAGCACCTGGCACTAGATGGAGGGCCAAGAGAAGGCTGAGAAAAGACGTCAAATCGAGGAGCGTAAGAGTATGCGTGTAACTGCACGAGAGATAAAGCTGGCTGAACAGGCTAAACGGCGCAAGGAGAGAGAAGACGAGAGAATCTCCCGTGCAGCGAACAAACAGCTCCAGTTCGATATCCACCAGAGAGAACAGAACGCTAAGAGTGCTATACCACCACCACTGCCTGTCAGCGGCAAGTAAGCTATCTTTGAAGACCAGCTTTTCCTGCTGTGAACCTCCAGCACTGACAGCAGAGCGAACAGATAGTAGCGTCGAGAGAGATAGGCGGAAGAAAGGGAAACTCGCGAAAGCGGGGAAAGGGATTCTTTATTAATATATCTTCTATCCCCTTCATAGTAAAGGCGAGTAGACTCGGATTTATAAGTGACAGGTAGTACGCTGAGACGATTAAAGGTCTTTCTAGTCAAGATAGTAGCCTTTCGAGTGTGGAATTAGCGACGCCGCTTTTAAACCGTCCTCTCGTTTAACTGGCTGAGCTGGCAGCCACGGTGGTTTTTACGACTGTGCATTCGAAAGGCCAATCACAGCAGCCGCGTTCATCTCCCCTAGGTGAACTTCGAGTCGAGGGGCGGGCGCTTGGTGCCTAGGCGCGAGGCGTCGCGGCCCCCACGGTGGGTGAGACACGGGTGAGGCGTCACCGGGCTCACCCTGGCCTCACCCTGGCTCGCGTGCGACCGGGGTGAGCGCAGGGCGGCGTCACCCTCGTCCGTAAGCGGGGTGAGCTGGGCGTCGATTTACCTCCTCTTGGCGAAACTGCAACTTTTTCACCGAGCCCTCAGCAGCCATCAACCTCCACCGCAGCTATCAATCACAACAGCTATCAACCGCAGCATCCATCATCCATCCACCGCAGCAGCTATCTTCCCGTCTTCCACCGTAGCTAATAGGTGGAGGACGCGAAGGTAGCTGCTGCGCTGAGTGGATGATGGATGCTGCGGTGGGTGGATGATAGATGTTGCGGTTGATAGCTGCGGTAGATAGCTACCAGCTATCATCCTCCCATCCTCCACTCAGCGCAGCTATCCTCCCCTCCTCTACCGCAGTTATCCTTCCATCCTCCACCCACCATGTCGCCTCATTCGGAATTTCGCGAGTGTCTAGAGAGGTTGAAAGCAATCGAGGCCATATTCACCACCCATCGCGATCAAGAGGTCCTATCTATAATACATGGAGTGCAGACGGGGTTACTCCATGTCCAAGAAGGGATGGGAGAATTGAATCCTGGTCGGCAGTCTGCTTCCTGTCGACTCTGCCGCCGACACAAAGGGAGCAGTCCTCAGGGGGATGATGGTAGTCCTTAGAGGCGAGATAAGGTTTTGACTAATGGTATCTAAATGTTCCCTCCCGTGCTGCTAGTGCCGTTTTTGGCCTCGGTCACAAACTTGATATTTTGTGTTGTGGAGACGAGTATGGTTCCTCCTGGTCCATTATTCATGTAGTAACCGCTGAAGGATCTACCCGAGCGGACGAAGAAGTGCAATGCAATCCTGCCCTTATCTGCCGCGCTGCACGTCAATGGACGGCACGTAGAACCAGTGTGCTTCGAAACGCCGTACGGACTCCCCTTGTAAATTGTGGTCATCCGAAAACAAATGCTATCTCCTGTTCCGTGGATTTGGCACTTTTTTTCTTGGCACTTGGCAAAACGATGCCACCACGGGGATAGATTTAGACATCAAATACTATTCCACAGCAAATTTCTATGTAAATCTATATGGTATTTACGAAAGCATCCCCCTTTGATACATAGATTCACCCCACAGGCATTGCAGCCAAATTGCGTGTTTTTTGAGCGTTTGGTGGCGCGAGATCCGTTAGTTATCTCGGCCAACGCAGGCCGCCGAGCGTTCTGGCGACGACGGCGACGTTGTTGACGCTCTGTTTTATGCTCATTGGCGCCCTGTTGACAGTCCTCAGGGTGTCGAGAGCCCCAGGCACATCTCCTCCTAGTTGGACGCCTCTCTACCTCGTGCTCAGTGCCTTTCATAAGGAGCGAATCGATCAATTGTTGATTAAACTGCTCGCGTAAGTGGGTGCGATTACGGCGAGATTGAGACTGCCTGGAACGCCAGACAACGAAAGAATTGGTCAGGCACACATCTAGTAACCACCAGGCTAGTGGGCGCCAATTACGGCGCTCACATTGTCAGTGGCAGCTGAATCCTGATCGGATCTGGTTAGCCACGTCGACAGCATTCATGCTGTGGTTATAGGCGTCGATCGCGAGCGGAATAGGTAGTGGTTTAACCCATTCATCGCCGAACACTGGTAGGGCGATCCTGGCGTTTGTTAAGGCATCTCCTGGTCGTCTACGGTCGCGAACGATAAAGTCGCCGACCTTATCAAGCGAGAACGCTGTGGTAATGCCCAGGACAATGTTATTATCCTGCCAGGCAAAGCATAGAACGTTCTCCTTGACGATTGCAACGTATCCTCCATAGATAAGTGCCTGGTTGAGGTCCTTAAGCGTGAGCAACTTCTCAGGTAGGCCCTTTGAGTTTTTGCGTGTCGTGCCCATTACGCCGATGTTGAGGGCTAGTAACGTATGAGCAACGTTAAGATTGAGAAATAGATTGTCCAGGAACACTAGCCATTTGCGGTGAGGATAGTGGTCTTTCAGTCTCTTCAGGAGTACCACTGGCACTTGGAAGGTCTCCGATAGCATAATAGGGGTCCCTTTGGCATCTCGCGCAAACGCGATCGGTCGTCTGCGATTACAGCCTTCTGCGCCTTCCACAGGGCTATGTAATAGCCAATCGTAATAGTAGCCGCCTATACAGCCTAGGCACCACACCTTGAAGCCCTCCTTAATGGGCTTACCTTTCTACTTCACGGTGTGCCTAGAACGGCCACAGAACGGCACCATTACCTCGTCAACAGATAGCCAGGACGATGGATAAATCGCAGCCTAACAATTAGCGCGAACAGTGGAATAGATAGGCTCTAATCTCGATCGTAAAAAGCCCTAAGATTGGTCGATTTGTGATGGTTGAATAGTGTCGATATTGAAGGTCAGGAATCGATGGATCTGTTCCCACCGTTCCTGCGACATAAATCGACGCAATCGATCCCACTGATAGTCTCTTCTTCTGCCAGTATAATTTGCTAGATAAAATAGAATTCCTAGCCAGCAGAGAAGTTCTCCAGAGCTCAACGGGTGCCAGGATCGCACTCGACGTTGGTGGGGCCCCATTAAGCTAGTCGCCCTTACATTTATCGCGTTCACAATCGCTATAACACTTGATTCGCCCAGGAACTTCATAAATAGAGAGAATGGATCGTTCTCTATCCAGCGAAGGTTGAATGGCACAAATTGGACCTGAATTGGTGGAGAATATTGAGGTGTTGGTTGGTCGGTGAGTTCTTTAACTTCCTGTGGTGGAGGCTGTTCTGCGGGACGCGTTTCAAGTGGTTCCGGAGCCGATTTTTTTGCTTTTTTTGGCTGTTCATGTTCTCTGGGTACAGTTATATCGTCAAAGAATCGTTTTGGCTGTTTCTGTCTAGTAGATCGCCTCATGATTGCTATAATTGTATGGTAGAGACATCGATTCGCGAGGTAAACAAAGGTTGGTAAACAATGACGTACTAGTGCCAAGAAAAAAAGTGCCAAATCCACGGAACAGGAGATAAGCCTCTTCCGCCAAATAGGCCGGCTATGAAAACTCTCACGCCTGGTTCTCTTCTTCTCATGGGCACCTTATAGTGGCCGTTCAAGTCGACAAGCCTGCCGGTCTATTTTCCCCAGTCTTAGATTGCCATTCGCACGGTGGACGGCAAGCTAAAAGTCATCACTTGTACCCTTGCGGGCGAGAAAATCGTCGATTGAGTCGTTCCATGTGATTGAATGATACAAAAAGCATACCGCCATACAAATCCAGTATCCCGCCTCTTCGGCTGCACGCACTTGGGGTAGACGGCGAAACTCGATGGAGCCGCACCCGAGACCACTTTGGAAATTCCAGCTGGCGTATCGAGTCGGCGACATTTGCGGTGCCAGCTGGCCTTCTGTTGGGAATGAATCGATCCAGGTGAATATCGGCTCATTCGTCGCGTCGGGGTGTCGAGAAGCGGCATATAGCTGATTGAGTCTGGAGCCCGCGAAATCGACATTAGGCAGGGTGCTTTTACCTGACTTGCGAGATATCATGGCCTCCGAGGAGCCATACAGCTACTGGCGCGATCCCGAGGCAGCGACATCATGGGAATCTGCTCGTGAGAAAATTCAAAAAGGGAGAGCAGCTCATACCGCCATGCGAGATTCCTGTGATGGTAGCCGGCGAAGATGACTTGCTGGTATTGAAACAGATTGCAGGCCTCGTGGACACTCCTGAACTGAAACCGGCTGAAATCTTGGACGAGACCGACGCCGGTGAGGCCAACGCTGTCTCCATCTGCAGCATCACCGACGAAGTTATACCAAGGCTCGACGGATGGTTCGACGAGTCGCAAGAACGCCTTGTTCGGTGCAACGGCAAGGAGCGGTACGCGCGGAAGTTTGAGCCAGACGCAAAAGTACGTTGTGATCCATTGAAGCCATTCTTGGATAGTTGGGCATCTCACTGTTGAGTCTCAGCCGTGGAGTCTAGGCGGATCGTCTGAAAGCTCAAAGCCAGTCAGAGTTCTCTCACTCGGTGGTGCGTTCTTGGGTTCGCCGGCTCTTGCACCTACTGAACTTGACAGACGGACCGGATTGTGATCCGATTGCGCTGGTCAACTTTATGGAGAACCTCATGAATGCGACAACCCCGGGCCTGAAACCATGTGATGCATTTGACCTTATCGGCGGCGTTGGTGTTGGGGGGTGAGTCAACCCCGGGCATGCGGATTCCTTGGATAATCTTTACTGATTTCTGTTTTTGTGAAGTCTCAATGCCCTATTTCTCGGACGACTTGGTTTCACTTTGGATGACTGTCCCAGATTGTCTCCCTGGTGGCCATTGGTATTTGAGCTAATAACAAACGATGAGGGATTCACAGAAACTATCTGGCAACCAATGCTGGCTTCGGAAGATGAATCCCTCCCCACCACTAGGGATGAATACACGTAAGTTTCCTCTTCTGTTCGGCTAAAGTTTTGCCTATCTTACATAGACATATCTATGTTAGCTTCGTTGTCGCAAATCTGAAGAACAGACAAGACCAAGTGTTATTGCGCACATACCATGGTTCCGATTCAAAAAGGCTTTCTGAGCAGAGCAGAATCCGAGAGGCTATGATTGCGACAGGTTCATCAGTGTATGGGCGAGCTTTCTGGCCCTGGAATTTGATCGAATACCAGGATATTTTGTCACGCTGGCGACAGGAACAGGAGCTGGACTGGGAGTTTTCACCCGCTTCGGCCTACCCTTCAGCAGACCAAGTCACCTCAGCCACCAATGACCCAATATACCACGCCTATCGCGAGGCGCGCTCAATCTGGCCTGACCGGGAGATCAGGATCGCTAGCTTCATGCCTCGAATGAAGACAGGTGACCCGGGACGCAAGGCTGCCATGGAGGTACGCGGATTCAAAGTGGATTCCTCGCAGAAAGGAACTGAGGGCCAGCTCCTCCGCGCCGACGACGCGATGGACTTTTCTTCGGCGGCGTTCTCGGAGATGGGCAACGCATTTTGGGCAGATGGGTCCTGATGACGAAACTTGACAAGAGGGCCAACCAAAGTCGTCAGATGGCAAATCAGGCAATTCTGTTCCCCCAACCTTCACGAGGATCAGTAGGGCTCCGGTGTGCGGGAATCTCATTCACTTTGGCGGACGAGAAATCCTGAGAGCAGGAAAGTACGGAGAGTAACCCCCCCCCCCCCCGGGCCCCCCGGGGGGATCCCGACACTTAAATCAGCGCCCTCCTGGAATCCGAGTTCATAAAACGTCAGGGTTCTGAAGGTCTTATTCATTCCCGTTCACACGCAACAGGGTAGAGAGATATGACTGCGGACAATCCCACGAACACGAACACAAACCCCGAGGTCGACGATCATGGCGGATTCGCGTGGTGCCTGGGTCAGCAGAGCGTTTCGCGGCCCCCCCCCCCCCCCCAGGCCCTCTCATCCATTGAGAGACCCCCGGACAAAGTGTCCTGCGCTCTACAGCGCACACGCCGGAGTGCATTTTACTAGTTCTGACCAGGGGGGAGGCGGGGATCAAAGCTTGGGTTGGGGGGGGGGCATTTATGCTGTGAAATGCGAAGAGCTATCTGTGTGCTAGGTGAGTCAGATATCGAGTGTGCCTCGCCTGGAGGCAAAGGGAAGAAACATGAAAGAATGCTCGTGATATCTTTGCACTTATTTCAATTGATGATTGCCAATGCTGCCCTTACATGGTCATTACTTCATGAGCTTCGTCCACCTTAGTCCATTAACGTCCTCGACGTGCTAGGAGCACACCCTCGTAGACCCAAACCCCAGAACGACGCCCAATACCCATCAAATTTAGGGCGAGAACACGCTTTCCAGCATTCGGGGGGGAATTGCTGAAATTACTCCTCGTCGTACAGGACGTGCAAGGTCGTCGGGATGGGCGACTCCTTGGCATTCGCGTCGAGATAGATCTTGGCCTTGACGCCCGCAATGTCCTGCTCGATGACGCTGAAGCGGCCCAACTTGCCCTCGGCGCGACGCAGGTTCTTCAGGCGGAAGACCTCCTTGAGCGTGGCGACGAGCGCGGGTCCAATCAGCCGGGCGCCGAAGCAGTAGTGCATCCCGTGGCCCAGGAGCGTATACGACGACATGGGGCGATGCGGGTCGATCTTCTCAGGGTTGGGGAAAGCGGCCGGGTCCATGGCGGCCGAGGACGTGGCGATGAGCAAGTACTGGCCGGCCTTGATGTCGACTGGGCCCCGCGCGCCGTCTTCGAAGGTGACGTCCTTGGAAGCCACGCGAGGGAGGCCCGGCACGACACCGGCGTGGCGCATGCCTTCGAACACGAACCCCAAAAGCTCCTTGTCTGAGGCATCGTCGTCCTTCTGCGCAAGCTCCACGATCCGCGCCTTGTACTGCTCGTATCCCTCGCTGAGGTACAGATTGATGAGGAGGGACGCTTGTTGGGTGATATTGCCCGCGACAGGGGCGCCCATGCCGATACAATCACCTACCATGTCACCAATATCCAATCCCGTCTTGTTCATGGCGTGGTAGAACCGGTCCGCGTCGGGGCCGACCTCGTACGCGGAACCCTTGGCGAGCCAGTCCACGATGTACTCCGTGAGACCACGCTGAGTGCGGAGATGAGCCGTAAAAATCTGTCTCAGGATCGGCGCCACCGTCTCGGCCGTCTCGCGCAACTTCCACTCGTTGACCGGCAGGATGTTGAAGCTCTGGTACATGAACAGGACCAGGTAGATGTCGAACAGTTCTGGAATCGTGACCAGGCCGCGCGGGTGGACGGCGTCCTTGATCGGAATGGCGAAGCGGCGCGCGAGCCACATGATGGGCGTGACGTTGCACACATCTCTGACAATGTCGATCGACCTTCGGTTGTCGGGGTACTTGAGAGTGCTCTTGTGAATCAGGCTCCTGACGGTTTCTCGGAAGTACTGCGTAAGATTCTGCTCAAAGTTCTCTTCAAAGAAGACCTTGTGCAGGATGACAGAACGTGGGTCGTGGCGCGTCTGATCGTCCCAGCCGATCATGAATTCGTGCCCGTCGGTGCAGTTGCGGATGGCGGCTTGATACATGACGTGGAACGTTTCGCGATCTTCAAAGGCCTTCTTGACACCCTCTTGAGTGTGAATCCCTACGAGCCTCATCACATTTGGTGGAGGTCTCTTCAGGTCATACTTGGCCAGCACTTTGTTGCCTTCGAGGATCCCTTTGATGGCCTCGGGGGTATAGAACGGCATCAAAGCATATGTCGACGTGCCGGTGAACTCGCCTGGAAGGCCGTTGAAGATGAGCTTGGCGAGAATGCCTCCGTATGCGCCTCCTGGGAGGTCTGCAAGTTTAGATACGCCCCAGTTGGTCAGGGTATTGGAGTTGAAGTCGTAGGTGAGGAAACGGTCGCCTCGCACCAGGGCTACGGCGTCATCCAGGATGCCGCGTCCAGTGGTTTGACCCGGACAGACACCACTACCTGGCATCGGCGGCTTGGTACACTCTGCCTGCAGACCTGGATATAGTTCGAGGTTGTCGATGTGGCCGTACAAGAGCTCGGCAGCTCGAGAAACTACAGGGTCATCGTTCCATTCCGAGAAGCTCTTATACGCCGTCAAGTTGAGGTACTTCCGGAATCTAGTAAATGGTTGTCAGCATATTTGCAGTGGTCATCTCACGCAGAATCTCGATAGTGATATGTTCCGACTCACTCATTTAACGTGCAGGTGTTGAAGATCTCTCGGGCCTGAAGCTGGCCCATGAGATCCACCACCTTCAGACTTGCCGGTGTCCCATTAGCACCGAATGCGTGGGCGGGCTCTTCGATGCAGTCCTTGATGAGGCGGCCAAGGTCGGCGTCGTCGAAGCTTCCATCCGGACCGCGCTTTAGATCTCCAAATGTCCATTCGCTAGCAGGCTTAGACAATAGGTCTTTGGTGATTTTTCCTGTCATCTGCCAGAAGAGCTGGGGCGTCATTTCGTCAACGGACTTGATGTGTGGAAGATTCCAACTAATGACATCTTCCATCCACTTGGCGTCGGCTGCGCTGAGTGCCGCGTGCCAGTGGTAGAGAACCGCAAACTCCACCGAGACGGCATTACCTAACCCTCTCTCCACACGTCCTCCCTGTCCAGACTTGATCTCTTCTCCCAAATTGAGAGACCATTCAGAATTGGCACGGGGAGTGTTCAGGATGGCGGCGACGTAGTCTCTCAGTACCACAGAGGCGAAGAAGCCGACGTTGATGTTTCTGCTAAGCTGGAAAATGTCTTCGTCTTGCCTGTGGTCGTGTTTGGTCAGATGTGCGAGCTCACCAACTTTGATATCTCCGTAGGGTGGACTCACTCTTTTTGTTGAGCTTCTGTCAGTTTGTCCCATTGACCATAGCTTCCTTGCTCATTGATGGACAAGAGCGTCTGGGCGATGTGGTTGTGGTTCCTGGAGAACATCATCAGAACAGCAATGACGCCCGGTGGCATCAGCATGATCCTCTCGGAAGCGATCGAATCTGGATAGATCAATCCATTCTTGTACGTCCGCACCCGTTTTTGTTCTTTGTCCGTGTTTCCGTAGAGTGTGCTGAGGTCGACATAGCTGGACGTCTCGTTGACCCAATTCTTGTCCCTTGAAGTTTGGAAGCACTCGTGGATGACGACCGTGGCGAAGGAGAAGAACAGTCTGTTCAGCCCGGATGGGTGCTTGCGGAACTCGCCTTCTTTCCGCCGGAGCAGATGTTCGAAGACGAGTTCCACGTCTGGCAAGTTGGGCCCTTTTGGTTTCATCGGCGGCACACTTCGGCTGTAGGCTGACCCTGCCTTTCCTAGCTCCGGGTCCCAGAGGTTATTGTTGCCTCCATCGTGCCTCCTGTATCTCGTCGTAGGGCCAGCTACGGTTCCCGGTGGGTGGGGTAAGTCGTCCCATAGCATCTTGATGAACCGACCAGCGGCATTTGCGCCCAGCCCGCTGTTGGGAGGGAGAGACTGAAGCATGTGCACCCCATGTTCGAGCAACAGCTCTTTATCGTTCAGAGGCTGTCCCGACACCATTGTGTTGAAGGCCTGGACCATTGTCGCGGCGTTCTCCCGACCTAGATGGGTTAAATCGTGGAGTAGCGACGTCTGGTTGACCGAGGGCGTGGCTGCAGCTTCGGCATCCGTCCGCCCATCTGGAGCGGTGGGAGCATTTTGAAAAATGGTTGCCTGTAATTTGTGCAATTGTTCCATGTTGACAGAATTCGCGTAGGGGCACCTAAGCTTCCTGCGTTGCTTCCAACCTGCTGGCCAGGAATTAGGCAACTAGAAGACAGACCTGCGTACGCAGAGGCGGTAGCGGGGGGATGTGCTGGATAAATACGCTCGGGCAGATGCCAGAAGCGACTCAGACGTCGCGTCATGTTCTGTGCTTGCAGCTAAGGGTGGACGTGCCGCAAGGCCAATCGAGGGGAAGAACACATGTCACAGACCTGTCTAGACTGACCGGACTTGGTGATGATTGATGATCTTGGTGTAACGACGACGTTCTGGATGTCCTCACGAAAAACAGCATCCAGTAGCGGCACAGCCGAATGACGGCTTCCTGTCGGTGCAGCGATTTGATGTCAACATTGCCCTATGGGAAGTTGGGCAAACATTGCTAGCTGAAGCATTTTTCAGCTCGGTGGAGTAGAAGATCCCTTGGGCGGGAAGCCTTCAGCAGCATGTCACACGAATGGCGACTCTACCACTCCTCCAAAGGCTAAATCGCTCGATCGAGAGGCCCTGAGAGCGGTTGGGGACACAACTTGACCGAGTTCGTCTGGCAGTTGTCTGCAGCTCTGCCCCTCTCCGGCTACACAGCTGTCTCCACAAGGCCCGATTCGTCGCTGACGGGCATGGGCATCGCAGCGTTTGATCTTGTTTGCGTTAAGCAGCGTCGGCTGTCGACTCGGTTCGCTCCGAGGAATCTTGGCTGTGCAGTAGGAATGTAAAACAAACAGCAGATTGGGCAGCAAACATCGCTTCACCGCAACAAGAAAGAGGCGTCTTGACCTGCCAACACCCCGCAACACCCCGCGTTCAGCTCATCCCGCCTGCGCCACAAAGACAGCGGGATTCTGAGAGCTGGATTTCCAATGAGTGGTGTTTCATAGGAGCCTGTGTCTATAGTAGATGCCGGATTGATTGGGATATACGCATGTCGAACGATTCGAGTCCGAGTTTGATGATGGCACGACTCCTTGAATCCGCCCTACCTCTTGGCTACCAGCTAATTTTCTATTTCTCCAAGGGTACACAGCGCCACTGAATGGATCCAGACAGCTTCTTGAGTGATATCTGGAGTCTCCTTCCGCTTCTCGAAAGTTAAAGTACCTATCTGCTGAAGGAACGCCACGGAAAGGGTGTGTGTAAGCCGGCGACAGAAAGACGAATGTGATTCAATTGAATCGCCATAGGGTAGCGCCCAACTTGGGGGATATACGCATGCGTCTCGGATGCTCTCTGATATATCGGGCATGCCTGACAAGAATCAGGTCCATCGGCGTAGATGGAGGTAAACCCGGACACAGGTGGAGGAAGAGGTATATATACTCGGAAGCAAAACCATTCTAGGCTTCCGAAGAAACAATATACCTTCCAGCGACCCGTGAATGGGACAATTTGTTGCCCAAAGCTTATCTTCCGCGCCAAGTTGCTTTCGGGATGATGTCCTAGCAGTCATTTCTGCGGCGTACCTCATCTATCCCGACAAAAGTAGTTTAGCTGGTATTAGGGCGTGCGCCGGTCTCGTCATTGGAAGAACCAAACTTTGGCGTGGAAAGCGGCTGGAAGCTGTTGAAACCGTCACCTCTGGGAGGGGTGCGGTGTAATCATCGTCTGTCTGCATGCATTGTGTCACGCAGGGCAAGCTACTCTGGCGTTGGAGCAAACCGCGACATCTGGCGCAGCTTCCGCCCATATCTGTAGAAGAGAAACGGAGCGGGGATGGCCAACACGCACAGAAAGCCGAGAACGCTCGTAGCCCATGCTGTGCCCAAAGATCTGTACATGCGTGATGCCGCCAACGGAAACCCGGCCGCCACCAAACTCCTTACGATTGTGCTTGCCGCCATCGCACTGGCAGCGGACTGAAGGTAGATGTCCACCAGAAACGCCACGGCGTTGGTGAAAATGAGCATGATGCCACTCCCGATGAAGAACCCAGCGATGATTTGCGGGACTGGGGAGATGTTGCGTGATGAAGTCCAGGCAAAGAAGAAGAGGCCGATTGGCAGAATGAGGCTACCGAGCATGACCAATGGTAAGCGGTCCTCGGGCAAGACCGAGCCTCGAGCCCGTAGCCTGGGACGGTAATATCGTTTCGAATACACCGCAACCCCGTACGAAGATACGATCACACTTGTTAGGATGCTCAGAAACGGGAGTGTCCCGGTACGGGGATCCCAACCTCGGCCTTGAACGAAGCTGTACGGAAATGCGAAGAAGGTCAGATAGAGAATCCCATAGACGATGGCGATATACAACGCCATGACCATCAGCATTGGCTCGACACAGAACATGATTGCAGGCTTGAACATGTACTTGCGGACGAATTCCGAAAATGCTGGCTTTTGCTTGAGTTTTTGTGTGGTCGATGCTGACGAATCTTGAGCCAAGTTGAGTTTCTTGTTTGCTCTTTCCTGGAGGGTTGGGCCATATGTCTCGGGGACGAAGAGGAATGCTGGAATTCCAACAACAACGCCAAGGATGAGGGACACCCAGCCTGTCCAGTGCCAACCGAGGCTGCTCTCGGTGATGAGGGCACCAAAGATAGGGCCAAGAGTAGGCCCGACATAGACAGCTACCGAGTAGACGGCCGTGGCGACGCCACGTTCTGCTGGCTCCCAAAAATCAGCGTAGGTGGCGCCGACCAGGACCTGAGGCGATGCTCCGAAGCAGCCCGCTAACAGGCGACATACAAGAAGTGCAGGGAGATTCTTGACCACCCCGATCGGTATTTGGAGGAGTGTCCACACGAAGAAGGCAGAAAAGAGTGGTAACCGACGTCCTTTAAATTCCGACAAGGGACCTTCAACGACCACACCATCACGTCAGCACGAAGCGCGACCACTCGAAAACATATAGGTAGGGTACTCTCAATGGATGTAGAGGGGCCAACGCACCCCAAACAATAGGACCCAGAGCAAATCCCAACACATAAAGCGACACCCCCAGGAGTGACACTGTTTCACTGACGTTGAACTCCTTTGACGTTACGGTGATAGTGGCCGACCACACCGAGCTCGCAAACGTGACGGCCGTGGTCATCAACGCCAGAAGCGTGGTAATGACCCATTTCCGCCATCTCGGAAGATTGAACGGACTGTCATATGCCGCAACTAATTCGCGGTCGCCGTGGTCCTCGACGATGTGTTTTTCAGCCGGACCTTCTTCGAGGCGGCTAATAGGCGTCGCAGGCTTCTCGAGGTCGATTGACATGCTTCAGCCTAAGACAAAACATATTGACAACAGAGGACAAACGCTTCTCGGCACGAAGAGCAGAATTTGAAGTCGACCAGCCGGCAAGAGTCTGCAGGGACGTTGGTGCTATTCTCGTTTCGGAGGCTCGTGCCGTCTTAGCCGGCGAAGGGCGCCATGAGGGGGCCTCCACGCCGAGGCAGATCGTCTTCATTGTTGCTCCTCACTGAGGGACAGGTTGAACTTCGTGGGAAATCGCGGGTGACGCGTCAAGCCTGTGTGCTTGGTACGGAGTTACATTTGTATACTGACCGATTTGTGTTGGCAGGATTTCCCCCAGCGATCTGATGCTTACTGTGCAGGTGTGTGGTCGCCAGGTCAGCGAGTCGCTCACGGGCGCAGTCTGTGTTGAAGCCTCTCTCACGTGGTAAGGTGCTAACACGTGATGTCAGTCGGATTGTGGCTTGTGGCTGTGGCTTCTGATTGTCATACTGCGCCACACTTTAAGCCAGGTGCCCTGATGAAGGGTCGGTGAGGCTCTCATCTACAACTATTCAGGACTGTTGGCTGATTCCTGAAATGCTGAAATCTGTGTGTTGATCAAGATTCCCCTTCAAAACCTCGTCCTCTTTGATATGAGCGGACTCTGAATCCCTCTCCATGTTGCTGTACCTTCTTAGTCAGGATCCCGAGTGCGGACAAGGCTCCATCGAGATTGAAGGGCGTCATTGGAAACTGGCTGCCTACAACTTGGATGCACCTGATGCCGAGCACATACGATTCACTTGTGTCTCCTATGCATGGGGCGAGGGAAGAGAAGGCAGTCCCTTTCATCCCGGTTATGACATTTCCGACCGGACGATACCAGCATTGAACGCCGTTGTGAGCCACCGCCCGTCCTGCGCTCGCATATGGATCGATGCATTCTGCGTGCCCGTCGACACGCCGGAGAGAATCCACACCTTGGAGAGCATGGGCTTTATTTATTCCCGGGCCGAGGAAGTCATTGTCGTCCTGTCCACGGCCGCACGCCCTGTGCTCGAACAGATGAGCACTTCCGATCGCGTCGACCCTGTCCATCTCGATGCTTTGGAGAGGGAGGAATGGGTTTCGAGGGCGTGGACGTATCAGGAAGCGGCGAACAGCAGGGCTCTCTACATCACATGCGAGGAGCCCCGCGGGATCATCATCCCAGGCAGCCATTTCCTGAATTGCCTTGGCTACACCCTGACTCGCCTCGACGGCTCGGTCCCCACGGCAGCCGACAAGAGGCAGCGATACCCGCGTCTCGACGCATTTGAGGACCTGATTGCAGAGCACATGCTCGCCGGGTACCAGGAACGCTCTGCCCTGCAAGTCATGTCGAACATGGATCGTCGCACTCAACGCCGAGGCGAAGACCACTTCTATGCCATGATCGGCGCCATCAGCACTGCGCGCGCCAGCTCCTGCCCGACTCTGGACCCTTGCGAGGCGTTTATGTCCCTATGCGAGAGGAAGGGTGATTACTCGTTCATCTATTCCACCGCAAAGCGAGACTCGACGCTGTCGAAACGCTGGCGTCCGGTGTCAGGAGATCTCCCGGCCATTTTACCTTGGCATTGTTACGGCGAGGGCCAGCCTGCTCATGAGGCGTCTGGGTCCTTATATCTAGACCTGATGCTGCCGCTTGAGGTCTCGCCAGTAGACGAGGATGGAAAGAAGGTCATCCAAGGATGGCTTGCCGCGAGCAAACTTGGTTCTGTCGACTCTGGGGAATCCCTCCAGGAAGCGGCCTATGCGGCCCTTCGAATCATGGGCTTCACCGGCAGTCCAGACTGCGTGACCACGACGCATGGTTTCTTTTTCCCATCCGAGCGGATCTCCACCGACCAATCCATCACCATTTTGGTCGCGACTGAAGTGCGATGGAGCTTTGGCGCGCCGGGGCTTGCTCGCTACAGCGGAGAGGTGGAAACGTACACCCCTGGGGTGTTTTTCGGCCGCATCGACAACGCAGCCGCTGTCTCAGTCAAGGTATCCTGAATGATGGACTGGGGAGAACGTCAAAGGTTTCGTCGCGGGGAACGAAATACTTCACGCCAGAAGGACGAAGTGCCGCTCAGAAGGCTTCACCCAAAGCTACAACAGCAGCTAAACCCTCCCGTCCCCTCTATTTTGTTCTCTATACCTCCATCGTGGTGGAAGTTGAGTCACGACGGGTTACTTCCTCGGTGCTGCACCTGCTATATTTCTACCTGTTTCCGGGGTAAGATCAGCAGAAGGCAGACTCGTCAATGCCCAACTACCTATCTTCTGGGGCACTACACAGCGTGCTGATGATACGTACCCACATACGCACATGCATATAGCTTTGCTTTCGATGTTGTGGTATTAACTCAACGTCTACGCCTCCATCGCGGATCAGACTCTGCAAATTGAAAGGAGGCGGAGTGATGGTGGGTAAGGATGTGGGTGTAAAATGTATACATGCACACTAAGGGTGAATGCATAATGTATATGCAATGTTTACGTAGGTAGAGCAGGGAGACGAAGGCTAAGCGGACGGGACCGAGGACGGAGAAGATCTATTCGTGCGGATAGATCCATTGATTCCATTCCTTGCATGGACAGCGTCTCCCTACAGTAATATTCGAGGATCGATAATCACTTGGCTCCATCAACGTCCGTGCCCGGCTGTGTCCCCCACAAAGATCCTCAAAACCTCCCACCGACGAGGAGATGGATGCTTGGACAGACGTTGCATGGTCGTCTGTTCACGGTGTGCAACGACTCTATTCTCACCGGAACCGTCGTCGAGGAGCTTTATTGATGACAAACGCTGGTTTGATTTCCTAAGGATTCTATAACAGAGTGGTTACCGCTCCCACCACCACCGCCACCACCGTCCCCGTCCCCGTCCCAGATCCTGCTCACTCACCAAGATGGTCTCCCTCGCCGACGTGCTCCTCAACAACACCTCCCTGCTCACGCCCGGCAGCGGCCCCATCTGCGCGCTGGTCGGATGCACCGAGGGGATCGGGCAGGCGACGCTGCACGCGGTGCTGCGCCACACGTCGTCGCCGACCATCTACGTCGTCGGGCGTGGCGGGCCGGGCGGGGTCGACACCACCATCGCCGCCGCGCAGGGGCTCAATGAATCCGCGACCCTCATCCCGATCACTGCGGAGGACTTGGGCCGGGTGTCGTGCGCGCAGGACGCCGCGCGGGCGATCGTCGCCTCTGCTCCGCCCAGGCTGGACCTGCTCATCATCACGGCGCCCTCTTCGCCGGGGCATGCGTTCCTGTCCCTGGGGAGGTGGAGGAGAGCCTCGCGGGACTTTCCCCCCGCGGAGGACAGCCTTGACCGCGCCGCCTGCGTCCGGTACCTCGCGCGCATGCGCATCCTGATCACGCTGCTCCCGCTGCTACGCAAGGCGGCGTCGCCGCGCGTAGCCTGTGTCGTTGTCGGTGGGGGAGAGGGCACACTGCCGCTGCTGCTGCCGCCGCTGGAAGCGACAGCGGATGCCGTGACGACGCTGTTCTTCGAGCACGTGGCCCGACAGCCCGGCAACGACAAGATCGTGTTCCTCCAGATCAGCCCGGGCCTTGCATTCCCTGGTTCGAGCAATGCCGCCCTGCTCCCCTTCCTGTGGGACTGGGTGCTGACGCCCATCTTCAGGCTGGTGGGCTACACTTTGGCAGAGGAGGCGGGCGAGCGGGTCCTCTTCGCCGCGACGAACGGGCGCTTCCGCCGCATCCAGGACCCCGAGCGGGCAAAGGGCACTTTGATCCAGCAGGGCAGTGATGGCGTCTTGGGCAGCGGCGTGTACCTCGTGAATGCGGACTCGAGCGTCGTCGAGGGCGGCAGGGACAAGGAGCTGAAGAGGTTGAGGAGTGGGATGGACGCCGAGCAGAAGACCTGGGAGTATACGATGGGCGAGTTGGCGAGGATCGGAGGGGATGGTCAAGACTGAGAAATGATATGTGAATGGGAGCGTATACAGTACGGTCTCTCGGGACACGCCACAAACACAGTAAGCCAATCAGCAGGCGACAGCAGATGGTAACTAGCTAGCGAGAGAGGGTTCTCACTCTGGTAGAGGTAATAGTAATGGTTCTTGACGCTTTAGATCCGGGCAAACTCTACTCAAACAAAAGCACGCAGATGATTTGGGCCACTTCAGCACGAAATCTGATGACTCCCCGTTCGCCCACTCCAAAAAAAAGAATCGCTGAAACACACGTCTTAATCCAGCGTTGCTTCCTGAACAAGGTGAACCTCCCGCCAGTTCCGCTCGATAGTTCCGGTGTCCAGATTGGCTCGCCAGACGCTCAACTGCCATCGTGGAGATCCATCCTGTGATGTTTCGGGTAAGTGGAACCGTATCGGGAAGACGAAGAACATGCTATAGGGGCGCGTCTTCTGCTTGAACGCCTCTTTAACTGGACCGTATCCATCCCTCGATTCCAGAACACGCCATACATTCAACATAACATTCGCATCCGAGAGCTGTTCGGAGTCTGCTTGGTGCGGAATAGTGATAGTCCAGCCCTTGGGGTTGGGTGCGAACGTCGCTGACCGCAGATTGGGAAATTTGTCCAGGTTGAGTTCCCATGTTGACTCGAGTTCAAAGACATTCAGCCGCACGTGGCGGACGTCGTCCAAACTGTGTAAGGCTTTCATCCTGTTCACGAACGAGTGCAGCGCTTGGTGACAATGAAGCTCCCACATGGCGATCTGGATGAAGACACGCTGTGCCTCACGCCGCACTTGTCCCGGCGGCGCAGACTTCAGCAGCCACTGGTGGTCCGCACGATAGGGGCCCGTCGCATCGGAGAAGCAGTAACAGCCCGACTTTGCGGTTACGGCAACCCGATTGCCATGGAAAGCGTGTGCAAAGACGTCCCATCGGATTTCGGCGGGCAGCTTTGTCAGGCGCGAGATCACGTCTGCGAGTCGCTTGTCGCGAGTTTCCAGGGGAAAGAAGTAGGGCCGCGCGGTGAGAGTGTGGAAATATGAGGTCTCGGCTACCGCAGACTCGGACATGGCGATGGAATGCTGATGGCCAGGAGGATAGGTGGGCAGCGTTTGGTCAAGATTTCACATCGTTAGGCGGGCGCAGATGCTCGAAATGAGAAGAAGCTCACTCACTCACAGCCAGGACCCAATTACCAGTGTCGACAGTGCTCCGAGGGTCGATAGCTGGCACGAGCTGTTATAGAACAAGGGAATGGTGGACTGATAGTGGCTCATCGCTCACTTCCGCTTTCATGCTTGCACAGGAGAAGTCTATAGTGCACCGTAGGAATTGCTACGGTGACGCAAACAGCCGCTTTGGAAACCAATATTCTATCACGTGCCAACAGGCCATCTACATACAAGTATCTCGCACGAGTAAATACATTATCCTTCGTTCATCATCAAAGGGCCACGGCGTCTGTGGCTGGCTTCGTGCCTATTTCCAAACGGTAGATGCTGCATTTGACGAATATCGATACAGAAAGGGAATCTGACCCTCAAGAGCAAGCGAAAAAGTCGACCGATTTAGGAAATGCAAATGCTTTTTGTATTTCGAATACCTGGAGTCTGCCCGACCAGATGAGCGAGAACATGCTGATGGAAAATGGCTGTAAGCAACTGCGCACCGACGGAAAAATGATTGCACTTTCCAGGTCGGCGAGGTGGTAGTACAGATAACGAGGTGCCAACTTTGCAATGTGGCCAACCCGAAATTGTCAAAACTTGCGTTAACTCGTGCACAATCGACTCTCAAATAGGAGGTGGTATCGTTCAGCGCTTGGTTCGTGGCATATGCGTCACGGAATCGTAACAACGCCCACAGTAATCATAAGAGACCGAGTTGATAGATGCCAACGGAGGCTATTCAACCTCTGGTCACACTGGACAGTCCTTCGTAACCATGTTTTTCATGCACGTGGTCGTTATACACCTCTTCGCACAGAGAACTGGTCTTGCCTTGACCGACTATACGCTTTCGCTGGGTGTGGATGCCTCATCTGTCGAATCTTGTCGTGGAAACCGTCATCATCATGGTCCAATGTCTTTGGAAGACTGTCAACTCGCAGTGGACGCCCGCCGGTAGCAGCAGAAGATAAATGATTGAGCACGGCAACATCCTGACTGGATGTCTTGACAGCGGCTGCGTGTTGCTTTGGCTTCAAAGATCGAGACCCTGTCGGCAAGGATGGCACTGGAGGCAACTCTCGGTTCGGGGGTGGTTTCGCTGGTGGATCAGAAGGTGGTCGAGGAAAGTACTTCACACCTTCATCTGACGACGCGCTCGTGCTATAGTTCAAGTAGGTGAATGCACCTGTCTCGATCGACTCACCAAACGACAGTCTGGGGTCCACCTGACTGTCATTGTTGTGCCAATTATTCCAGTGCTTTTGCCTGGGTGTGTCCAGCTCATTGGACCAAGGTATCAGATTCGGAGGGGCAGCTGCCTCCGCGCGACGACCATTTCGGTGGAGGGAATGATCACGGGAGCGCGGACTATCAGCCACAACCGTGTCGGAGACGCCGTCGAAATTGAAGGATAAAAGCGAACTGACGGACGTTGCTCCCGGTGTCGTGGTTATGCTGGGAGGTGTGTGGCTGACAGGCGAGTGAACCATTGGAGCATCCAGAAGAATGTTCTGTTCTCGCTGCTGTCTTTGGTCTCTTGTGATGGAGCGTGCATTTCGAGATTCCTGACGGAGGTTGTCTCCTGAACTGTGGCTCTCTGGTCCTCGCTCCGGCACTTTCCTCTCCCGAATTGGAATGTTTCTACTCGTCTCCTTGCTCTCAGTTTTCTGTTGAGCTGCACAGTGGAGTCTATCGACACCAGCAAAGCGACGGATAAGGTCGCCTAATTTGTGCTCGAGCTGACCGCTAGTCAGCCGTGCGAGGGGATCGCGCTCGAGACACTGAAGAATGAGCTGCACGACAGGGCCGACGGCATGATAGACCTGGCCTTCGTTCTTTTTTGCCTTCTTTTCGGCTTCATTCTGGAGACTCTGCGCCCATAAGAAGACCTGACCAAGGTTGGCGTGGAAGCTCGCGTCCGCCAAACCACCACCACGGCCAGCCATCCGATTTTTGGAAGATCGATGTCGTGAAAATGAGCCATAGCTACGTTTGCAGAGAAGATTCAGGACGTCCATTATCACAGCCCCGAGTGAAAAAACATCTGACGCAAACATGTCCTGCTCCACAGACTGCCAAGTCTGAACGACAGCACTTCGGCCCTCCGGCGCCGCGACAAAAATAGGGTTGTTGAGGGAGGGAGCATTCTTGCCATTGGAACTAGTAGACGATAGAATGGATGGCGCCCTTCCCGGGACGATCGGGTCAAAGCCGGGTCGTGCCTTATCTTGGGTTAATACGGATCTGTTGTCGGTCGGCGACCCAACGTCCCTAACACGGCCACCAGGCTGGGGTGGCGCGTCAAGATTCATCGCTGCGCTCAAGCGAAGCCTTGCATACCCCCCTCTTGAAGTAGGTTGAAATGTATAAGTTGCTCCGGACGATGCCGACCTGCTTCTTGCGGTATTCTTGCCATCAGAGTTCAACCTCGAGTTACCACCCACCTTCCGGCCAGACCTTCCGCCAGAGGGAAGCGAGAGGGCGGCAGAGCCAGTGCTTTGCACTGTTACCGCTCGCTTCCATCGCTCTGGCGGGCCGTACTGATAGGCCTCGATGTCGTCGTGGCGAGGCCTGTGGCGAAGCAACCCGTCTCCGTCCAGGAGGCCTAAAGAGATGCAGAAGGAGTCGTCAACCTGGATATTGGAGGGGCGAATGCCCCCATGAAATTCGCCGTTCTCGTGTAGCCAGGCTAAAGCGCTGGCAAGGCAGTGTGGCCAATTGATCAGAATTTGTCGTCGCCGAGGCTTTGGGAGAGCACCAAAACTTTTGGGAGTATCGGTGAGAAACGTCTTCAGAGTCCATTCGGCCGCAGGCGCTGAGATGACATTGAACGCCCCTTGGTGGAGATAGGAGCCAAAGACTGACACGATATGTTGGTGACATAGTCTCCTGCTCGCGGCGATTTCATTCAGAATGTCCTCCTCCGTCAGCGGAGCCTCGAGGATGATACGGCGGCGAATGAAAACCCTTTGATTGTCGGACGGTAACCGAACTCGGTCGGTGCCTTCGTGGCTGAACGAAAGAACGACGGATTTCAAACTGAGAGGGACGACCGGGACTGTCTCTTCATCGGCATAACGGATATGCTCTCCTTCCCCCACAATGCGCGTCAGAAACCGGAACTGGTTCTTGTAGAAACGTCGGTCCAAGGACCTGTCCGGTTCATAGGACAGTCGGAGGTCGGGGACGGCTTGCTCAATGATGGGTAGATCTTCATCATCGTACGAGTCATCGATGATGCCAAAGATTTGATCGGGCACACCAGTGGCAACCAGGATGAGGAAGAAGCGTTTCGCTCTGGTGAGGATCCAGTCCAAGTAGGTATCGTCGGTCAGATCCCCTCCAAAATACAACGGCCGCTGAAGATATTCCTGTTCATCTGCGCGCAGATGAGAATGGACATATGCGGAGGTGACCGTTTCGTCCACACGCTCATCCGTCCACAACGACATGGTTCAGATGATTCGCCCTCGTGAGCAGGACGATAGGAAGATGGTCAACGCGAGGTTTTGAGTCGGTGGCTAGCAAGTGAGCCATAGTCTTATCGGAGAGCATCCGGCCAGGAGAGCAGGGGTTTTGGAGCAAACACGTGGAAAGTGGGCAGTAGTCATGATTAGCAGCAACCAAAAGGGATGTCAGGAACAAAAAGCAGCTGCGATGCTTACTCTACAGGAGATGAAACCGGGGAAGAGGACGGGATAGATCGAAGGATGGGGAATCCTGGCGTCTTATTTGGCTCAAATTGGGAACGTTCAGGTCGCGTGAATGGGTGTGGAGCGGGAACGGTCTCGCATGGCAAGTGGCGGCGCGAGAGAGGAAAGAGATAGAGGCATGGATGACGGCGGTATGTTCGAGTGGGGGTTCGACCTACTACTAGGTAGGGAGGCAAAGGGAGATATACTCGTACCAACTCACTAGATAACATGGGAGTAAGACGGAGGGGGGGAGAGAGACGCAGACACACCTTATCTCGACCCAACAGGGGGGGAAGTAGTGACAGCCCATCTCTTCGACCCTTGCTGCTTGCTTGATTCCCTGCAGATGTGCAAAAGCAGTTTGAGTTTCTCACATCCTCCTTTTTTTCATTTTGAGACGCCTCGACATCGCTGACGGCGTGAGGAGGGAAGAGGGGGTGGCCTAAACTGAACGGTGTGCCAGTCCGAATGGCAATAATCTCACAGTGTATCCCGTCCGAGTTGTTGGTGATATTGCACGGTGCTGTGACGAACTCTAGCAACTCTCTGATGTGCCGGGGGTTTGATTGCGCTGCAAGATGTGCTGCAAGACTTGCTGCACGGATGATGTCGTTGCTCGTACTGGATGGATGGCACGGGATGGCTTGCTCAACGGTGGCGGCTGCAGCGGTAGCGGGTGATGGGACCAGGGGGGAGACAGTTAGAGCAAGAGCAAAAGATCGGATGCACGATGCATGACTCCTGTAAACTGCCCAGGGGCGCATTTGACTGGTCGTCCGCCAGCCTTATCAGCCCTGATGGTCGATTCAACCCTATTATCAGTTTAGTTGCAAATAAAACCAAATGACCACTCTCTCAAGGCCCCGATTCGCGTGGGTCTCTGCATCCTCTCTGACAGAAGCAACCTCGGCTCCCTCGATAACGCTGCCGCAACGATCCAAAAGCACTCTCGTCCTATCCCCATTCGATGGAAGTCTACTTCATACTATTGCCTGAGGCGACTTCCGCCGCTCCATGGTGTGGGGCACCTTGTCCTGCTTCGGGGAGGTCAGCGAGAGGGATCACGGATCTGACTCTCTGACTGCGGACTAAGGCCTCAAAATCAGAGTGAGGTTCCGGGTTGACCCTCCCTGGTGGCCTATTATAAACACGACTGACATGATCGGCAGTTTGTCATTGCTCCCAAAGAAACCCTCGAACGACCCGGTGCACTGCAAGGGCCAGTCCTATAAGAACCCGCAACGGCTCGACATGTTGCTGAGAGTGAACTCGAGAACTCTTCCTGGGAGAGAGTTTGGCACTCTGTCATAAGGCCTTCCATCTACAAGGATCACTCCAGAACATTGCACACCCCGCAGGACATGAAACAGGAGAGCAAACAATTTGGACCAATATCCCCATCAATAACCAAGGGAATCATGACGACCATCCGAACTAGTTATCGTCATCTACTTCCCGCGACATGCCCACATGTTTTCAGCGCAGATCACTTTTGTCAACATGAATGGAAGCAGCCTGCCTTCACAGCGATGTGCCGAGTCAGTATCACAATCATCCGGTCGGAGTGCAACTTTAAGAGAAAGGCGTGTCGTCAAGACAACTCCTCACCGACAGCCACTGGGTGCTGTTGGCCGTCCTTGCCCATGATTTGTTGACCGCCAGTTGTTGTTTTTTGTTCACGACCATCTAGGTGTCGAGTAATATCGGTGATGCGGACCCGTGGCTCTGGATGCCATCTCTAGTCGTCAATCTTTCTCAAGCATTGTTGCTTCTGTGGGAAATGTGGTGTCGGTTCATCCAGAGGCCGATACGCCACTTGCCAAATCATCCCGACCGAGAACTCAAAAAGGTTGCCCCCCTCCACTCATCTCGCAATATTTGATTAATGCAAATATGTGCTGTCAACAATGGGTTTGAAGACGTACACGCAAAGTCCAGGCAGAATGACAAGATGACAATTTAAGGGAGGAATATTTCAATTTTCCCTGGCAAACCCGTCCCCAAGGTGCGGCGCCCCCGAAATACTTGACCTTAAGCAGCGCAAGCCCCAAGCAGCTGACCATTCCATTTGTGTTCTTGGGTGACGAGGTTGGATGCCTCCGTGCCATGGAAAATATGTGATGGCCCATCTGAAGAGCGAATCGAAGTCTTTCGCTCGTGTACCCCGTACATGATCAAGCCTGACTGCTCGAGAGAGTATGACTCACAATACTCGCTCTGAAACAGATGAACAGCATTCAAATGTCCCTTCCGAGATCCATGGTGTGAAAGAGTTTTTGGTTGCTCGGCAGCGAATGATCGGCGACGATATCAACAAACCCCGAAAATTTCAGCCTTGTATTCACTCATGAAACGCGGTATCCACTGCAAGACAGAACGGATGCTCCCAGAGGTTGTGAGGGCCGGCTCTGACCGGTGCTCAAACCAGTTGTCACCGCGGTGCAGAAAGCACGGACAGCAGACTATGATCATTTGTCCTGGAGCAAAGACCTCACCTGCACGGGCGCAGAAGACCCATGTTGATGAAACGCGTACACAGCAAATGGACAAAATGCCTTGGCCGTCCGTGCAGTCGCTTGCAGAAACGCTACACATTCCATATTGCCTTCACCGCCCGTGCAAGGAGGAAGGATGATTCGAGGAGATGCTGAAGACTGCCCGAGTGTAAGGCTCCCGTGACGGATCATTGCCAAGTCCGCAGGATCTCGCGAGACTGGGGAGATTGGGCCCCCCTGATCGACAACCAGAGAACACATTTCAGGCCCGAGGAATTTTCCCCCCAATCGTCTTGATGCGGGCGTAGGGTTCGGGCACCATCCAGCTAAGTGTAGGTTCAAACAGCGGTCTATGCGATACGCTACCAGTGCTCGGCTGTTGCAGAGCGGTAGCATGTTCCGAAGGGGTTGTGCAGATGGTGCCTTATAAACTTGTGTTGCAAGGCGCCAAGATCACAACAGCTCGTCGAAGCTACAGTGCTGTACTGTAAGTCCAGGTTGATACCACGAGAACCAGACGTATTACCGGCGCCACCAGCGCCAACCCCAAAGCCTTGCTCCGCAAATCGGTGAGTCCAAATCTCGCGGAAGGCTTGGTGAGATGAGCCGGATGAGACACGGCGAGACAGGATGGTTCACAGCCACAGGCTCCCGGGGCCTGGAGCTTAATAATAGCATCTCTCAGTAGGGGCAAGACAATCATCCTCGACACCGGTTTCGAAGTCCTCGTAAGCTGCGGGTTCATGACGGCTCAAGGCCTGATATGCAAGGCCGAGTCGTGCTGGGCCAAAAGAGCATAATGGACAGGATGGGAATTCCCTGAGCACGGGCCAGCCACAGGAAATAAATGCCGCCCAAAGCTTGCGAGCTTCGTCTGGATCAAGCCGTACTTCGTAAACCTAGGTAAGTGCCTGATGGATCTCCAGCTGGAGCTGTTCGCGGCGAGCGCAGCTCGACAGGGGACTCGAGCCTATTATTTCACAGGCTCGCAGGTGAGGAAAAACCCTAAAGACTCATGCGCAACGGCCCAAGATGATCCACTGGCTCCTTTAGCGACCTGTCCTTCGCTGGACGCAGCTGGAACAGAAGAATTTGAGGCCAGGGCTAAACAACAGAGTTTCCCGTTCTGCTACGGAGCCCCTGTCACGGATATGTGGCTCGTACGATCCACGAGGGTCTAGAACACGCCAACTGTCATCCTCGACCACCCCGATCCTAGGGATTGGCACTCCACTGCGATGTTCTGCATAGCCAGATGCCTGTGCCTAATCCTCTCTTGCTCGTTGTTGGGCCTGTTCCAGTGCCCACGTAACTTTGGACCTGCGAAAAATGGCGCGAAGGCTACGGTGTTGTACCTGCAAGTGCTCCCACCGGTCTCCTTGACCGCGCCTCACCCGCCCAAGGCCATCTGAGAAAAAAAAAGGACCCTCACATCTGGTCGTACATGACTCTTGTGGCCCGACACAGCCGAGTGCTTCCTCGACGTCTTTTCTTCTTTGTTTGTTCACAGCTGGTTTCCGTTTGCCCAAAAGGCTGGTCTCCAGAGCATTTTGGCTGTGAGAGCGTGGCCCTTTATCCTCCTTGTTACTCCCTTGTAATAATTCCGGTCCTTCGTTAATACTTCTCCCAGCTCCCGCATTGGCTTTTCTCACTTGCAACCTGCCCAGAGAATTCCACACGCCTCCCTGCACGGTTGTCCGAGTTGTCTCTACCCTTGACCATTTTCCCGGCAGCCGATCTTCATGGGCGTGCGAGATCAGCCCTGCCAATGACCTCCCAGCCTCTGTCGCTGGATAATGGCTTGCCAACTGTCGCCAAACGGCAACCGGTAGTCGTGCAAATACAAGAGCTTGGCCTGTGCCTGTCAAGTAGGGGGAGATGCGACGAAGTCACTCATGGCGTCGTGGAAGTTTTGGGAAAGTCGGAAGATGGTATCAGGAATGGTGCAAGATCCATGTTGGACGGACTGGGACTGAAAAGACCATACCATGATATTGGATTGGGTCAGAAACGGACTTTGCGGCCCAAGCCGCGACGGAGGTCATCGTCACTAGGGTCACTGGATGGGATCAATATGGGGCATGACGACGACTTGGGTCGGAGCGACCAGCCTGCGAGCATCTATAAAACCAGAAGTTCCGACGCCGCGGGGCCTTTTATGGCGCGGGTGGGAAGAGAGAGGCATGAGGGATTCCATTACGATCTGAACGGAGACCGTCCAACATTCTTAGACGTTACTGCCGCTCCTATCCACGTCCCAGGACCGTTATCCACCCATGGCTGGTACTACCCCTCTCAGTTTCTAGGACAAGTGCTCAACGGACCGTGTGGGATTGTACCACCCCTTACGCCCCCGGAGGATCTTGACTCTTTCAAATGGGAGACTCCGTCACAAACAGGCTCTAGTGGAGGTGTTCACACCGCATCCAACGTTGAAGGCGGTTCTGCAAACCAGAGACAAACCCAGCCTCGCACTAGTTCCACGTCCCGACCATCAGAGATACGAATGCCAGAACCATCGAACATGGCGCGGGACGAACCAAGCAGATCGAACTGGCTCGAACGAGCCTGCCACCATCTTGGTATGTTGCTCCTCGACTCAAACTTGATATATTCGCTAACAGGGTCTATGTACAGTTTCTTCCTCCGGAGACTCAACCAGTCCACAACAGATTCAAATGGTTGTTCAGGCTCTACCATCTCAACCAAGGTCGACCGAAACGAGGCCAATCTACGACAGAGTGGTTGAAGATGTCCAAAACCACTTCACCTCCCCACCCTACATCACAATCACGCACGCATATTTCCAAGCCATCAGCATGGACGAAGTTCCCGCCTCGCCTCCCGCGACACCCAACACCAACTATCCGAGTGACGACTACTTCCAGGATCACACCGTGTTCACACATGCGGCCGTGGTTCCGGCGTACCACTCCCAGACAGCCACTTTCAGTGCAGTTGCCCCACGGCCCTCGAACATCATTGCAGCTCCAAGCAGTATTCAGATTTCGATCTTGGAGCGGTACATTCCGCCTACCACACCCCGGGAAGTCGAGGACTTTTTCACGTTGAGCAGACGATCCTATTTAGCCGACCGGCTGCTTGAATTGTCCTCGAATGACGGGTCGTTACTACTGATCTACCCGACGAAGCAGGGCGGGCAAACATTTGCGAACCGTTACATCGGGCCAGTCATCGAACCTTTTCTACGGCAGTTTATCCTTTTGAATAACCTCTACACCGACATTGCGATCCAACTAGGCCGCATGGAAGCGGTCTCGAGTATGAAGAGCTTCGAGGAGCTGCAAGCCCTACTGTCGGCAATGTGCGAGGCTCTCAGTCAGAGAGCACCGTCACGGGGTCTGCCAAGTCGGTACCAGATTATTCACGCTGAAACGGCTGAGGTGGTACTAGACCGCGCCCTGTGGAAAGAGTGGTATATTGAGCAAGAGCAGCCTCGGTTACGACAAAACTTGGTGGATTATCACAAAAGTGGCGGTCGTATGCCAGCTAGAAGCGGTCGGATTGAAGTGACACCGGGCATGCTTGCCAGAGAAGTGGTTGATGGGATCCGCCAGAGTCGGGAAACTGCAGGAAATGTTGGTGTGGAGGTTGCAGTGTTTGTCGTTCGACGCACGACTGTCGTGTAATACTCCTTTTTTTTCCGGCGACAAAGAGACTGCATCATTGACGGCGCGGCTGGCAACTGGGGATACAGCATGGCACTGTAATTTGATCAAGCATGGTGTTGCGGGCTGACAACGAGGTTTTTCGGGTGGCGCAATTTGGAGCCACAGGACAATGAATGAGCAACGAGATACCCAGCCGACTGTGCGATTCTAATGAAGTTAAAGTCGATGCACATGAACAAAGACATCCTCATGGGTGCCGGTGGTCCCATACATACCTCCTCGTCTGTACAGAGTTGGGTCAACCGCAGTTTTCCCGAACTGGCACCCATTGTCCTCTATCAACACTGACGTCGACGGCGTCGTCCACCAGGCATTATCAAAATTAGCACTGCTGGTGCGGCGATATGAGGATGACGTGCGCCGTCAAGCGAGATTGTAGATGTTTCAGAAATCTTATCACGCTGTCCAGGATTAGGATAAGTAGCACAGGAGTTCTCGATGGCTTCGAGAAACAGGACCAGCACCTACAATTACAAGTAGGGAGGCGGCGAGCTAAGTTCAACAGGGGGGGGGGGGGGGCAGAGCAGGTTACGGCGGGCGGGCGTAGGAGGGGGCAGCCAACCAAGCTGTTCAGGTACCTCAGACAATCCGGACAAACTCTCCGGGGGTGCCTGGGGCCCTGCACCTACCAATACGAGTACTTCGTACTCTGCCCAGTGCGCAGTGCCCACGGGCTTCCACCTCTCCCGCCACAGTTCCCTATCTCGACCACCTCGGAAGCCCAGTAGATAGCGGGAGATAACAGGCCGGGTCGCACAATCTTGCATCCTGGCCATTCACCCACGCCTCTAGCGACTTAGCAACCTGCGTTATCGGTTCGACGGCATGGGTCAAGAACGGGGGGATCTTGATGGACAATGCATGAAACTTGTCCATCTCCCACCACGCTACGGCCCAATTCTACCTCGCGTCTTCCAACTTCCTTGCGTCTTGGGCCTGCGATTGACTAGGTTCGGGGCAGCGTGCAGCGGGAGGCGACCTTGAACTCTACCACTACTGACTGCGACTCGCAGGATTGATCGCATTTTCCGTAGCCAACGGATGCGCAACTGGTGGTGGGCAGCGGCTGAATTGAACCATGTTGAAGCTCTCCTCGAATTTCACCACTTGATCTTCCCCTGTGCTCCCCCTCATCCGTCCTTGCCATTGTCGTTGCTGGCAGTCGCCGGTGATGTCTGTCGTTCTTGCATGACCTGGTTTCTTCTCCTTCGTTGTCTCCTGGTTGCTGTCGCGCCTGCTCTGTGAAGAGAATTGCGACTGCCCATCGCTTTTTTTGCTGCGGCTCCCGCTCGTCCCTCTTTATCTTCACTGACACTTCACTCACAGGCGGCACAGTCACTCAAATCTCATTGCCTTGGGAACGAGATCCTTTTCTTCTTTTGCACATATTATTTGTCACTGCTGGTGGTTGGTTTATGCCCGACCTCTGACCCGGCGTTGCTACTTTACCACCACTGGCAACACTTCTGAGCGATTGAACTCGAAAGGTTCTCCTTTTGCTCAGACCACCAAAGTGTTTTGACATCAGTACTGCTCTTAATATTACCTCCCTCCATCCAAGGCTCGGGAGACCTCAAAAAACCATGGGTGCTCAACCAGTCTTGATCTTTCTGGTGCTTGCGGCCATCTGCGCCACAATCAACGCCATTCCCACCATCTCAGCGGTCGGCTCCAAGTTCTTTACAAGTGATGGCGACCAATTCTTCATCAAAGGCATGGCTGAGTCCCTGCAAGGCACTTCTTGATCGTGGCTGACTGAAGCGTTCTCCGCAGGTGTTGCCTACCAGCTGGTCGAAGATGACCCCCTCGTGAACACCACCCAATGCAAAATGGATGCCGCGCTCATGCAGCAATTGGGCGCCAACACCATTCGTGTGTACCATGTGGACGCATCTGCGGACCATTCGGGTTGCATGAACGCCTTCGCCGCGGTTGGGATCTATTTGTTTGTGGATATGGACAGCTTCAAAACATACATTCGATACGTACGGCAGAGAAGAATGACCAGGGCAAGAGACGGGACAGCTGACACTAGGCCAGGATACTGACTCGTCGTGGACCGCGAACAAATCAGCCTCCTACAGAGCTGTTATGGACAACTTTCAACAATACGACAACACCGCTGGCTTTTTCGTGGGTAACGAGGTGCTCAATGTTTGTATGTGACAGATGCCTCTCACTGAGGGTCCGGGAGCCTGCTAATAAGCCAACAGTGGCTGATTCTGGAGCTGCTCCATATCTTCTCTCCGCCGCTGCCGACCTCAAGAGTTACCGGGACGCCAAAGGCTACCGCAAGATCCCCATCGGCTACTCGGCGACTGACACTGCCGTTCTTCGGCCTATGCTTCAAGACTACTTGGTGTGCCGTCCTAACGTGACCGAACGCCTCGACTTCTATGCATTGAACAGCTACGAGTGGTGCGGATCCACACCCGATTTCCAGACTTCGGGATACATTGGATTGCAGGCGCTTGCCGAGAATTACCCGGTCCCCATTTTCTTCTCGGAGGATGGATGCAATACAGTGCCGCCGCGAACATTCGACGATCAAGCTGCCATCTTTGGCCCTCAGATGGTTGACACCTGGTCTGGAGCAATCATCTACGAGTGGATTCAGGAGATGAACAATTACGGGCTCGTCTCGTATGGCCCGCAGGTCGGAGCAGACGTCAACGACGGGTCGACTATTGTGCAAGGGTAGATGACGGCTTACCAACCACGAGTTTTATGCGCGATCGAGCTGACCAAGTGACAGATTCACTCGCCAAGGAGTCCCGACTCCCGTGTCACCGGATTTCAGCAACCTCCAACAACAATGGAAGACGCTGACCCCTACAGGCGTGAGTTCTGGTCAGTATGCGGCGACAGTCACGACCACGCCGCCGGCTTGCCCCAGTTCGACCGCAGGAGGATGGACAGTGGACCCCAGCGCACCTCTCCCGACGATTGGAGTGGGTGCCGTCTCAGCAGGTATGCCAAGCGGCGTGCCGAAGGGCAGCATTACAGTGGTCCCTTCTGCCGCCGGAACCCCTTCTCCTTCTACTTCGCTCTCTGTTTCTCCTTCCACGTCGCCGTCGGTTTCGACTTCGCAGACCAGTAGTACTTACAGCTCGACAGTCACCCCATCATCGGTCTCCTCGACAGCCAGCGGCACCTCATCAGGAGGCGGCAGCTCGGCCACCTCCCAGGGAGCTGCTGGCAGAACCGCCTCCGGACCTCCCTCGTTCAAGGATGCTGGATTTGTGGGCATGGTGTTTGCATTGGCGACCGTGGGCGCCGGCGTGATGGTCTGGTTGTGAAGCACCAGCAGGGGTGTGGCAAGCAGGGGGTGTGGTTGATCTTACGACTCACGAAAAACATAACTGCGAGTTTCGAACGGGGAAGAGTTCAGAAATGCGACCAAGTGTTGGGTGAAAGTGGAAAGGTAGACGATACACAAGTATGGTACGTGACTGCAACAAGGAAACCGACATAGATTTAATGGTAATGCACGATTGACGGGCAGGCGTTTGCCATGTGTTCTGTTTATGCTCTTCACTCGCCAGCAAGAGTTGATATTCCGATAGATGCAAAATGGTGGATGCCGATTGACATATAGCCTTCGCGATCTGCATAACCGAGACGTGCTTGCGCAACCATTTGTCAACCGCTTCGGCTGATGCCCGAGACTCCGTCCCAACCAGAGTAGCGGCATGTCCCATTCGGGAAGCGCTGGTCTCGAACAATGTGAGTTGACGGCCTTGTCGCAGCGGTCCGGCTATTACGGCACGTCGCCCCCTTGTGGTCAGCCAAGCAGAAGAAGAATAGTTCGAATAGGAAGATAATGAGGACCGTAAGGGTGATGGGATCCGGGAGGAAGAAGGGTGGACAGAGTAAGCCGTCGAGTATACCCCCGTCCCGTCTTCCTATTCTGGCCACCCTACACGGAGGATCCAGTAGGCGTCATCTGCCCGAGAAATTCGGCCGAAGAACATGAGTCAAGCAGGTGGATTGGGCAAGTGGTAGAAGTGAGCGACGCGTCGAGATGAGCCACACAGCTGTTGACACTTGAGGCTGACACGAGTCGTGAAGGCATGAAAGCGAAGGTGAATGGAAGGGGGAAGAAAAAAATATTAAGTTAAGTCCGGAAAATCATGCTGACCCACCGTGTAATATTGTATCTACTTGTAGTGTCTAACTGCATCGCCCTTGGTGCTGCTGCCGCTGCCGCTGCCGTTGGTGGCTTTTTCATCCTGACCTCACCGGTATTTCATCCTTTTTTCACTTTTCAATGTGTGTGAGGTGTGATGCCCACCACCCCAACGTGACGACATTATTATGGCTCCTTCGTGAACCGCCCATCGCATCCCATCCCATCGGCTACTGTCAGAGCAAATGGATCTGTTCGGTGATGGTTTCTTACGCTCTGTGTCCAGGCCAACAAGTCCCCCAGCTGCATGGAACCCGTTGCGTTGCAGTGATGTGATTCGGACGAAGCATCCCATGTCCATTATCATTACCCGCACCATGGCATCCCCTTCCTTTTGCTCTTCCCTTTGCCTTGCTTTTTCTTCTCCCAACCCGCTCCAGGCTTATAAATCCGTCCTCCTCCACGTGCCCTGGCGGCTGCTTGTTGAACTCCGCAATGTCCGGCCCTGACTTGTCATTGGCATTCGCTAGCCTCTGGGTACGGTCCCCTGTTCGCCGTTCGAACCCTTGCGGTGTGTAGGGCCTACTGTCGCCGCGTATCTCCATTCGTTCGCTTCCCCCTCTGTCTCTGCCCTACTTCATTATTTTCATTTCTCTGGTCCTTCCAAGACTTTTTTGAGGTGGCATCCTTCTCTCTGTCTCTCCGGGTTCAAGACTCAATCTCCGGAGAGCGTCCGACCTGCCGGACATTGACAAACCCTTTTAATCTGAGAGTTGACCGACCTTCACCTTGGACTCAAGAGTGCTCTGTATATCAACCTGCCCACAGAGCACCTATATCTCCAAGGAACCCAAAAAGGAAGTGAGCCAACATGTTCAACCAGCACAGTGGAGAGATGTTCCGCCGGCGGTACGGCCGCGAACGTGAGTACCTCCCGACCCCAGACCCTCAATATCGGACGAAGCACTGACAAGCCTAGCATCTCTCGCGAACTTGCACAATGTCGCCTTGCCTGGGCAGCTGTCGCAGGATGCAAGCGCTGTGCCTTCGCCTCATGGTTCTGGGGAGCCCTCGAGAAGCCAGAGCCAGGAGCGGGACGGGACGTGGGGTGAGCGTGATATCGGAGGGCCCGTCAGCCGTGAAGAGGCCATGGCAGAGTTTGAGGAGATTCGGAGGGAGATCTCCAAGATCAGCCTGCAGCGTACCGCAACTCGTGAATCCGGCGCTGAAAAGGCCAGGACTTGGCTCTCTAGAGGTCGATCGCGGCCCTCGATGGCTCGGACCCGAACAACCGCTTCAAGAGCCAGCAGTATGGCTACTGACGCGACCTGGGACAAAGAGGCTGGTCCGGAGCCGGCCGAGGAGGACGACCTGGATCTGGGTGCTTTCCTCAAGGATGGCCATTTCGAGAAACGCACCGAAGCAGGCGAGTCGGCCAAGAAGGTTGGAGTTCTGTTCAGGAATCTCACAGTCAAGGGCGTGGGTGCTCAAGCCACCTTCACAAAGACTCTGCCAGAGGCCATCATGGGCACGTTTGGACCCGACCTGTATCATCTTGTGACCAGATTCGTCCCTGCTCTCAAAGTCGGCAAACCGCCTCCGACGAGGGACCTGATCCACGATTTCACGGGCAGTGTGCGCGACGGCGAAATGATGCTGGTGCTCGGCCGTCCTGGATCAGGCTGCTCAACCTTCCTCAAGGTCATCGCCAACCAACGGGAAAGCTTTGCCGGTGTCGAAGGCCTGGTCACTTACGGTGGTATCTCCGCCGAAGAACAAAAGAAGCGCTACCGTGGCGAAGTCAATTACAATCCCGAGGACGATCAACACCTCCCTAATTTGACTGTGTGGCAGACCCTGAAGTTTGCGCTGATGAACAAGACCAAGAAACATGATGCTAGCACCATCCCCATTATCATCGATGCGCTCCTGAAGATGTTTGGCATCTCCCACACGAGAGACACGTTGGTGGGAAACGAGTACGTGCGAGGTGTTTCCGGGGGAGAACGAAAACGAGTTGGGATCGCAGAGACCTTGGCGACAAAGTCGACGGTGGTCTGTTGGGATAACTCGACCCGCGGTTTGGATGCCTCTACCGCTTTGGACTACGCAAAGTCGCTGCGGGTCATGACTGACATTTCCAACCGAACCACCTTCGTCACCCTCTATCAGGCAGGTGAAGGGATCTACGACCTCATGGATAAAGTCTTGGTCATTGAGCAAGGCCGCATGATCTACCAAGGCCCGGTGAAGCAGGCGCGGCAGTATTTCGTTGACTTGGGGTTCCATGCCCCCGACCGGCAAACCACGGCGGACTTCCTGACTTCCGTGGGCGATCCCAACGAACGACAGTTCCGGGACGGCATGGAAGCTGCAACACCCAAAACTGCACAAGAGCTGGAGGCGGCATACCGCCAATCAGACATCTACAAAGGCGTGCTTGCCGAAGTCGAACGCTACGAGAGCGAAATCAAGGCTTCTGACCGTTCAGACGCCAGACAGTTCCAGGCGGCCGTCCAGGAGCAAAAGAGCAACAGTAAGCTCATCTCAACGCGATCCAGCTATACGGTCTCGTTTTGGCGTCAAGTCATGGCTTGCACGCTTCGCGAGTTCTGGCTTTTCTGGGGCGACAAGTCGACGCTGTACACCAAGGCCTTTATCATCATCTCTAACGCTCTCATCGTTGGTTCCCTGTTTTACGGAGAAAGTCTCGACACCAGCGGCGCTTTCTCTAGAGGCGGTGCTCTGTTTTTTTCGATTTTGTTCCTTGGCTGGCTACAACTGACTGAACTGGTGAGGGCGGTCAGCGGCCGTGTCGTGATCGAACGACATCGTGACTATGCCTTCTATCGACCCAGCGCTGTGGTCATTGCCAGAGTGGTCCTCGATCTGCCAGTCATCGCGGTCCAGGCTGTCGTCTTCACCATTGTTCTCTACTTTATGGCCAATCTCGATGTCGACGCCGGCAAATTCTTCACTACCCTGCTTTTCGTGTATATCAGCACGATTTGTATTACAGCACTCTATCGGATGTTTGCGGCATTGAGCCCTACCATCGACGATGCGGTCAGATTTTCCGGCCTTGCGCTCAATCTCTTGGTCATCTTTGTGGGTTATACGATCCCAAAGACCACATTGACGGGCGACGTGATCTGGTTCGGTTGGTTGTTCTACATCAATCCTGTTTCGTACTCGTACGAAGCAGTGTTGACGAACGAGTTCCATGGTCGATCAATGGAATGCTCTCCTTCAAACTTGATACCCCGTGGCCCCAACGCCCAGCCGGGTTATCAAGGGTGTTCGCTCTCTGGGGCTACTTTGGGCAGCACCAGAGTCAGCGGTGATGCTTATTTTCAAAGATCCTTCGGCTACTCGCGGTCACATCTCTGGCGAAATTTTGGCGTGGTTATTGCCTTTACGGTTCTGTACATCCTTGTCACCGCTTTCGCTTCTGAGATTTTCTCATTTGCTGGAGGTGGCGGCGGCGCGTTGATCTTCAAGAAAACCCGCAAGGCAAAGAAGATGGTGAGTGAAGAGACTAAACACGGGGACGAAGAGAAGGCCGTAGCACCCGCAGAGCCCTGCTCAAGTGGTACCTCAGAAGTCATGAAGGACGAGCAAGACGCTATCGTGGGCGGCATTGCCAAGAGCAAGAGTGTGTTCACCTGGGAGAATGTCGAGTATGAAGTCCCATACCAGGGTGGAAGGAGAAAATTACTTAACGGGGTCAACGGATATGTCAAACCCGGGGTTATGATCGCTCTTATGGGTGCGTCCGGTGCTGGCAAGACAACTTTGCTCAACACCCTCTCACAGCGGCAAACGACGGGCACTGTGTCGGGGGATATGCTGGTTGACGGCCGTCCTCTTGGGATCGAGTTCCAGCGAGGGACCGGCTTCTGCGAACAGATGGACTTGCACGACGAAGCCGCCACTATTCGTGAAGCCCTCGAGTTCTCGGCGATATTGAGACAAGATCGGAATGTGCCCAAGCAGGAGAAGCTTGACTATGTCAACAACATTATTGAACTGCTGGAACTACACGACATTGAGGATGCCATCATTGGCTCTCTGGGTGTCGAACAGCGCAAGAGACTGACAATCGGTGTCGAACTGGCGGCCAAGCCCGAGTTGCTCCTGTTCCTCGACGAGCCGACCAGCGGTCTGGATTCTCAGTCTGCCTTCTCGATTGTCCGGTTCCTGAAGAAGCTCTCTCAAGCGGGCCAAGCCATCATCTGCACAATCCACCAACCCTCCTCGATGCTGATCCAGCAATTTGACATGGTCTTGGCTCTGAACCCCGGCGGCAACCCATTCTACTTTGGCCCCATTGGGGAAAATGGCTCGGCTGTGGTTGAATACTTTGCAAAACGAGGGACTCAATGTCCACCGAACAAGAACGTGGCTGAGTTCATTCTCGAGACTGCGGCGAAAGGAGGCAAGAGACGGGCAGACGGGAAACGGGTCAACTGGAACAAAGAGTGGCTCGAGTCCGACGAGAACGCGGCCATGCTCAAGGAAATCCAACGCCTCAAGGAAGAACGGTCCAAGGAGCCGCCCAAGGAAGTGAAGGAGCAGCGAGCCTTTGCCGCTCCGGTATCTCTCCAGACGTACGAGCTCATGAAGCGGACGTTCCGTTCCTACTGGCGCGATCCGTCCTATCTGTACGCGAAGCTCTTCACCAGCGTCATCATCGGCATCTTCAACGGGTTCACGTTCTACAACCTCGACAACTCGGTGGCGTCGCTGCAAGAGCGGTTCTTCACGTCCTTCCTCATCATCGTCATCCCGCCCACGATCGTCAACGGCGTGGTCCCCAAATTCTACCAAAGCCGCGCGCTGTGGGAAGCTCGTGAATACCCGTCTCGAATTTATGGGTGGTTCGCGTTCTGCACGGCACAGGTGGTCGCCGAGGTCCCCACGGCCGTCATCAGCTCCGTCATCTACTGGCTGCTGTGGTACTACCCGACCGGACTGCCGCGCGACAGCGAGACGGCCGGGTATATGTTCCTGATGACGATGCTGTTTTACTTCTTCATGTCGTCGTGGGGCCAGTGGATCTGCGCCTTTGCGCCCTCGTTCACGGTCATCTCCAACACGCTGCCGTTCTTCTTCGTCATGGTGTCCATCTTCAACGGCATCGTGCGGCCATACAGCCAGCTGCCCGTGTTCTGGCGTTACTGGATGTACTACGTCAACCCGGCGACGTGGTGGCTGCGCGGCGTGCTCGCCGCGACGCTGAAGGACCTGACCGTGCGCTGCGCGCCGGGCGAGTCGACCCTGTACAACCCGCCCCCCGGCCAGACCTGCCAGGCGTACACGCAGCCGTTCATCGCCTCCTCGGGCCTGGGCTACGTGAGCACCCTCGCTAACGGCACGTGCGCGTACTGCCCCTACGCGAGTGGGAGGGAGTACCTCGCCACCCTGAACACCCGGCCGACCGAGCAGTGGCGGGACTTCGGCATCTTCTTGGTCTTCGTGTGCTCGAACTGGCTGCTGGTCTATTTCTTCATCTACACCGTCCGGGTCAGGAAGTGGAGCTTCGGCATGCGCTACGCCTTTGGCGCGGCGGAGAGGCTGATTGACGCGGCGAAGGGGTTGGCCAAGAGGAAGTGAAGGGAGAGATGTGGAGGAGGGAGTAGATGATAGACCGTCTGCGTTCGATGTAGGATAAAGTGTGGGTTTCAGCGACGAGGGAATAGAGCAATCTGCTGGGGAAAATAGGTCTGTTTACGACTGGACATGAAATGTGAGAACACAGATAGATGATGGTTGGTTCCAAAGAGTACACACTTGGCAATACATGTCGAAACGTTTTGCTCCTCAAAGAAGACATATAGGTGCTGAGGCAGGAAGCCGTTTCCCTCCACATGGCCGTACCCCGACCCAGCCAACCATTAATTACTACGACGCCGAACGACGAAAATGGAAATGAGTAGAGATATGAGATGCGCGACGACATTCACCATGATAGAAAACCTGGGCGGGGAGATCGGGATGAGAAGAGACTGTCATTTGGGAGATTTGCGTGCTTTTACTTCGTGCTTCTTGTTCCTCTCGCCGAGCAACATGGCATCTCTGGGGTCATTCGGCATCCGGCCTTCCGCAGTCCTTTTGGCTGGCTGCCTCCGTGCCTCGCTCCTGCACCTAAGTCGACATTGCTGAGTGCTCAATGCCTCCTGATTCGGTCTTGCGTTGCTCATTCCCTCCACGCCTCCTCACTGACCATCGTCCTCGACGCCCACGATCCGGCAACTGACCTCCCACAGGCGCTTCGCGTCGTCGACATCGTAGCACCAGGCGGCGTGGCCCGGGGCGTGCAGCACGGCGGCCTCGTCGGGCTTGACGGGGGGACTGACGGCGCAGTCGTCGAGGTACAGCCCGCCTTTGCCCTCGAGCTCTCCGTCGACGGCGGCGAGGACCGTGGTCGCGGCGCCCTGGGGCACGGACTTCATGCCGCGCATCACCTCGGGCACTGCCAAGAGGGCCGAGAAGTCGACGTGCGCCTGCAGGCCCGTGGCGATGCCGCCCGGGTGCAGCGACCAGGCGTGCAGGCCGCGGGCGCCGTAGCGGCGCTCGATCTCGTTGGCCATGTGGATGTTGGCCGTCTTGGACTGCCCATACGCGCCGAACGGGGTGTACGCGCCAGGCCCGCCCAGGGTTGGGTCGTCCAGCGACACGCACGCCTGCCGGTGCCCGATCGACGACACGTTGACCACCCGCGCGTGCCGCGTCGGGGTCGCCCCGGCCAGCAGCGCGGGTCGCAGGAGCTGGAACAGCAGGAAGTGGCCCAGGTGGTTGGTCTGGAACTGCAGCTCGTGGCCGTCCGCCGTGAGCTGGCGCGTCGGCACGGCCATGACGCCCGCGTTGTTGATCAGGATGTTGAGGGCCGGCTCCCGCGCCAGGAACGCCGCCGCGCACCGCCGCACGCTGGTGAAGTCGGCCGTGTCGAGTTCCAGCAGCTCGACCTGTCCGGGCGGTTGGGTCTCCAACACGTCCGCCAGCGCCGCCCGCGCCTTGTCCAGGTTCCGCGCCGTCGCGTAGATCTTGCACCCCGTGGCCGCCAGCGCGCGCACCGTCTCGACCCCGAGCCCGCTCGAGCACCCCGTCACCAGCGCGACCTTGTCGCCCAGCGCGTTCTCGAGCTGGTTGTCCGCGATGATTTGGAGCGCCGTCGGCCGCGAGTCCCCTGGTCCGGCGAGGTTGGAGGGGAGGTGGGCTTGGGCGTAGCGGGTGGTCATTTTTCCTCAAACGGGGACGGGAGTCGGGAAAGCGGTGGTTGTTGGTTCTTTGCAAGGGACGAAAGGGTGGCTCTGGTCGGTGAAAGGGCGTGGTTCTTCAACTGCTTGATGAATATGCTCTTTTATTCCTCTTTCTTTTTTTTTCTCAGATGGAAAAAGGCCGATGTTGGTGTTGGGCGTTGGTACTGAAGTTGGAGTTGGAACCTTGGATGTTGTCACAGCAAACTTGCCCTTTCATGACTTCATGACTCTTTATATCAACCACCTGGTTCTCCTTTCATGTGACTGTCCCGCCCTGTCCTTGGTGTCCTTCCATGACTTTGGCTCACCCTGCAAGACGGAGGAGATAAACTGCCCTGGTCCTCCGAACGCATCCTGCTTCTGTTGACACTTACCTTAACACCGAGTCGCCCTTGTTTGGATTCCTCGGTTGGTTATTTGCCCGGCGTTGTTTGTTGTTAAGTGATGGAGAACCAAGAGCGCCAATAAGCACAGAGGGGGACAGCGTGGCTGAGGCTGAACTTTCGGATGAAATCCATTCCAGAAGAAGCGTGACGGGGGTGGTTCGAAAGGCTCAACGCACCGTTCGTGCGAGATGGTGCGGTGGTGCGGGCGGCGCGCGGGTGCAGAGTGCGTATCGTTAAATTTTGGATGACGGGGGCTTATGATGCAGGCTGCTTACGGCTTCGGAGAAATTGCCAACCAACGCCGGGGAAATGTTGCAACTAAATCACTCCCCCCCCCCTGTTTTTGCGAGCCTTGTTTGTGACATGGGCTGCCCACTGCTCGGAGCGGGCACACGGCACCGGACCCTCGGAGGATTCGGGACGTGGGATCTCGAGACGGCAGATACAGACTGAAGCAGGAACCAGACTGAGTCCGATTGGGCCTCGAGTGTGCAGTTGTGTAAAAGAATCGAGCATGCCTTACTAGGTATACAGAACATATCCTGTGCAGAGATTTGATGGACACCCATTTCATCCAGCCTCAAGCCGACCCTCAATCCACCCGTCACTCCCAGCTGGAGATCCTCTGTTCCTGCCAGAATTGCCCATTGGCGCCTCCAATGTCGCCTATGGCCAACAATACGGGCGTCTGCGCTCCTTGGTCCGGCGTCTTCACTCCCCGGCCCTTGGTCATGTCCGTGTTGACGTAGCCTGGGCAACAGCTATTGATCAAGACTTTGCTGCCCTTTTGCGCGTTCTGCCGGGCGATCGTCCTCGTCATCCCAATTACGCCAGCTTTGGAGACCGCATACGCTGTGCCAGGCCAATTCCGTTGGTATGTCCCATTCGACACCGCCGCCGAGAACTCCTCCATGAGTTGGGTGATCTCTTCCGGTGTTTTCGCTGACAAGAACCGAGACCTGACGGAGCCCGAGTATCTGGAACCGAGTCGGCCCACCATGCTGGCCACGTTGACCAGTCTCCCGCCGTCCTTGATATGTGGCAGCAGTTTCTGAGTGACCTCCAATGTCCCATAATAATTGCAATGCAGAGTCTTCCTGACCACGTTCTCATTAAACCCGTCCAGCGCGATTCCGGCATTGTTGATCAGGAAATCTATGCCATCGGGATGCTCTTGTGTGATTTTCCCCGCAAACTCCTCGATGCTCCGCTTGCTGTCGATGTCCAGGGGCAGGAATTTCACGTCCGTGAGGCCTCCATGAATTCTCAGAGCTTTTGCACGTTGGAGCTGGGGGTCGGCCTTGATTGACTCAAGAGCAGCCTGGCCCCTTTCTTCGTTTCGGGCGGTCAGGTAGAGGAGTAAAGGGCCGGTGTTCAGTGGAGAGTGCGGATACTGGAGGGCGAGTTGGCGGATAATGGCGAGCCCGATTCCCTTGTTGGATCCTGTGCAAGCACCCACACGCGCATAGGCAGTCATTTTGGCGGTTGTGAGATGAAAAATGCAGAGGGGAGGAACTGCCTAGATAACGCTCTCTCATGAGTAATGGTTGTTAACTGAAGCGCTCACCTTGTTCGGAGTTAGCGGATCGAGAACGGCATGCGTGTCATTGATCTGCCTGCGGCTCCCAGGAGCCCATACATGAAGTCCCTACGAGGCGGTGGCAGTGGTCTGGGGATGCATTGTTGCAGGGTTGCACACATGTCTGCCGACGTTGACAGAACACGAGTGACAGATTCTTGGAGGCGAAGCTGACAGCGCAGAGACAAAGGACTTGGATGGGCAAAAGGAGAGAATGCTTTGGATTGCAGCGACGCCCATTGGTGGGCGATTCTCGCAGCCGAGAGGGCGCAGTGGTTGAGTCCTTGGGCCGAGGCCAACCGCCTGGACAAGCTGAGCCAGTGACGTCTTTCGCGCCGAAATGTTCAATCGCCGAAGCATTTCCAAACCTCGAGCCTCATGTGAAAAAGCACCATCCTCCTCGCCCTCTCACCTTTTTTTCCAGCCCCCCAGATCTTGCAATGGCCTCCAAATCCCTTCCCAGACCTCTCCTGAGGTTTGCAGCACCAGCCCAGCAATGTCGCTTCTACTCCCAACCCTCCGCTTCGATATTCAGAGCTTGCCCCGCATCACGTCGAGCTGGTCGCAGCGTGTCACGAGCCACAAGACCCGTCTTTGTGGCCGGCCAAAGACGCTCCATTTCTGCCAGCTTGCAGCGACGCTATGCTGACGTCGAGGAGGACGGAGGCTTCGACCCAGCCTCCGTCGAGCGCGAGTCCGATCAGGTCGACGTCTGCATCGTGGGCGCCGGCCCAGCGGGACTAAGTGCTGCTATTCGGTTAAAGCAGCTAGCCAACGAGGCCGGCAACGAGGAATTTCGCGTGGTCGTCCTGGAAAAAGCTGGGGAGGTGGGCGCGCACATCCTGTCCGGTAACGTGTTGGAACCGAGGGCAATAAATGAGTTGATCCCGGATTGGTTGAGTGAGGACAACGAAAATCGATTTACGCTGGCCACGCCTGCCGGGTCGGATAAGATGCGGTTCTTGACAAAATCAGGCGCCATTCCTATACCGGCGCCGCCGCAGATGCACAACGAGGGCAACTATATCATTTCTCTGAGCCAATTTACCAAGTGGTTGGGTGAGAGAGCTGAAGAGGTGGGTGTCGAAATCTACGCGGGCTTCGCGGGTGCGGAGATCCTTTACAATAACGAAGGCGCAGTCAAGGGCGTTGCTACGAACGACCAGGGCGTGGGGAGAAACGGAAAAGCAAAAGCCAGCTTTGAGCGAGGGATGGAGTTCCACGCTAGGGTGACCCTTTTGGCAGAGGGATGCCATGGCAGTTTGACCAAGCAGGTGTCCAAGAAGTTTGATCTGCGGAGGGACTGCCAACCGCAAACCTATGGGCTTGGAGTGAAAGAGGTCTGGGAAGTGCAACCTGACAAGTTCAAGAAGGGCGAGATATCTCATACCATGGGGTATCCGCTGTCGAAGGACACGTATGGTGGCGGATGGATGTATCACTTCGGAGACAACTTGGTCAGCCTGGGGTTGGTCGTTGGCCTCGACTATGCCAACCCTTGGATCTCCCCCTACGGCGAATTTCAGCGCATGAAGCTCCATCCATTCTACAAGTCGGTCCTGGAAGGTGGCAAGTGCATCGCATACGGCGCTCGCGCCCTCAACGAAGGCGGCTTCCAATCTATACCGAAATGTGCATTCCCTGGAGGCGCCTTGATCGGCGACACGGCTGGCTTCCTCAATGTGCCCAAGATCAAGGGCACGCACACGTCGATGAAATCTGGCATGTTGGCTGCCGAGGCCGCCTATCAAGCTCTTGCTCACAACAAAGAAACAAGCACCATCTTCCTGTACAACTACGAGGACGCCCTGCGGGAAAGCTGGATCTGGCCGGAACTCAAAGCGGTGCGCAACATGCGACCGTCTTTCCACAACCCCCTCGGCCTCTATGGGGGCATCATGTACTCTGGCCTTGAGGCTTACATCTTCCGTGGCATGATGCCTTGGACTCTGAAGCACAAGCAACCCGACTGGGCGGCCACGAAGCCCGCAGATAAGTTCTCCAAGATCGAGTATCCGAAGCCTGACGGCGAAATCACCTTTGATATCTTGACCAGTGTGTCACGGACCGGCACGAATCACGAGGAGGATCAGCCCGTGCATCTGCAGGTGAAGGATTGGGATGCCCATGCGCAGAAAGAGTGGCCGAAGTACAAAGGCGTCGAGAACCGGTTTTGTCCCGCTGGTGTGTATGAGTATGTGGAGGATGACACGAAGGATATTGGAGTGCGGTTTCAGATCAACGCTCAGAAGTAAGTTCCCCGTCACACCTGACACCAAGCTCGTTCGATCCTGAATACTGACTGTTAATGCCGCTAGCTGCATCCATTGCAAAACGTGCGATATCAAAGTGCCAGACCAAGACATCAATTGGCAAACTCCACAAGGTGGTGAAGGGCCAAGCTACAGTATCACTTGAGGTATCTCATGGGAGGACATTGTGACCAGGGAACAGTGACTCGACCTATCCAATGGGTATCAAGAGAAGTATTCTTCCATCGCGCTGCGCGGCGTCTCTATCGAGGCTGGTTTTCACTCTCGGCGGGATCCGTATGCAATATGCTTGAGTCCTAGACAGTTCTGGGAGGTCGACCTCTCCTGTGCAGTTTGCAAAAGGAATCGGAGTGTTTGATCTGGTCAGACACAAACCGAACCTGATCTCCAGTGGGCACCATCACCCTCCCTCTGACCAACCAACCAGGATCTGCAAGGAAGGAGAAATGAAATGGACACATTTTCAACCTCAGAGAGGTAGAAGGGGAAAATGGGAGGGCCGAGGAGAGAAGAGAAATGTACGCACTCTCAGAGGCACTACAGGACAAAGACAGCCTTCCGTCCTCATCGCCGTGTCCCATTGCATATAGTCAATTGAATATAATCCAGTCTCCGTCTAAAGCCGCAGCTCCCAGCTCGACTCCAGCTTGACCCAGCTCAGCTCTTCGCTTCCAGCCTCTTGATAGTAAAAGTTGCGCTACTCGAAGTGTCGGTCGATGGATCATGATGGGCATCTCCGTATGAAGTGCATGTCTCCCGTTCCCGTTAAGACTGTCGTCCCGTTCGGTTGGAGAGATTGTAGGACGAGGTGTCTGAGCCATGAAATGGGCACGCAGGGTCTTTCTAGCCGGGCTGCTACGCTGCCTTCAGCTTCAATTCTCCAGTGGGAGGCAGACAACCGCGCTGGAATTTGTTGTTTCTGAGAGAGGAAAACCAGCAACCCCTGTCAGAGCGTTGCCGAGTTCTCCTCACGTACAGCTAAGTGTCACCTGTGTCTGTAATTCAAAGCAAGGCTGGGCTTGAGCAGTTTGAAGCGTCCCCTGTAGTTGCGCAGTGCGGATAATTAGCTGACCCTGGTGCTCCTCATCGGTGGGTGGACTGCATATGAATCCATCCAGGCTGGTTCGGTGCGAGGGTCAGCCGCTCGTCCTCGTCGCATCTTCTATGCTGTGTGTCCCAATCAGCTCGGGGTCGGATCAAGGCCTTTGGCGGCTTCCGGATGTCGACCTGGATCTGTCCTTGCCGCGCGAGTCCCGGCTCGACGTGGGATCTCATTGAAACAGCCAACCACGGCCTCGGATCTGTACGGACTATATCGACGCTACTGAAGAGGAGTCCGACAGCGCGCACGTATGTTGTGAGGGCATCTTGACAGTGTTCAGACCTTGATTGATGAATGAGAGGGACTCGCCATCCCGTCTGTCTGTCCGGGAGGTGAGGATTTGGTATTGAAGGAATCATCTGTATGGATGGCAGATCTTATCAGATGTTTGACAGGTCAGAAACTCACCAGCAGTCTCAAAGTAGAATTACAGGAAGCTGATTGTCCAGCCAAAGGTACCATGTCAAGCATCACGCAAACGAGATAGCAGTTCAACGGGTGCATCACATCTCTTTCGTGGTGCTATCGAACAGTGGTGACAAGATTGCAGCCTTGACGATGAGGCTCGAATTGCAAGGCTGAATGGCCGGAAAGGGCAGGATCTCCGAGAGCGCGGACGAACAAGCTGGGAAGGTGGCCGGGAGTGGAGCCTTCGTAAAGTCCCGCCGGTCTATTGGCTGTAACGACACCGGTTTTGGGCGACACTTTTGGGCCACTGTCAGAACACAGTGTCCCGACGGTGATTGGCTGCCAGGGCTGCGTCATCCCGGCCACCAGTGGCATGCCAAGCCAGCATGTGAAACAAATCGACCGGCCGATCGCCCAAATCGCCCACACCGCGTCAGGGTCGTGACTCATTTCCGCATCTCACCATTTTCCTCCCTTGCACCTCTTCTCTGCCCTCCAATTTTCACTCTCTCTCCTTCTCTCCTCTTATCACCACGCCTAACTGGCTTGGGTTGTTTGCTATCGTGAGAGCCCGCGGTACGAGGTATACGGCATCCGACCGCCATCCAGAAGCAGGTTTGTTTGCTGGCTGACTGATGGGCTTCCACCATCTCGCACGCAAACAAAGTCCTGGAGCCGGGCGGCAAACCCAGTCGGACTGTGCTCTTCCCACTGATGCCATCTCCAGCAGAAAAAGCCTGAACCACCGAGCCACCCAGAAACCAGAAATCACGTGTGCAAGACCCACGTACCGGAGTTCCCTTCCCAATCCTGCCATGTGCATCCGAAAAGTGGAAAATCTGTTTCACCCTCACCCATTCTCTTGCCATGACGCTCAGATGATGGATGGCTCGAACTCGAGGGCAGAATGTTTTTTTGTTTGGTGTTGATGCATCCTGCATAGTTTAGCTTAGGGGGCACGGCAGGGCGGACTAGGCAGGAATGCCCAGGAGTGGCATGCAGCGAGCCAGAGGCCAGACGGGGGAGGAAAAAGGGGCAGATAAGGTGCAGAGCGCAGGGCGAAAAAGGTGCAGGGGTGGCTGCACGGGGGCTGCAGTGGCCTGCACTGGCCTGCACAGGCGAGTTGCTGGGCAGATTCCTGGTGGATGAGGGCGAAATGTGGGCTTGATTGCAGCTGGCTTGGGCGTCCAGATGACACCGGCTAGGCCCGTTGTAGCGTAGCGGCGCTGGCACGGCGGGGTTCCCAGTCTGCGCTCTGTGGCGAGGGCCTGGCACTATAAATGCCGCCCTCGCCCTCTTTCCGCGCGAAGTGCAGCCGACCTCTTTTTCCTGTCATTTTTCGTTCTTGGCACTCCCTCCTGCCAGACTCCCATCCACCACCCCCTCTATTCTTCGCACGGCATCAAAGCGCATCATTTCTGTTGCCCCCCCAGCCTGCGATTGATCCTCCTCCTATATCCCTCCATCCTGGCATCGATTGGCTCTCCCACATAATCGTGCCGCCACATAAATCTCCCTTGGGCGCATCCCGCATACCAGATCCGCAAGTTCTTGGACAAAGACCCCAAAGATCTCACCTGCGACCCGCGCCTGCCACTCTCTTCACAAAGGGCAAACAAAGGAAACAAAGAAAAGAATCCAAAGGCCACAATAGACTGTCTGCACTTTCCGCTCTTAAGTAATTCGCATTCGCAATCGCAAATCTACGCACTCTTGCTTCCTCTTGCTCCCACCCCCCCCGTTCTGCCAACCTCGTCGTCGCTCCTCCACATCCGACGAAACAAAGTTCTCTGCAGACCTGATCTGAGACAAGCCTCATCAGTCGACGGACTTCATTGTCAATTGGAAGTAGGGCAGTTGTGTTGTAGGGGAGACATTGAGTTGTTCATCTCCCACATCTCGGTACGAAACACCACCGCATCCATCTTCTCTACCTTTTCCTCCTCAGGTCGATTCTCCGATCGACAGACCCCCCCCATCATCGTCATCGTCATCATCGCCGTCGAGTTGACGCCGCGGCCGCCTCCTGCTGGCTCAAGTGAATTCAGTCGAAATTCACTTTGGCCTCCAAAGTCGAGCCTCGCACCGACCGACGCGATCGATCGCCTGCCTCTGCCGCACCCTCGCCACCCTTCAAAAGTTACTTATCGATTCGTCATCCTAACCTGACCTTGTTTTTAATTCTCTCCAGACTGCTTCCATCCTTCATCGATCTCTCTCATCGACAAGGATACACCGGCTGCGACCGCTCTATTGCGCCGCAGCGACCAACCGCACATTCCTGCAATCATGGAGTCGCTTACCACTCACCCGTCCACCGCGCAACAGGCCAAGGCCTTCACCTCTCCCGCGTCTCTGTCGTTTCCCGGTGGTGCTGGGGATTTGACACCGCCCTCCTCTGAGAAAGATGGACAAAACCTCAATGGTGGCTCGTACGCAGATGGGAAGACGAATGGTCAGCAGGGAGGAAATGCCATTCAGGCTCCACAAACCCCCGGCGCAACGCCTGGCGCTGGCGTGAGTGGTATTGTGCCCACCTTGCAGTGAGTATTGTCCCTTTGTTGTCCTTTCCTCAAGGTCAGCAGAGGTTAACATTCTCTAAAGAAACATCGTTGCTACGGTCAATCTGGACTGCCGTCTTGATCTCAAGACGATTGCCCTCCATGCTCGCAACGCCGAGTACAATCCCAAGGTAAGTCATCGCTCACTTGGGACTGGGGATACTTTCGGCACTGGCTAACCAACCAATATAGCGTTTTGCCGCTGTCATCATGCGTATCCGTGACCCCAAAACCACTGCCTTGATCTTTGCATCAGGCAAGATGGTCGTCACTGGCGCCAAGTCGGAAGATGATTCGAAACTTGCGAGCCGCAAGTACGCCCGTATCATCCAAAAGCTAGGCTTCAATGCCAAGTTTACCGACTTCAAAATCCAGAACATTGTCGGTTCATGCGACATCAAGTTCCCCATTCGACTGGAAGGTCTTGCCTCCAAGCATCACCCCTTCAGCTCGTATGAACCGGAATTGTTCCCTGGTCTCATCTATCGCATGATTAAGCCGAAGATTGTCTTGTTGATCTTTGTCAGTGGCAAGATTGTGCTCACGGGGGCCAAGGTCCGTGAGGAGATCTATCAAGCCTTCGAGCAGATCTACCCAACGCTATCAGGTAAGCATCCTTCGTACTGTCGTTCCACGTGGCCCTTGCTAATGTGACCCAGACTTCCGCAAAGTCTAGATCTGCTTACGCAGGGCGGGGTTTTCCCGTTAGCCTTGTATCAACAGTCAACCCTTAACTCGGCTGCACCCCTTCGACAATGGCCACACTGTCGCGGCGGGGAAGTCGACATGCTCTGGGTTCTGCATCTTGCAAACCAGGCATGACTGAAACTACTTACCAAATCTTACCTTTTCTTTTTCGCCTGTGTCACGACTATCTATGAGCATTGCATGGCGTTTTTGAGCGAAATCCCTTCATATTGTTTCCTGGGGCAAAGGCACCAAAAAGGACTCGGGTGCAGTCGGCCTGCTTACACCTTATTAGACATTGGGTCTCATCGACAATGGGATATCAGCTTGGGGGACGGTATTCGGCGCTGGTCGACTTCGCATACCGTCTTGTGTGGAAATAACTCTTCAATTTCCTCTGCGCGTTCCTGGTCATGGGGTTGTGGGAGAGACAACACACCATGGACCAGTTGCTGTCTGGCGCACGGAGAGCTTTACCGACCAAGGGAGGCTTGACTTTACTTTTCAAAGCTTGGGTTCTCCATCCATGACTGGAACTTTTTAGGTCATGGGAAAGAAAAAACCAGATGGGCAAGCGATAGCAAGCCCATTTGCTCAGATTGTTTGTGATAGAAAAAGCATCAGAAGATGCTGAGTGCGGACTCCGATGGAGCGAAGTGATAGGAGGGTTGACACGGTTCCTTGATCGTAGTCAGTACTGCTCACGACTGCATGATGATAGCTCAATATGAATTCTCATCCCTCCCATGTGCTGGTTTCTTTTCTCAAGTATTCGTTGAAAGGATTTCACACATGTAGTGAATGGTTTGAGGTGTGGTGCTGCCGTTGTAGCGAGCTTGGGTGAACCGAGGAAGCATGTGCTCTGCACCGCTATGCAACCGAGCTGCTCGATCTTTGGGTTGGGGTTGCATGACTGTGTTCGTGCTGTTAGAGACTTGATCCGATGCTCAAAGAGGAGGTGAAGTGGGAGGGAAGTCATCAGTACCATCCATCACTTGGTTCCCGCCGTTATCCTGATCGGAGGGTGGGTTGGATTCGAATCCACGATGGCAGTTTGCACTTTTCGAACTAAAGTTGCTGCTGCTGCTGCTGCTGCTCTTTCTTCTGCTTCTGCTTCTCATTCAATGCCGCGTGGACGAAAGTCCCTTGTAGCTTCTCCGTGGGTAGGTAGGTAGGCAACGCATCACACATCGCGCGGAGGTTGGAAGGAAAGGAAGCACGGAAAACGAAAAACGAAAATGAAAATAGGGTGCAAGAAAATAAAAGAGGAGAGGGGGGAAGGGATGTAAGCAATGTCCCTTTGAGTTGTTGGGGGGTGTTGTTGCGTCTATGTATATATGTATGTATGTATCTGAGGACCTTAAAACCACGTTCATCGAACTCAATGGGGGTCGGGAGGGGATGGAGATTGGTGCTAGCTAGCTGGCAGAGGAGCCGGGGCTGGGTAAGTCATATCCCGTTACACATACTCACTCTCACACTCACACACACACCTTGTATATGTTTTTGGTGTCTTCCAGGTGTAGTATATTTATATTATTACTACGTGTGTCCCCGGTTTATACGTGTGGATTTGATGTAGTTCGAGCGGGAGAAGTGGAGTCGACGTATCGAGCGTATTCTGTATGCTACTGTCCTTCTCTCACGAGGGCTTCCCTTCCCATACTGGCGACGGAGTTGACCCTGGAATGGGCAACCGTTGAACGCTTTCTCATCTATTTTCGTTCTGCATGGCCAAAGCGGTTGAACCACTCGACGTCCCACCTCGTACACCAATAGGACCGTCCGGACGCGACAATCGTGGCCACAAGCTCGGTCCTTTAGCTCGTCCTCCTCCGCATCTCCTCGTCGAGCAGCATCCCCTTCCTCCCCGCCCGACTTCCATCTTCACACGCGGTAAACTCCTCTCCGCCGTCTCCGCCGTCTCCGCCGCTCTTGATCATTCCGCACAGGTCCTCTTGACTCCTCCAGCTCCAGATCTGCGCCAGCGCCGGCTCCAGCGTCCCCTGGATCGCGGCCACGATCTTGTCCCCTATCACGGGGAAGAACTTGAATCCGTGGCCCGACCCGCCCGTGGCGAGGAAGAGGTTGTTGAATTGCGGGTGGAAGGTGATGAGGAAGTCGCCGCTCGGCCTGTGGACACAAATCAGTGTTTTTGGGTCCAAATATCCTTTCTGTGTGCATTATGCGCTGGTACAATGGGAGCAAGAACGTGACAAAAAAAAGGCCGCGGAAATAAACTTACGTATCACAGTACCAGCAAATCCGCGTGCGGGTGAACGGTCTGTCCACCATCTGAGGCAGAACCTCGCCGAGGGCTTCCCGCAGGGCTTCTTCAGCTTCGAGCGGGATGGGGATGCCGACTTTAGGGACGCTGACTTCCACGTCTCCGGGGCCAATGCCGTTCGAGACGCCAGGGTCGATGACCGCCCTTGATATCCTCACGGGGTTCCGGTACCCATACCCATGCCTCGCGATTTTCAGCTCGTTCCCTCTCGGCGGGATGACAAACATCCCTCGACTCATGTTCATAATGGTCGGCCTGTTTCCCATTGCCGCTTGCTCCTCAGGCGTGATGTCCAGATATGCCATCGTCTGCCCAGTGGCCAGGCATCGTCCCTGAAGGTCGATGAGGCTGGGACTCCACGCCCCAGCTGCCAGGACGGTCAGGTCCGCCTGGATCTGCTCCCCTCCGGCCAGTTCTACCCCCTGACAATCGCTTCCGGAGAAGACGAGCCTCGCGACCTGTGCGCCAGGGCGGATGGTTACACGACCGTCACTCTCGCTCTGGATTCTCCTCAGGGCATAAGCCACACACGCTTCGGCGTCGGCCCATCCCGAGTTGAAGTTCGCGTAGCCATGATCCCCGCTTACGCTCTCGTAGCCCGTCGCTTTCCGGATCTCCTCTGCTCCACGTAGTTCTCTGATCTTGCTCAAGTCCACGTTGCAGCCGTCCTCTCGTGCCAGGTCTCTCACATTGGCCAGCGATTCCCGCAAGTAGGCATCCTTGTCCGCATCCGCCGTCAGCACGAACCCGGGCTCATGGTATCTGCCTTCCCCGCCCCATGCTTCTTTCCTCCTGTCGCGCCAGAGCTCCTGCGCCTGGGAGGCGAGCTGGGCATAGTGTTTGTTGGCGTAGTCGGCCCGGACGATGCGGCTAGCGTCGACGGAAGAGCCAGACGGGTTGGGGAGCGAGGGAGAGCCGTCGATGACAGTTATGCGGGTGGCATTGTATGTGGGGTGGGAGAGGAGCGAGAGCGCCGTCGAGAGACCAAAGACGCCGGCTCCAATGATCAATATGTGCTGGGGAACGGAACCGTTAGACATTGGGGGGACCGGGACTTGTAATATACCTCCTGCTCCTAGGGTGAAGAGAAACTCTAGACTTACCGAAACGCAGCGCCCCCCGAGATATGAGTCCTTCCAGCCCGGTTAACCCAAGCAAGACGTTGTTCTCCGCAGATGAAAGTCTCGCGACGTTGCGCCCTTCCCGTCCGAGGTCGGATCAATCTCGGCTAAAAAGAAAGAGCAACGTCTTGCAATAGCAATTGTCGATTTCGCACCGCGAGTCAAAGGTGGGCAGCCATCGTCTCCAGATCCGCAAATCTCCAGAGATGAACGATTGATATTTGAATCTCTGCTCGCACCATGGCGGAAGTTTCGAGGCTCTACGTGGAGTGCTCAAAGATTCCGCATCTGGCACTCTCCATATCTGCGAAGCGCGCAGCTGCTCGCCCAGCTTCTCCATGTCTCAATCAACAGCAGCTTCTGTCGCGTTCAGTCGGTCGACCTGCGCGCTCAGCACCTCTACAAGCTGTGAGAAAGGCCTATTATCTCTCTCATCACCTTCCCTCACGCAGGCACGCCTCCTCCAAACCACCCATTCCGAACCCCAATATCCCTCGACCTGCACAATCCCAATCCCAATCGCAACACAAACCCCGACCGACGCTCCTCGATCGCGCAACCGCCCAAGATGCGCTCGACGCCCTCGCCGCCAAAAACCGGCGGCAGCGCATCCACATGTCCTCCAACACCTACTTCTGGATCACCTCGCTTTTCGGCTTCCTGCTCTCCACCTACGTCGCCTACACGTACATGTCCTACGCGCGCTCCGTGAAGGAGTATGAGAATCTCGACCTTCCGCAGAACGCCGACGTCTCTTCGCGGTGGTTGGATTCCTCGAGAAACTTCGACGACGAGGTCGAGTTGTCGGAGAAGATGATGGGTTTGAGGAGCAAGAGGGAGGAGTTGTGCAGAGAGGCCCGGGGCAACGTGCTGGAGGTGAGTGCGGGGACTGGGAGAAATATGGAGCTGTACCGCCTGGACCCTCTTGTCACGCCCGAAGACAGGAGAGTGGAAAGCTTGGTGTTCAACGATTTGAGCGACACCATGCTGTCCCAAGCACAGAAGAAGTTCGAGAAGCTGCAGGAGAAGGCGAAGGACAATAGGCGATTTCCCGGGCCGGTGCAATTCGTGGTTGGCGACGCAGGTGACAAAACCCTTATCAAGAGGCCAGAAGGTGGATTTGACACAATAATTCAGACCATGGGGATTTGTAGCCAGACCAACCCGGTCGCCTTTTTGCGGCAGCTGGGAGATCTGTGCAGGCAGCCCGGGGAGAAGAGCTCGGGCGTCGACATGAGGACAATCGAAAAAGAGGCCAGACAGCGTCTTGAGGATATTCAGAAACGCAAGGACCATGTTGTCTCGGGGCCAGAGGGAAAAATGCAGCAAGAAGAAGATGCGCTTGTTGCAGAGCACGGAGGGGATTTAGGAGGGAAGATCCTCCTCCTCGAACATGGCCGGTCAGACCTTGAATTTATCAACCGGGTACTGGACAACGGTGCAAAAATGCATGCCGATCACTATGGATGTTGGTGGAATAAAGACATTGAGCAGATCGTCAAGGACAGCGGGCTGATTGTAGAGCGGAAAAGGAGATATCACTTTGGGACGACGTGTGAGTATGTTCTCAGGCCAAGACCAAAACCCAGAAGCGAGAATGAGATAGAGAAGACGGGGGAGATGGTAGAGGCTGGGAAGACTGCTGTCGTAGACTCCAGTCAAGGTTCGCAGGTCAAGGGATGGATGGGCGGATGGTTTGGCAAAGATTGAACAAGAGCACAGGAGAAACTCTCAGCAGTTCAAAATGTTCTGAAAACGTTATCGTAGGCAGCAGCAACAGTTGGCAATGCTTGCCTTCGGCTTCTGGATGGATTGAGCCTGGTGGTGGCATTCCTTGTAATCGCGAGGGACGCACGCGAGGCTGAGGAAAAAGGAGGGAACGAGAAGGGTACGTGAACACGTGCCGCTCCCGATGTTTGCAGCATCACGGGCCTATGGGACTCGATCGGATTCCCACGGCTACCAACCTGTTGACGATGGCAGTGCCGGCAACTGGGTTCATTGGTCCGCTGAGTTTGGGGTGTTGAAGTCAGCAAAGTGGAAGACAGACGTCAGCCAGTGCGACTTGCACAATCCCTTGTTATCTGGCACATGCTGATATTGCTGTAAGCGAAAGCGGGAACTTCGACTGGTGAGTTCGACCGGCTTGATGATACATGGTCCCCATTGGGCATTTGTTCGGTTGTGTTCCCATGTGCACGAAGTTGAACTTTCGACACTGCCGTGCTAGGGTGTGTCAGATCATACGATTATCGCTCTATGGTTTTAGACGTGGTGTAAACACACGCGAAGGCAATCCTTCCATTGAACATGCGACAGTACTCAGCAGACAAGGGCCGAGTAGGAGGGACGTAAGCGAGCGTGCTTCGCTGAGAATGACCCGAGATCAAACAGGGATTGGAAAGAGCACAACACAATGTCGCACCAGGGCGAGGAGGACTCAGATGTCTCTGATCGCAGATCCGGATCAACATGCCGCAAGGTGAACACTGGAAGACCTCAACCCGTGTTTGGGGGTCCAAAGCTGGAAGGAAGTTGGAGATGATAGTCTGCATCCCAATCACGCACATGCTCTCCGCAGGATTATTGCATCATGATTTTTCATGGGGCTCTCGGATTGGCAGAATTGCAACGGGACAGAGCGGCGTGCCTCTGCGACTATACGAGTGTGGACCGAACCGAGTGTTGGGATAGCAAACCGGGTGAGCCAACCGTGATCTCATAGATTTGCATTTCTGCGACGAGGATAGTAGTGGCAGGATATCTGTGCAGGGTTGACCTGACTTTGCAATACGACTGCCCCACAAGAATGACTCTTGGGATGCGATTCAGTCGGCCTTGGAGCTGCCTTTCGTGTGATGCGCATCATTGTTGCGAGTCGATCGCATATTCACCAGCTTCGGTTCGTCGAGTTGGCACCTCTGCCGCAAAACAGCGCCCAATCGCTTGGCCTAGCCACCAATAGTGCGTGTTTCAGGTGTCTGTGCAGCCGTCAAGCCATCCTTTTCACACCGCGGGGATGGCTGTTTGGACTTGTCTAGACTCAAGCCTGCTCTTGACCGCCTCGATGTGACCACCAATCAACCGTCCAAACGAGATCTTCGATGGGCAATGCTCATCTATTCTAAGAAAGTTGACGTCCTGGCCGACGAGGTCGCAGATGTGCACGCTCGACAGGGGCGCATCTGAGTCTGGAAGCTTGCCCAAGGTCACGTGAAGATAAGGATGCTGTTTCGGCTACAATAGACGGATGTAGCGGATAGTGGAGGCCTCGCCGCAAAGTCAATCAATTTTTTTTTTCCCTATTTTTTTTTTCGCTGCGCTTTTCGCTGACGTCTTTGTGTCGCGCTGGATACGTCAGTGATGATGGCAAATTGAACAGTGTGGAGTGCCCGTGGAAAAAAAAAATTGAAAAAGAAAATCACTCGAAGCCACCCCAAGGGAATGTGAAAGCAGCAGTGTCTCTCTGCATGGCACGAAGCAAACAACTTTGTTCCTGCTACATGCAGCAGAAGTATCGCCCCCCAAAGTCTAGGTAACGTCGCCCAGAGCAACGAAGCTGCACCATGCAGCTGTGCTTCTCGATTGGTGCTGCAAGGTGCTGCAAGGTGCAGGTCGAATGATGATGGGCCAGGTGAATTGCCCGATGCAGAAGGATCCGTAAACTCAGGACGAGGAATTGTGCGGCACGACAAGAGAGAAAAAAAAATAATTTTGACTGGGGATGGAGGGGCAGCGGGGCGCTGATTCGCGGAACGATGGTGCTGGCTTTGCTGGCTGCGCTGGTCACCGAGCCACCCCCTGGAGACTGCAGCAAACCTTGTATCCCAAGCGCATCCAGCTGCGTCCGGGTAAAAAACTCTGGGTCCAGAGCCGGGCTTTTCCAGAAGTTAGGGGCGACCAGAGAAGATCATGCTTGTCATGACCTGGGCGTGTCAGGGACCCAGGGTTGGCTGCTCTATAACCTTCTTCCGCAGCACCAATCCCCAGCCAACAAGCGCTTACTCGAGATGCAGTTACAAAACTTGGCTTTGGATGACCGATGTAGTTCCACCTCTTTCAACTGGCGGATGGTGCCCGTAAGTTGTCGGTTCGATTAGTGAGGCGTGAGGGAGGGTGGAAGGAGATGTCAGCCATCGCTGGGATGCGAGTCGTGTGGCATGTAGGGTTTGTCGACACTTCCGAGAGAAGTAAGTGGTGTTGCACGGGAGGTAGAGTCCGAGAAAGTGACGGGCGGCACACATCACATCTGACGGGACATGGGTTGAGTGACTTTGATATCTGGTAGCCCTTGTTCTTTGCGAGATCTGGAATATCACACCACAATTAACTCTGGCCCTTCTGCTGCACCGAGTACTCGCCATATGGAGGTGTCTCCTACTGCCAAATCGGCGATGGACGCAAGCTGAATATAGCAATGGCAGCTGGTTGGGCAATGTTGGGCCGTGCTGGATATGACCGATGACAGCTTCAAAAACGATGTCACAGGTGGAGGCGTTGTTTGTAAAGCCAGGAGACCGGTTGACTGGCGTCGGGCAGTGGTTTGCGAAAAAGGTCGGCCAAGTGCATCCGCGAGTCCAGTAGGCAGGTAAGGGACTGCAAGGAGCGCTGCTTAGGCGCTCAGCGTTGCCCCCAAAGAACACTAGCCTGGCCCGGATGGGGAGAGCTAAAACAATGACTCCGAGTTTAGCTTGGCGACTGGTCGACTGGCGCCTGGTGGGCTCTCGGATCTCAACCTGGGCCAGGGCGACTGGGCGACCAGGCCATTGGAGGGGACCCGGGGACCCGTCAAGAAAAGATGGGCGAGGGTTCGAGGGACCATCAATGGCATCCCAGGCATCGAACTTTCGCCATTGCTCCCTGCTAGGTGACAGTCGGTAGCATTTTTTAGGACTCTCAGACTCTCAGACCCCATCTCGGAGCGCCCACGAGGGTTTTTGCTTCGGGGTTGTTGTGGCGTGCTGCCCTTCCTGCGCTGCGCATTCCTGGCACCTGTCTGCAACTCTGCGCAGCTGCGACACCTCCCTCGATCAATTCTTCCTTTTCCATCAGAGCTTCTCTTCTCCTTTACTTCTTCTATCACCCAAGCCGCAATCACCCCCTTCCTTCATCACCGCGTGTACCTCAACGCCCTCTCTCCCTTCTCCAGACACGGGCCATAGACATCATCTACTTGACAGCCCCCCCCCTCCATCCCTCCAAAAATATTTTGATTTGACCCACTCCCTCGCACGACCCTCTCCAAGCAAACAAAACGTCTCCGGGACCCTGAGCTACTACTCACTACTCACATACCAAAAGGCACGGCCGCCTGGCAGGCTCCCATTACCGCCATTTCTCGCTTCTGCGCTCTCCCCTGTCAAGCAAATCGCCGTCAAGACCCCCCCAGCCCCATCACAATAGAAAAGGACACAAGCACGCACTACGTTTCTCTCCTCTGTCCGATCTACCAAGCGTCGCCATCTGCCTGCTTACCGCCGTTTGACCTCAACAAGTCAAGTGGTCGGGACAAGATCTCTTGACGCAAGGAGGCGAGGGCAGGACCACTAAGGCCAATTGAAGCTGATCCTTGAGAGTTTTTATTGCTCCACGATCCGGCACCTTGCATTGCAGCCACGCATTCCAGCTGCCTCCATCCTCCAATCACCACCCCGGGCTCCATATATCCTTCAGTCTAACCACCCTCCCTCTGTCACATCTTTCGCCCTCCCTTGTCCAACGCTACGCAGCACTAGTCCATCCCTCGACTGGTGTCGCCGCAGCCTGAATCATCATTCTGCCATTCGACAATTCCACCCATCCCAAAAACAAATTCCCTGCTTTTTGGGGCTCCTCTAGGTTACCAGAGACTCCCGTTTACTGTTGTACACGACTCTCTCCCATCCATCTCCCCGGCCCTACAGTGTCGCGACTTCATCTGTTGTCCTGTTATACAACAGTCCACCCTCAACATCCCTCTCGTCCTTCATCGGCGGCAACACATGACATTCCACCATGCCTTACAACACTCGTCGGAAATCTCTCTCCTTGCCCTCGCTGGGCATTCATTTGCCCAATGCCTCTCGCGCTCACCGCCCTATCCTCAAGACTACCACACCACCTGCAGAGTCCTCAGCATCTCCTCCGCCTCCTACAAAGAAACAGAAGCGCTCTCATGATGGCGAAGCGCCTCTATCCCCAGTTTCCTCTCCGCGCTCCAAAGTTGGCTCTCCTGCGATCGATCTTCCAATATCGACCGCACTCGCACTTGGTGCGGTGGTTGAGCAGACGCCACCCCCGTCCCCAAAGCTTGGTGCTCCGGTTCGAAAAATCGACACAGATGGTATCAATGATGACATTGTCATCTCTGTAATCGAGCAGTTGGAAAAGACGGGGAACCGACCACACCTGATCAGGGACCTGGCAACTATATTGGCTTCCACCAATGCCAGTATTGCTCAGTAAGTTCTTTGCGGATGGAGTTTCGACGAGACCGTAACTAACTTGCTGTTATAGTTCTGCGAACCCAGCTGCGTTACTGTCCTCGCGTCTCAGTCTCTACCTGAAGAGACCATGGACGGCTTTGGCACCATGCCCGTTGGCGAAGGAATTGATACCGGTTCACCCACGGAAGGTCTTCTTCTTTCTCACCACACAGCCGCGAATGCCTCTCCCTGAGTCCTCGGATGACATCCTCCCTCCCCCAGTGATCTCGGTCAAGAATCTGACGCCTAGCGTGTCGGATCATAGCCAGATCGATGATCTCGATCAACGAGATCGTGCTCGACTATCTCCCAGCCCAGAGGTGGAACTTTATTCCCCCGACCTAGACCAGGACGACCCCATGCAGCCTCCGACCCCTGGCGACCATTTCAGCGCCAGGAGCAGCCTGAATCCAGATGGTACGCCTGATGTTCGCCGTAGAACTAATCGGGCTCCAAGTCCTCCACTTGAGGAGGACGAACGTGGCTTCACTGAGACAGCCACCGCGGTCCGTGCCCGTGGCATGAGTCTGCACAATCCTACCGTCCAGGCGTCAATCGAGGTTGAGGAAAAGACTCCGGCTGTCGCGGTGTCAGAAGAGACACCGGAACAACGCCAGAAACGTGATCGAGAGCTCGGGTTGGCTCTCTTCGGTCAGTCCCATCAAGAGCTCCACGTTCCGGAGCAGAAGCTGTTTTCGAGCAGCCCGATGATCCAAGCCAAGCCCGATCATCAGGCACCAGTGGCGAAGACGAACCTGACTCTTGACCTGGATGGAATTGAGATGGGCGTGGCTGCCTGGAGCATGATGAGTCCCGAGCAAATCGACGTCGAAGAACTGGACGAGATGTTTATGGGATTCTAGGACTCGAGCTACTGGCATGACAAACGTTGCTGCGTGCCAGCGTTGGACTCTCGCCTCATAAGGTTTCGGCCAACCACCAAATCTCTCAACTTTGGCGTTGGCTATATATCGGCATGATTGCTGGATAAGAGCTTGTTTGCAATTTGATGGTTGGCTCTTGATGAAATGGCACGTTCTTAATTTCGGTTTGTCGTCTGATCCTTGAAGCGAGGCAAAGCCATGTGTTGTTAGAATTTACATCTCATGAGAAAGAAGAGATTTTGTAGTATTAGAGGCCTGTTGGCCGACGGGGGAACAGCGGGTCAGCCATGCTGAGGTCTCATGTCTCATCCAGAGCTGAGATCCTAGAAAACAAGTGTATCATTTGCAATGAAGTCATCCATCAATTCCTTCTTCCCTCGAAGTCTTGTTCCTCAACAGGGTGGCGCCGACTCCTTTTCGTCCGTCATTGCTTTGTCAGCGTTGGTGTCATTTTCAGACTTGACTCTCGCACTGTGTCAATCTTGTATCTTGAAGTGTTCTACACAATGACACTGCGACCACTGTCTGTGGCCCTGTATGTTCCCGATGCCTGCGCCGGTTTAACGAAAACCTCGGTACGCACGGCCAAGACCATTGAGAGTCCTCAGACCTCGTGTCCAGCTGAATTCGAGGTGCACCGGAACCTCCGGTACCACATCAAGGTGCTGTCGCTGAGCTCGGTTACACACCTCGAGATTGACGGAGACGAGGTGCTATAGCTGGCGACCGAGCCATCTGTCGAGCCCGTCTCTTGTCCAAACGATCGAGCCAAGGACGTGCGATTACTTCACTGTGCAGCTGGCCGGACGGCTTCCAAGGCAGCAAATGCCTGTTTGGAACAAAACATTCTACCATACTTCGAGCCGCCCGTCGTCGCTTAAATTGATGCTGTTGCTGTGGTTCGTATTGCCACATCCACATCTCAAGAGGTGGCCCTCTGCTTGGTGATTCTCCATCGCTTCGCGCTATTGACCTTGACCACCTTTCGTCGGCTCCAGCCACGTGTGACCGAATGTTTGGCCTAGCGTCCAGGCTCCTGTCAAGATTGGGGAATACTACTTGTGACAGGCGGTCGAAAGTGACAGGGAAAAGCGGCGTGTTCATCCAAGCAGACGATGATGCGATTGAACTTTTGGGGTGCTAACAACTGCAAAAACGTATGTCACGCGCGGGCTTCCGGGTTGGGAAAGTCAGTGTCGAGGTCGAAACCCAGAGTTTCCACCTTCGGTCGTGGCTCAGCACCATCACAGAGCCCACTCCTTAAGAAGCTGGCGGCTTATGTGAGGGAGTTGCTGTATCAATTGGGAAGACGACTCCTCTGCACGCCATATGTTTGAGGCCTGATCACGTGGTCCTATCTCCACCAACATACTTGGTCTTCTAGTTTCGGCAGTTCACTGTCCCCAGGCTTGCAGGAGGCAAGGATCCCGGGGGCAACATCCATCATGTAGCCTAGGCTGCGCCGACAGCCAAAAGCAGTGAGGAGATGTTGATGTGATCGATGCTTCCTTGCCGCCAACCGAAGACACGGACGATCTGGTCCGACGACTCTGCGACAGAATGACGATGCCCTTTAGGCATCGGGCCCAGACACAGTCAGAGCAACTTTGAAAGATCTTCTCCTGCCACATTGATCGAACGGACCTACCAATCTAAAGGGGGACGGAAAATAACTTTTGTGAAAAGGATATGTATGAGATCTGGACGTGGAAGGCCCTGCATAAGACTGACCACGAGTTTCCTTATTCGGCGGCCAGAAGCTGCACAAGGCTGACGTCTGGGTACCCAATTCGGCAGGATTCAGGCATGTATGGAGTGATTCTGACTGTCTGCGTGTGCTGATTTCAGAGAACTAGGCCGTACATGATTCCAAAACCATTGTGGATCCAAATGTCTGTTACCGACAAACAAGCAACCACCTTGGAAGAGGTCGACCAAATTTCGAGGGTATAAAGCATGTGGTTCATGCCATGACTGTTCTCATCTCCAGTCCGAGGAAATCGCTCATTATCTTCCTACATCTCAGGGAAGGACGTGGAAATCATAGCGACATGGCTACAAAGAACGTTGTTCGGATCACCAAGGTTTCTCCTGCCTACTGGCGAGCCACCATCAGCAACCCCCCGCTCAATATATTCGATCCGCACGTGTACGCCAGCCTGCGACTGCTGCTCGACGCTCTCGAAAAGGACCCACACGTGCGCGTGGTCGTCTTTGACAGCGACGTGCCCGAGTACTTCTGCGCGCACTACGACATGGCCTGGCCCGCGGCCGGGGTCGACATCCCGGGATACGCTCCCGTGAGGGGCGACTGGCCGACCTTTGTGCACCGGCTCAGCAACCTGCGCGTCGCCAGCATCGCCTCGATCCGCGGCCGCGTGCGCGGCATCGGCAGCGAGTTCGTCCTGGCCTGCGACATGCGCTTCGCCAGCCGCGAGAAGGCCGTCCTGGGCCAGCCCGAGGTCGGCGCGGGCGTGGCCCCCGGCGGAGGGGCTCTGGAGTGGCTGCCCCGGCTGTGCGGCCGGTCGCGCACCCTGGAGATCGTGCTGGGGAGCGACGACTTTGACGCGTCCACCGCCGAGCTGTACGGCTGGGTCAACCGCGCCGTGCCGGACGCCGAGCTGGACCGGTTTGTCGACACCCTCGCGCGCCGGATCGCCGGGTTCGACACCTTCCCGCTCGAGGGCGTCAAGCGGGTCGTGAACCAGCGCGCCGGCGTGGCCAATTTCGCCGACCTGCACGAGTCGGGCCTCCTCTTTGGCCGCTGTGTCGACACCCCCGAGACCCAGCGCCGAGTGAAGAACCTCTTCGCCGCCGGGTTGCAGCAGGATGGAGAGACGGAGCGGAACCTCGGACACGCCCTGTCGCAGGTCACTTCGGATTGAGTATTCAGCCCGCAGCGTAGAGGAGGTTGACTTTTCAGAGGTCTTTCGTACTTGCATGGATGACTCCATAGGGATCTCAGCCTGTGCTAGGGACAACGTCCATCCATCACCTCCTAGATGGCTATGTGTGCCTCATCGCAGGGAACTCACCACGAAATGACTCGAGCTTTTGATGGAAGTCGTATGTAGCTTGCCAGAGTAATCCACGGAAAAAACAGAGTATGAGGTTTCCCTCGCGCTCAGGCCTGTATGTACCGTGAAGGGTGCTCGGTACGTGTATTTAATCCACGCTCCCGGCAAGGGGAGACTGCTGGGTACGTTGCAGATCCCAACACCATTACGAAGAACAATCATTTCTTCTGTGAACATAAACAGCACCATCACGTTAGGGTATCCACGTAATTAAAAGACTTGCCAAAATCAAGGTGAAAAAGAAACCCCCCACACACTCCCATAAAGGAGAAAAAGGGGTAGGAGGGATAACTTTTTATTACAAACTTCCTGTGGCCACATTGGTTCCTAGCCCCCCGGCTTCCGCCCGTAGACGAAATGGAAGTTGACGTAGAGATGGTTCTGGGAATCCTGCAACTCCCGGATGACGTGCGCAACGAGCACGCGGCACTCGTCCTCGGTCCAGCCCAGGTAGCGGGTGAGGAAGCCCAGGGCGAAAGGCTCGATGGCCGAACAGACCTGCGGGAGCTGGTATTTGCCCAGGACCTTGAGCTTGGGATCGCGCGGCCACGGCCCAACGGGGACCTTGGTCGTGTGTGAGAGACGTCGGTTAGCTGGCCAATACCGGCAGGGTGAGAAGGGGGGGGGGTGGGAATAACGGGATATGGGGGAGAGGGAAGCAACTTTACCTTGTAGACGTCGTCTCGGATGTCGACGAAGCCCGCATCGACCAAACGCTGCCTCTGCTCTTTGGCCACGTCGAGGTCCTTGCCGAACACTCTGCTGGCCTGGTTCACCTCGTCTTGCCACCGTTTGAGGTACGGCGCCCGGGCGAGCTCCGGGTCGTCGTCCGACTTGAGCCACGTCTCGTACTCCTGCATCTCGAGCCAGCCTCCCGGATTCAGGGACCGCAGCGCCTGCTGGTACAGCCGGTCCCAGTCCTCGATGCTGCCGACCATGGTGCGCCCGTGGATGAAGTCGTACCTCTCGGCCTCGGTGCTGGCCTCGACCCAGTCGCTCTCGACGTCGTCGACGTAGAACCTCACGTTCGGGGGCACCACGTCCGGCTGGATGGGGCTGAGGTCCGTGCCGATGACCATGGCCATGGGGAATTCGTCCGCAAAATCCACGGCCCAGATGCCCGTCCCCGTGCCGAAGTCGAGCACCCGCTGCGGACTCGCTAAGATCGGGGCGCGAAAGAGTCGGCCATCGAGAGTCAGTCGGAAGACGTGGTGGAGGAGGTCAAGCCGCGCTTGCTCCGTCTCATCGTTTGGTAGGGTGTATGCGCCTTGGCGGTAGGCGTGGTATCGTCTGCCGTGTTCGTAAGGATAGTTGTATATGGAGGAGGCGAGAGATGTGCTGGTGACTGAGAGGTCGTCGCCCAATGTGGAGTCTACGTCGCTCGTTTCGTTTGACTAACAGGCGCAATCAAGCGTTAGAGACTATGGTGATGGCGATGGGAGGAGGTAAGAGCGATGTGGCCTGTCTCACGTCTGGCTGGATCTCAGCATCTGGGTCCGGCGCAGCTGGCTGTTCAACTATTGCTCCCGGCGCCGACGAGTGTTCTGGGGTTTGGTTGGTGGTGTCACTCATGTCGAGTGTTAGCGCAGCCTTGCTCACTGCTGTGGAGGCAGGATGATTCGAACGGCGGCGGGGAATGTCGTGGAACAACGGGCCGTAGAGAGCATATGTAGGGCGACGACGGTGCACGAAAAGGTACCTGGGTAGTGCACTCAGGTTGCTGAAGTGCACGGAGCGGTCCGCCCAGCCTTAACTACTGCGGACTAAGTTTGGTGCCGTTGGGGGAGGACTGGCGGCGGCCGGTTAGTGCTTCGTTAAGCCCTTAGGCGCATGTCTGGCTCCCGGACGCCCACCAACTGTCCTTCCTTATGGGCGCCTTACAGGCGACATGTACGCGAGAACTGGCCATGTTCATCCATTGGTGCCAGCTCTCCATGTGGTCTGTAGCTGTCTGCAGCCGTCTGCATCGAGAGCAGGCTAAACATCAACTTCAATCCACATGTCCACGCCGCACTGCAAGCAATCGGCTCATCTCGTTTCTGGTTCACCTTGTCGCAACTGGGCCCATGCTGTACCTCTCCGCCCGTCTCCATCAATCCTGCTTGGTCTCCTCTGCGAATCTTGAGCAATGGCCTCATCATACTTCGAGATTCTGCCCAAGGCCTCCCTGACAGCACCTCTTGCCGTCCTAGTCACCACATGGCTCCTGTATCTCGTGTCGCTGGCTGTGAATCGGCTGTACCTCTCGCCGCTTGCAAAATTCCCTGGACCGAAAGCCGCCGCCTTATCACGATGGTACGAACTCTACTACGAGGTCGTCCTGAAGGGCCAGTATTCCCGGAGGATAGATGAGATGCATCGGGAATATGGTAGGCCAACCTCTGGTACAGTTTGCATAACTCCAGAGTGGCCAACTGATTGATCTCAAGGGCCTATTGTTCGAGTCGCACCAGATGAGCTCCATATCAAGGACAGTGACTTCTTCGACGAACTATATGTCAAAGTCCCCCGGGTGGATAAGCATGACTGGGCGGCTGGAAGGTTTGGGAACCATGGCTCCATCATCACTACTGCAGATTTTGCTCTACATCGTCGTCGCCGTGCCGCCCTCAATCCTTTGTGAGTCTTTGCACGATGCACACTTCGTCTCGAGAACGGTGGCTCTTTGGACACGAGCCAAGGAGATACTGACGGAGATCTAGCTTCTCCAAACGGTCAATTGTGGATTTTCAGCCAGTGATTCGCCAGAAAGTTGAGCTGCTGAGCAAGAAGGTCCGCGAGTACAAGGCGAAGGACGCTCCAGTGGTCCTGAGCGAGGCATTTCCAGCTTTTGCGGGCGACATCATCACAGAATACTCCTTTGGCATCTGCTATAATCACTTGGATTCTCCAGATTTTTCAGAATCCTTCCACGCTGCGTTCATGGCCGTCGGTGAGTTTGGCCATGTTGCAGTTCAGTTTCCGTGGTTTCACCCGGTGAGTTGTTAATTCACCACGCCCTCTGATCCACGAATGCTAAGAGGGGCATAAGCTCTTGAATTCTCTTCCTCATGGTCTTGTTCGGAAAATGCAGCCAGCTCTGGGGAGCTTACTCCGGCTTCAGGTTGTGAGTTGGGCGAATCTGGTGGTCACGAATTGGCTTCCACTAAACGCTTCACATAGGATCTGCGGAATATGATCAAACGGCTGACTGAAGGGGATGGACTGGGAGAGGGCAAGTTTTCCCATCGCACAATCTTCCACGACTTGCTGCAAAGTGCTCTCCCGCCCGAGGACAAGGGGAACCGCCGCATGGCAGACGAAGCCCAAACGGTCATCGGAGGTGGCCTCGAGACGACTGCTTGGGCATTGAGCGTGGCGTCATTCCACATCGTGAACAACCCCAAGATTTACCAGCGGCTTCACGAAGAGATTGTCCAAGTGATGCCCGACGCAGCCTCCATCCCCGATCTGCTGGAAGTCGAAAAGCTGCCATACCTGCGGGCCTGCATCACCGAAGCCGTCCGCCTCTCTTATGGCATTTCTGCCCGGAATCCTCGGGTGCTCAACCAACCGCTTCAGTACAAGCAGTGGACCATCCCCCCACGAACGGTGGTCGGCATGTCGATTGTGGATGTCCATCATGACGAGGCTATCTTCCCCGACTCCCATTCATACATTCCAGAACGGTGGCTCGGGAACCCCAAAGCACCCAATGGGTCGCCGCTTGATCGCTACTTTGTCGGCTTTGGGAAAGGGAGCAGGAGCTGCCTCGGGATAAAGTATGTATCATGTCCCCTCGCACCACCGCTCGCTGCATTTTAGTCGAAGCTAACCTAGGACTTTCTTCCCAGCTTGGCCTACGCTGAACTGTTCCTTCTCATGGCGGCTCTTTTCCGACGATTCTGGTTTGAATTGTTCGAGACGGATAAGTCGGATGTGGAGTTGAAGCATGATTTCTTTCTGCCGAGTCCGAAGTTGGACTCCAAGGGCGTGAGAGTCAAGGTGGTGGAGGTCTACGAGTGAAGTGATGCTTACGGCTGGGCTGCCTGGTGATCATACATATCTCTCTCTTTCCACTATTTCTACACGAGCTCCATCTGCTTTTGGCCATCACCCCCTTTTCATCCCTATTCCAGGGATCACGGCGAAGTACCATTGCATGGACCAATATAACATACACCCTTGTGCCTGATCCTGCCTGGCTCGAAGCGCCACGCCGTAACCAATCGTGCTTAGTCATTCATAGCCGTATCCGCGTCGCGTTATTTCTTTGACTGATGGACTGGTCCGAATCGAGCATGCATTCCGACGTCTCTGATCCTGCAGCTTAACTACAAAAGTCCAAGTACCACATCCCTACCACTTTCGTTGACCCTTGGAGCTCCTGACCAATTGACGAGATCTAGGGAGAAACGGGGCAAATGTTGTGCAGTGGCCCGACCGGGTCCATGTAGTTCTTACTCGCCACGACCACGTCGCTTTACCAGCCGTTGGCTCGATCCCTCACTCTAACCCCTGGCTCGAGATCTGGGATTTTCCCGGGAATCGGATTGGCCAGTTACCGAGCTTCACAGGCAAGGGGGGGGGTGCGTCTGCAAGGATAATAAGACGGCCTTGCCGACCGCTTCGATCGTGCCCCTCCGCCCATGGAGGCCGAGGAGCCCCTGATGCAGATGCCGCACGAGCGAGAGCAGCAGATGGCGGCTCCTCCCGCGGGCTTCGATCCGAGCTACATCGACGAAGTCTCACAGGGACGCCGCGCTCTCAGCGTCCCCGACCTTGAATCCCTGACCACGGGCACGGGCGCCAGCATCTACCAGTCCACAATCCTCCCCGCCATCCGCGCCGCGCGCTCCGAGGTCGTGCTGGTGACGTGCTTCTGGGCGACGGCGTCCGCGACCCGCGACCTCCTCTGCGAGGCGCTCAAGGACCTGTCGCGGCGTGTGCTGGCCTCGTCGACACCGTCCTCGTCATCACTACCGCCACCGGGGGCAGCGTCCCAGAAAGTCTCCGTGCAGATATGTTTCTCCTCGAGCTCGCTGGCGCGGAACATGCTCCTGCCGACGCCCGCGGCCGGTCAGGTCTACGACCCCGCAAGCTGGGGGAAGCTGGGCCTCCCCGAGCCCGAGGAGATCAAGGGTCTGGATCTGCGGGTCGTGCGCAAGTTCTTCTGGCCCTGGGGCATCGTCCACCCGAAGTACGTGATCGTGGATCGCAAAGTGGCCATCTTCCCGTCGTGCAATGTCTCGTGGGAGCGGTGGTTCGAGGTGGCCCTGTCGTTCACGGGTCCCGTGGTTGACCACCTGCTGCGCTTCCACGCCGACTTCTGGGAGGAAGGGAGGCCTCTTCCACCTCGGCCCTCTCCTGAGGCTGCCGCTGCCCGTCGCTTACTCGACGCCGTTGCAGATCAGACTATTGCCTCTTCGACCACCTCTGCCACCACCGCAACCGCTCCAACAACTCTCCTACCGTCGCCACACACCCCCGCCACCCTTCCCAACCACCTCCACCCGCGCGTCCTCCTGGGCCGCTGTCTCCCGTGCATCCCGGACGCAGGCCCGCTCCCATTCCCGCCCACGCCGCTGCTGGAGGCCACACAGCACCTGCTCCGCACGGCGCGGTCCCGCATCGTCATGCTCACGCCCAACCTGACCGAGCCGACGGTGCTGGAGTGCCTGCTCGGTGCGCTCGGGAGGGGCGTCCGGGTCTGCGTATGGACGAACCGCGACCTGATGACCGCGGAGCAGGTCGTCACGGCCGGCACGACGACACCACGCTGTGTCCGCAAACTCCGGGACGGGGCCCTGCGATCGGGAGCGGCGGCCGCGCTGCTGGACGTCGTCTTCTTCGACGACCAAGACCCGGACGACGCGCCGGGTGTACCGCCGCGGCCGCCGCGACGGGGATTGCAGGAGACCGACGCAGAGCGGGACCTCGACGCGGTCCCCGTCAAGCTGCACGCCAAAGTGACCATCGTCGACGACGAGAGGATCCTGTTGGGCAGCGGCAACATGGACGCTGCGAGCTGGAGGACGAGCCAGGAACTGGGCGTGCTGGTCGAAAGTCGCGCGGTGGTCGACAGCTTCAAGAGGCGGTGGAAGTATAGCACGCTCTGAACTGCTTGGGGGAGAATTATACAAAGTTCGACTAACTGTCTGTCTAAACTGAGGATGGCCCAGGCCTGTTTGTCCCTACATCACAAGGACGAGTATCGTCGACCAGCCTCCCCCAGTGATTGATTGTCATTAACAACCTGGACAAAGCCCTCGGTTCTGGAATAAGAGGTTTCCCTTCTGAAGAAAAATCTAGATTTGTCGTCACCCTAGAACGCTCCAACCCATTTATGTAGCACCCCAAGTTCCCCGTAGTCCGGGTTCCCAGATGATCCAACCCATTGGTCCTCGTCCACGATGTTCAGACGTTGACAATTGACCGCGTAACGCCCACGAAAGTCGCAGCCTGTAAGCGCCCATCCTATCCTTTAGTCGACATCGCAAAGCTGTCTAGGATCTGGCTCCAGATGACCTGCTCCACGCAAGTATTGAACCTTCGGCCCTATATCAAAACTCGAAACCACTATTTCCAAAACCAGTTCGTCCGACACATTTCTGATCGTGTCGCCATCGAGCGGTGCAAGTCTGCCGATATTGGGGACGAGAAATTAATTGAAGGATCCATGTCGAACATTTCCCAAACCCCGTGGCGATGCGAGAAAACACCTTCCGCCTGGGCGCCGCCCGCAGTGTTCATGAATGTAACAGTGCCTGAGAAGTAGACTACTCACAAATTCGCGAGCCAATGCGTCAGCGTGAGAGGGGATCGGGAGGACAGCGTAAGCAGAATGAGTGAGACCCCGTGTCCATGCAGGTGCCATATATTCGTTCCTGGCTCGGCATCATCGGCCGGGTGTCCGTTGGACGCATTCGCACAGCGTCAGCTCCCGAGTATTCTAGGATCGACATCGATGGGCCGATTGGTAGAAATGCGCTGTGTATGTCCAAATTGAATTCATCGCGAGAAAGTCATCATCCAGAGACTGGTTCTTGTGCATTGATGGGTGGTCTACCCGAACCCGATCATTGACCAACGTCAATGGCTGAATTCGGAAGAAGGGGACGTTGGAATCTCATGTAGAGGGCGTGAGACACAGATGAGCAGCTGTTGACGCATGAGATTGCGGCGGCCCAGATATGCCCCAGTCGATTTGGTACCATGGTCCCTTGCAACGGTATGCTCAACGGAGCATCAGGACGCCATCACGGCTGATCCTGACTCTCTAGGTCAGCGTCCCAATACCCATTGATGCTCCCAAGCAGCATCTTCCACACATTTCCGTCGGCAGGCGTCGTGTCGCAGATGTCCCTGGCCAGCCTGTAGTCTCCTTTCAGCTCCTCGTCAAGCCATCTGAGTCTTTCCATGCCCTCCTCGTCATTGCCGAACCTGATGAATTGGATGCCTACCATCTGCTCCTTCATACCCTTCTCCTCGAGGAGGTTCACCAGTCTTTGGATAGAACGCGCAACGGCGTCCAGCTGACGAATTCCTGGTTGCCATTTGCCATCGGTAAAGACATATAGGCTGATCGGCCTCATGTCCAAATCCTTGGTTAACTTCTTCTGGGTCCTCTGCAGAATCTCGTCGAGACGGTGGGCAAAGTCGGATTCACCGTTGAGCTTTTCTGTCTTGCGTCTGACCATATTCTTGAGCTTGGTAGTGTGAAAGTTTTCTTTCCCTTCGTCGGATATGATGAACCGTAGCTCGCTTCCGTTGGGATCCAGTTTCTTTCTTTTGATCAGACTGATCAGGTTGCTGTAGAGCTTGGTAACATCGTTCCAGTAAGGAGTCATACTTTCGCCGTCGTCTAAGATAAAGATCTATGTCTGCGTAAGTATGCGTGACGCCACAAGTTAGAAAGGCAGAGACATACGTGATCCCGACTCCTCAGCTGGCCAATCAACTCATTCTCGTGCGGAAGGGGGGTGATTTCTGGCCGATGGAAGATTGCTCTTTTGGCCGCTGCCTCTGTCTGCTGTACCCAGTCATTCAAGTCGTCGACACTCAACACCTTTTCTGGAGTTCTGTTGTGTGTGCTGCTGTGTGACCGACTGTGTGAGTGCGCCTTGTCGGCAGCTTTTTCTTTGCCTTTCATCGTCATCTGGGCGAAACGTTCTACAAACTCCGAGTTGTGTTCCATGTCGGAGACTGGAGTTTGCTGACGGTGGCTGAAGCTATCCGACGGCGTGGTGAGGCTGTGCTTAATTGGGGAGTGAAAGTCAGAGGTTTTGGGGATTGTGTCGGCGCTTCGCGATGTCAACGCTTCTGTCCCTGGCCTGTCGTGCAGGCGCATCTTCATAGTATCATGGTATTTGCTGTGAGACTCTGTTCCAGTGGAATCACCTCCGTTCCCATGTGGGAACGAATCTCGACCATATCTATATATTGACGTGTTTGAATCTCGATTGTCTTGTCTCTTCAAGGATGTGTTGTCAGTATCACCTCTAGCAACCCATTGGGCCAATCTGGGGCTGTGGTCGGAATCCTTATTATGAGGGAGCTCGATTCGATCATCGTGAGGAGGGGTCAAAGGGTATTCGGGATAGTTGTGAACAGCCGGCTGTGAATAGAACTCGCGGGGAAGTTGTGGCGGTGTCGATGGTCGCGGACCATTCTGCTCGTTTGGTGAAGGCCCAGGAGGCCCTCTTGCCGTTGAGGACGATGATTTGTTCCGGGCTTCGTTGATGACAGCCTGAGAGCGGTGGAGAACTTGATGGGCTCCTAGGCGGACTTGTGGCGAGTGCTCGAACATGTGTTCGAGCAGTTTTTCCCACAAGATTGGTGTTATGCTGTCCTCCGTCGCGCATATTCTTTTGGAATATTCGTGCCAGCTTTGCACCGCCCGAAGGAGACGTCCGGATTTGCAATGGAAACAAGCGCCCATGTTTTCGCCAACTTCCTTATCATTCATTCTCTCCTGACGATACTTCTCTAACCCGTATTTGCCACCCACGGTCCACGCGTGGAACTCGCTAAAGACACAGGCGAGAGACCAGGTGTCAATACTCTGTTCGGCTTTGGACATGTTGTCGCTGGGTGTCCTGATCGAGCAGTTCAATTCCGGGGCACCTGGGCTGTCAGTAACTTTCAACGCGAGCCTCGTTGGAAATTGACTCACTGTAAGCTTGTGAGCCGCCTTTGCTCTCTTCAGTGCTCCTTTCCTTACCCTCCACAACGACTTCGAAGTGGCTTAAACCCAAGTCTGCGAGCATGAACTGGACTCCGTACGGCTTACTAACGATATCACCCGTGACCAAGACATTGGACGGCTTGATATCTCCATGGCGGCTTTCGTGGAGGTATTAGCCCTTGAGCACTTCTTTGTGCGGCTCAAAGCTGCGGACAGGAATTGAAAACTCACCCTTGGAATATTCGTGGCCGTCCCGCGAGGTCGGTACTCCTATTCAAATGTATCTGGACGAGGGCGCCACTAAGCTTGAGGATATTCTCCCACAGGGCCACTATGTCCTCTCCCAGTCTTGGAGGCGTAACACGCTTCCAATAGTCTTCCAAAGTACCAACGTTGGCATACTGAAGGATGATGTGACGGCTTTGATTCTGAGTGAAAGCCCCATAGAAGCCTATCAGGTTCGGTATGGGTTCTGATAAGCTATTCAGTGACCGAAATGCTTCGACCTCGGCGGAATAGTAATTTTCTGCTCCATCAGGAGGATAGTAGGACTTTACGACGTATTCGTGCGAATCCTATTATGACCAACTTAGACGATGCCGCTAACAGAAACACTGGGATATATTTACCTCTTCTGGAGCCGAGCTTCCCGTCAAATCATCGTCTTCTTTATGAATTGTGATTTTGTGGACCGAGGCGCTTGAGCCTTTTGTGGTGTCCACTCTCTTCATGGAGGCGATTGGGAGAATCCTATCGTTCTCGAATATAACTCCAGAGCTGTAGCTCAATGGATCCACGCAGAATTCCCATTGTATTTTGGAAAACTCTTCGAAAAATGTTGTACCGCCCGCGAGTTTCGGAAACAGGTCTCGCTTGTCGGGGGAATAAGGTAGTTTATCGTCTTGTAACGCCCGCTGCCCGACAAAGGCGTCGATGTGGTGCGATTGGCCGATGATCACCAGAATAGTGAATACCTTAGGATAGCTTTTCGCAAGAGCCCGTACGTCTTGAGGAGGCTTCGTTGAGTATTTCGTCGCTGCCGCGACAAGTTTCTTGATCTTTGAGTGCTGACTGTCCTGCTCACAGTCGAAGTACTTGGTGATCGCTTGATTCGGGAGGAATTTCCGGGTCATATAGGAGGAATCGTCTGTGAAGGTTATACCCGGGCGACTGTTGGCTTCTTTCCATTTCAGAAAAGACTGAATCTCAGGGTCGGTGAACAGGTCAAGTAGGCGAGAGCCCTGTTCTGGCGCCATCGCATCCGATGGATTGCGTGACTGCTGAACGGTGACAGGAGGGCATAGAAAGTGATTCTGAAAGGCTGCTGCGCTGGGTCGCGCAGATCTTTCGATGACCCAAGCAGAGATTCGAGAAGGAGAGTGAAGGAGGCATCTTCGAGGTTCGGCGACAGCCTCATGGGCTTAAGCTGCGCATGCGGCGCGACAGTGACTGGGCCAGTCTCGGTTAACGCAGAGCAGGTCTGCCAACCAGCCTGACGCCGGCAACCCCTCGATCAAGCTTTGCCTTAGGAACAAGGCGGGGTACCGTTCATGGCCCTGTTCGCCCGGTTGGGCGTTTTTGCAGCACTGCCATGACTGCGACCCCCCAGGGATGGGAATCTTCAGGCGTCGACCATGGCCAACAGCGAAGGCAGAATCACGTCTTCCTGCCCATTTCCCGCCTTGCAGATGCCAACAACACTCGATCTTCGGTGGTCACTGCAGCTCAAGTCCGCGATGGCACTGCGCAAGGCGTACCTGTTGCGGGCGAGAGCTGAGGATGAAGTCATCAACACAACTTACAACACTGCAGCTCCTTGCCTGACACTTGCCTGGCGTCGCGAACCCCAGACAACCCTAAACACCTAGAGTTTTTGACTAGTTAGCGAGTTAGATGCGGTACATCGGGAAATGCTTGTAGGGCAACCCCCCACTGAGGCCCGTGAGCCCTTAACCCGTCTCGCCCCCAGCTAAATTCCCCGGCGCACGGGCTTCGCGTAGTCAACCGCGCCGACCGCAACTTTATCAAAGTCAAGATGAACATGCAGCATGGAATCGAATTAGCAAGAAACCCCCCAATTGGATGGTTTTAGCCCAAGGCGGGAAGGATATCAAGGAAATCAACGACGGATAATGCTCTGTGTTACATATCAGCCTCGCGAGTCGCGACCATAGCTCTCAAAAGCAAAACCTCGAAATTGCACAAGTCCAGCAGATCCCACTGCAGTAATAGAACACCTGATCACCTCCAGCAATCTATTGGGGTCGATGTTGACATCCTAATCAGACATTTTGGGGTGCCCAAAGGGCAGGTCATATCGTAGAAAGTCGTAAACAGGCCTCGGAAAGCAAAAGGCATCAAGTCAAACAGGAAGTGCACAACGACAATACGCTCACATATCCTCCGAGTAAAATACAACAATCATGCAGACGAAAAAGCTCTAAGGTAGATGTCAATGATGAGGACCATATCGCCACGTTCCGGGGCCGATTCGCGCATAAAGGATTATGTGCCGTAACGGACGGCTCCCCAATAGAGTGCAAAGCCAGATCCAAAAGTGGCGGCCATCAAGGAGAGGGTCAGGCACAGAAAGAGCTTGACGGCCCCCAGCGAAGTGCTGCCGGACGTGATCTTGAAGTCTTGTGGGGTGAAATGGACGATATCCGTCGACATGAGGGTTGAGACAAAGGTTGCGGGCAGGAAAAACACGGTTACTACCGTGATGATCCTCATCAACACAGTCTCGAGCGTGGTTTTGAAGGTCAGATCCTGCATTTGTTCGGTCAACTCTTCCATGCGTTTGGCTGAAGCGCGTGCCTCCAGAGCAAACGCCTTATTTGCCTGCATGCTTTGATATTCAACCATCCCGTAGAGGAGATTTTTGCAGTCGGCAATCAGCCTGGAAATCGCGTCGATCCTGTTGTGGTGCATCTCAAGATCGTTCCGCGTGGAGCGGACACGCTGCAAAAAGTGGCTTACAGACGCTCGCATGCTCTTACACACTGCATTGTCTAGACGGTCCAGGTCTGGAGACGTGGCAAGCCGGTGGTAGAAATCTTCAATCTGAGTGAGGACAGCGAGGTCGCTCTTGAGCACCAATGCCGCTTCATTAACCTGGCTTTCCAGAGCCTGCGCCTCTTGCAGTTCTTCGATCCTATACCCCTTCTGGTCTTCATCCACTCTTGAGTTCTGATATTTGGGATCGTACTCAGGCGGAAGATTTGGAGGATCTTGCGGTTCTTCCGGGATATCGATGGCAACGCTAGGTGGCAGAGGACGCGCAGGGAGAGGAAGATTCGTGCCGGTCGCTGTATGGGAGGTGGTGGTAGCAGTACGAGTGCGAGCGGCGTGCAATGCCGTCCAAGTCCGCTTTGGGCCTGACATGTTCCCTTCGCCGCTTGCTGCACCAGTTTCTGAAGAGCTTGCGGGAGTGGCTACAGGCGGGACTCTGTCCACCAAGGCGCGACGTTTGAGTGTATGGAGCTGTTCTTCAATGTAATTGATATACCACCTCCAGTTCTCCCCACACCATTCGACAATCACAAAGTGGCAAGCAAGCGAATTGGCGAATTTCTTGGCGACGCTGAGATATATGTCGGGGTTCTGGGATAGCAGAGTTGTCGACACCTCTTTAAGCCTTTCGCGTATAACGCCATTTGCCTTGAGAACGATCCATGACGCATGTCCATTCTGCACGTCGAATGAATGGAAGATGACGGTCTGCCGATTCGACCAGGGCCATTGTAAACCGTCCTTGCGCTCGAACGATTTCAGGTTGTAGAAGATGCGAAAATCTTGTCCGGAACGGCCGAGCTCGGGGATGGGGTCTCGCTGCCAGCCTGCCTCGAGCCGCTTTTCCTCCCTGAAGCCACTGAATTGAGAGTCTACCGCATACAGCTGTTGACCAAACGCCAATAAAAACTCCAGGAAGATGGGTAGCACTTGGAAGAATGAAAGTATCCATTTCATCATATCCTGACTGATGTACAATACATCACGAGAGTTGCGAGCGCCAACGAAGACAAACATACATTGCCTATCTTGGCGGACGTGACCAGACGAGCTGGGCAGTTGTTGCCTCAGCTGGTCGACTGAATGTGAGACGTCGCTTTCGAAGGTCTCGTGCGCGTCATCATAATAGAAGAGCTCAACGGCAGCTTCACCATCTGCACAAAACAGTTGAGGAGCCCTTCTGGCCAATGATTGACGGTATTCTCGTTGGACTGATGGGTAAAGAGGCCCAGGATCTAGGAGGTTGAGGGGGTATTCCTGTGCCCTGCCGCACGACTCCTGAAAATCAACGAGCGACATAGCCTTTGACCCTGAGAAACCAATTGGTCGCGGCATCAGTGTAAGAGATAGAATATAGCAATTGACAGAAGTTGTTACGGGATGAATATATAAGTTCGACACAGCCTCCTTTGCCATCCAGGGAGCATGTTTGTGGTGTATCCTGACTTTCTAAGCCACTTGACCACTGGGGGAGAGTCTGCGCCCCCCACCACGAAGTCTGCCTTGTTGTGCAAGGGAAAGAGGGTGGGAAGGGAATTGAGCAACCGTGCGGACGCAGACTGCGATTGGGTCCTAATATTATTTCTCGGCGCCTTCTCATCCTGGTTCCTTGCTTGGGGACAAGTATACGAGACGCTGTGACAAAATTGATTGCTTGTCAAGCGTGTGGCTTTTGCAGCCGTATCTTCTCTTCCTGTGACTCGGCTGAGAACATGGCAGGGCTGGGGATAACTCTCTACTCACCACGGTGAGATCATCAGGCACCCAGAATGTCCATGTCGATGCTTTGCGCTGGTTCCGTCAGCTCCAGGGGTCATATCTTTCCGTTGAGACTCGCAAGTCACCTCGACCAAAAACTTGTAGTTCCCAAACATCTCTCGCAACCGTTTCTCGAGGATTTCTTTGGTGAGGCTTCTTTCATAGTCTGGAATGTCATTCCAGCGCCATCTGGATTGGTGACTAGCCATGGTCGGGCGTCGGTTGGCGACGAGACCGAAACTGATCTTCGAACGTTAGGCTCAATCGAAGGCGTGGACGGTCGCACGCGCCCTTATAAAATGAGGGGGAAGCTCCTACGGCTGCACGTGGCACACTTCTCGGGAGCCTCATCCTCGTCGACTGTGGTTTGACTCGTTCCAGACCCCGGAAAGTCCAATGGACTTCTCCAAAGACTGAATTCAGCCGCTTCCTTATCACGCGACTAGGTGCTGTATGCCACCAAGGTCATTGGATGGACGACCTTTTCCCTTACGCCGTGCGAATGGTCATGCATGTGTTGGCGCTTACTGGCTCGTGATGGCCGTCGGCGTTATCTGCCATTGCACTGGAGACTGCAAATTCCATTGTACGGTCACAGATACAAGTACCAGGCGAGAGAGGGTGGCCCACGCGCCTAAAATGTCGCACAGGAGGCGCCGGATTGGGCTTGAGCGATGGCATATATGCCATGTACTACGTCCTATCGGTAGCCGCCCGCACACTGGCCCCAAACCCAGAACCAGAGCCACAGTCCTTGGTTGGTCCGTCACACCAGCCAGAAGTCAGTCAGAAGGGATGCCGCTGCGCCCTTAACGCAGGACTCCGTTCACGCGGGCGACGGGCCGACCCTTGGCCCCAGGCGAGACTGCAAGGCTGTTTGCAACTTTTGAATCCAGCTCAGGCTCAGCCACTATGCGGAGGGATGCATCTCACAGTGGCGGTTTTGGGGAGGGCTACCAGGTGCTGATAAATACAGCCTCAATCGAATGCGCTGGGTATCCTCGAAATGCTGGTCGGCCCAAGGCTGAGCGAGGTCGTCACAGGCAAGAAGGCAGGTAAGAAGCCCTCTGGTCGAGGTCTTTGAAGGGGAACGGCTGTTGACTTGGCCCGTGTTATTACGCCGTCGGAGGTGGCAGGTGAAAAAGGCTGAACCTGAATCTCCCGTGATATGGACGGCGTAGTTGTGCACAAGCTACTCGATTCGGTGCCTGGACGCCTGCCTGGACGCCCGCAATAGCACAGGGCACTGCCCCTTACGATATGCACTGTACTTTTTACAGTTGATCGAGGACCGTATTCCGTGCATCATGTATCTGAAATCGAGCCTGTATGTGCCAATCACAAGGAAAATGGCAGAATCGTTCCCACAGCCTACCAGCCATAACCAGCCAGCTGCGTCAGCCTCGCTAGGCCCGAAGACTCGCCTACTGTGTCCCTTTGCCTTGGATCTACGGGCTTCGAGCTACTTCAGTTGTAAGATGTAGGTACACTGTCGGGCCTTGGTCCACGTCTTTTTGGCTGCCTCGCTCAGCGCCACGTTCCACCTATCCCTCTTCATAAGTGCCCCTAAGTCTGCCTAAGACATCTATACCAAGATCGCCCGGTTTCCATTGGTGTGATACAGTCAGGGTTTCCGCGCTCAACCCACCTGAATGCCAACTGTCATACACACGCTGGGCGCAGATTCACCAATGAACTCCACTCTTGAGTATGAAGGACGATGGCCGCCAGTTTCACCAGGTTATCATACACCAAGATCTTAACCAAGAAACCGACAACAACAATACCCAACACCGAAACCATCGAGGACAAACCCGCCCCGCATGTATGGAACACTTGTACTCTGAGCGGCGTGTCCCTGTGGGGAGCCAGCAAGGACGAACGACATAGACGTAGAACCTTGCGCAGGCAGTGAGACCGTACATGAGGCGAGCAGCTGTGGCCAGAGTCGAAATCCAGTAAAAGCATTAGAACAGCAAAGATTCATGCCTGCTGATCTGCATCTTGCAGGTGAATGGAATGACCCGCCACAGCATGTAAAGATGAGGAACCGCAACGATGGCCAACAAGATTCGATAAGCCCCGTTTCTCTGCCCGCTTGCGTCCGCACCAGTGAGGTCATTGTTGTCATTGGTGCAATGCGGTGCTGAGTTGAAGTCCGACGAGTGCCTGGCGCCATGCTCGGAGTCCTTCTGGTACGAGATGCTTTCGTGGGTGGGTGTGATTCCGTCCTTTTGATCGACCAGCTCGAGAATGTGAAGCGGGAACTCGCTCAACAGTGGCGTTGCCACGACGCAAAGAAAGTATTCAATTACTGGCCGCATATTTGATGGTGGTGACCCTTTCCCGTGTATTCTGGGGAGAAAGATATCCCGCCTTCGAGTTTGGGCATCACTTGCATATGTACGGTCAGACTATTATACTTGTAGGCGCGCATTGCCCGGCGGACCTCAAAGGTGTCCAAAACATGGCCCATCGCTAATATAGTCAGGCAGAGCGTTCACCGGCCAAGCAGGAGGTAAATATGCACTGCCGCGGTCGCTACAAGTGCGGGCATAGACACTGCCCCGACATGCCGCAGACTGTTGGGCACTCCTTTGCCCTCAGTGGACCGGGATCACCGTCAGGTTTAAAGCACATAATTATTCCCTCAGTCTCGCAGATGACACCGCTGGCTTGGAAACAACAACCCATCCTCTCCCTCTGCATTAGGCACCGTCACAGACAGGCTCGGATCGTCATCCCTTGGTAGCCCTTCGAAGAAGCATCAGTGGCTTTCCAGCCTGGACTACGTCGTTTGGTTTGACCAGCAACTTCTCCACCGTTGCCCCTTCCATGCTCTGTTCTGCCTTGACGGGGATTTCGAGCTTCATTGCCTCCAGGATCGAGACCACTTGCTCCAGCTTGACACTGTCGCCTTCCTTGACCTCGACTTTCCACACGTTGGCGTTCAACGGAGCCTCGACCGGTATAATGTCCGGATCTTCGATACGTCAGTCTTATGGATTCCTCTGGGAGGTAGAGCGAGACATACCGTGCAGCAACTCCTCCACTGTATCCATGCTGATCTTGCCGGCTTCTTTCTCTTGACTCCATTTCTCCAAAAGTTCCTTCTCCAGCTTGTCCATTTCGGCCTGCGCCTCTCGCTGTTTGGCCCGGATTTGCGCCACCTCGTCCTTTGTCTCCCTCAGGAGCTGGTTGTGCTCTTTCATGTCAAATTCGGTGTCCTCGTATTCATACTCGTACCGGCCACTGCGGAACGTGGCCATCATCCCTTCGTACTCGTCCTCGGTCACTTCGTAGAAGGTGATCTGGTCGAAATCTTCAAACAACCACGGCTTCTCGGGGCTGTAGCCTTTCTTGAAGCCCAGAATGTCAGCGCCGGGAATGGAAAGGCCCGTATTCATGTAGCCGCCCGGCGACTCGACGTTGTATAACGCCATGCATGACCCTCCCCAGCCGACTTGTCCTTCCGGGGTGTGTACGCGGGATGGATTCATCTTCGGGCACTGGATACGCTGCCGAGGATCGATTGGCAGAGCAATTGGAAGGGCTACAAAGAACCCAACGGCCACCACCATCAATGAGGATTTCGTATATATGTCCCGAAGCTGTTATGTGTTAGAGAATCGCAGGGCACTACAATGGGTCAGAAACTTACCTGCTGAAGCGTGAAGGCATTGTTCTTCGCCACAAACTCCATTGGATCAGGCAGATATGACGCATAGGGTCTCTGCGTCTCCATGTACCGCTGCAAGCTTTCCTTCTGCCTTTTACTCTGGAACGTGATCGGAAGCTTGTACTTGCGGCTGGGGAACTTGGCTTCACTGAGATCGCCGAGTTCCTTTTCAAGCTGGAGAAGGTAGTCCAGCATCTTCTGGCGTGGAACCTTTGTGGAGTCATAGTACAGCATTAGAGAATTCCCACAAGCCATGCCAGTATGCATCGCGCCGTTGGAGAATGATATTTCGCCAGTGTTCTCCCTGAGCTTTCGATAGAGTGCGACTGCGCGGCATCGGTAGTTGAGATCGAAGGAGCCATAACCATAGTCGATCAGGATGAAGTCGTCACCGCCCTGTCGATACGAGACGAGCGGCTGGTTTCCATGTTCCTGGATTTGGTGGATGATTGCAGGCTCCCATCCTTTATTCTCGACGGATGGCGGGAAGCCCTCGTACTTCAGCGGTGAAACGTGCTCGAAGCTGCCTTTCCCTTGGCAGCAGTCGTGGATCGTGCCTAAAAAGTCCTCGACTTCCTTGCGCTTCGCGATGGCATCCTGGTAGGAGACCCTCTTGAACCTCAGCTTGTTGCCAGCCTTCATCTGCCCGAGTCTCCAATAGTCGGCCTTCACGATGGTCGTAGCGGACACAAATCCACCGAAGTCGGGCGCGTCGATGGGGAAGAGGCAGGGATCGTCGCCCGTCCAATTCACGGTGCCGATAGGATAGCCATATTCGATGACATTTGAGGGATGAGCACCGCCCTCTCCTCCATCAGGGCGTGCCCATTTTGGTTTCGGGCCGATCAGTCGGATGCCTCCTCGAGCCGCATTGTGTGAAATCGTCCAAGTGCTGTTGTAGAACTCTTCGATGGACTCGTTGGTAACGAAGCCCTCGTCGTAAGGGCCGGGCATGGCCAGAAGATCCCACTCTTCTGGGTAAGACGGGATCAGATTCTTGGGCAGTGCAAGCTCGCCGCTGATGTCGGGTAGGTCCGCCGTGATCACCAAGAAATCACCAGCTGCCAAGGCTCTTCCCTGATAGCCACCGACGGCAGTCATCGGGGCGGTTGCTTTTGAGGCGAACCACGTCGCAATACTGGGCAGGCCTCCGTATATTGCCAAGTACGATCTGCATCCCCCTCCCGTCGCCTTGCCGATCGTGAGTCGCTGACCAGCGGTGATTTTCAGGCGTGTCCACATGGGCGCGTCTTTGCCGTCGAGCTTGACCTCCATCGGAGCACCGCAAACGGCTACAATGGCCGGTCCAAGGAATTTGAGGTCCGGCCCACTCAAGGTGATCTCAATGCCTTCCTTACCCGGAGGGTTGCCCACGAGCGCATTAGCTATGCGGAATGCTAGAGGATCCATTGGGCCAGAATGCGAGAAACCTCTTCCAATGGTGGGACGGCCTGGCCAGTCTTCTATCAACGTGTACGCACCTCCTTGTAGGACGTCTATTGCCGAAGGTTGGAAATTGAATGTCTCCAGGAACTTTGTCATCGTGTTGCCGGATTTGAATGTGTTGTCTTTCAAGATAGCCTCCAAGAACTCGATGTTTGTCGGTGGTCCGAATATCTTGGAGCCTTCTAGCATTTCATCCATCAATCTCAGGGCTTCGGGACGGTCTGATGCATGGACCATGACTTTGGCCAGTAAAGGGTCGTAGAATGAAGTGACCTTTGTCCCTGTGTGGATCCAGCCATCAATCCGAGAGCCCTGGACCTGTTTCCAGGAAACATGTTGCAGTGTGCCCGGCGATGGTGCAAAGTCCTTTGCCGGATTCTCCGCATACACCCGCACCTCAATCGCTGCTCCTGAAGGACCCTTGGGTTGAAGACTGCGAAGATACTCAGCATCGAGTCCGCCTTTCCCGGAAAGCTCTGCGTCGGCTTGCTTCAGCATCAGCTCCACCAGGTCGATCCCATAGCACATCTCAGTGATGCCATGCTCGACCTGCAAGCGCGTGTTCATCTCTAGAAAGAAGAAAGCACCGGACTCGTCATCCACAAGGAATTCAATCGTCCCAGCAGAACCATAGTTGGTCGAGTCAGCCAGACGGACAGCCGCCGATCCTAGCTTCTCCCGCAATTCGGGGTGTTTCACCACAAATGGACTAGGGCACTCTTCAATCACCTTCTGATGCCGCCGCTGAATTGAACATTCGCGTTCTCCAAAATGAATTGCTTCACCGAGTCCATTACCAAAGACCTGGACCTCGATATGGTGCGAAGACGGGTAGAATCTCTCCATGAAGACGCCTGAGTTCTTGAACAGAGTCTCGCCGCGAGATTGAACGGTCTTGAACGACTGGCGGACCTCGTTTTCATCCTTGCATGCTAACAAACCCATGCCACCTCCACCTGCCGTGGCTTTGAGCATCACCTGGGAGTGTCAACAGATTGCACCACGCGAAGAGACAAACTTACCGGGAATCCCAATTTCTTTGCTTCCTCGACCGCTTCATCCTCAGACTTGACAAGGCCTTTCGTTCCTGGGACGATGGGGACATCCGCTTTTGCAGCCAGTTCGCGAGCCGTATGCTTGATGCCGAAGTCGTCTATACACTTGGGACTGGGTCCGACGAAGACCATTCCGGCTTCGGCAACATGCCTGGCGAAGTCAGTGTTCTCGGATAGAAATCCATAGCCTGGGATGATGGCGTCGGCTCCTTTGGATTTGGCGATTTCAATAATCTGCTGCGTGTCGATGTAGCCCTTGGCATCCGGCCCGGAGAGCAAAACAGCTTCGTCTGCGGCTCCAACGTGAGCCGACGCGGCGTCTGCTCCCGTGTAAATCGAAATCGTCTTCAGCCCAAGGTTGCGGGCTGTCTTGCATATGCGCACCGCAATCTCTCCTCGATTCGCGACCAGCAGTGTCTTCAGTGCCTCCATCGTGGGAAGACTGGCGATGGGAGGGGATCAAGGACAGGCGGCAGCTGACGCACCCCTTTGCCCGACGCGAGGGATTGTTGGCATTATCAAGCTGTGTTGCAATGGCTCGATATCAGTGAAAGCCCACCTGCCGTCATTGGACTTGATGTGCAAGGATTCCCCAAAATATCCATGAGGGGCACGAAGTTTATCGTGCCTCCGCAAGTCGTTCTTCTCCGCTGTCATTAGTGACGTGTGATTCGGAAGGGCCACATGTGATATACGAGGGGATACCTCCTCATTGCCGGAGAGTGAAAAGGAATGGAGGAGACGCGCGTGTTGTTATGAAGTTGCTGGTTTTCCTTTCTCACCAAACAGTGCTTCTCCGTACGTACTAAAGCAAGTTCGAGATGGCTCCTCCACCAATCAAACACAAAGCCTTGCTTAATGTCGATCTGGGCGAAGGGGTGAGTGGGCCCGTCCATGCCGTGCGCCGTATCTGATCATAAGAACAGTACGGCAATTATGTCTGCGGTCCAGATTTGGAGTTGCTGCCGTTGATTGACCACGCGAATATCGCATGCGGGTTTCATGCGGGCGACCCCCTGATAATGCAGGAGACGGTCCGGAATTGTAAGAAGCACAATATCAAAGTCGGCGCACACCCGGGGCTACCTGATATACAAGGTGAGTTTCTGGACCCCGTCAGGGTCAACTCGCCCTAACACTGTGGAGGCTTTGGTCGACGTGAGATCAAGATGTCTCCCGAGGAACTGACGGCCATCGTTGTCTACCAAGTCGGCGCACTGAAGGGATTCCTCGATCAAGAAGGCGTCCCCTTGCACCACGTCAAACCCCACGGCATTCTGTACGGAATGATGTGCCGAGACTATGACACCGCCAAAGCGGTCATGGAAGGCATCCCCAAAGGCGTCCCCGTCTTTGGTCTTGCAGGAACAAACATGGAGAAGGCGGCCAACGATCTCGGCATTCCCTTCTGGGCGGAGATGTATGGAGACGTGAAATACAGCAACGACGGCATGCTGGTCATCGACAGGAAGAAGAAGCCGTGGATTCTCGAAGATGTCAGGAAGCACGTCAGTCAACAGCTCAACTCACAGTCCGTGACCGCAACAGATGGGAGTGTCGTGCAGTTGCCGGTGAAGGATTATCCGATATCCATATGTTGCCATTCGGACTCCCCTGGTTGTCTCGGAATCATCAAGACCACTAAGGAAGTGATTGATGAGTTCAACAAGGAACATGGAAGGATGTGAATGACGGGGAAGTCAGAGTGACGCTTCTTTCCATAGGCCGCAAAGAGGACTTGTTTCTGTATTGTTTTGTATTGTAACGCATAATGTTGTTAATGCGGTTTTTCTAGTAGGCGCGTCCAAATAGGCTTGGCAAAGAATGTACGGAGTACCACACCACACCAAGCCTCAACGCCCCCCATATCTTACCCCCCTTTTGACATTCTCTCATCCCATATTCAGAATTATATATTTTATATCTGCTCAAATCCTTCAATAATAACTTCCACATTGGTGTAATGGTAACATAGCCGGTTTTCATTGAAAACCACATCATACCCGGCGTAAGTCATTCAAATGATGTTCAACTATGTATCTTCTAACCCCAAGCAGAGCCCGGGGTTCAATTCCCCGATGTGGAATTTCGTCAACCTTTTTTCTCTTTTTTTTTTTTTTTTTTTTTTTGCTACAGGATTGAATTGGTTAGCATCCACGCGCAAGAACGCACAGTGGCCTGTCCAGGAGCCGCTAGATGGAAAGGTTTTCTGGTTGTGATACGGTCTCGATCGCCTTGCAACAATCAAACCAAACACTGGTGGAAGGCGTGTAGTCGCCGTGGCTGAATCAATCACAGAAGGATGTGGATGATCGAGTAATATTATTGATGCAGAATGAAACCATGAAAAAATGTCAATAGCTTCAGTCCTTGGGATCCAGAACACCTTGCCTCCAAATGTCCTTTGGTCCACAACGTCCTTCATGTGCAGACGGGAAATCTTGGGTATAGTTTAGGGTATCTACGTCTTGCAGAGCTGGAATACTACGAACTAGCCTTGTGTTGGCCAGACCTGTTCGAAGCAATCTTCCAGCACCAGATCATGTTGATTGATTCAGGAGGAAAGGATGACGTAGCTGCAGGCTTTTCAGGGCAGATTTTACAGTTCCGGTCGTCAGAACTGTCAGGGTCTTGGTCACCTAAGGTTTCCCCCCACACCCACCATAACTCCATCTCTTCCACCAACAAACCAACAAAATATATATTCAAACAATTAAATTTCTTTCAACAATTAACAGTCTAACATCCGGACTGGTGTAGGTGAGTTTAAACAACACAACACAACTCCTAAACCATCTTACTAACAAGTAACAGAGGTAACATCTGTCGCTCTCATCTCAAGAGATATGAAAGCTCCCGACATGCCCGGGGTTCGATTCCCCGGTCCGGAAGTGATTCTTTTTTGGATGCAGACTACATCTTCTGGGAATTCGGTCAACAAGTGGTTGGGAACTGGATGGGGGGGGGGGGGGGTTTGATATACCTATTTTAGGTGCTGGGAGCAGGAACAATTCGTGTGGCAGCTCATCAAAAAGGGAGGTGCTACAAGTGATTACCAGCAACGAAGAATAGAGCGCTGAATAGTGCTCGTGGGCGGACTACAGATCAAGTAAAAGACCTTGGGTCCCAGTAGATTTATCGTCACGGTACTTCGCAAACAATTCTCTGATACACCCAGTCCTGCCCAAGGTTATCAATACGACTTTGGAGTCTACCTGTAAATGATGCTTAATCAATCGCCACAACCCCTACGGTTTTGTCCGGATGTATCTTAACAGGTCATCCTTATCTATTACAGTGCCTGGTGTTCGCTAGGAGCTGGCGAGATACTTCGTCTTCTTGCTGAAAGTCAAGGGATTCAGGCACTACTCCCGATGGTCTTCCTGTCAATCAGGGCGGCCAAGGCGCCTCGCTCCCTTCTGTCAAGAGTAACACGCTATCCACGGCGATCATTACCAGCTACAACATTACAACATCACCAAAGAAAGGAACGGAACAGTTCGTATTTCATGCAATATTATTTGCCCCTCATAGCCAGGGCGGCCCGCAAACCCCCGTCTCATAGAGGCTCTCGGCCTCGTCGCTCAGCCCGGAGGCCTCCCTCATATGCTGCCATACGAGGGCAGCCTTGTCCATGCTATGGACACTCTCCGTGTCCTCACCGCCGTCGCCGCCGCCGCCACCACCACCACCCGTGGCATCCTATCCCACGCGCCCCTCGCCGCCAGGGCCGGCACCACCAGACTTCCTCGGCGAGAACCTCTTCGCCACCGTTGTCACACGGCGGCGAATGGTATCTCGGCGCGTTGGAGCCGGCGACGACTCCAACGCCAGGACCTGTCGGTAATAGGTCTCTAGGACCGCGAGGTCCCAGGTTACCGACTCGGAAATGACATGGCCCAACGCATGTCGGAAGTCGTAGATGAGTGCCAGCGCCTGGCCGCCACCCAACTCCAGATGGTGTTGTCGCTCTTGTCGGTCGACCGAGAGCAGCTTGACTGTGTTCACCCCTGGATCAAGGGCATGGATGATGGAGCCCGCGAGCATTCCGGCTTCAACCGCGTCCATTGAAGAGGCGGAAGCGAGCGAGTCAACGCGGCACACAGCCCGTGTCTCCAAAGTCGTATCATCCGGCAGGAATGCATGGCGATACTTGATTATTGCTTCGACAGACACTGGTTCGCTTCTCTTGCTGTCCATCTTAAGGCTTGCCAAGAACTGATCGATCAATGAGAGGGATGATGATGTTCGGGTGCCTGACCGTAGGGAGCTGGAGAGTTTGGATTTCAGAGTATTCTCTTTCGCGCCGAGCTTGAGCAAAAGTGTCCAGCGGTCTTCGACACGCAGCTTCTGGATGCTTTGAAATCCGACCTCGAAGAGTTTGCTGGCAGGGCCTTTGACGTATGTTTGGATCGAAAGATCAACCAAGGAACCTTCATCGTTTTCCATGAGGATGTAGGACCGATCTTGAGATTGAAGGGCTTGCGCTTGGGTCTCGACTTTGTTTTGCTTGACTGCAGTAAGGTCGAATGTGACATATGTGGTCATGGGCGATTTTGCACCTGCTTCCAAGACATGGAATGCGAAGGTCTCCACCTTGAGAGCTGCAATGGCTGGCAATGGGACGATCGGAGTGTTCCGAGGTGGTGGATGCTGCAGGGGGTTGGGATGATAGCTTCTTGTGAGGTCGCTGAAGTTGTCACGAGAATGATAGGCATCGAACCGATGTTGGATAGGATCTCGACCGACAGGGGGAGCAATAATCTCGTCGGGATACATTGTGCTTGCGAGACTGGGAGGTGGAGCGGAGGGTATTGTCTCTCCGTTGACTAGCAGAGCGGACGGGACTGTGTTCCCATTGACTAGCGGCTCGTTCTGATGAACAGGAGTCAGGAAAGACGTTGTCGCAAAAGCCTCATTTGTAAGAGAGCCACGAAAGTCCAAGGTGTTTTGCAGGGTGGGTGCTTGAACAGCAGGAGCTGTGACGCGATTGTTGATATGTGCAGGAATTCGCAAGTCTTGATGGTTTGGGACACTATCGGTGTAGACACCGTTGGGAAGGCCTGATGCCATGGTCGTGGAGACTCTCTCCCCGACGGTGGTTGGTTGTCTCTTCGCTAGATCGTGATGGATCTTGGTTGAGTGCCTTGAGGAGTGATCGGTCGAGAACGAAGCGAAGCTGTACACTGAAGACTGCTGAAAGAAGACCAGTTAGACATCGACGACAAAGAGACCTTGATCTCTGTCGGTTACGCACCTCGTCTTCCACGTCTATGGGAAATCGCCCCTGAGCTGTTTGCGGATGACTGAAATGATTTGAGGACAGTCTGGAGACAGAAGAGCGACTCTGTGAACAAGATGGCTGTCGCAGTTTTAGCGAAAGTCCTTCGTGAAAGGGATGACAGGAGGCCAAGGAAGGATGCTCACCTTGACGTCTCTGTCGAAGTTCAGTCTCTTCTTCCTGACCGCTCGAGCAGAGGATTTGTGAGAAGTGAGGAGGGTTGAGAAGGAGACGCAGCCGCGTGAAGGTAGGTTGTCATCCAAATCCAAATCCAGATCGGGTGCGACAGACCAACTTTGGCCTTGGCTGGACTCGGAGTGAGAGCAGGAGGTGCTGGTACTGGCATTCCTTCTTCCCCAAATTGAAGACAAGGATGCCGAAACTGATCTCAAAGAGAATCTCGTAGTCTTTTCAGCACATAACTGTGGTGAGCTCTCTGCATCCTCCTCATTCTCCTTCAAACCCGAATTTATCACTCTGAGAACCCTTGGGGTCGCATCGATATCTTCCATGTCCATCATGTTCACAGAATCCCGAAAATTCAAGGACACCGAAGGACGAAAAGAAGATGATTCCTTCTGTTCCCTTTTCTCTCTGATTTGATGCTAATTACGAGACAGCGTTGTCGTCAAGGCTCTCCCGCGTGCGCACACCCGACCCACTGCAAAGCAGAGACAAATATCCGTGGACCGAGTGATTGCTATTTTTATATACTTTGAGGCCTTTTTCAACGGGAGGAAAGTGATGAATCCCGGAGGCCTTTGTCTTCTCGACTTTTTGAATTTAAATGCAGCGGACGACGTACGCTGCAGAGCGATGAAAGGAGATGGACAGGTCTGCAATGGTTTCCTCGATCCTGGTCAGGGAGTTGAAGCTGTCGCGGTCCGATTTAAGAGTTTGTGACAATCGGCGTCTGGTAGAGGCTGGGTATGCTACTCTTTGGAAGGGCGAAAGAAGTTCCGCAGGCTAAAGAGCAGGGTGACGATTCCGAGAAAGAGGATTCCGAATACCGCGCCGTTCGAAGAGACAGTTTCGCTGCTCGACAGGGATGCATCAGTCATATGAAGAAGCCATACATGCTATACTTCATGTGCCGAGTAATCAAAAACCGATACAGCAAGGATGCAGAGTATCGAGTGCAGCATAACCTGTTGAGGAGAGAGGCAAACCATTGAGCTGCGGAAGAGACAGAAGGTTGAGCACCTTCTTGGGTCAGGTCAGCAAGAGCGTCCACAGGCTCTTGCGGCTTCAAGTTGTGAAAGGAGAAGGCGCTCTCGCTCTACATGAGAGATCGTGCAGGAACATTGCCATCGCAAGGCTCGATCGTCAAGGGGTCTGAAACCGCGGGCCGAACCGCTTCTTCTTTGGCTCATCGAAGTGTTGGCAGAGGCTATCATCAGGTCGGCACAGGAGAGCCAGAGGCTGATATTTCGTCCATGACTTTTTCGAAATGCTCGTCGCTTAGCTTTGTGAAGCGGATTTGTCGATCAGCCGCAGCGAGGATCCTCTGGTGCGGATCCATGCTTGTGGTGTCCATCGCAACAGAACCAGATCGGCCGCCACCAGTACTGCCGAACAGGGTCGCTTCACTTATGCTGGCTTCGATACCGTTCCTCACCCTTGACTCCCAGACACCATCCCACTTCCACTCTCCAGGATTTTTGGGCGATGATGGGGCTGCATCTTTGCCTTCGGGCACAGGGGTCTGAGGCTCGATCTGCCGCATCACGAGTCCACGATGTGCACGCCACGCGTGCCACGCACTTGGATCTCCAACAGTCTCAAGAGGGAGTCTGTCTAGCAAATCTTCATCTTCAAACGCGTCTTGCACATGTTGCAATAAGTTCAAAATGAGACTCCCGCGGTCTTTTGATTCTGGGTCAACCTGGGGACTCTCGATGCCTTCTTTAGTGTCAGAGCCCGAGTGATGACGAGTCAAAGAGCGTGCATCTCCTTGCTCGCTCGCACTACCGGAGCTGGCATCTCTCAAAGCAGTTGCTGTGAACCAGTGAGGAAATCCATAACGCAAATTGAACGTTCCAGGAGGGAGGCGATCCTCATCTGAAGCGCTGACAGTGCCTGATGCGTCAACGCTACTAGCACTGAAGGTGTATGTGGTCAAAGGCACGATCAGAGGATGGAAGATATCGGTCGAAAAGGTGATGAGGGGAGGCAGGTCGGGATACGTGTCTGGGAAAGAGATTTGGAAGCGAAGTATCGCTCCTGCGTACGGTCCTGGGATCTTCGTGTCAGCTTCCAGAAAATCCTTCGATGATGCAACCACACATGGGTGAGAGGACTGGTACCTTTGCGCACAAAATTGACCGCGGCCCAGATGCAAGGGTCGCCGGGAGTAAGTGAGAGATAAAGCCCGTCCGGACAATGTCCTCTCAGAGCAGAGCTTGGACGTGTGTCAGCCCATACATTTAACGTCTCAGCGACTCACTCACAAGTCCAACACGAGTTGTTGTCTTCGAAAAGAAGGAAGCAAACGAAGGGACATTGTTGTGAACGACGAAATACGATTTGGAGACTTGAGTTGGAAATGGCGGAGACGAGCTCCTCCATCGTGCCCCACGCCGAGACTCAGGCCCCTCAAGCCCTATGCAGTGCGAGAGGGAGCCTCGCAAACCGCGCGGGTCTCATCAGCCGCGGGGCGCGGCTCAGCCTCTGAAACGACTGCGCTGCTTGCTGTGGTTCACGGCGGATGGACTGCGAGGCCTTGAGACGAAACGAGTGGGCAGGACAACACACACCAAAACACCACCCTCATGCTTGAGAAGATGAACAAAGTGGGTATCTTACGATTCTATAGCGGTCCAATTCTCTATGGACAACACGAAAACAGTCATCAGCTAGGACATTTGGCGGCGGGCGCTTTCCTTCGATTCTGAGCGACAGCATCGATGCCGTCGTTAACACCGCCAACAATCCCCTCTACAAACCACGACCCAAGATCCACACAGGCGCCTCCTACCCGCCCATCCTTGAAGCGAACAATAGCTTCGTGTAGCTCTACACCACGTTCACCAAGAGCGGAGGTCAGATCAATACCATTAGCGAGGACTCGCTCAGTGACTTGATGGTCGCGCTCAAACTGGAGAAGTCGATTGAGCAATGTCATTATAATCGGCAGTATCAGTAGCAATCCCGCAACAAGCCAGCAAACAGCGTGGGCAACACCCTGGCGGAGGATGTTTGGTTGTCGTTGAGCACGATACTCTGTGAAGTTTTCTGCTTGGGAGAAAAGTTGGGGTGCCATGCTAGCTCGCAGACTCTGGATCTCGAGCGGCGTCAGATCTGATGGGAGGGCCATGTGCATATATCGCAAAGCGTCGATGTGCATGCTCCGCAGGGCGACCGGATCCCCTCCTTGCTCTGCCTGGGTTTTGGCATTGACCCATAACCTCACCCCAGTGAGGGCAACATCCCAGTCTACACCTGATCTTGTCTCCAACGGCGGGAGCATTCTCAGGGCGAGGTCTTGTGAAGGGACGCTTCCTTCCGGGCTCGCTGCTCTGATTGTGGGAGTTGTAGCTCCACTTGAGTTGGTGGTGGATGTGTACTCATAACTGTCCTTCTCTTTGCTGGATTCGACGCAGGAAAACTGATATGCTCTCCTGCGAACACTTGTGCCATGAAGGACGACCGTCCTTGCGGTATGCCGAAGGGAGGTCAAGACCGGGATCCTCGAACGGACCACAGAGGGGATCATAGTGTAAATGGTCGATCTCGAGATTTCTTCGCATGGCACTGACTCTCGTCCTGTTCCTTTCGTATCAGGTCGGGGGAAGGCTGTCGCCATTCTAAGCGCCAACAGTCTAGGAGTTGGGGAACAGCGTCTGGGGTGTCTGCTTCGTGGTAAGAGCTCAATAAGGGTAGTGACAGGTAAGTCGGGTCTCGTTCTGCACACAGGCTCTGGGTGTGAGACTCGAATATTGGAGTACGGGGCATTCAGGTAAAATCGCAGTTTGAGGAAGCAAGGGCGGGACCGAGATGATATCAGCGAATGTTACCAGGTCCTCCACGATGGCATGTGGACATTTCACATGCACATAATCCGATGCACGACATTGTCACGGATTCTCAGGCGAAAGCCAAGGACGAAGGCGGAAAGGACAAGATAGCGAGCAGGCAGGTGGGTTGTATGAGAGGATAAGATTTGTTCTCCAGAGGTTTAGCAGCTGCTTCTGTGGTTTTGTTGAGACGGGACAAGCAGGGGCATGCTGGGGCGGGATGGATCCAGATACGCGGAACAAGGGCTGGAAAAATCGGTGCCCTGTTCTGACATGTGAGACTGGCGGATCAGGGCAACCTTCTCTTGGAGAGGTCTGGCCCAGGTTGTGGTATCAGCTTAGCGGCTCTGCTTCGACATGCTGATGGTCCTCGTGTACTCAAAGTGCTGCGACTGCGAGACTGTCATGTTCCCCTTCTCGTCCTGCAGCTTTCACTTGCTCCCTTTGCGAGGAGGGAAAAATTCCAGTTGGTGGCATCGGAACCGGATTTTCTTTCTACCGACCAAGCCCGAGATCAGCCTTGACAAACACAGGGCGCGAGGCACAAGGGCGTAACTCAACAGAGATCTTATAGTTCATTATGTTATTGATTACTTTTCTACTTCTCGTCAGAGGCGCGCATGACTAGTCTGTGGACCGGTGGCGCCGTGTCTTCTTTTCCTCAGTTGAGCCCTGCGCCCTCCGCCTGACAGCGCAAATCCACGTCTGGCCACTGTGGTCGTCTGTTACATTGTTGAAATACTCTCCAATGCCCACCCAGCTTATTCCAGCCTCCCTCTATTCTCTTTGCTGGTTCTCGAAATCAGTTGAATCCTGCCACGTACCCAGACAGTTGGCTCAGGTCACGGTCGCTCATGAACTCGCCATTGCCGCCTGCCTGTGTCGCTTGCTGCTGAAGAGGCATCCCTGTGTTCATGTCCATTCCCATGCCCATTGGGCGATTCATCCCATACGAGGCGAACAGATTATCGCCTGAGATACTCGATGAGAACGGCGTCGCAGGCGCCATTGACACCCCCATTCCACCCCCGCAGGTCATCCCTCCTTGGCTGTTGTCGAGTCCTAGGTCGAAGTTCAAATCGTCGACCATTCCCAGATCAAGGTTGCTGAAGTCAATGCTGTCAAAGTCAAGCTCCATGCCATTGTCAAATGCGCCAGCTGCGGTCGAGTTGGGTACACTGCCACAGTCCGGTGTCATGGCTGGGAAAGAGTTGGTATCAGTGGACAAGCTCCTGCGCTGGCTTTGAGTGGTTGCAGGCTTCGACTTTAATCCGCCCTTGATCACGTATGGGGCCAGGATGGGCACTTCAGCCAGGGTTTGGGTCGGCACCATTGCATCCGTCACATTTCCAATTCCCTGTTGATACTTGAAAGTGTCAAGCCACTGCTGATTGTCCGCACAGGTCCAATTCCAGGGATCGTTGTCCTCGTAAATGATCATGCGCGCTTGGTCCTGCAGGTCCTTGTCTGACGGAATGTGTCCTGCAATTCTTTGTTGCGATACAAACTTGCTCAGTTCTTGCTCTAGTCTACCCCAGCAATTAGAGTCCCGAGTCATTTGATCAGGCTCCGTACTTTCGGCAGAGGTGCCGTTGGTTAATCCTCCGTCGGTATTGGAGGACGGTGTGGCCATCAATCTCGCAACAAATGGGTCCATCGTGTTCCTCTCGTGGCCAATGAGATAGGGTGGTATAGCATTCTCGACCAGTCTTTCGACATACGGCTCGAATCCCCATCCGCCACCCCAATTGCTCATGTCCGAACCGTTCCGGAAATGAGCAGCGAGATGATCTGCTCGTTGTTGCCAAGTGGTGAACTTGGATGGGCAGAAGCCACAAGCGGACTTGATCTCATTCGTGGTGCTCTTCCAGGTATCCATGTGAGACTGCACTTTTGCATTGTGCATCAATTTCAGGTGCTGGCTGAGGTGGTCCTTCCGATAAAAGGTACGTTCCTGCAATGTCTTCTCTTGGCATGCTGTGAAATTGTGCGACTCCAAATGATCCGTCGAAGGGTTTGGCTCGCGGCAGAAGACGCAAAGTTCCATGCCCGTCAGTGCGTCAGTCATGGTACCACCACTGGGGCAACATGTCCACCGCTCTAGAGCAAGGTGGAGAGATTTCTCGTGCCTTTGCCAGTCATACTTGGCAGGGAAAGAGTCTGTGCAGAATGTGCATTGAAAGATTCTTGCTGCTCGCGATTTGGCCTGTTGAGCCGCCGTGCGTTGTGCCACAGGAGCTCGCCTGCGCCTGCGTCGGTCCTGGGACGAAGCAAAAGAACCCTTTGACCGATTCGATCGTGAGGAGGCAAATGTAAGATCGGAATTGCTAGATTCCCTCGTTCCAAAACTGCTTACCGACGGAGCGCGGAACATGGAGAAGGATGAATCATCTTCGCTCGAAGCTTTCCTCGAGCTTGGCCTCGAGCCGTGGATACTCGGCAGAGATGGGTTGCGAACTGGTAGGGGGGTGGAAGTGACGGCTCTTGCAATGGCAGTCATGGATGCGGGTTCGTGTTCTGGTGGCGAAGCTTTCCAACGATCTAGGGGGTTGAGTTCTGTAATATCCGGGTTGTCGACTCTATTAGGGATGTCGATTGCCCCCAGCATAGGTGAGGATGGGCCAGATTCGGCAGGCCTGACCTTTCCTCGTCGGCGTGCATTGGCCAACCAATTGGAAATCTGGCTCCTCTTCAGGCCGGTGACTTGCTTAAGCTCGTCCTTTTCGCGCTCGTTGGGATACGGATGGTCAGCATGTTCAGCAAGCCACTGTTTCAAAATCTTCACGGCGTCGCGGGGAAACCGAGCACCAGTCTTTCGGCCTCGTCCTTCTTCCATTGACTTCATGGCCTTTCTGCGTTCAGTCAACGGTCCTTCCGTGATCTGCTGGTCTTCTGCGATACCCGGGAAAGTGTTGACAAAGCCCTTGGGGATTTTCGGGTGAACGAAGCTGCACTCTCGATATAGAGAAATGCAACAGGTGCAGCCCGTGACCAGAGCGCCTCTTGTAGCCAAGAAGCAATCGAGGCCCATTCGCGCGCAAAGGTCACAAGGCTCTTTGGCACGAAACATTGGGTATTCGGCGGTGATGTCGGAAGGATGTGGAATAGCCTCAATTTCGACGTTGTTGATTAGCTTGAGCTTGACGACTTTGATGGCCGGCGGTCGACTCGTCGGAAGGGCCGCTGATTTGTCAAAAAAGAGCGATTCATAACAGTCCGTGGCATCAGTCTCACAGGCCTCGCCCGCGACCGACGAACAATCATCAAGGTCCAAAGCGGGGATGGCATGGGAGGCGTCGTCGAAATCGAAGTACTCCATTGTTTGCGCCTGTGGTCCTCGAGGCCGGGACCAAACAGCAAGTACTTACGAAGAGATGTCAATGGAAGAGAAGATGGAGGGCGGAAAGATGACCAGGCCGTACTTTTTGTGAGACTCTCAGCCTTCTCCTCGGACCAGAATACGAATCTCCGAAGATCGGTGGATTGTGTCGATGACTCCTCAGGCAGGCCTGGAATGAAGGTCAGTGGATGTGTAAGAGCCTTGGCCCTGCACGCCCTTCCCACGACATTTGGACATGGGCCTTCTCAGTCCTTGCGCCTCTTTGGGGCAGTTGGTGCCCACAAGCCCACCGAGCATTGGCTCTGCTGGGCCTGGTGGACAAGTCCGAGTGCGCTAGGTCCAGCGGCGTCGTCGTAGGTGGCTGCTTATGCCACTGCAGGGCACCTTCTGGAAGCCCTCGAACTCGGTCCCGCAGCCAATTGTGGGCTCTGTCGCCCGTCATCTCAGTTGATAGCGGGGTATATTTCGCGCAATTGTCGACTCGTCAACGCTTTCAATAGGCCATCACACGACCCTGTGCAGGGGGGTCGTTGTTGGGACGTCGCATTGGCCCTGGCGTAATTGGAAAATAAGGCTCCGGTGCATATCAATGCCTTGCGCGAACCTGACCCCATTTGCCGCTGACAAACTGCACAATGCGATATTCTCTCTTCCGCACTTCGCATACTTGATCATGTCTCAGTAAAGCCCGGTTCCAGAGCCACGCCCAATTTGGCAGGACTCACCGACCGGGGAAAGTGTCTGGGGGAAGAAATATAAACCTGGAGCGCTCACCTATCGATCTCCGACATTCGGATGCCGGAGTTGATCAATGACAACGCCTCTCAAGGACATGGTTGGTATACGCTGAGAACGCCTTTCCAGTGCGGAGAGCGGCTTGTTCGAGGTGCATGTGGTCTGTGTTCCTGTAGCACAACGTTAATTTGAGACGACCAAACAGCATAAGCTCTGATGCGGTCATGTGCTGCACATATCCTGTCAAAACTATCTGGATTGATAGACGTCGCTGATGGCGCACCGCTGCACAGATTCTCGACTTCTTGTTTCAGTCCCGCTCATCCCCACATCTATCACTGGCTGTAAAAGTCGTTTTCTCGAAATACCAAAACCGACTGCGGAGCCGTCCATGGCTAAACCTCGAACAACGAACAATGCTTGTCTTATGACTGAGATGGCCACATATATGAGTAGACGTAATAGAACGTATTCGAGGAGAGAAGAGAGTATGGTAGGGAAGGTCGTTCTTGGGTTCTTGTCAAGGATGGATGATCGGGAAAGACTCCAGCCGCGCATGTTCGGATTGATTTTCATTCTGCCATAGGTTGTTGTATGTGATCAAAGCCCTTCTCTTCCTATCTTTACGTCCTCAACGAACGTTCCAGCTTGTCGGCTTGTATCGAGAGGTAGACTCTGCAATGACTGGAGCGCTAGATCTTCGGCTGTTGATTTCCGGGCTGCGCTAGCAAACCCGCGATGTAATTTCCACACTGCGTATGTTAACCTGACATCGCCCGGCGACTTTGTAGAATCCGGCATGTTCCCCCCTCGACTTCTCTGAGCCACGACCCGTGGGATGTCTGAATGCATGCATACCTGAAAGTCGTTGGTTGGCTGGTTGGTATCAGAGTGACGTCCACAATACCGCGGCCTCGGTGGGTATCTAACTGGAGGGAGGTTCTGTCAGTTCCACGTGCGGAGGAACGGAAGGAGCTGAACTGCTACCGATCTCAAGTGATGTTTCAGTCTCAATCCGGTGAAAACTCATTCTCTCGCGACATGGAAGGGGGAATTGCTGCCGGGCCACCTGTCGGGGCACCCGTCGGCCTCGTGCTGCCTCAAGATGAACTGAAGTGAGCCTGGATGGATGCTGGCTCAATTTCACTTGATGGCCTTGGTTTGTGACGACGCGCGATTGGGAGGCACCATGCCATCAGCCAAATCTTGAGAGCTGAATGTGATGGAGTTTGAATCAAGCACCAAGTGGGTGAGACTGTCAATGGCTAGTGATGCACTCACTTCTCATCGCACCCGTCATGGCGCCTGCCACGAGGGCACCGGCTGCAATGGCCATGGCATAACGCGGTTACGCCTTGAATTGATGACCACGGCACTCCCAATTGGCAATCAGGCAAGTGTGATTCCAGCACTTTGGAAAGGCACGACAGTGGTCTTGGCGTGTGTAGGGTATCTATCTCAATTTCTCTCTTCTTCCTTCCTTTCTTCTTTCCTCAATCTCCTCTGTCCAAGATCTGGTGAGTATAACTTTTCGCCTTATTTCTGCATCCTCGCCGTTTGTTTCATGGTTCGCTGGGAAGGTTTGGTCTGTGCTAACTGTTTTCAAATGTTGTAAACAGACTGTACGAGAATTGTGAGTCCATCTCCATCCATTCATTTGTGGTTAATGCTAATTGTGTATCTAGTTTGCCCTCCCCGTAAGTTGCAGTGCTTTCCTTCCGTGTCTCGGCAATGCTGACACTGGTTTTCGTGGAAAGGCTCACCGTTCTTTAAAACAAAAAGAAAGAGTAAGTGTTGTGACTTGGTGACGTGGAGCTTTGCTAACATGAGCTTGCAGTAATCTATCCAACGTATGTCTTTATTGTTGTTGCCCACCTTTCCTATCTTCGTCCTTGCGCCTTCTCCATTTGGTGGCCGCCTTTCAAGCTTATACTCATTGTCGACCAGATGTTCGCGGCGGCAGGCGGCCATGGTGGCTTCGGTGGCGGCTTCGGTGGCGGCTTCGGCCGTGGAGGTCGATTCGGTGGCTGCGGTGGCAGCGGCGGCAGCAACGGTGGCGGCAGACGTGGCGGCAACGGTGGCCGGTGGGGTGGTGGCAGCAGGCGTCACCCCGCCGGTGGGATCGGGAAGAGTGGCCCCGGCGGCGGTGATGCCGGCAAGATCAACCGCCTGCGCCGGCAGGCAGTAAGTCACTCTGCGTGGTAATGTACTATAACTAACCCTAGTGGCTTAGAACCTCCTCGTCCGTCTTGGGGCCTTGCGGCGGGAGGTGGAGGTAAGTGTATTCCATACCTGACCCGAAGCACTTGTTGACTGATGGTTCTCTAGGAGGCCGAGCAGCAATTGGCCGAGCTGCGTACGCCTGACCCCATCCCAGGACACGGACTTGCCACTAATATACTTCAGGGGAGTACGACCGCGCCATTGAGCGCGAGGAGCAGCGACGGGCGACGGCAGTAAGCGGCGACAACGGCGACGGCGGCAACGGCAACAACGGCAACGGCGACAACGGCGACAACGGCGACAACTTACAGGCTATGGTGGCAGCTGCGGTGGCAGCAGCAGCAACGTCGGCAACGTTGGCGGCAATGGCGGCACCCTGGGGGCTGACCCCAGTAGTAACAACAGCGGCAACAACAGCGGCAACCTCGGCGGTAGCAACGGCGGCAACCTCAGCGACAGCAACAGCAACGGTAGCGGCAATGGTGGCAACGGCGGCGACGACGACAGCGACGACGACGATGGTGGCGTCAATATAGGAGAAGCGGAAATGTAGGCCGGGGGCCTGGCGGCGACAACGGCAACGGCAACGGCAACGGTAACGGCGACTGCGGCGACAACGAGACGGCAGCCGCCATAATTTAAGAGGCGGCACGGCCGCAATACATCTCGTATCCAAACACTCTCGTTTTCTTTTTCTTCCCTTCACCTTGTTCAAGCATGTAGTTTCGTAGGAGTAGATGAGTAGCACCCTCGAAGAACGGCGTCAGCAAGGCGTTGTTCACCAACGCCGGCCAGCGTCAACAAGCTTTGAGACATTGATGTTGCAGCTAAGAGCGCCTCTAGTACGATATGAGCTCTCAGGGTCAAGAAGGTAAATTGAAGATCAGGCGAGGCAGGATGGACTCGTCTTTGTCCTCTGTTTAATGGCGTCTGCTTTTCACCGGCGACACACACACACACAGAAAGTGTGTAATTAGAGCCACCCATTTCCTCTCCATGGGCGTTGGAAGACTGAACCTCTCTCCATCCCTCTTTTAGTCTTCCGAGGAAGATTTCCTGAGCCCCCTCCCAAATTCACAGGTAAGCTACCATTTATACACGAAATGAAGATCTGAGTCCCCTAGCTCTGGCTGAGGCGCTATTGGTGTACCGTTTTCTTCCGCCAGCCGCAACTTCTCGGCGCGCTGACGGTTCACAATCTTGATTCCGATCATCATGCTCACTATGGCGAGGAAGGCCACCCCTGCCAGACCCATCGCGACATACATGCCTCGCAGGTACCGAGGTGCGGTGCCGGAGGTGAAGATCTGACCCACGGCCACCCCGGCTGTGTTGGCGAGAGTGGTTGTGGCGCCTAGCATGGTGGCTCTTTTGAAATGCCGTGACACATTATCATTGAGCCACATAAGAGACGTACCAGTATTAGCATAAATGGCTGTGGCGACAACTTTGAGCAGACAACCGAGTTAGTTTGTCAAAAGGATGAGAACGAAGGACAGAAAAAGAAACAACGTACCGAAACACCCAAAATATCGAACGCCGAGAGACTCGACCGACACCAGGATTGAGTAGCCGACGACCAAGACCAGAAGATGTCCTGCTATGAAAGGGCCTCGGAGACCGGATCTGTCAGAAGCCCAGGCGATGAACAGACACCATATCATGCCCCAGAAATAGATGGGCACAGTCATCAGGTTGGCCTTGACGTTTTTGTATCCCAATCCGCTCACGATGGTGGGGAGAAAGGTGGTGAATGAGTACAGCGAGATGTTGACGGAGAATTGATAGATCCAGCTTTGCAAATACTTCAGTCAGCGGGTCTGGGCCAAAAAAGACACACAGAAAGCAAAAGAACAAGTTGAGTGACTCACAAACAATACCATTTGGGATCTTTGAAGATCTTGAAGATTTCCACCCAGCTGAATTTTTCGTCGATTCCCCAGTGAGGGTCGCTGTCGTATCGAGCTCGCATGATCCGCTTCTCTTCTGGGGTCAAGAACCAAGCCTCGAGCGGCGAGACGGGGAAGACGAAGTAGAAGAGTGGCACGAGCAAGATGGTCATCACGCCTTCCACGATGAAGAGCCAGCGCCAGCCCTCAAAGCTCCCAGGGCCGGAGATCTGGCAGAGACCATAGGCCAGGATACCGCCAAAGGCGCTGGAACAGGCTGAAAAAGCAAATATGACGGCGGACCGCTTTGCGCGCTCTTCCTTTTTGTAGACGAGGCCCAGGTAGACATCTGTGCAAGCGTACATGGTAAGTTCAAGAAAGACCGGGTTCAGCTGGTGAGCCAAAGATGTCTTACTGATGCAAGGGATCAGGCCCGCCTCGAAGGCGCCTATGAGAAGCCGACAGGCGTACAGAGCCTTGTAGTTGTGGATGAAGCCCATCCCGAGACAGCAGATGCCCCATGAAAATGCGCAGACGGAGAGAAGCGGCTTGGGACCGACAATCTTCAAGAGCACCGCCACTGGAGTCTCGAAGGGGACGTAGGTTGCGTAGAGAAGCGTTGTCGCCGTCCCGAACTGGTTTCCGACCAGGCCGATGTCGACATCCATGCCAGCCACCTTGGCGTTTCCGATATTGCTTCTTTTGGGAGAATAGAGGTGTCAGTAACCATATGCATCCCAAAGAAGCCTTGCCAATTCTTTCTGGTTCTGGGCTGAATGCCTCGCACATACCGGTCGAGATTCGCCGCCATATAGAAAAGGCCCAGAAGCCCAATGGCATAAAACTGTTCCTCGATTAGATCCAAATCGGGCCTCAAGGTCAGAGAGTTGATTGAGGGACTCTCACATCAAACTTCCACATGACTTTTCTTTCTTTGACAGGGTCAATGTAGAAGGTGGCCGTCCCTGCAGGGTCGCCGCTCGCCCTCTCATCAACGGCAGCACTGTCCACCGTGCCCATGTCTTTCGGCAATTCGACCGCTGTCTTCTCAGCCATGTCGACAAATGGTTCTCGACCAAAAGTCTGTTTTCTTTTGTATCGATGGGGTTGAGGTCGGGTTTGTGCTATGACAGTTTCGAGAGCAGGAAACGGGAAGGAGATGGATCCCCTTTTTATCCTCCACAGGCGGGATAGACCTGAATGATAGACATTATATCAGATCGTAGTCGCATTTCTGGTAATGGCCTCTCTGTGGTGTTCCTCGGCTACGGGTCGTTGCCCCTTTACCAACCTAAATATTTACTACAAGGTTAAAAAGATCGGAATATAGGTCACCTTGCCGATATCGGTTGGCGGGCTTGAGATAGTATCGGTGTAACGAGTCCTGTACACCGGCGATAGAGAAAACCTTGTTTATCTTAGCTTGGTCTAACGTGTATAGATAGATGGTTTCGGCATAAGCTCGCCTGCACCGAATTCCAACCACTGATTCCATAATTCCATTCGACTCAATAAATCACGCGGAAATCTAAATGACTCTCTATTCTATAGACGGTATGGAGACAAGCCTTGATATAATCCCCTCCAAAGTAGCTCTTGGCGAAGGGGCTACATCCTACAATTCTGAGTCGATGCCTTTATCTCTGTGTGGCTGTCACTGACTGACAATCCCTACACGATGGGATCTATCGCGATAGCAAATCCGGTGCAGCCGGGGATTCGCATCGCCATTGACCGGGGAGGAACATTTTGCGATTTGTAAGACCAAAACTTCCCTTCCACTATCCAAATGACATCCGCTGATCTCGTGTGAACCTTCAAGCTGGGCACGAATTCCGGGACGAAAGGACGATGTGATACTCAAGATCCTATCGAGTGCACCAAACGAGTACAACGATGCCCCTACGGAAGGTATTCGCCAGATCCTGGGCATTGCAGAGGGAAAAGAGATTCCCAAGGGGGCCCTGCTTGACTTGGCAGGAGTTGAATCTATCAGGATGGGGACGACGGTTGCTACAAAGTGTGATGCTGTGCACACTCCCTTCGCTTATCGGCCAGTATTCTGACGGTCTTGCATAGTGCTTTGCTAGAAAGAAAAGGTGAACGCGTCGCGCTTCTGATCACCAAAGGCTTTCATGACTTGTTGGTGATCGGCAACCAGGCTCGCCCCCATCTCTTCGACCTGTCGGTCAACAAACTCGACGTCCTGTACGAAAAAGTAGTCGAGATCGACGAGCGAGTCACGGTGGAAGGATTCGCCGAGGATCCTGAGCGCAAGCCCATTGACGTCCAGTCCGACCCGCAGCTGGTCGAGGGATTGACGGGGGAGGCGATCCGGATTCTCAAGGTGCCAAATATTGAGGCAATCACAAAGGACTTGCTCAGCTTATGGGAGGAAGGCTACCGCGACATCGCCCTGGCCCTTTTGCACTCTTACACTTATCCCAACCATGAGGCTGCCATCGCGAGGGTCGCTCGCCAGATTGGCTTCCGCGTCTCTGTCTCGTCGGAACTGCAGCAGATGATCAAGATAGTGCCCCGGGCTCAATCGGCCACCGCAGATGCCTATCTGTCTCCCGTGATTATGCGGTACCTGGACAGCTTCCGCAAGTCGTTCAAGGGACATCTCATGGACGAGAATGCAAACAAGTTCCTGTTGTGTCAATCCGACGGGGGATTGACGCCCATCACCACATTTACGGGGCTTCGTGCCATTCTTTCCGGACCTGCAGGAGGCGCCATTGGTTGTGCCAAAACATGCTACGACCACGAACAAGGAGTCCCAATACTCGGCTTCGATATGGGGGGCACGAGTACCGATGTGTCTCGGTTCAGTGGAACGCTGGAGCATGTGTTCGAAACAACAGTGGCTCAAGTTACAATACAGAGTCCTCAATTGAACGTTCAGACTGGTATTTCCCCTTCACTGAAAACCCCTTTTTAGTCCTCATGGGGTTTGGCATTCTAATGGCATTCTAGTCGCGGCGGGCGGTGGAAGTCGACTATTTTACCACAACGGTCTCTTCGTGGTCGGTCCCGAATCAGCAGGGGCCTATCCCGGCCCTGCGTGCTATGGGCATGGAGGGCCCCTGACCATCACCGATGCGAATTTCCTCCTCGGCCGCATCTTACCAGACTACTTTGCGCGCTCCTTGGACAGGTCGGCCGTCGAGACGAAATTTCGCGAGCTCACCAATGATATCAATTCTGACCGGCGGCAAGACGACATGCTCACTCCCGAACAGGTTGCGATGGGATTTCTGCTAGTTGCGAATGCTGCAATGACCCGGCCCATCCGTTCCCTCAGCGAAGGCCGTGGGTTTGAAACGTCTGCTCACAATCTCGTATGTTTCGGCGGGGCCGGCGGTCAACACGCCACAGCAATGGCACGGGATCTGGGGATCAAACGCGTCGTCATCCACCGGTATTCCAGTATTCTCTCTGCATATGGCATGGCTCTCGCAGATGTCGTTGTCGACATTCAAGAACCTGAATCGGTCGTCTACTCTCATGGGTCGACCGCTAGAATCCACGAGCGCTTCGATCTCCTGAAGCAGCGGGCGATAGGACAGCTTCTGGCACAAGGATTCCCCGTGGAAAGAATCGTGTGTGAAACTTTTCTCAACATGCGCTACAAAGGAAGTGACACGTCCTTAATGATCAAATCAAGTCCCGGATCAGAAGATTTCGGCGCTGCGTTTGTCGAGCAGCACCGACGCGAATTCGGGTTCGATCAACCCAGGGAAATCCTGATCGACGATATCCGAGTGCGCGGAATCGGGAAAAGTGTTGAGATGCCCGCCTCGTATCCATTCGCACAGTTGAAGCAAAATGGCAGAATGCCAGGGAGCCAGCCAAAGCCTCAGGATGTTCGAAAAGTATACTTCGAGAAGCAAGGATGGCTGGACGCCGGGATTTATCACCTTGGCAATGTCGCCAAAGGGACCCGGCTCCGGGGTCCTGCCATGGTCGTGGATGAAACTCAGACCATCGTCATTGACCCCGACAGTGAAGCGAGCATTCTTCCAGAGCATGTTGTGATTGAGCTGCTGGATATGAAGGCAGAGGAGATCAGCACCAAAGAAATCGACCCTATAAGGCTGTCTGTCTTTGGCCACCGGTTCATGAGCGTCGCTGAACAGGTAACGCCACGCGAATAGTATCCTGACGTGACGGCTAACCTGATGTCCAGATGGGCGAGACGCTTCGGAAGACCTCGATTTCCACCAATATCAAAGAGCGGCTCGATTATAGCTGCGCCGTCTTCGACGCTCAAGGGAGGCTGATCGCCAACGCACCGCACATTCCAGGCCACCTGGGCTCGATGAGCTACGCGATCCGGTACCAAGCCGAAAAGTATGCCAAAGGTGAACTCAAGCCAGGGGATGTCCTGCTGGCCAACCATCCATGCGCAGGCGGCACCCATCTACCCGACTTGACGGTCATCACACCGGTCTTCGACGACGAAGAGGCGCCGACTGAAATCCTCTTTTTCGTGGCAAATCGGGGCCACCATGCAGACATTGGCGGGATAGCCGCCGGCTCGATGCCGCCAAATTCCACCGAACTCTGGCAAGAGGGAGTGGCCATCGAGTCGTTTAAGATGGTCAACGAAGGGGTCTTTGACGAAGCGGGCCTGATCCACCACCTGGTCGACATCCCGAGTAGCTATCCCGGCTGCTCGGGGACACGGACCCTCAAAGACAACATTGCGGATCTCAAGGCGGGCATTGCCGCCAACCAGCGAGGCATCCACCTCATCCAGGGTCTCATCCGCGAGTACACTTGGCCGGTGGTTCAATTCTACATGGCGGGGATTCAGAAGAACGCCGAGAGTACGATCCGCGCCCTCCTCAAGGCCTTCAGCCGGAGATTTCACGGCCGGCCTTTACGGGCGGTCGACTACCTCGACGACGGCACCGCCCTTTCCCTAAACATTGTCATCAACCCGGACGACGGATCGGCCACATTCGACTTCACCGGCACGGGGCCGGAGGCCTTGAACAACCTGAACGCGCCGCCGGCGATCATGTTCAGCGGGATCATGTATTGCCTGCGGACGATGGTCTCAGCCGACATCCCGCTGAACCAGGGCTGCTTGACGCCGATCGAGGTCGTGTGCCCGCCGAACTCGATCCTGCAGCCCAGCCTGGCCGCCGCGACGGTCGGCTCGAACGTGGAGACGTCGCAGCGGATCGTCGACGTCATCTTCAAGGCCTTCCGCGTCGCCGGCGCCAGCCAGGGCACGTGCAACAACCTGACCTTTGGCTACGGCGGCGTCGACGGCCGCGGCCACACGGTCCCTGGGTTCGGGTACTACGAGACGATCGCGGGCGGGTCGGGCGCCGGGGCCGACTGGGACGGCCAGCACGGCGTGCACACGCACATCACCAACACGCGCATGACGGACCCGGAGACGCTGGAGAAGCGCTACCCGGTCCTGCTGCGCGAGTTCTCCATCCGCCGGGGCAGCGGGGGCCAGGGCCGCCACCGCGGCGGCGATGGGTGCGTGCGCGACATCGAGATGCGCCGCGCGCTGCAGGTGAGCATCCTGTCCGAGCGGCGCGTGATCCCGCCCTACGGCATGGCGGGCGGCGACGACGGCCAGCGCGGCCTGAACCTCTGGATCCGCCGCGAGGGGGATCATCCCGCGGCGTGCAGGACCATCAACCTGGGCGGCAAGGCCAGCGTTCAGATGGGCGTGGGCGATCGCATCGTCGTCATGACCCCCGGCGGCGGCGGGTTCGGCGTCTCCCCACACAAGGTGCCGGAGCCGGAAATGGACACAGAGTTCACGATCAAGGATCGGATACGACTGTTTTGATGGGAAGGGCTGTGGACGAAGCCGCAGAGGGAGGTGTCCATCTGCAGCTGAGATGGTGATGATCTAGACATGGCTACGGTATGTGTGTGGCATTGCCTTGGAATCATTATAGAGGTCTGGCAATAGTCCGATAGATTTTTAGAGGAAGGAAAGAAGACAAATAATGGCTGCTGCTTCAATGCCGTCAAATTGACGCTTTGAAGGTTCGAGGACCGGTGGTGCTCCGCTTGTTTACCGACGATGTACGATCGAAGCGCGGAAAGATACTCAGGCAGCCTCTTATATATATCCTCTACTTGTCCCGTGTTTTCCTGAGTTATTGTTGCTTCCGCACAACGGCATCAATGGCATTTGCGACGTAGGATACGTTGCTCGTGTTGACTATGCAGCAAGTGGTCAGTGGCGGATACTAGACAAGAAGAAAGGGGAGAATGTTGCAAGCAAACTCACGGCCGGCGACGGAGATTCGTCCCGAGTCGAGGAGGTAAATGCTGTGTTCGTCCCGAAGTATTTTTGCCTGGGTGGCCGTCAAGCCCGTGTAGGAGAACATGCCCACTTGCTTCACGACATGGTCCCAGTTCCCAGGGGTCTGTAGCCTGCGCAGCTCCTCGTAGAGGGCGTGTCGCATACTCTTGATGCGGCCGCTCATGGTCTGGAGATCGGCCGTCCACTGGTTGAAGAGCGTGGCATCGCCGAGCACCGTCGCGGCGATACGAGCGCCGTAGACAGGGGGAGTGGAAATCTCGCCACGCTGCAGCCGTGCCAGTTGCGAGCGTGCGTGAGCGGCGGAAGAGACGGTCGACGTGACGAGGTGAAAGGCGCCGACCCGCTCGCCGTAAAGACCCATGTTTTTGGCAAAGGACTGCGCCACGCAGAATTCCATGCCTCCGCGGGAGAGGAAATGCCGGACGGGCCAGGCGTCTGCGTCCAGGGACCCCGTGGCAAAGCCCTGACTGTATCATTTCGTGAGACATGGTGGGATAGGAAGTGGTTTTGGGAAGGAAGGGGGGAATGTCGAGTGGAAATCGGCCTACTATGCACTGTCAAAGAAGGGAAAGAGCTTCTTCCTCTCGCAAAGATCCGCAATCGCTTCCCACTGCTCCGGAGACGGATCCAGGCCGGTCGGATTGTGTGCACAAGCATGCAAAATGATGACGTCGCCAGGCCCAGCGTTCTTGCTGAGTGTATCCATCATGCCGTCGAAGTTGAAAGATCTCGAAGGCTCATCATAGTAAGGGTAAACTTGTAGTTGAAGACGCTCTTTGCCAATGTCTCTATCCGTGGCAACCAAGGACCAGATCAAATGGTGGTTGTTCCACGTAGGATCAGAGATCCATATCGTACGGGGCCGGAGAGCATCTGCCAGAAATCTTGCTCCCAGATGATTTGCACCGGTGCCGGAAATGCACTGTATCGATGCAATGCGGGAGCAAACATCCAACATCGTGGTGCCAAACAGCAATTCTTGCGCGAGCTCGATGAATCTGGCATGGCCGACGATGGGAAGGTATTCATGGTCAACCGTAGGGTCCTCGTTCAGCTTGGTTTTAGCCTGTGCCATGTATTAGACCCCCATGCTGAATGCTGATGGGGCGAAGGAGACGTGGATTGACGCCTGAACAATTCCACACACACACCTTCTTGACCACGGGGAGAATCCATGGGTTGGCGTCGTTGTCTCGATACACACCAGACCCCAGATTGACCTTGCTGGGACACGGATCCGCATTGAAAGCCGAGGTGAGAGCAAATACTGGATCCGATGGAGCTAACGAGACAGTTGAGAACAGAGAGTCGTCGACCTTCAAAGCCATGACTGGTTGAAGACCTTTGCTACTCACCATCGCTGTCAGCTGGACATGAAGTCTTGTCTTTTCTTCTTCTTCTATTTTTCTTCACATCAGTGCCGCTCGGACTCTCACTCCGGGCCAGCAAAATGGTATCCAGCCCCAAGTCGAGTCCGCCCTTGATAGGTGTCCGGTCCGGCGTTGGGAGCGAGTTCCCGATGTCCTCTCAGTGTGTCCAAAATCTACCAGAGCCTTGAAGGAAGCGGCACATATGTCAAGAAACGCCGAAGCGGACACCCATTGGAGGCTGAGTTCCTCTGTATAAGAGAGAAATTACGTTTCGTCTCCTGCTCGGGACAAGGCTCAATCTGTTCTTCCTACTATCCTCTGATCGAGCGATGTCTACTGCTAATCCTGTCGGCCCAGTACCACCGTCTGGTATCTGGTGCCCGGCCGTGACCTTTTTCGATCCCCATACCGATGGCCTCGATTTGGTTTCCCAGAAGAAATACTACGCCTATCTCAGCGCAACCGGTCTTGCGGGTCTGGTGATTCTCGGCACGAATGCTGAAGCCTTTCTCCTGACGAGAGAGGAACGGTTCCAGCTGATCCAAGCCGCACGGCAGGCGGTTGGCCCAGCATTTCCCATCATGGCTGGGGTCGGGGCGCATTCCACCCGTCAGGTGTTGGAATTGATGAGCGATGCGGCTCAGGCAGGCGCAAATTACGCTCTCCTGCTTCCACCGGCGTACTTCGGCAAGGCTACCACCCCGGATGTCATCCTGCATTTCTATGATCAGGTGGCTCAGGCATCCTGCCTGCCCATCGTCATCTATAACTTCCCCCAAGTCTGCAACGGTGTCGACCTAGACTCGGATCTGATAACCACAATCGCGAAGCGGAATCCTTCCAAGATCGTGGGGGTCAAATTGACTTGCGGCAGCGTTGCCAAAATCGTCCGATTGACGGCGAGTCTTCCTCCGTCGAAATTTGCCACGTTCGGAGGCCAGTCAGATTTCCTTATCGGCGGTCTCAGCGTGGGTTCCGCCGGCTGCATCGCTGCCTTTGCAAACGTCTTTCCCAGGACCATTTCTCATATCTATACGCTATATCGGAAGGGACGAATCGCAGAGGCGCTTGACATACATCAAAGAGCCGCCTTAGCTGAGAGCCCCATCAAGGCGGGAATCGCGGCAACAAAGTATGCTGTCGCACGCTTCTCTGCTCCCATGGCGGGCATACAAGACGCTGAGCAGAAGCTTCGTCCAAGGCGACCTTACCAAGCGCCATCCGAGGCTACAAAGAGCAGAGTCGAGGCATCAATGATCTCATTGTGGAAGATTGAAAAGAGCTTGGAGTTAGGCACCTTCACCTCGAAGCTTTGACATTTCCGACCCGTTCACCGTAAAGTTTTGCCTTTCATTGGCATCCGGGATAATTTGGTCTTATGCCGAGGGGGTGTCGGACTGGTCGGCGTTGATAGATTCAACTCTTCCTCCTCTTCCCATCTGTGCGCGTTATTTTGAATACCTGTCTCTGGCTTCAGCTGTGCTTCTACGGGGCAAACGTCGTCATTGTCAAGCAAAGCCGGGCTGTAGGCTCCCCAACACGCCGGGATCCATTCCCAGGGTCTGTATTGTAAGGCCTTAATGACCGAGGCAAGCGCCGACGGGCCAACCAGGCCCGTTGATACTACCACTGTCACCGTTCCCGTTGCAAAACGTGTGAGACGTGACGGCGCGTATGTACCTCTGTCTTCTCTCCCAATGCGTCCAAGATGAATCCCAGAACACCAGACTGACTGCCAGTCATTTCGGCCCAAAACAGCTGTGTGCGATGCCACGCCCATAAGATCAAATGCTCTCATGAAGTACCGTGCCGGAACTGTGTACAGACCAACCACGCCAATGAGTGCGTGTATCCCACCCGAGATCGGAAGATCCTGGTTCCTGAGAGGTCTGTCACCACCCCGATCCTCCTCCTTTCTCTGATCCTGAGTTGCGTCTGTAGTCAAATCAGGCGGCTTGAGCAGCAGAATGCGACACTTAGACGAGCGGTGCAAGAACAGTCCACAACCACAGCTGCTGGTCTCGCAGTAGCAGCAACAGTATTATCACCGTCTCCTAGCTCTTCTCGAGGTCCAAGCCATGAGAAAGCGTTGGAGGAGACAATGGATGCCGAGATTTCGAATCCACTGACTGAGGATCGGACGTGGTTTGTTCGTGATAATGCTTCATCGCAAGTGGCCTATATCGGTGAAGCTTCTTGTACGTCCTTTGGAACACGCCTGTATCAGTATCTCGACCGAAGCGCCCCTCCAGCACCCATCCCTCCGGCTCGGCTGGTCAGCGACAAGACGCTCTTTCAAAACATCTTCACCGAGTACAAATTGCCCGAACGCGCCCACGCCCATCTCCTCATTAGGGTGGCCATCCGTCTCGTGGGGCTGGACTATCATCTGATGATGCGAAAGCACATCCTGGACCAACTGGACAGTCTATACAAGGGCCATCTGAGCGTAGAACAAGACCCACTGCTGGCATGCCGCCTGTTTACAATCTTCGCCCTCGGTGAGTTGTACACCAACCGTGCAAAGGAGGACCAGAGGATAGAAAACGCACCCAACGTTCCCGGCCTCGGGTTTTTCCTGCAAGCTATGAGCCTCTTCCAAGAGATCCGGGAGGAGGCGACCATGTCGTACATCGAGGCCCTACTCCTGATTGTAAGCTCTCTGCCCGACCTTTGCACTTCCCCTGGGAAGCTTCCCAGACTTCGGACTGACATGTTTGCTACGAGTAGTCTCTTTACTCCCTCGCCCTGAACAGGGCCAACTCGGCCTACATTTACGCCGGGATTGCACTGCGGCTGGGCCTGACCCTTGGTCTTCACCACAACGTGCCCGACAATCAAATGTTCAGTCCGTTGGAGCGAGAACGTCGCATCCGCGTCTGGTGGACAGTCTACGTCTTCGATCGGAATTGGAGCTCCAAACTGGGCCACCCGATCAACATACGGGACGAGGACATCGATGTGGACCTGCCGTCCATGAACAACCTCACGAGCATGGAACGAGCCGAGTTCTCGGAGCCCGAGCATCTGGTGGCCAACGTGCAACTGGCCCGGATCACGGGCGACATCATGAACCACATCTACGTCAAAAACCGCCAGGAAAAGGCCTTCGTCCAGAGCGTGCAAATGGTCATGCGCAGATTGCGCACAATGGCGGAAACGCTGCCGAGCAGCATTCGATTGCAGCCAGACTCGTCTCGCGTGTATCCGGCAAGGCATGTGGCATCGCTCCATTTGTGCTTCAACCAGGTGCGTATAGCTAGACAAACCCTATTCCGTCCTGTCGTGTGGGATCCTTCTAACATTTTTGACGAGCGATAAAGTGCGTGATTTTGACGACACGCCCGATTCTGTTCCATTTGTTGAAGGCCAAGGTCAACCCGATTCTCGAAGGCCAGCCTGGACAATCGCCTCGACCCGTGTCGGCCATCACCACCGCTCTGGCCGATGCGTGTATCCATGCCGCCCAAAGCTCGAACCAAATCCTCAGTCAGCTCTGGGTGGACGGTTCCCTTGCCATCTTCGGCTTCTTTGATGCACAGTATCTGTTTTCGTCCACCCTGGTCCTGCTGATTGCCACCGTGCTGAGGCCCGACACGGCCGATGCTGAAGCAGTGGAGGCAGCCACTCATTTACTAAGATCCATGTCGGAGGACGGCAACCTGCCGGCATTCAGATATTACGGCCACCTGATGCAGTTGCGGAATGCGATAAGCGCTCTGCAAGGAAAGAGCCAGCAGGTGGAAAACGACACGACAGTGGCCCCCTGGCGGCTACGACAAGGTCCGACACTAGGTATAGACGCACCAGCACCGGTACCAGCACCAGCAGATAGTCTGCAACCGGAACCCACCATACCTGCTATCCCTGTTCTTGGAAACGACCTCACAGGCAATCCTCCAGCGACGAACGTGCTGGTTGCCGGATCTGCGCTGGACGACCCTTTCATCGAGAATTTCCTCTCCTACTCGGACTTCCCATGGCCCGCGACAGGAGAGGGTTTCGGTGTGGTTGCCGGGAACACCGTCTCTCCTCCACAGTGGGTGTTTGAATGGGACGCGCAGAACCAAGATCTGTATGCTGCGAGGGGTTCGAGGGAAGCTGGTTAACCTCCCTCCTCCAAGAAGCTCACCAACTCTGATAATGCCGCAAATTCTAAATGACAATATTGCCTCCATTATTCCAGTCTTGGTTATCGCGCCGAAACGGTTTTCGGGGGATGGCTCGACTGCTGCAGAAGGCCTCCTTGGGCCGAAGGGTATCCACCAACGTCGGTGTAAGACAGGCATAGCCCATCAAGGATTTTCTCTGAGGCCGGGAGCCCTGTGCCAACCAATCTTTCTGTGCGTTGTATATGTCCTGGTGCAGAAGGAATGCTCTCTGGTTCTCAGGATCATTCAAATCTGGTTGCCCAAGGATATCTGCCGGTTGAGAACTGGTCATGCTCACTGTCACTTGCAAAGGTTCGCCGTATGAAGTAGGTGTATTATGAATGTCGATTCTATCTTCATAGCTTGAGAAACGTTTTGTCAATCCACTTACGCCTGGAAAACAGATAGGACGTTGTCATGGAGAGGGCGCCAAGGAAGCTATCGAGCGGTGCATAGCATTCTACTCCAACTTATTCGTCCGTTACAGCAATCGACAATGGCCACAGGTGCGGGAGATTGCTGGTGAATTTGAGACTGAGATTGGTCGTCGGTGGCCCCGGTACTACGAGGAGATGAAAGGTGCGCATAAAGGCTTTTTGATCGAGCGGAAAAATGCCTCTTTCCATGGCACGGCCAATTCAGAGTCACTAAGCGCGTCTTCTGCGTGACCAGGTATTGCCGATGGAGCACAGGTCGACACTGTGGACGTCGTGGCACTCAATGTGCGGACGGAGATTGCATTTGGGCTGTTCAGCGACGGCTGTACGAGTCTCTCCTGGAATACTGAACACCATGCGTTCCTCGGCCAGAACTGGGATGTACGAATCTTTGCCCCATCTCCCTGCTAAGATTCCCACTGAGAATAATTCGAGATTCTGACCTTACACTTTCTTCTCTGACGTGGTCCGCAGTGGATGGAACTGCAAAAGGAAAACCTCGTTCAAATAAACATCATTCAGACCGATCTGCCCACGATCAAGATGATCACAGAAGCCGGCATCATTGGCAAGATTGGATTCAATTCCTGCGGCATGGGAGTCTGTCTCAACGCGATTCGGGCTGCAGGGATGGATCCCAAGCGTCTCCCCGTCCATCTCGGCCTGCGCCTGGCTTTGGAACAAACATCGGCCGCGGAAGCCGTCGCCATGCTGAAGGCACATGGCATGGCCAGCTCTGCGCACCTGCTGGTTGCAGACTCCACGTATGCTTGCGGACTGGAAGGCACCTCATCCACCATTGCAGAAATCCCCCCGGACGCGAATGGGCGCATCGTGCACACGAACCACCTCATCAAGGAACATCCGGGAGTCCACGAGCCGAAGTGGCTGGCTGACTCCGAGTTTCGGTTTCGACGCATGCAGACACTGATTGGGCGCCTGGAATCCCGCCCGAGAGACGACCCTCAGAGGCCGACCTGGGGGGAGTTTGCGGCACTGTTTGAGGACCAAGAAAAATGGCCGGCGGCCATATGTCGATCCCCCGACAAGGACTCGGGCAGCCTGAGCGCGACATTATTCAACATTGTCATGGATCTCAAGGCCAGACGCGCGGTGGTGAGAGTGGGAAGACCATCCGATGTGGACGAGACGATTGAGTTGGATTTCAGGTCCTCACCGTAGATAGAAGACAGACTTGAACGTCGACGACGGCTGCTTTCACCCATCGTAGGGGATTTCAGGAAATGAGCCAGTCGTCTTCATTGCCATATCTTGTGAGCTCGCAAGCCATCACCCTAGAATATTCTCTGAGTTCGAAATTGCTAGGGAGATGGCTGACTTGAGAGTCGGCAGACCGAGCCGGCTCATCGGCGTATAGAGCTCCTTTCGGCATCGGACCCATTTTTTTTATATCTTGCATTGTGGTTTCGGTCCAAGCGAGCTTTATCCGGATTTCCTAGTTTGGCCATAGGCCTGTGGGATATGTTGATAGGCGCTCCCTATCCAATTCCGCCTATCAAGGAGACAGGATCTCCTTACCCCGACCCCTCAATCTTGTGCATAGGCCGAGCAAGAGCGCCGTGTTGTCCACAGTGGCCGACAGAAGGACGCCAGCTATGTATCTGATGCGATATTTGCCCCGTTGCAGGACATGAAAATGCGCCCGATGAAGGTCAAAAGGTCATGTAACCCGCAAACACCTCGAAATCGAGGGCGACATCACAGCATCAGGCTCGACCGGCTTCGCTGATGGCGTCGACTCACTCCAACGGCACGATTACCGCCCAAGATGCCCTTCCCCAGCCGAATACGACGGGCGGCACGACCAAACCCACCGTGTTATGCATCAATTCTTCGGTGCGTGAGGTCGACGTCGCCCGCTGGGGGGAGATGCAAACCCGCTTCAACGTCCTCGAGTACGACTGCGCCACGGTCGACGAGTTCACCGCGCGGCTGAAGACGCCCGGCCACGCGTACACGCGGATCGACGCGCTGCTGTGGACGGGCTGGCTCAAGGCCGGGCCGTTTGCCGCGCAGACTGAGCAGCTCCTGCGCGGGGAGCCCCTGGAGCTGATGCCCCCGTCGCTCCGGCTGGTGTGCTGCTCCGGCCACGGCTACGACCACGCGGACGTGGCGCGCATGACGGAGCGCGGCATCGTCTACTGCAACACGCCCGACGCGTGCACCGAGGCGACGGCCAACGTGGGCCTAGCCCTGATCCTCAACGCGTTCCGCCACCTTTCCTTCGCGGAGCGGTGCGCTCGCACGCCCCAGACCGGCGGGTGGGAGCGGAGCCGCACGCTGGGCATGCGCGCGGTCGACCCCAAGGGCCAGGTGCTCGGGATCGTGGGCATGGGCGCGATAGGGCGCGCCATCGCCCAGAAAGCCGCCAGCGCGCTGGGTATGGAGATCCATTACCACAACCGCCGCCGGCTCGGCGAGCACGACGAGGTGGTGGCCGCCGGCCCGGGCGCCCGCGCCACATACCACGACACGTTGGACTCGCTGCTGAGCGTGGCCGACTGCCTGTGTCTGGCTTGCGGGTGCTCGCCGGAGATGGTGCACATGATCTCCGCGCCGCAATTCGACCGGGCGAAAGAGACGGGCCTGCGCATCGTGAACGTGGGACGGGGCGCCCTGATCGACGAGGGCGCCTTGATCGCGGCACTCGAGGCCGGCAAGGTGATCGGGCTCGGGCTCGACGTGCACGAGGACGAGCCCAATATCAATCCACGCCTGCTGGAGAACTACATGGTCACGGTGCTCCCTCACGTGGGGACTTGCAGCCGCACGAGCTGGGCCAATATCGAGAAGAGCCAGCTAGACGACCTGGAGGACTTCTTTTTTGGCAGCGGGATGCCGCCCACGGCAGTCAATGGAAAGCTCATCAAGAAGGCATAGAGAACCCGCGTGATTCATGATTGATTATCCCACATGTATCAGTTATTCGCTAGCTGGGCCTCGAGGATTGTTCTCTCGAGGCCACCGGGACCAAGCATGGCCGTATATCACAAAAAGATGAAAGGGAGAAAAAGGACAAGTCGAGTCTGGAAGTGACTAGTTCCGCTTTTGTGTAGTATATCTGCCCATACTCGAGTCTTCTTTTCTTTTGGCTTGGACACGGAAGATACGAAATTTAGCAAATGCATCCGCTAGTAGAATATAGACCTAGGCTCACTTCATATGTGCACGACCGGTCTGATGAGAAAACCCCGGTATCATGCTGAAACTAGGTCATCCCGTGCCCGCCCGTCGTCGGCCTATGTCTCCAAACTCCCGATATCCCCCTTTTCGTTCACTAGTAGACCTATCTTGCGTTATCGGCGAAGACAGGCATACGCCTTGCTGCGAGGATGATTATGAAAGCCGTGGAAGACCTCCCCTTTTGCTGGGGCAACCTGTGTTGTCAGGACAATCAGTTGCTTTGTTTCTTTCGCGCCAGAACATGAAGCGTGTTCTCGTGGGCTATGGGATCGACTTGGACGCAATCAGTGGATGGTATGCTCTTCCTTCTCCATGGCCATGATTCGTTGTTTAATGCCTTTTCACACCCCCGCCCCCCCTTTTCCTCCTTTATTGTGCAAGAAAATCCTCTCTGGGTGGCAACTGACATAGTGGATGTCGCCCTCTAGGATCAACACGAGAAATGGATCACCGGCGTCACCGACGGATGTCTCCCGAGGCGTGTTTGGGGCAACCTTTGGCACAGATCGGCTGTTGAGGCTATGGGAGAAGTACAACATCAAGACCACATGGTTCGTCCCTGCCCACACGGCCGTCTCTTTTCCGGATGCTGTACGGCGAGTCCGAGACTCTGGACATGAGATGTGAGAGGAATTCCCCGGGGGGAAAAGTTCACGGATACCTCCCCCCAAAAAGGCTGGCATTTTGCTTTTGTATCTTCTGGCTTGCTTACACGTGGAGGAGCCAATGAAACAGAGCACTCCACGGCTGGACGCACGAGTACGTGACGACCCTCAGCGAGGACCAGCAGCGCGAAGTCCTCCGAGAATCGATCAAGGTCATCACCGAGGTGGCCGGACGGCGGCCGAAGGGGTGGACGGCGCCGGGATTCGAGGCCTCGCGCCAGACCGTCCAGCTGCTCGAGGAGTTCGGGCTCGAGTACGACCACAGCTTCATGTACCACGACTCGCAGCCGTACTGGCTGCCGTACGTGCCCACCTGGAAGGAGACGAGCATGGCGTCGCGGGGGGACGGCGATCGGGGCACGCCCGCCGCGACGCCCGCGGACTGGATGGTGGGCATGTCGGCGCTCCAGCCCAGCTCGGTCGTGGAGATCCCGGCCAACTGGCACCTGGACGACTGGCCGCCGTTCCAGCTGAACCTGAAGCAGGCGAGCACGCACGGCTTCGTCGACCCCTCCGTCGTCGAGCGCCTGTGGAAGGACCAGTTCGACTTCTACTACCGCGAGTACGACCAGTTCATCTTCCCCATCTCCATTCACCCGCAGGTCAGCGGCAAGGCGCAGGTGATCCTGATGCACGAGAGGCTCATCGACTACATCAACGCCCATGCTGGCGTGGAGTGGTGTACATTCGAAGAGATGGCTCGCGAGTTCCGAGAGGGCACTCTGCCTGGGGTCACCATCACCGGCGGCCTCAATCCACCCTACTCCTTTGGAGCTGATCCCTAGTTGTCGGTAAATCTATCAGAAAGCACATAGTACGGAGAGTGAGCAAGTTGCAGGCCTCAACGTCCATGTCCCTCGTCAGATAGGTGCCAATAGGGAGAAATTTATACATTTTGTTGCTCGTCCCTGTGGATAATGCTCTGGTGGTCTGGTGGGCCAGTCTTCTCGTCCGTCGTTTGTTGGCCCTCGCTTTCCTTTTGCCCACCATCTTCATCTCCTGCACCATCCTTCCAACCGACAGGGACACCATCATCAGTAAATCTCGCCCATTCGAACAACCCACATCCCTCGCCACCACTCGGCTTATTTCCAACCTGGCACATCCACATATATCTTCCCCGATTAGCTCTCTGTTTCTGTACTGTTTTTAGCACACAAGGGACCCCACATTTGCACTTTGGAGTGTGTTTGGGGCGAAATTCTTCTCGATACCATCTGTAGGTAATGTTGATGCGTTTGTTACCGGCGATAGCATGCGGCGTGACTGTTAGGGCCGGTGCGATGCTGTGTTTCCATTCCTCTTGCATCTCGGCATGCATCACGAGGAGAGAATTGTGCGGGAGGTGGATTGCGATTTGGCCCGACACGTCCGCTGCGGAAGAAGTGCTTCCAGACTTGTCATTTTCATTGCGATCGTCCTTGGGCACGATTTTTCGAACGCGAAACTCCCTAGCCACTCCGAGACTCAAGCTCCCTATGATGGCCCGGGGTCCAAGATAGGAGAGTTGGTCCGAGTGATAGCCCACATGTTGCGCGCCACCGTCATAGCAATTGACGAAGGCGGCGTTGGGCTTCCAGATCTGGGGCGACTGGTATTTTAGTTTTTTCCCGTCAGGATAAAAGTCGCGGATCCGAATGGCAATCTCCTCGTTTACGGCATCACGAACAAGACCGCTGACTTGCTTCATGACAGGGAGAATCTGCCTGACGTCGCCAAGATCATTGCCGTTGTAGTAATACTCGCTTCTCTGCCGTTCCACATCTGCTAGGCTGTCGACGTAGAAACAGGCTGTGTGCGGGGATTTGACGACATTGTCAAATATCTTGAATTGGATGGAGTCGTAGCTGGGAACTTCGGCAAGGAGCTCTTCCAGAAGGGCGTTTGCAAGGTCGGAGGGCAGGAAATTGTGGATTATGGAACAGGGTGTGTGGTTTGCGATATCTTGAGGTGTGTACAGGTGCAAAGTTTTGCCCTTTCTAGTCAGCGGTTGTTGTCCTGATGACTTTGACGGACTCTTGTTCTCTGACGCATATGGCAGACCAGTCTGCATACTAGCACCTGTCATCCGACGTTTCGGTGGCGGAGAGGGATCCATTGCTGGAGCCGCGAGGGCTTTGATCGCAGCGTCCACGGAGCCGTCACAGCCGAGCAGGACTTCGAGCAAGTCATCCTGAGACCTGTGTGGGTGCAGAGACGAAAGAATAGCCAGTTTGACATCGGTCGATTCCTCGTCTTCATCGATCTGTGGTATAGGGTCAACCCTGGTTGCAAGGTCGCTCTGCGGCGCAGACACGCGACGTCGTTTGCGCAAGATGAACGTGTCCATGGTCGCTGTGTCCGCGACTGGGAGCCATCGTCCAGAGTTGAGGTCCGGGGCAACTCTTGAAGTGTTGTTTACAAGTCGCAGCCTGCCGGGGCCAAGTCACAAACATTGCCCAAACAAATGAAACTCTTAGTAAACTCCAATACGCGCGGTGTGCAATGACGATGGCAATAGCAACAGCAGCGGCGGCGGGGAGAAACCTCGGCCCGCATCGAAAATCGACCTGTCCGCCTGAGCATCCCGCGGTCTTCTGTTACTTGCGCTTCACATTTTTACTCCCCAGTCACCAATAACCTGCCTCTTGATTGCGTTGAATTCATCTCCCTCAAGAGGTCTGCGGGTAAATGCCAACCTTGGCCTTGGTTTGGACATTGACCCCATCAGAACAGTCGCAGACCGGGCATGATGAGTGACTGTTCACCTCCGCGACCAGAGCTCCAGTATCAGTCATGCTAGAATTCCGCACACAAGGCTTTCAGGGCTACGCAGTCAAGTATTCTCCCTTCTTTGACAATCGCATAGCGGTCGCAGCAGCAGCAAATTATGGTCTTGTGGGAAACGGACGGCTGTATGCACTGGAGCTGACAGCTCAAGGCATTGTGCCTCTGAAAGTGTACGGAATTTCGACTCGTGATTTCCAGAGAAGAGAACTATCCGTGCTAACCGGTTGAACAGCTATCCTACGCAAGATGCACTCTACGATGTAACACACTCCGAAGCCCATAGCTCCCATCTCCTCACTGCTTCCGGCGACGGCTCATTAAGACTCTACGACACCTCCCTTGCTCCAGAATTCCCAATTGCCAAATTTGAAGAACATTCGCGGGAAGCCTTCTCATGCAGCTGGAACCTCACATCGAAGGCAACTTTTGCCTCCTCGTCCTGGGATGGGACAGTAAAGATATGGAGTCCGGAGCGGCAGCAGAGCCTGCTCACGTTACCCACCCATTCCTGCACGTACAGCGTCCAGTGGAGTCCTCATACCGATGGGATGCTGAGCGCAGTGTGCTCCGATAGTCACCTACGGGTATGGGATTTGAGAACACCTGCCAGTGCTAGTAACCACCTCATATTGCAAATCCCTATTCATGCGGCCCCGCTGTCCGCCGGCGCCGGGGTTGGGAAGATCCAGCCAACTTTCCCACCTGCTGAGGCTCTCACTCACGATTGGAACAAGTATCGAGGCACAGTCGTCGCCACTGCCGGGGTTGACCGAATCATTCGAACATTTGATATCCGTCAACCCAAGGGCCCACTTCACATGTTACAGGGACACGGATATGCGGTGCGGAAGGTCGCATGGAGCCCACACCTTCCCGATCTCCTACTCAGCGCCAGCTACGATATGACTTGTCGTGTCTGGACGGACGGAGGGGAGCAGGGAGGTCCTGCCAGGGAGCTTGGGAGTATGGGTCGTCATACCGAGTTCGTGACTGGCGTGGATTGGTGCTTGTTCGGCAGTGAAGGGTGGGCGGCCAGCTGTGGTTGGGACGAACTTCTCTGTGTCTGGGATGTGCGAACAGTCATGCGTCCTTGATATGAGACGCGCATCACGCTGCGGACGGTGTGTGCTTGATTCTGGAGTTGTCATTGGATTGATTTTCACCACAGGGATCACCGTCAGAATTGGTTAAGAAGGAACTCGTCCTACTCGTACGCGTACAACAGAACGAAGCAAGACACCCCCCGGCTACTGCTGTCAACAACAGCTCGAAGTGGATATGACAGATATCAAAATCTGAAACTCTTATGCATCATGGCTGATCCGACCCGGAAACAAGCTTCATCGCCGACTTATGTTACATCTTGCCACTTGAACAAGGCTTTCAAGCGAATCGACCTATTCATTTGGCAGACGCAGGAGGGAACGAGAGGATGGAGAACAAGGATTGCCGTTGCAGTTTAGTCTCGAGCGTCCAATCTCTTTTTCCTCGCTCGTCGCCAATGTCTCCAGCCAATCAGCCTGCCAAGACCTTCTCGAAGTCATGGATGCTGTCGATCGCCGGCGCCTCGTCAACTTTCCTTTTTCCTTTCGTGCTCGACTTCTACACCTTGATAGGTGCCGGCAAGAAACCCCCAAATGGGTCACGGCTATCGCTGAGGCGATGTCCGCCCATTGCTTGTTCACACTTCCCGGCCCTCGACCGTCTTGTTCTGCACTCCCCACGCTCGTGCAGGCGCCGGTCTGGGGAAATCTCTCAATGTGACCACTGAGGTTCCGCGTATCGAATCCTCCGGGTACCTGCCTTAGCAGGAGCAGGGCTGCAGCCTGATCTTTGTTGATCATTCCCTGTTGGCATCCTGGTCGGCCGAGGTAAGCCAACCACTATTGACGGGCATATCGCATGTTGCAAGGTCCACGTTCTCCTTTGCGGCTTGATGCGGGTGCAGAATGATTGTTGAAGGATCATGTGGACTCTTGTTTGTGTTACAAAACCTGCATGTCGACGGGTGGGGTCCGATAACATGAAGACTCGGAGTGCAACTCGAATACTACTTAAAGGTATAACGAGACGCTTGTTCGACGAAGCTGAGGAGGCAAAGGACGGCCATCGATGAGCTGGTAGCAGGACGATTCAAAGCCAACACCGTTCAGCCTCGTAGCCTCGCTATCCATTGTTCAACACCGCTTCTGACATCATTTAATCATATCCTACGAACACAACACCACGCGCTTCCAAGCACCCTCATCGCAATGCAGCTCCCAAAGGTTCGAAGATACAGCCATTGATGTCTTCGTCTCATCGTCTAATCTACCTTCAGGTCTTAGCCAGCATTCTCTTTGCTCTCGCCCCGGTTCTTGCTCTCCCACCAGCGCTCTCCTCCAGCAAACAGCCTGCTTCGCCGTCTCTGTGGCCTAGGGAATTCAACCCCTTCACGAAACGCCAGTCCTGCGCCGAAACATGCGGCGACGTGTGCTACTATCAGTCGACCATTGACGCTGCCGTCTCCAAGGGCTACTCCCTCTACCAAGACGGACAGACTGAGGGATCCGACGATTATCCCCACCAATACAACAACTACGAGGGATTCAACTTTCCTGTAGATGGGCCGTACTACGAGTTCCCCATCATGGACGATTTCAAGGTTTATGACGGTGGATCTCCAGGGCCCGATCGCGTCATCTTTAACGCAGACGGCGACTATGCAGGAGTCATTACACACACGGGTGCCAGTGGTGATGATTTCGTCGCTTGTGCTGGGGACAACCCGTAAGCGTCTGTTTTGCGAGGACGGTGCCCAAGCCATGGTCGAGCAATTCGGCTACGAGGTTGTGAGTCTACATAGGGATGCGTTCGAAGGAGTTGAAATCGGGGGTTGCCAGGATTGACACGATATGCGAGCACAAATGACGCTACAATATACCTACCTGGCTTCCCTCGTTGCATATTTTCTTGTTCTCCGACGTAGGCGAATGGCATTGGCACTGTCCTGGCTGATCTGGCGACTGAAGAGAAGGTAGAAGGGCATATCAAGTTGTGTATTGTGCTCGAAGTCACGGCTGGTTCATTACTGCGTGTCTATAAAGACGAATAGAAACCCATCCACTATCTATCATGTCTGATGTCCCCATATGCTTTATGCTTGTTCCTCGCACGGCCCATGCAGATATCGCAGAATCGAAGAGCAACTTGACGAGGAGGGAGTCCATGAGAGTCGAGGTGCAGCCTTCATCCATCCTTGGACTTTCGTCTCTGGTATCATTCCACGTTCCATTTCTCACCACATTACCACATTTCTCGTGTTCTCATGGCATCATGTCATCTGGTCAGCAGCCGTTCTGGCACGGTCTCGCCGGAGAACGAGACGGACACTGTGTTCGCGTCCCGCCTCAAGCCCACGAGCGTCGCCATTCCGTCGACAGAGGGAACGCCTGCGCTTCTTTCCTCCACGAGACGGGCCCTGACCTCCCGCGACGCGACGACGAGAACCGTGCGCTTATTTCGCACAGCCAAGCCAGGCCCAATACCTCTCATTCCAAGCGCCCCTTGTTGTACCCGGCTTCACTTCTCGCCCAACCGATTCTCCACGCCCTCGCGCACCTTCTTCCTCACATCGGCCAGCTCCTCCTTGCTGGCGTCGTACCTGACATTGCCGGCCTGGTTGAAGGGGTTCTCGTCCGAGCGCTCAAACTCCTTCTTGATGAGCTCGATCTTCTGGTTGCGGCGCAGGCCGGGCCGCTCCTGGTCGATCTCGGGCAGCCGCCTCTCCTCGTACGCCTTGTACGCGGCCGGGAAGCGGCGCTCCGGGTGGCGGTCGAGCCTCATGTCGTTGGCCGAGCCCGTGGTCAGGGAGAGGGCGTCGAGCGCGTTGTCGATGCCCGACGCGTTCAGCGCCCGTTCCTTCCCGTTGCTCGACTCGCCGCTGCCGCCGTCGTCGAGCTGCGCCAGGTCCAGCGTGCCCCGGCTCTTCTTCTCGGCCGTCTTCTTGTTCGCCCCCTTGGGCTTGTCGCGCATTCCTTTCTCTTCCTGGGCCAGCAGCGCCTCTCGCTCGGCCTTCTTCGCCGCCTGCTCGGCCGCCTTGGCCGCCGCGGCCTGCTTCTTCGACGTGTCCTTGGCCCCTTGTTGCCATTTCTCCTCGTCGCGGGCTGCCGCTACGGCGTCCGCAGCGGCTTGCTTCTGCGCTGCGGCCTCGGCCTTGCGCGCGTTCCCCGCGACTTTCTTGGTGTTTTCGCCCTTTCTTTTTGGCGCCATTGTTGTGGTTGTTGTTGCTTGCCCTGTCGGCGCACCCCTGCTGCTCGTGCTAGCCGGGGTGTTTGTAAAATTCCCCTCGAGGAGGGGGCGGGGTAGAGGGGCCGGTGCCGGCGCTCTGGAGTCGAGGTAGGCTTTGGCGGTGATGTAGCTGGTGATGTTGACGATCACGAAAATGCGGATGAACTGTGTGGGAGAGAAGATGAACGGGTTATGAGGCATATAACAAATGGGAAATGTGGGCGAGTCCAGCTCGCTAGATCTGTTTCGATTTGTTGGAGAACAATAGGCCAGCGCGGTTATGACTCCGACCTTTGTGGTGGCCTTGGGCACCTTTCTCACATGCTCACTCACTTTAATATCGCCTGTCACCTTTTGCTCTGCTGTGTGGCCATCATTAGGTACATTATATGCCTCGTAAATGCGGCATGATGTAATAGAGCACGACTTGAAAGTTTCTTTTGCACGCTGTTGCTCCAGAGCCCCTTGCTTTCGGACAGCGTACAGAGATTTGGAGTAGTGGTAGACTCCAAGGGATTTTCGCTGGTATCGATATATCCTTACAAAAGCCTCGCTATCCTGTCACGCCAGGCCTGACGCACACCAGGAGGGTATCGTATCTGGATATGCTCCTAAACTCCTAACCCGCTCACTTCCATTGCACTTGTTGCAGACATGACCAGGACGCCGTCGCTCGAACCCTCAAATCAACCTCAATGGTGTCCGCATCCCAGCGTAGCCTTGTCTCATGAACTTGTACTTGTTCGGCACGGTCTGCAGTCTCCGGAACGCCTCTCGAACATGCTTAGGCTCGATCGGTGTCCGGCCTTCCTCCGGCATCTCAAACAGCGTGCACCCTTCCCTCTTACGTTTCTTCGACGTGTCCTGGTCGCCTCTGCCGCCATTCAATTTGTTGTTAGCTAGGTCTTCGGCGGCTTTGACCTTCAAGGCTTCCTCCGTGAGAGTCTGCACGATCTCGAACGTCAAGAAGCCGAGAATATCGACTGCATCGTCATTCGGTCTGTTGTCAATGATCGTACCAAAGCCCGCCCATTCACGGAAGCGTTTGCCCTTGCGGAATGTGAAGCTGGCTTGACGACAGTCAGACCAGTAGACATATTCGTCCTTCGTCATGTTCTTGGTGCGTTCGTCGGCGGAGGCCAGTCGAGCGAGGGTTGCTTCGTTCTGCTCCTCTTCCTCTTCGTCTTCTTCATCGTCTCTTTCCGGAACTTGCTCAGCGTAGAACGATTGGATTTCCCAGGGCAAGAGGAGTTTGGCTTTCTTGGTCGCGGTGGTCTTTTGTGGAGCCGATGGATTGACACCTCCGGAGGCCTATTGGGGTCATTCAGTCATCTCTCAACGGCGCGACGTGGTTCACAGGTAGTTACCTCGTCGAAATCGCCAACTTCAGCAGCGTCACCGCCACCCTTGTCATCAGAGTCCTTCACATTCTTGCGGACGTCCTTCCAAGACAGGAAGGTCTTGAGTCTGGAGACTTTGGCTCTGTCGTGGCGAATCTGAAAGATGAGGTCGGCAATTGAAATGGACTTTGAGCCTCGGCGGTTTGCGAGTGCAGTTGCTTGTGTCAGCTGTTTGGTAGGTTAGCAAGAGTGTAGAAAACGGTCCGAGAATGCCTCACCATTTCAATAACTTGCTCTCTCACAATTTCTTCGATCATCCAGGTTGTCTCTGCGCTTGGTTCGGCTGTTTCACCACTCACGAACATCATCTGTCCAATCCAATATATTAGTCTCTGCTTGAAGTCTTCTTGGCTTTCATAGTCATCGTCATCCCCAATGTCGGAAGAAGGTACGGCGCCCGATCCAGAGTCCTCGTTGGGGGGCTCCCTGCTTTCTTGCGGCTGCTGTAGGGCATTTCCAAGGATAAGAGCTTGGTGAACGCCTTTTTGGAGATCCCCAACTCCGCGATTCGCCATAGTTCGAGGGGATTCAGGTCCTGCTCAAGGCTGAAAGTGCGCAGGGGTATTTTCTTGCTCGCGTTCACCGCTAGGATTGGTAGGACGTGGTTCTCAGAAAATCAGATGAGATTGTTTGTCATCCAGTTCTGCAGCATTGGGGTTGGGCAGTTGGACGCGTTTCAGGCAAACTTCGTGGAGTACGCTTCTCTGCCACCATGAAGTGAAATCAAAGCGATGCCTCGGGGGATGTGACGGGCGCCCGTCGTGGACATGTGTGCAGTGAATCGTCTCTTGCCCAGATGTTCTGGTTTAGGTCCATGGTCCTCACGTCTTCCCAAGACGGCCGGTAGTAGTGGTGATGGCGATATGGAATCGTGTCCAGCCAGATATTGACTCGCAGGAGGGATTCTGCTTCAAACATCCTTCCAACTTCTTCGTTCGGGTGTCCAAAGAGATGGATTGGCGGCATCTCCAGCGGTCCGATACTACCTTGGAATAAAATGACATAGCAGATAAAAGATGCTCACCTGCTGGATCTCCTGTCGGTATTTAGCTGGCCTCTCACCCGCCATCTTGATTCCTAGACCTGCCCCGTCAAGCTTGTCTGTCCTGCGATCCGCCTGGTTTCGTTTGGTTTATGTGCACGAGGTGGCAACAATGATCGCAATCCTCCTGGCTAGCCAACCTGCGATGTTATCTGGATGGACTAAGAGCTAGATGATGAATGAACGATGACGGGTCTGATCATCTCAGATGGACACTGCGAGTTGGAAGTGACAATAATCCCCGAGCCTTTCTCCGAAGTGGCTCCGCGCTCCATCACCAATAATTGTTTCTTCCCGCGCCAATTCAACTTATTGTGCTTCGCAAACCATTCTTTCATGTTGCTTCTGTCACATCACTTCACGCCGGAACTCGGTACAATAGGCCAACATGCTTTACCTTGTCGGTCTCGGCCTCGCCGATGAGACAGATATCACTGTCAAGGGACTGGAGATAGTGAAGCACGCAGAAAGAGTCTACCTTGAAGCATACACCAGCATTCTTCACGTTGGGAAGGATAAGTTGGTATGATAAGACACCTATACCCTCTGTTACTTTCCCTTCTGACTACTTCGTCGCATATCTTGCTGACATGGCTCTTCTCTGACAGTCAAGGTAGGAGTCATTCTATGGACGGCCCGTGAATGTAGCGGACCGCGAAATGGTCGAATCCTCTAGCGACGAGATCCTGGAAGGGGCGGACAAGGCAGACATTGCGTTTCTGGTTGTTGGCGATCCATTCGGGTAGGGTGACCTCCAACACCACAATCGGCCCCTCTTCTGATGCGTCTTGCAGGGCGACAACTCACACAGATCTCGTCCTTCGGGCCCAGGAGCTCTCCATCCCCGTCAAATCCATTCCCAATGCCTCCATTCTCAATGCCATCGGTGCAACCGGCTTACAGCTCTATAACTTTGGCCAGACCGTCTCCATGGTCTTCTTTACCGAGAACTGGAAACCGGCCAGCTTCTACGACCGCATCCGAGAAAATGCCTCCATTGGCTTGCACACCTTAATGCTACTGGATATCAAGGTGAAAGAGCAGTCACTCGAGAATATGGCAAGAGGAAGAAAGATTTACGAGCCTCCACGCTACATGACTGTGATGCAGTGTGCCCAGCAAATGCTGGAAATAGAGGATGAGAAGAAAGAGAACGTCTATGCAGCAGACAGTCTAGCCATCGGCTGCGCCAGAGTCGGTGCAGATGATCAACAATTTGCCTGCGGAACACTGAAAGAGCTATGTGATGTTGACTTGGGCGCTCCGCTCCACAGCCTCGTGCTTCTCGGAAGAAGAGCGCATGAGTTGGAGAAGGACTACATTAAGAAATTTGCGGTAAACCCAGAGACCTTCGAGCAGAGTTGGAAGAAGTACCATGGCAGGAACCATTGAATTCATCTCGTGGGTGCTGAATGCCAGACGAGTGAAGTGGACAGACTTTTGCAAGTAAAAGAGAGGCATGAGGCGGACTCGGGGCTGCATTGGCTAAGAGCACCTGCTAGAAGCGAGTACTGGGCCCTTTCAGGTCTGCTAGGACGCAATCTTGACGTCTCAGCTGGCTGGTTTCGAGCTGCGTTGTTTCTGCTTCATTTGCCGAATGTGGACGAGAGGATATATGAGCCAACCATGAACCCGAGGCTGGACTGGTCGCTGACGAGGACACAATTGATATTGAGGCAAGTTGAACTTCGCCTGGTGGTCAGATCCTGCATCAACGGGCGTCTATCTCAGACAGGTCAGTAGAATGAGGACGCGTAGGAAATGTGAAGATTGCCTGAATCGAGCCAGACGGAGTCGTGGGCATTGTCTAGACTCATCTCTATTGGACCCCTCTGTCAATTCGCTTGATGGCGAGGCTGAGAATAAGGAGGAGGGGGAAAAAGCTGTGGTGCGGCAAGTAGCACAGCTTAGCACGTGGCGGAAGCCCGATGAAGTCCTTTGTCCGATCCCATCGACCCTGGCAAATTTCTCGTAAATCTTGCACATTTAGCCCCAGCGTTGGCGGGCTGCTGCAGCTCTCGGGTTGTACAGTGCAGCCACCTCGTGCGACACAGATTTCGCGTCCTTCCCTGCGCTGCAAACCATCATTGTGAGAGGACGAGGGAAGGAGAAAAACCCGCTTGCGCCGTACAGCAGCAGCCTGCATTTTGTTTTCGCTCACCCCCAAAAAACTGGTTTGAACCATGCCTGTACATCGACGACTACTACTACTACTACTCAACATGCTGGCATATCCACATTTACGTGTATATGTCTAAGCTGCACCTCGTTTGCCTTTCAGCCGAAAAAAAGTACAAAAACAAAGAGAGCTATCTTCGCGGGGGGCTTGGCCTCTCTGTATCGATTTCCACGGCCGCCCGAATCCCACGCATTCCATAGCTACACCTTCCTGCCGAGCACATAGACCAGCGTTTCCAGAGGGCTGCCATTTAGCAGCAAGTGAGATTTATTTGCATCTCAGTGGGGAAAAAAAGGAAAGAAATGCCCGTCTACCTAGTCCATGGCTTCCGCTGGCCGCGCGAAGGCTTCTCGGGCATCCGCGTGCACGCGGTCCTGCACAACCTCGACGACTGCAGCGTCGAATACATCCAGAACGCCAACTCGCGCGAAGAGATCCTCCGCTCCTTTCGCGAAATATACCCGGACATCATGAAGGAGCTCGACCACACCGATTCGAACCCGGCGTCGACGAGAAGATTGGAGTTTATCGAACAATACAATCCGGACGACATAGAAGGGCCTTACGCGGTGAGCCAGCCCTACGCCTTTGTGGGGGACAAGGTCGTGGTGATCGCGGCGGGACCGGGGATGGGGTTGACCGGGCCTGGGGTGGCGCAGGCGAAAGCATACCACCATGTCCCGACGGAGGCAGACTCTGGCCCAAATTCGCAGAAGAAACAACGCGCCACGACGCTGCCCATGTCCAAACCGGCGCCCTTCAACTCGCCTGCGGATACCACGGCGCTGAGTGTCAATCTAGACGAGGTTGTCGCCGATGGGCCGGGACTCACGAATAAAGCGTGGGAAGCGCTGGCAGATCTGAGAGACAAGATCGCGGAGGGGGAGAAGATCGGATGGTGGGTCGTCTACAACGGTGACCCGGAACGGTCGTTCGATGACATAGAAGACGAGGAGGACGAGCAAGAGGACGAAGAGATGGAAGACGTGGTGGAGGAAGACGAAGACGATGAAACGAAAACGGTCGGTGCTGTTGCCTCTCCCACGTCACCCCCTCCTCCAGCTGCTGCTGCCGCCGCCACTCCAGCTTCTGCTTCTACTGCTTCGACGAGAGGTCACCGTCCCACGCCCAGCGACTCCCTTCCCATTCCCACGTCCACCATGACGAGCTATCAACAGCCCACTTCGCCTGTAGCGCCCATGCTCGCCCAACCACCACATATCGCGACTCAACTACAGCAGCAATCACAGCCACAACCCCAATCTCAACACCAAGAAGGAGGCTCACCCGGCTTGACTGCCCTTCCCGTCCGACCTACGCCCCCTTCATCAATAATAGGAGGACCCGGGACGCGACCAACCACAGCACCCGCTGCGTCGGAGACCAGCAGGGGCAAACAGAAGGAAAAGGAAAAGGAAAAGGACCTCCCAGAAGAACAGGCCAGGGCCAAGGACGCCGCCAAGTCACAGGGCTTGAGGAAGAAATTCTTTGGAAGAAGGACGTGAATGTTTTGTTCATGAAGATGATGACTCTGACGATGCCCACGATACCACCGCATTATGCAAGAAGCTCGAAAAATTCAATAGACCAAAAATGATGGACCCCATGAAACACAAACACTCCATTTGGGAGACAGACTACCATCTATATCATAACTTTCGGACTCTGACGAAAAAGCTGCCATTGCGCTGGTCATTCCGGATGCCTGCAAATTACAATGGCGGGGCGAGGAGTCGCTGCCACCAGCAGGATAAAAATCCAGGTTGCTCGCATAGAACCAACACTGCAAGCTGTCCGGCTACAATGATGGGAGTCATCATTTATCATGTTTGACGCTGCAGGATCAGGACGAAATCCTGCCACGTGTGTCACAGGCCAGCGGCCATGGCAAGAAGTGCCTTCAAGCGTGAATGAATGTCCTTAGGACTACGAAGTGTCGAGATCGAGCAAGACAGAGGTGGTTGCTTCGCCCAGGAGGCGAAACACAGTGCGAACTTACCCAGTCCCTGACAATGGATCGTCCGGCTTCTAGAATCTTGGACGACGAATTCAAAGGAAATTTGCAACAGACCAAGGAGCTTTCCTCCAGCTGCAAAGCATGGTAATGACAGGTGCCTAATGGGGATCGGGAGCCTGGGATCCTCTCAACCACACGCCTTTAGAGCCAGATGGAGCAAGTCGATTACCTCGCGGAAGCTTGGAGACGTACGGACAAGAACTTGGGAGATTCAGAGGTTAGCCGGAGGACACGTAGACCATGAACTGATATGTTTCCCAATTGATGGCCAGCTCCAAACCAGTGCTGGGAAAAACAAGGTTGAGAGTGGCAAGATGCTTTGGTCCGTTTTAGAGCCACGCAGGAGACGTCCAGACTATGACCTTGAAGAGTTTGAAGTTCTCTCGGGAATCAAAAATGCTTTTGTATGTCGTACCTCTGTCATGAGGGCCCGCAACAGTAAAGGATGTCCTGCCCGTTACAGAAGAGTCCATGCAGAGAAGTTGAACCAATCCGGCTTTGAGATCCTTTCCATAGAGCAAGCACTGAAGTTGCAACTGAAAACACCGAAACAAAAATGTTGTGACAATCCTTCGTGCAGCGGCCGTCCGGATTCGCCAAAGACAGAACAAGCGATCACCCGTGGCTTACAAACTTTCCTGTGGCGCCTGCTTAGTTATGGCCTCATCCGTTTATCGAAGCGAGAACACCGAACTGCTTGTTCTGGCCTTCCCTGAGTCTGAGTGGTTAGTCGTTAGAGATCCTCGGAATGCCTCTAATATCGTCGGTCGTCATAGCCACCATAGCCGCCTGAATAGCCATAGCGTGGAGGGCTTCGGGGCCGACCATACGGGTCACCACCTCGCGCATATGGATCTCCATAGCCGCGAATAGGTGGTGGTGGCGGTCCGCGAGGGTCATATGGGTCAGGATCGTATCTCCTCGGTGGTGGTGGTCCGTAGTCCCGTGGTGGAGTGCGCCTTCCATAGCCTCGGTCGTAGTAGTCATCAATAGGTGGGCGACGTCCAGGCGAGCGCTCACGATAGCCTCGCGGGCTCCATCCTCGTGGAGGAGGGCCACGGCGATCGTAGTCATCCGCGGGTCCGTATCGGCCTCTGGGCGGGGATCTCTGTCGGTAACTGCGATTGTCCGGTCTTTCCTCCTGGATCTAGCCCCGTCGGTTAGGACACCTTGCGAGCAACCATTGCAAGTAATACATACATCGAGTGTGCAGTGGACAGTCGCTCCCTTAAATGTCTGTCCATCTAGCTTCTCCACAGCAGTCTTGAGATCGGAAGAGGTTTCGAACTCCACGAACCTTGGGGAAATGGTGAGCAGATGCAGGAAGAGAAAGAATATTGAAATTACCCTTTGCCATCGCGGTCACGACCAGTCTCAGAGTATACGACGTCCAATTGGCCCGAGCTCCGCGCGAAGTCCTTGAGGTCCTGGAAACTGGTGAGCAGGTTTCTCCGTACTTAGGGGAGGCCGAGTGTGGAGGGATGCGGCGAGGTACAAAGCCGAATGAGGTCGGCCCGATCAGCCAAGGTATAGAGGGCCGTCAAGCTCGAGACTCGACTTCTTCGAACATGCGCACGCATAATGAGATGTCTGCCAGATCCAAGTACAAAGGCACCAAGAATCGAGATAGATGGAAATCTCCTAGGCAATGCCTCCTCCAGAGGCACGATTGTGCGAAGGTGTAGCAGAATGGGAATTCTAACCTGCCAACTAGTATCCGGCTGCAGTCCAGTAATCTGCATGCGATAGATGGTGCGACGTGGCCGAGGGACGTTGCGATCCGAAGGACCAGCAAAATCATCTTTCCGGCGTGGGCCTCGAGCAAACTGCACAGTGAGACGCTCGCCCTTGAACATGGTTCCGTCTGTAGTCCGTGTCAGGAAAAGCCTTGGGAGACGAGGATAGCAGGGAGAGGTAGGTCATACGGAACGCTGTGAGAAAGTTAGCGCATTTGAACCGTTCTCTGTGCAAAGAGGACTTACCTGGAACAACATCTCTCGCATCCATGGCGTCCTCGTATTCAATAAAACCAAAGCCGTTCATGAGCTTGATCTCTTTAATAGAGCCGGTGCCATGATTGCCAAAGTGCTCCTCAATGTCCTGTTTGGTGACTGGAAGGGAGAAACTGAGAGTCAGCGACTGGCGCAGTCCCGGCACAAGTGGTGAGCGGGTCCAGGAGTCAACATTCAGGGTTCAGCTACCCTCCAAGCAAGCAATATTGTCCAGGGAGACCAAAAGAGGGAGAACGGATAAAGGTGAGCATACTGTTGCGCGCAAGATTGCCCAGATAGAGCCGGGTAGACGAAACGTCCGCCATGGTGGACTGGAGCCTGCAAAGAAGTCCGGACGACGATCCAGGTAAGTCGCGACTGTGATTCAGTGGTCAAGAGCCGCGGGAGAGACCTAGTTCGCAGGCAGGACACAAGCCCAGGCGTAGAAATGAGGCGGAGGTGATAGAGCCTGGCAGGGACACGGGAACCAACAAGTGGCCTGGAGTGCCAGGGCCGAAGGTGTGATAGTAGTCGAAGGGCCACAAGGGATGTGATGCGAAAAGAGGAGAAGATTCAGAAGGTGATAGACATGCACCCAGGATGCGGCCGTGAAGAAGGTGGAAGATGGCAGGCAGAAAGTGGGAACGTCGCGTCTTGCTGCACCCTTTGAGCTTTGCCTCACTTCGAGATGGCGCCAAGCCCGTCCACCAGCACCAGCCATGCGGGCAGCGATGGTGATTCATGGTCCATGGCTTCGTGGCTGCGCCCACCGCCATCACTTACACCCTCCACCAGCCAATCGCTTCTTTCCCCTGCAGCATTCCTCTCACCCTCCTTCTCGTCCTCCTCACCAGCGCCATCCACTATTCCCATCGAGTTTGCCTTTGCCGCTCGAGGCCTCTCCAGCTCCCATGTCCGAATACGGAGACGGCACCTTCTGGCGTTCTATAGCAGATCGGCTGCAGCATTGCGGCCCAGATGACCCTATTCACAAATGTTTCCCAGACAGCATGGGCAAGAGCATCCTCGATCAAACTGACGAACTCTTCAGCCTGGCGGACCAAAAGCTCCATACTTTTCCCTTCAAGGATGTCCAGCCCTGTTGGTTCCGCCTCTACACTGATGCCAGTATCGTTAAAGTGTTGAAATTGCTTGGCCTCACCTCTCCAGCCCTGGAAGATTCGAGGCTATCTGAGTCCCTGAAAATCCATCTCGACGAGATTGTGTCCATACTAGACATGTCGTTAATCATGGCTGGAGGCCTGGGACGAGAACAGATGATTCACAATATCTTGGCCAGATTACAAGCTGCCAGTGTAAGTGATGAGGAAGACAAGGGACGTCCACGAAAGAGAAGGCGAGTCAACGGTAACTCTGGGTCCGGTGAACTTCCCAACGACCTCCTATCTGCAGACAGCGTCTCTATACCTACCATTGAATTTCCTGTAATGCATATGGATCGGCCAAGCCTCACAAAGTTCTCCCATCACATTCATCAGACACGGAAACCTGCGGTCCTGACAAATACCATAAATCATTGGCCAGCTCTCGAGAAATGGCAGCGTACTTCCTTTTGGCTCGACGCCACCATTGGCGGCCGACGCCTCGTCCCGATCGAAGTTGGGCGGAGCTACACTGACGACGATTGGAGCCAGAAGATTGTGCCCTTCAAAGACTTTCTAAGTCTCTACTTATTGCAGTCGTCGGATGATGGATCTAGCAAAGTTCCTAGCAGTAACATCCAGACAGGCTATTTAGCGCAGCACGATCTTTTCAAACAGATTCCAGCTCTTCGAAACGACATTGCAACCCCAGACTATTGCTACCTGGATGCTCCGCCCGCTGAACCCAACACGCCAGTGGCCTTGAGCAAGGCAAGAGAGGGAGTGAAGAAGACAAGTCATCCTAAGACCATCCCTACATTCCCCGGGCCGTCCGACAATGACGATGTTGATGATCTGGGACCTGACAACGACGTCCAGACTAATATCTGGTTTGGCCCTGCATGGACGATCTCACCACTCCATCACGATCCGTACCACAATATCCTGTGCCAGGTTGTCGGCAGAAAATACGTGAGACTCTATTCGCCACAACACAGCAAAGTATTACTGCCTAGACGTGAAGACGAGCCTGCTCCTCATGTATTCTCTACCGGAAAAGCAGACGGTACGAATGTTGCTGTAAATGATGGAGAGCAGCGCAGTGAAACAATTGACATGTCAAACACTTCGCAAGTTGATATCGCCGCCATGGAATTGTCTCCCCTCGAAGACTGGGACGAGGTTTACCCCGGGATTAGTCAGGTACCCTACGTCGAGTGTATTCTCGAGGCTGGCCAGGCGCTCTATATACCTATCGGGTGGTGGCACTATGTGCGGAGCAGTTCGATGGGAATATCTGTGAGCTTTTGGTGGTGATCAGCCAAGGAAAGCAAGACCATTACATGACACAGTTCCATCGGACGATGATCGGGCTTTACCCAGCTGTCGATTTGTGCCAACGGACTGGGGGCACAGACCCGCCCACGCGCACAATGAAGGGGGTAGCCTCCAGCCTATCTTTGACCGAATCCGCCACCACTGGGCTGTATCGTTGATGATTTCCTCCGTTATTGTTGGTCGCCGCTGGGCAGGATGGGCAAAAGCACACGTGGTGAGCATGCAGGTCAATCTTGGATATCCAGAAGTTGGAAAGTGCCTTTTCTCCCTCGTGATAAAGTTGGATGACGAAGGGGAATCAATGGAGCACCTCGCGTGCTCATCCCTCAAAAGGGATCGTCTCTCCGGGGCTTGACAGGGGTGCCAACTCTTTATCTTCGACCATGGGCTCTGGCTGGGTGGATTGTTATCAGTGAGCTAAGGACCCTACGATCGTCTGCAACCCTGGGTGCCAGCTATCGCCTGAGATGTGGGTTATAAAGACAATGGCGTCTGCCACATGCTGGAGTCCTGAACCTGATCAACTTGCTGAGGGAGCTTGTCCCTGGGCGACCTTTTCTCTCCAAGCGGTTTTGCCAACGCAGGCCCGATTATTGTTAGAAGCCCCGCCCCCGCATTCTTCAGAAATACGACGAAATCGAGGACTATCTCTGCCTAACAGCGAACCGCCAGAGCACCTAACATGGCGGATACCGAGAATGCGGGTGCTGCTACTCGCAGCATGTCCAAGGATGAAGGTCGCCTGCGCGAGTTGGGCTACAAGCAAGAATTGAAGCGCGACTGGTCGTTGATTCACAATTTCGGTGTCTCTTTCTCCATCATTTCGGTCATCACCGGTATAACGACTTTGTTCAGCTACGGATTGAACACTGGTGGGCCGGGTGTCATGTCTTGTGGTTGGATTGTTGTCTCATTCTTCACCATGTTCGTCGGCTTGGGAATGGCTGAAATTGTGTCTGCGATACCGAGCGCTGGAGGCCCATATTTCTGGGCTGCAATCCTGGCCCCCAAGGCATGGGCTCCGTTTGCCAGTTGGGTTACAGGGTGGTTCAATCTGCTGGGCCAAGTTGCCGTCACCACCGGTATCACCTTTGGCTGTGCAGGTCTTATTTCCACCCTGGCCAGTATCAATGGCTACGAACCAACGGCAGGCAGAACCTTGGGAATCTATGCGGCGCTTTTGACCTCGCACGGCATAGTCAACTCCTTTGGCGTACACATTTTGCGCTATTTGAACAACACCTCCATAATTCTACACTCCTTAGGCGTCTTCAGTTTTGCGGTCGCGGTTGTCGCTAAGGCTCCCCATCATCAGTCTGCCAAATTTGTGTTTGCCACGTTCTACGATGGTACTGGTGATCCAGGCTGGTCGGTTAGGGCATCTTCAGCCTACGTCGCCTGCATTGGTATCCTGATGTCACAGTACACAATTACCGGGTTTGATGCTAGGTGCGCCCATACCTGATGAATCGAGAAATTTCACCTGTTGACTTGTATCTAGTGCGCATCTGTCCGAAGAAACCCAGAATGCGTCCTGGTCGGCGCCTATCGGGGTTCTCATGTCGATTGGCTGCTCAGCTCTCTTTGGCTGGTTTCTCATCCTCTGTCTTCTGTTCAGCATCCAGGATTTTCAGGCCACAATCGGCTCGGTGTACGGGCAACCGGTTCTTCAAATCCTGGTCGATGTGTTTGGCAAAACTAGCGCCATTGTGCTCTTCGTCCTGATCATAATCTGCGTCTGGCACTGTGGTCTGTTCAGCTTGACCTCGAACTCACGAATGATGTTCAGCTTTGCTCGTGATGGCGGCATCCCCCACTTCTTCCATAAGGTGGACGCACGATTTCGAAGTCCCATCCGAACCATCTGGCTCGCGGCAGCACTGGCTTTCCTTCTGGCAGTCCCCAGCCTCGGATCATCTGTGGCATTTGCTGCGGCAACTTCGATCGCAACAATCGGTCTCTATCTATCATATGGGCTTCCCATCTTGATCGGCATGATCAATCCTCAGGGCTTTATTCATGGACCTTTCAATCTCCGATGGGCCTCACGACCTGTGGCACTGATTGCGTGCCTGTGGATCGGTTTCATCACGGTGGTCTTCTGCTTGCCCGAGCTCAACCCTGTCAATTCGCAAACGCTCAATTACACTCCGGTGGCGGTGGGTATTATTGCCGTCTGGTGTCTAGCCAGTTGGTTCTTGTGGGCTAGAAAATGGTTCAAGGGTCCCATTCGACAAGTGGAGGCCGAAGTGGCCGGGGTCAATGTTGACGATCCAGATGCAATGGACCGAGCTGAACGTGAAGGGCGGATTCCTGAACTCGACGATCCTCAGGTTGGCAACGAGAAGAGCCTCCTAGCTACTATGAAGCAGAATTACAATTGAGGTCCCGAAAGAGGATACCCAGGTGGAGGAGGAATATAGGGCTATATACCCCGGTAGTCACCCATGGATCATTGACATCCGTTGCACCAGAATGCCACACCATCAGGATACATGACCGACCCGAGTTCCGGAGTATTTTACTCTTCCCTTTGCTTTGGTGACATCAACAACGTTTTCAGACAAGTGTCAGATTCTCGTATAGACTGACTGACTGCTCTGCCTCGAGAAGCCAGTCACGTACATTCAGCCACCAGCCTTTCCTTTGGTCTGAGCTTCATTGTCCTCGATTCTACACCATTTGTTCGTCTGTGGCGAGTGGGCTTACTAGTCACATTACCTGGGCAGTGTTAGGCTTTGGTGATCATATCCCTGGCACCGAGGCACGAGCCCTTCGCCGTGGTTCCCAAGCTGACTCGGCAGCCCACAGCGGGGTCGACGAAGAAGGAAGAGGTGGGGGAGGCTGTCTTGACTCCTGAGCAACATGATGAATGCTGGCTATACTGCTGCCTGCCTGGATTCCAAGAGTCTGTGTGTTCCACGTATTCGTAACCAACATGCTTGAACATTACTAATGTCCCCAGCATCAACCACGGCGAACGATACGAGGAGGCGACCGAGTCATCATGAGGCTTCCACGGTAGCATGGCAAGAAAACCAAGGCTGATGGCAGCCCCACGAGATTGGCAAGTTGGAGATGAGCGTTGCCAACACCATCCCCCCCTCCGGCCGAACGAGCAGGTAATGGGGACCTCGCTGCGCCCATTGGGTGTCAGTCCACCCAGGGATCACTTTGCTCGACGGGCCTGAGTGAGAAGTCTATATACCTAGCCGCTTAGGTGCTGGCGGCGACGAGTATATATATCTAACTCTCTGCTGGTCGTTCTGGCTGTGCTCCGCTATCGGCTGAGGGGACAACATTTTATTCCTTCTGATAGAGCCCTCTTGACGTCGATCGGTGACTGTGGCTGGCGCTAGATTAGAACTGATCTGTTGTTGCTCCTCCGCTATACAACTACCCACACATAGATCCATCGCATAGCGGGTTGGCACTGAGTTATCATGGGCTCCATCACACAGTCCTCCAAGCGGAGCATCACCAACGACGATATCTCGAGTCTCAAGTCTCTGCTATCATCGACCAAGGCCACAGTCCTCACTCCCCAGGACGACGCTTACTCGGCCTCGATAAAACGCTGGTCTAGCGCCGCCCAGAAACCAGCGGGAGTTGTCGTCGTCCCCACCAACGCAGACGAAGTCGCCAGCGTGGTCAAGTATGCCACTGACCAGGGCATTGACCTTGCCGTCAAGGGCGGCGGCCATTCGACTGCCGGCGTCAGCAGCACAAATGGCGGGTTGCTGATTGACCTGAACTCCAAGATGAGGCACGTCGACGTCGACCTGGACAAGAAATTGTTCATCATTCAAGGCGGCGCTGCGTGGGGCGACGTGGACCAGGCCGGCGTGAAGCATGGCCTGGCGACTGTTGGTGGCACGGTCGCGGATACGGGAGTCGGCGGGCTGACGCTGGGAGGTGGCTACGGATGGCTCTCGGGCCAGAAGGGGTTGGTGATTGATAACCTGGTGGAGTGCACGATCGTGCTCGCGACAGGAGAGATCAAGAAGGCCAGTGAGAAGGAGAACCCGGACCTGTTCTGGGCCCTGCAAGGGGCAGGACAGAACTTTGGCGTGGTGACCGAGTTCGTCCTCAAAGCCTACGACCAGGGGGACGTCTTTGCTGGTATGCTCATCTACCCACCCGCGCCGGAGATCATTGAGAAGGTCGTCACCGCTACCAACGACCTGTACACCCCGGACGCGCATGGGAAGACCAAAGTCGCCGGCCGCGGCGCCGGGGGCATCGCCTTCGCTCGACCTCCACCGGCCGAGGGCAAGGTGATGCTGCTGGCCGTCATCATCTACTTCGGCAGCGAGGCCGAGGCCAAGGAGAAGTACAAGGCGCTGTACGACATCGGGCCCGTGGTGGACACGACCGCCATGGTGGCGTACCCGGTCATCAACACGGTGCTGGCGCCGCCGATCGGACTGCGCGCGAGCATGAAGGGCACGTCCTTCACCATGCCCATCCGGCCGGGGTTCGTCGCCGAGGTGCTGGCCGAGTACACCCGGTTCACCGACGGCAACGACGACACGGGCATCAGCCTCGTGCTCTGGGAGGTTTACGACCCGAACCAGGTCGTGGCGCACGACGAGGGCAGCTTCGCCAACCGCGGCTGGCACCTCAACGGCATGATCTGCCCGATCTGGACGAAGGAGGAGCACGATCCCGCCTGTCGCCAGTGGGCCCGCGACCTGACCGCGCTGTTCAAGACCGAGCTCGAGCATCAGGCCAAGGAGACCGGCGCGGGCGTTGATGGCGGAGTCGGCCTCAAGGGCAAGAAGGGCGCCACCATGCTCTACGGGAACTATGATCGTGAGTGTTTCTCGTGTTTTCCAGCATTTCCTCTTCCCGTTCCTGGCCCCTTGGATAGTAGTCGAATATCGAGACTAACAGAAGACTCCCTGGGCAGAATACGACGAGAAATCCCGCGACATCTTCGGCGAGAACTATGCGCGCCTGCAGAAGCTCAAGGCCCAGTACGACCCGACCAACATGTTCAACAAGCTCTTCGCGGTCACGCCGCAGGCATAGCCGGCTCCATACCTATATATCCATACATACATGTACGCAATCAGAGCAGGGGGTTACACCAAGGCTGTTCGCTTTATAACTTTGTACTCACTTAGACGCCCTTCTGCGGTATTTGGCCATGTCATCTACGGGGCCTTGTCCGCCCCGTGCTTCATATTTGCCGCGAATCTATGCTCTACTCTGCACAAGCCATTTCTGATATATCGAATCATGTGTCTGTATTCACTTATTACTTAACGCTATGTCCTTATCCGCGTGAGAAGTTCTGGTTCATCTTTTGGGACAGAGGTAGGATTGTCTCAACGCTTAATCACAATCTTGCCGCCCGCGTTGTGGCTTTCCAACAACTCGTGCGCCTTCTGGATGTCCTTGTAGTCGAACACGTACGTCGGCTTCGCATCCCACGCGCCCCGCTCGATCTTGTCCGCGATCTCCTGCAAGGGGATCTTCTCCAGCGGGAAATCCTCCGTGCCGACCACCTTGCTGTGGAACAGGCTGAAGTGCACGCCGGAGTCCATCTCGACCATCGGGTTGAAGTCCTTGACCGGCGCGAGGCCGCCGAGCCACCCTGCCTGGAGCATCCGGCCGCCGGGGCGCGTGAGGCGGATGGAGTCGAGAAGGGCGACGTTGCCGATCAGATTGAGCGTCTTGTCGAATTTGCGGTCGGGGACGAATCGCGGGCTGAGCGGGTTCTCCTCGAGAATCGCGTCCTCGACACCCATCTTCTTCAGCATCTCGAACCGCTCCCGCCGCCTCGTGGTTGCCGTGACTTTGGCCCCCGCGTTCACGGCGAGGTGCACGGCCGCTTGGCCGATCGTGCTTGTCGCGCCGCGGATCAGGATCCTCTCGCCCTCGTGCAGGTCAAGGACGGTGAAGAGGCACGAATACGCCGTGGAATACACCTCGGGCAGCGCGGCGAGTTGTTCCCAAGGCAGGTTGGTCTTGATTTTCACCACGTTCGCGAGGGGGACGTTGACGAATTCGCCATATCCGCCGGGTCGGTTTCGGCCCATCCCGCCCATCACCCCGACCACTTTGTCGCCCTTCTGGAACTTGCCCGAGGGATCGGCCTCGACAGTGCCCACGCATTCGAGCCCGGAGATGGGATTCCATTCGTCCCATTCGCCCTTGCGCATGTGCATTTCGGCATGGTTCAGGCCGAATGCTTTGACGTGCACGAGCACCTCGCCCGACGTTGGTGTGGGTTTAGGGACGGTCTTGTGTTGTAAAACTTCTGGCCCTCCGAAGGCAGTGATGACGATGGCTTGCATTGTTTCTTGGTTGGACATGGCTGAGAGGTAAAAGGTGTAAGAGTAGGTAGATTCGTGAAGTGATTTTATATTGTGCTATTGTCAGTCTTTGGATGTACCGGGGCTCGATTTTTTTCTCCTGGTGGATGGTTATTTAGGAAGCTGATTGCATTGCCTTTTGATCTGATGAAGGGACGGTCCATGCGTTTATATCTTTGTTCAAACTCACCAAGGGCATTCTGTCAACATCATTGCTTGTTGAACGTTCTGCTCTCCGAACTGCAAGGCTTGGGACCGTTGAATACGAACACAGATGCACGAGCAAGGATGAGGTGTTACCTTTTTCGTCACAAGCGCATCTCAATGGCAGCGAAGTAGAGGCAGCGGCTAGTATCCGACGCGATGACAAGTGGTTTAAGTTCGTCGAATGCCAGCCCAGGACGCGCCGGGAAGCTGTGAGTTGCTGGATTAAGAGTACGTTCCATCAGCAAGGCTGCCCCTCGCAGGGCGGCATTGACGCAATCATGGCATGAACGGGGGAGTTGTCTGTAATTGAGTTGATGGAAAAGCTGACAAAGGCTGCGTCTGCGAGAAACCTTCGTCGGCAGTGATGCGGGCGATTGCTGCTTTTATGGTGACGTAGCGACTGCGCACTCAACCCGTCCCAATGCGGAAGGCTTCCCGCCTGCGCAGACATAGGACAGTCAAAAGCGGCAACCTGCGCGGTTTTTCGATATACGCTGTTTGAACGTCTTGCCCTGCGCCGCTCTCGCAAGAGCAGGTGGAAAACATATTGCAATACTCGATGCTCGTCTTCTGATTCCCCCTCCGCATGCTGCTCTCATACCTACGAAAAGGAAGCCTACGTGCACCCCAACCCACTTCGGCATGCCTACGAGTGAGCTCACGCCTAGCTGCCGCGGGATCCCCACCCGGGCTTCGCTAGCTGTCGGTCTAAAACGCTCACTCACTCTGCAGCAGACACCTCTCAGCCCATGTTTCGTTGAAGCAACTTGTCGAGACGCTGGAGGGGCACGAGCTCGCCAAAGGAAGATTCTATGCGCGAGGAAGCAGCATCGTTACATTTTGCCATGGTCAGTTGCCAGAGCATGAGGTCGAAAGCCGTCCCCCCTTAGCGATGGCGGAACGCCCGGCTATGCCAGCCGACCGAGCCTCTAATCGATACGCGCCGGCCGTGGTGGCTATTGCGCGATTGCCTAGCTTCGTGGGCGCAAACGGCAGCTATATCTCTCAACACCCTCGTCGCTTTAGCAGGCTATACCGAGTACGTCCCTGCCGCGCCTCAAGGGCTGATTGACTAGCTGGGAACATGCCCCAAGCTCCTGAGTACCATCAATGTCTCACTTCGTCAAGTTGGCACCTGACCGCTGGGGGCGATGTTTTCAAGCCACGGCCGGGATATGGCCTGGCCGCCAAGGCTCTATTCACTGAAGAACAACACCAACCCCCAAAGAATACCAAATCCTCGAGGGACGGCGTTTGGGAAGCAATCACAGACTCGAAATACGCGCTCAGGTCTAGGCAGACGTCCCCCTAGGGATCCAGGTTGGATCGCATCGCCATAAACTGTCGACTTTCTACTCTGGTGGAAGAGACTTGAATCGACGAGGGTCTAAAATTAGTTAGACCTGGGGTGCTACGATAGAGTTGTACGAGATAACAATGAACCTTGCAAGGCATACTCGGTGGCGGTGGTATCCCCACCAGCCTCCTCTACAAAAGTACAAAGAGCACCGCACAGGTCAGTCCACACGACCTCGCTACAGCTCTTACTGCTTCCCTGGTGTCAACCATGACCTCGACGCCTGACAGACGTATTTTGACACCTCGCAGTCGAACGTCTGCCTTCCAGCGGAGCCCAGCATTTGCAGATGTCAATTCATTCGTTTTGAAGGTGAATCTTGACGACGCTCCGAAGACTCCCTCTCCAGCTACACCCCAGTTGGAGTGGTCTGAATCGCCGCCAGCGACTGAGGACCCTCCCACTCCTGCAAATAACTTCGAGCCTGACAATCTCACACTCTTTCCGGATTCTCCTCTCGCAGCTCGCAAGACCGTTCTCGAACAAAACGTTATCCCTCTGTATACCCCTTCGCAGCCTGATTCAGATGTGCCGGAGCAACTATTGTCACAACTACACAGTGAGACCGGTCGAAGCAAACGGCTTTTCCAGAATGAGCTCTCCAGGGCGACTTTGGACGCCTCCTCTCAGCTGCCATCACTCCCCTCAAGTGGCCGTCCATCTAATCCTGCTCAGCCCTTGATCAAGGTTGAAGAAGAGGAAGAGTTGTCCTTGAAAACATCCCTACAACCTTTCTATATCAGCCCCAGTCAAACTGCATATCGCAATGATCCCGCAGGCAGGGTCGCTGCCGTTGCGGTTGGCATCAAACAAGAAGATCGTCCGGTTTTATCTGACGACTTTGCGGCCACTGCAACTCTGGCCGACACGGTCGCGACCACATCCGCAACTGAACCTTCTCCTCAGCACTCTGAGAAGAAGAAACCTTTATCACTCTCGTTAGTATGGTCATTGACCACGAAGCTGTCCACCATCTTGCCTTTTGAGGCAGTTGAAAGATTCGACTCCAAGCCGCTGCAATGCGTTGCAACAACAAAGGAGGGCGAAAGATGCCAAAGGTCGGTCGCGCTTACAGCGCATAAATCCTTTAGCACGGAACTGCGAACGGCACTCTCGTCATTGGAACGCTCGTTCGATTTTGGAGCCTTTGCAGAACATATGGGCCCACTAATTGAAGGTATATTATGTGCACAGTCGCACAGAAAACCGGCTAGGAAGTGTTTGGAAGAATTATGCTCCTACTCCTGGCGACCACGGGATATAGCCACCACGAAACCACACCAAGCCAAGGCTATTGCAGACGGCATTGAGAGTATATTCAGACTCTGGACCGCGGCTTTGGTGATACCTCCGACAGCTGCCGAAGAAACGCCCGTCCCAATAAAGGAAGAACTTGTTGCTGTGCGAAGCACACCTTGCTCTGCATCTGCCCCGTCTGCACCGGAAACGGAACTGGAATCTACGGCCTTTCACTATGCCAGTCCGAAAGCAACGGTAACGTCAAACGCCACGAAGCTGCATGCCACAGATAAAAATTCCACTATAGCATTGGGAGGAATAGCAACTAGGACCACATCGAAGCCGACTCTTCAGTCGACTCACTTGAACCACAAATTTGAGAAGTTTCGTTACTCTAAGGAAAAGCGAAACGCTACGCCCCAGGAATTGATTCGCCAGACCCTTCTGAAACCCTTAACGAAGGCAGACATGCGGCGTTCAGGATTTATATACGTCTTCTGGCATCCGGGCAGCTTGGGTTACGTCAAAATCGGCTACGCTACGGACGTGGAGGAGAGACTTAAAAGGTGGCGAGGGCAATGTGGATTCGAGCTCGAGCAGCACAAGAGTCAAGAATCGAGGCCCATCGCGCGGGTCCGCCATTTACACCGAGTCGAGTCGCTTATTCACGCCGAACTCAAAGACTACCGGGTGTTCGAGCCACGGTGCAGGGGGTGCGGGATAAGCCATAAGGAGTGGTTCGAGGTCGACCCGAACTATGCTCTGAAGGTAGTGGAAAAATGGACCAGTAGGTCTCTTTACTCTGGGGGCGTTTTGGATCCCAGTATCATGGAGGAAATTGACAACCTGTGCGAACTGACCAAAGCCGAGACCTACCCTCCACGGCAACATCCCAAAAAACATCCCAAAAAGCCCACACGGAAGCATAGTGGTCGCCATCGTAATTCAAAGTAATGCTACTGCAGCACAAGGTTTGCTCTGTTGGCTTGAGCGAAGGTTGGACCGTTAGAGACGGAGAGACAAAATAGTCGACGTTGAGGTTGTTTCATTTGCCAATTTAACCGCAACGGACATCACGTATTCTTGCAGAGGATATCTTCATTCGTCGTGTATAAGATGCTTTATATCCGGCCGAGGATACAAAGGACGACGGATATAGCGGATTCAATCTATCGCCGGCGTTCTGGTGAGTTTGTCCTTTTAGGGTTCCTCCTCGGGCACGGCCAAAAGCCAAATGAGACCGACGTCCAGAGATTGAAAAGGTGAGAGATAGCAGTTCGTGGGTACAAAACCGGCACTGTCAGTTCTGTATCTGCAATATCTCTCTGGCTCTTGTCGAGCTTGGACGGGGTCGGGCAACCGAGAGACACGGGAAGAAAGCAAGACGCGACTGGCACGACAGGTCTTCGAATCCTGCGACTCATATATATATATATATATATATATACACACACACACACACGTACATATACACATTAAACACCGCCACGTCCACATCCTCTCAATCATGTCCGTGGAGCCCCAATCCCGACCGCAGACGCAGACGCAAACACAACCGCCTGGCAAGACGCCCCAGCTCACGCTCTTCGTCGACTTCCACGTCCTGCCGGACCAGATCGAGGCGTTCAAGGCCGCGCACCGCCCCGTCTGGGCCGCCTGCGCCGCCGAGCCCGCGTGCCTGCTGTTCGACGTGTTCCACGACGCGGCGGACCCGACGCACGTCCGCCTCGTCGAGGTGTGGGCCGCGGACCGCGCGTGGTTCGAGGCCCACCAGCTCACCAAGCCCTACTACGCGACGCTGTGGGAGCGCAGCCGGCCGACCTGGCGGCGCGAGGTCGAGATCGCGTACTTTGAGCGCGAGGGCGAGGGGTGTGCGTACCGCAGCGGGTACTTGGACGGGGGGAGGCGGATGGATTGAGGGCCTTGCTCCCCCTACCGAGACCGGTAGAGTCGATGGATGTCTATGAGATGTATGTAGGCATGTAGGGGCATGGCCTGCTTAGTACCGATTTTGGCTGGGTGATCCTTCTGTCCCACACGGGCCCTGACCAACTCCCATAACCCCCTTTCCTTACGTGTCCACAGGGCCTCCCTAGCTATCTATATCCATCACCGGAGTCAGACCCCCGCTACTTCCCCACCGCCAAATCGAGCAGCGCGGTAAAATTCGGCGTGCCCAGCCCCGTGACGGCATCCCACCCCTTGACAGCCTTCCACCCGGCCCCAGGGACGCCCGGCGCATCCTGGCCCGAGTTAGTCACGTTGTCGCAGCCGTGGGACGACCCCTGGGTGATGTCTGTGAGCGCCCGCGCCCCGACGGCCCGGCCGTACAGCCAGGGGTTCAAGAAGCCGAGCGGGCTCTGGCCGCGGGACAGGCGCTCGGAGTTGATGTTGGCGATGATGGCGGCCCAGGTGGGCGCCGCGGCGCTGGTGCCGCCGCTCAGCTGCTCCGCGCCGAGGTGGAAGATGGGGAACGTGGTCCAGGCCTGCGCCGCGACGTCCGGGATGCCCCTGCCGGTGGTGTTATACAGGCCTTTGAACGCGCCCTTGACCGTGGTGTTCAGGTACGTCGCGACCGGCGCGCGCTGGTAGTCCGGCCGGGCGAAGACGTCGCTGAAGCCGCCGCCGGACAGCTGCTCGGCGATCTCGGGCTGCACCTGGCCCGTGCCGCCCACGCTGGTCACCCAGGGACAGCTGGCCGGGAACTGCGGCATGAACCGGGTCCGGTTGCGCCCGTCGTTGGTCATGCAGCCGTCGCCGGGCCCGCCGTCGCCGCTGGACGTGATGACGCTGACGCCGCGCGCCCCGAGCCGCGCGAACAGCTGGCACACGCTGAGCATGTAGGACAAGGGATGGGTCTGCTCGTCCTCGCCGTACGAGATGCTGATCACCTGCGGCAGCCTGTCGCGCGTCAGATTGACCATGTACTGCAGGTACTCGAGGAACGGCTCCTGCTCGTTCAGCGCGCCGGGGATGTCGGGCAGCTGCAGGTCGTGGATCAGCGGGCCGCGGCCGCCGACCTTGTAGAAGTCGACCGGCGTCGGGTACGACAGCGTCAAGCCGTATTGGACGTCCATGTTGGCCTCCGAGGCCCAGGCCGCGTCCGTCGACTGGTTGTTGACCCCGCCGTTCACGGACGTGATGGAGAAGTTGGCGCCCCGCGCGTACGGCGCCCACTTGTCGACGAACAGCGCCAGGTCCGAGCGGAGCACGTTCTGGCTGGCGAAGGCGGGGATGCCGAGTCGCGAGCCCGAGCTGGCGTTGGCGCGGAAGTTGCCGATGCCATAGAGTGCACGGATACAGTCTGGCGAGGTGGTAGTGTTGCAGTATGTTGCGTTCAGTTTGGTTGCCGACCCGTAGACGGGGATCGAGTTGGTCGTTGGACCGGGCTGCTGGGCCGCGCGGGCACGGGCGAAATGCGTCGTCGGCTGGATCATCTGGATGTACGGATGGAGCCTGTCGGGGACAGAGTACTCGAGTGTGCGAATGCGCCAGCTCTTGTCTCGAGGGTGGTGGAAGAAGTAGAAGGTTGTGTCCAGCAGAGTTTCCGCCTGCATGACGGTGGTGTTGACGCCGATCCAGTCTCCATTGTCTTCGATCCCCTCGGCCGCAATGCCCTGTTCCTCGAGCCAGGAGAGCACGGCATTGGAGGTTGCCCGCTCGGGACGTAGTAGTGCATTGAGCTCGTGCGCGTCGTAGTGTTGGCCGTAGAGTTCGTGGTCAGGGTCGGAGATCCTCAGCAACTGTTCCTGGAGGAAGGCGTGCTTGTCATCCTGGCGAATCGCAATATGGAGTTTGAGACGGGCGAGTGCTGGTGCTGGTGCCCCTCGATACCAACCGTCAGGGACGTCGGCGAGGTGCTCGAATACCTTGGGTCGGCAGCTTGGGACGGCGCCTGCGAAGCTGGTAAGTACTATAGCACATAGCACAAATGGCCTAGTAAAGTTCAACATTGCCAATGACTGCAGTTTCTGGACGAGGCTTCCGAGGCTTCCGAGGCTCTGGGAGCTGTGATGTTGTTTCATGCGTTGAGGTACGTTCTCATGCCCACCCTATATGTCCCGTTCGATCGCTACGAGGCTGTGTAGTTTGGGATCCAGGCTGATCCACAATTAGGCCGAGTATTGCTAGGTTTGATGAGGAAGTTCAGACCCAAAGCCGAACTCCACAGATGCGGCCGCCGGTCATATGCAGGGTGGTCGATATGATGTTGCCTGGTACGAGGGCGACCATCTCTCACGAGAGACGCAGACTGTCCCTAGATAGGCAAATGTGTGCCTCTGTGCGGAGGAACTCGACCTCTCTGCCCGCGAAGAGACTCAGAGTATTGCTTCTGCCTGGCAGGATCACAAGCTTACCGTTGCCGTCCTGCCGTCGATGCCGAGTATGGGGTATTGTCATCTTGTGGAGAGACCGAGTCTTGAGCAGGGGCAGGGTGCAATTCCTGGACTGAGCGAACGCCGATGCTGATCGTCTAGGCAACCTCGATCGCTTCCATGTTCTCCCTCATCCGCGTCTCTAGAGTGCCGTGGGAGTTGTAACGAATCAGACATCTCCCCAGTGACACTATTTCGGATTCAAATCTCAATCGATCCACTGGCAAGGTTCGTGGGCATAGCGGCGAGGAGGGATTTTCCTTGCGGGCTGAGGTCCCTGAGTTCGGGGGCGAAGACCACAAGTGGGTTTCTTCCTGGGCTTGGGGATTGACCTGTGATGCTTTGTACGGAGCTGTTGGTCAGCCGTGGGACTTATGAATGGCACTGCCTTCTTACCTTTACTGGTATGGGCATTAGATAGAGCATAACGCACCTGCTCATCCTTCACTGAGCTACACATCCCGACGACGTCTTGTGGAAAAGCAGGAGTGGTTTTGGTGTTATATCCTTGAAATTCAGCCACAGAGAGCAAGACTCAAGAAACGAAGACATGATAAATATAATGAGCAGAGAGGGTGACAATTCCTCCTCCTGACTTAATACACCAAGAAGCAGTCGTTGAGCATCTTGTCCTGGAGATAGAAGCCTGAAGATCCGAAGAACAGTATAGCCCACACTCCCCATAAAGCACATCTACCCAAGTCATGTTGATGACCAGTCGTTGATACAGACAGTCTACCACTTCTACTCTTCGCGGAATTGTCTAGCTTCAGACAAATGTACAAAAACCGGTTCAGGAAAGGGGCCATCTTGCAGGTCATGTATCCCATCACAAATCAACCAAAAGCCCTCGTAAAAAACAAGAAGTCGCCGTCGCTCATGATGCATAAAAACTCGGATAGCAAATGGAGCCTGTCAGTCAGTCCAGCATATCAAACGTCCAGCCCTAGTGCCGATTGTAGTCTGTGATGCACCTTCTCTGCACCCAAACTCTGCCAAGCCCCAGCGCCAACATCCAGTGCAAATCAGTGAAAGATATATTTCGCGGTTGCTCCCCGGTTTCATCGATTGGTGTTGAAAAACCAACTGCTCCGTTTGTTACCTCCTTCTGATCCGCTCAGGGTCGAGATGATCGGTAAGCTGGGTGCTCCATTTGCTCCGTCAAGGTTCGATGGTGCACCACCGCCTCCACGTAGCGGTTTGGCAATCCGTGCACCGGCGTTCATGAGGCTGTTGAATCCACCGGTTGCACCAGCTCCAGCCGTGGCCATGTTTCTGGACGATACCTTGGCTGCTTCGAGACGTTCCTTTACTGCGGCAAGTTGTGCTTCGAACCTGTGAGGCGCTGTTAGTTCTCGAGTCTCGTGCCAGCACACGGACAACTACATACCTGTGGTTGGCGGCGGTCAATTTGTCTTGGCTGTCGGCCAACAGGCTCTCCAGACTCAGTATCCGTTCGTTTCGGGCAATCAGTTTTCGCTCCGCGATCGCGACTTCCTTCTTCAGGCTCGTGTTCTGATCGACCAGCTGCCTCTGCACCACCGTGAGTTGCTCGAGGTTGCGCTCCAAAAATGCCATCTTCTTCTGTTGCTGGCGGTTGTTGCTGGACCGGAGCACGTTGTTGTATTGTTCCCGCGTCTCGTCGAGCGAAATCTCCAATTCCACCACTCGCTCGCACCGGTTCTGCAGATCACGCATCAGGTTCTTCTTCATTGATTCAAAATCGGCGATTTGTTGTTGCAAGGTCTTGCTTGTGACGCCGTTGGCCACGCCAGCACCATTGGCAGTTCCCCGGGACTGGAGATCCGTGATGCTCTTCTGCAACCGCTCAATTTCTTGCGACTTGTGCGCTAGCTGGTCTCGCAGGTCGTGGACAAGCTCGCTTTGCGTATCCCTTCGATCCGAGAACAATTGCTCCAGTCGCCCTTTGACATCTTCTATATCTTCGGGACCAAGGTTTCGAGTCAACAACTCCTCATAATCCTGTTGCACCGCCGACAGTTTCTCTTCCAGCGCGATCGTGCGGTCCTCGTGATCGTCCTCGGCGCGTTCATTTAGAGATTTCTCTGCCTGTCGAACTAGCATCTGCGATTCCAGCAATTTCGAGCGTAGATCTTCCAGAACATGGCTCGGTACAGCCTCGCCATTGAGGCTCGCAGCGTGCAAGGCGTCGACTTGATCGAGCATCTCTCGCATGCGATCCTCATTGTCGGAGAATGCGCTGTCACCGAGGTCAAAGCCCGCCATCATCTTGGCCATTTTCTCTTTCTTTTTGCGATCCTTTTCGTCCAGAGCCGCCGTGGTCTCTTTGGCGCTCATCTTGAGTTCTAACAACTGCTGTTTGACTGAAATCAGCTCCGCCTCTAATTCCGAGTTCGCATCTTTCAAGCCCTCCATCGTGATCGCATCTTCCTTGCTCTGGTACGACAGCTTCTGGAGCTCCAGTTGGGTCTTGTTCAGTTTATCCGCCATGGTCTCATTCTCCTTGGATGTTCGCATGGCGCCATCCTTGTATGATTTGAGCTCCTCTCGGGCCTCTTGAAGGCTACGCTCCGCGTTGGCGACCTGTGTCTCCTTCTCGGTAAGCTGATCTTGAAGTTCATTTTCTCGTCGCAAAAATTCCTCTCGCTCATCCTTCTCGAGTATAATGCTGGGTGTACTTGATCTTTCGCCAGTCCGGGAATCGGGTCTACTGGGGGTGTCTGATCTGAGAAGTTCCGAAGGTGCTCTTGAGGGCGTGTCTGGTCTTGCCTTGGCTTCCGACTTCTGTCCTGAACCGCCCAACGGAGGCACCCATTTTTCTTTGGGAACCGTCTCGCCCTTTCGCCAAAGCTGTAACTCCGAATCCAACGAGGCAATATACTTCTCAAAGGTCATGGTCTGGTTCTGAGCAAGCTTGAGCTGGCGCTTGAGCTCCGCCGGACTCAACTCGGCGTTGATCTTGGCCTTGTTCTTGATCGTCTTTGCTCTCATACCGAATCGTAGGGTGCTGACGGTTTCGGCATCATTGTAGCTGCTGGGGGAACAATTTATAATCAGGGTTGTTCTCGAATTACCGCCCAAACTTTCTTGCAGAATCCTGGTCAACTTGGAGTCTCGATAGGGGACATGTGTTGATTTGCCGTCAGTCAGGGCATTGATGACCATACCCAGCGCGCTTAAACTTTTGTTGATCTTCTTCGCTTCTTCTAATGTCTGTCCGCTGGCGCCCGTCTTGCCGACCTTTTCTGAACCTGCCAAGTCCACAAGATATAGCATCCCGCTCTTTTGCGACCCGGTGTTGACATCTTTCTGATTTATGGTAACCAAGAATATCGAATGCGAGCGTGATGACTCCAAATTCATGTTGGTGGATGCCGTGACTCTTGATCTCTGGCCCAGATGCATCGCAGTATAGACTTCCTCCACCGTGTTGACATAAATTTCACGCAGCCCTTTAACGTACGGCCCCCTTGGTCCTTCGTTGATGGGAAGATTGTCCATGACGGGGTTCAGCAAATCGCGTATCCGTTCCATGTAAATTTCCAGGTAGGAGATGCCGACGGTGTATTCAATTTGCGCCGAACCGTGGACAAGGATGGAATCAAATATTTGTTCGGTGATGCGAGGAATTATACCCTTCTTGTCCGAATCGTCCATGTCTCCCATCATTGTATAAGACTTTCCAGCACCCGTCTGGCCATAGGCGAAGACGGTGCCGTTGTAGCCATTCATGACATCTTCCACCGTAGACCTTATGGAGAAATCGAATATGTCGGCTTGTTGGGAGGACATGTCAAAGACTCGATCGAAGGTGAAGGGGGCATTGGTTTCGGAGGACTATAGAGGGAATGAGCTGAGTGTCTCGTGCGAAGAGGTCGAGTCGACTGGGGGGCACGTTACCTGAAGCTGGACCGTGTCCTCGCCCGTGAACTGGACAACAGGTTGGCCTCCATTTGCGAGTTCGACTTTGTTCTGAGGACGGAAACGGGCAACAACTGATAGAGGAAGTCAGCGAGGGATTGAACTATACGCTCGCCGAAGGAGATCGAGGACGAGGTCTCACCTTTGATGTTGTTCCCGCCTCCGCTACTCCCTGCGGCAGAACTATAATTTGTGGTCAGCGCCGACATGTTCAGAAGGTGTGGTTTGCTGTAGCATACGCCATGTTTTATTCAAGACTCGAAGGTGTCAATCTGGCCAGGAGGAAAGCATCAGTTCTGTGAAGGGTTGGCCCGACTGCGCGGGTCAAAGTGGTAAACAGGGCAAATTCAGGGTCGCGCCGCCCCAATGTTGACGGATCGGCCGCGATTGGCAGATTCGAACTGAGAGAGAGAGACAGATGGCCAGAAATGAGAGCGCAGTCCAAGTACGATATTCGACGGCGAGCGTTCCGTGGATGCTGTTAACGAGATTTCCGCTTTGGTTGGAGACACAGCATGAACTAGAAGTGGGCAAGGGTGTCAGGCACACACGCGCGGTGCAGATGCAAAGTGCCAGACGTGCCTGCAGCAACACCCTGGTTTTTTCTTCCCTGTTTCTCGGCCTTGTCTTGTTGACGCGCCAGCCTGGTGACTTAGAGTTGGATGGAACCTTTACCCCCCGTGGCCCCCCCGAACCTGCAGCTAGGGGTCTAGGATGCCTACAGCCCTCCCCCCCTTGTCGCCTCTGGGCTGCAACCGCCCCTTCGCACTCATCCTCGCCCTCATCCTCGGTCTCGCCCGACGATACCCGTGACTTCCCTACTGGTTACAGGCGTAATAGGATATTCTTCCGAAGACAAAGTACCGAGCAATCCAGTTTAGTAATTGTCGCAATCGTATGCTGTTAGACAGGATCTGGTAGGCCGAGTAGGGAGTATACTATTGGGGAACAAGGTGAGTCATATAAGGACTGTGCGCGCAGGATACTACTCGTATAAGGCCGTGACTCTCTTCCTCTCTTCAGGACTCTTTGTTCGCTACATAGTAGTAAGATCCTTCATAAAGTTGACCCTGCTTAATCAACCATGGCAGCAGCAAAGACGCAGTCTCTCTACGCCGACCTCAAACTCACTCACAATGTCACGAAGACATCTTCTGGCTCAGAGGTCCATAGCTACACTTCTGACTTGGGCTCTGACTCCCCTATACTGACCCTGATCCATGGCTATCCCCAATCTGCTTATGAGTGAGGCTTCTACTCCCTCTTGTAGCTGGTTACCAGCGCTGACTATTGCTTTCAGATGGCGTCATGTCGGTTTTCCCCCCCTTCCCCTCACCCGCCACAGCCTTGCCCACACACCATATGCAGCCTCACCGGGCATGACATTGGGCTCAATCACCAACATCGTTTGACTTACCACTTCAACAGGTCGTTCCGCTTCTCCAAGGCAAGGTCTCCTTGTTCGTACCTGAACTTCCAGGGTACGGCATCTCAACGCCAATCCGCGACCCGGCCTCCAATACCAAGCGGGCCGTTGGCACCGTATTGCTAGAGGCCCTCGCGGACGTCTTCAAAACCAAAACAGCCTCCTCACCAAGACGGGTCATCCTAGGCGGCCACGATCGCGGCGCGCGAATCAGCCACCGCCTCTCGGTCGACTTTTCCCACCCGGCCCAGTCCTCTCCCGCCCTCTACAAGGACTTGAATCTGACCGTCCCCGGCACGATCCTGCTCGACATCATCCCGACCAAGGAACAGTGGACCGCCTTCTCCGACCCGGCCATATGCCAGGGGTACTTTCACTGGCCACTGCTGGCCAACGCAGACCTGGCGACCGAGATGATCTCCGCGTTCGGCGGCGGCAACTGGGCGAGGGGGGCGCACACGCGCATCTCGGGCCCGAACCCGAAAGCGCTGGAGAGAATCTCGTCGCACGACGCCCTCGACATCTACGCGGGCCTGTTCAGTGACAGAGATACCATCTACTACTCTGCTCTAGACTACGCGGCTGGCGCGGCCCCAGAAGCGACGGAACAAGACCAGGATCAGAAGGCTGGCAGAAAAGTCAGCGTGCCGCTGCTCGTCATGTTCAGTAAAGCTAAGTTGGGGGCGCGGATTGACGTCGAGGGCGTGTGGAAGGGCTGGGTGGCCCCAGGAGTAGATTATGAAGGACACGGCGTGGGAGACGGCTATGGGCACTATTTGCCCGAAGAGGCCTTTGACATCGTGGCAGAGAAGATATCGGCGTTTATCAAGAAGGTGACATGAGCACGTACATAGATAAGAGCATGGGCCATCTCTGGGGGCGTACACCCCAGTCTACACAGCGAGATCAACGAATGTCGGAGGTGAACACAAGTGAAATGCATCATGAAACCCCGCCAAAAACACCATCTCGTGTCTTGAGCGAGCGATGTGTCATTATCATATTACATTATCTGCTTCCGGATATCTCGAGAGGGGCGTCCAAGAGCGTCCTCCTACTTCCTGTCCTCCCCGGTCTCGGTGAGCTTCTACTCTCACGGGGATCTCTCAACGGCAGTCCATCGTCTCTTCCCAGGGCTCCTCTCTCTCCTGATCGAAGATTCACCGCCCCAAAGCCCAGCTTGACTCGCACTGCGAACAGGCAAGAGGGGAGAGCCTGATTTCTCGTCACTGACCCTGACCACAGTCTTCGCTCCGCTGCCGCTGCCGCTCCCGTTCCAGAGAGGGAACTCCTCTTGTATACTTTCTGATCGCCCAACACTCAGCGAACTTGGCGTTGTAAAAGCATCACTCGACGACTCGGTCGTCTCGTCGCGGGAGTACCGACTTCCTCGTCGCCAGAGTCCTGTAGGAGGCTCGGAGGAGTCCGTCGCGTCTGCAGCATGAGATCGCTGACTTATGCTCCTACCAGGCATCATCGATGTGGAGCCGCGTGGTGCCATTGACTCTCCTAGACTGAATCCTTCTGGCGAATCGGCTCCCACCGCTCGACGACTGGCAAATGCCGGCGACTTTCCAAGTCGAGGCGAGTTCAACCCTAGCGGATTGGATGCGCCACGGAGATGTTCGGTAGAGGCTATGATTTTCATGTCGTAATCCTCTGATATGGCCAAATCCAGAGATCCTCTTCTGCGTGTTGGGGATGACGGTTCCGGAGGAGCTTGTCGAGTCTCTTTCCTCACAGCCATAGACAAAGAGGACAGGCCTACGTCACGCAAGGCTGGTGCGGCTGTCAGCAATCTGATCAGAGCATTGCAGCCAGCCTGGTGGGTAACCAAGATGACCACGAGATCTTCGTCATCCTCCTGCTGGTCACTATCCTCGGCATCTGCACCGGCTTGGTTCTCATAGAATGCGATCATTTTCTGCAGACCATTGCGAAACCTCCGGTGCATTTTACCCCAATCCTCGTCAAAGGGCCCGCCATCACCCCAGTCAAGTGGCTCATTTTGACTGTCCCATTGACGGTCGATTTCAACACAGGAATCTCGCGCATGGGCCACAAATCCTGGGGGAATTTTGTCCGACGACCCAATTGCATAATTTGGCATGGGAGGGCTATACCCCACGGGCCCCTGGAGAGCTCTGTTCAATATCCGAGCACCATTGGCCAATTCGGTCCCAAATGAGATATTGCGTGGTCGCTTCGGAAGAGAATGGCCAACGGCTGCCATGGCCCGCAAACCGGTCTTTTCATGGACTGGTATGGACGCAGCTTCAGTTTCTCCCTCTTCCATGTCGATCGTTGGCAAGTTGAAAGCCAAAGAGCCAGAGAGATCGGCACCCTTAATCTCTTCTTGTAGGGTTTGTAAGCCCATCTTGGCCTGTGAGACAAGAACAGCGGAAGGTGGAGGAGAAGAGCCCTCGTCGAAATAGCTTGCTGTTTGCCATTCCCCTAGAAATGCATCAATACGCAGCTTGCAGGTATTGTACCCAAGGCGGTTCGTGTCTCCTTTGTCTTTGCTGATAACACGCTCGAGAGACCCTTGGTCACCATCGCCCGAGTCCGCTGCCGCGCCCTGCGCCTCATCCATCGGAGAGATATTAGAGCGGGCAGAGAGTTGGCGCGACTTATTGCGTGGTCTAGAGTGGTTTTGAGGATGTTGTATGCCAGCAGCAATTGCAATAGAAGACTGGACACATCGCAGATATGGCGAACTGTGGATAATAATCTTCCGCCTCTTGCGTGGTTGGGTCTCTCGCGCTCCATCCGCCTTGCCATCATCTTGGGGCTTGGATTGTTTGTCGAGATTATGTAGTTCATTGTTGATTCTCAGACCCAAGGACTGGCACTGAATCCAACCACCATAGGATAGAGGAGGGTCGTAGGGGGCTTCGGCGGTGGCTGCCCAATTCCGATCAGCCTGATCAAGACGGGCACCATGACTATTGTCACAGAATTAGCAGCGATGTTCGAATGCCAGAAAAGATACATGGGATGTGGTCATACCGTACGACCAAGACTACGGCTGGCTGTTTCCCCATGGTGGAAATCAAACGGTTTCCAACGTGAATGGGTACTATTGCTGTATTGCAATTTGAACCTAGGGAAAATACGTCAATATTGCAAAATTGCGGGGGTGGGCTGGCAACACAAAGTGATCGGTTTCCGACAGCCTAGAAAACGAGATTGAACAGCGAGAGGGTATTGTGTCACCGCAGGCGTAGACGTGACATCTTGAAGGAAGGTATGAATGTACCAAATTCCTGGTACAGTACAGAGATGCAGACTGCAACGGAGAAATGTGGCGAGAAGGTAGATGTAGATCTCAGTTATTATGATGGTTGCCCTGCGCGGCTGAGGCGACGGTGAAGGGTCGCAGTGGGAATTATTTTGGGTGCGGTGTGAATCCTCGGTGAATCCGGTTTGTGAGATCGACTCCCCATCCACCCATCGGTCCGCCTGCTTCTTTGGCTACGAAAGACTCTGGTCGTCAGGCGGAATTTGTTCCAAGTCCGCTTCCGACTCTGAAGAAAGTGCCTGCCAGACTCTGAGCACAAGTCAAGGGTGCGATGTCAGTGTCGCGACAACGGGCCGCAGACTCATCTGACGAGCTAGGTACCGTGCAGGTTATGCTCGTCCCTCAACCAAGAACTACACCGTCACCACCGTACTACCGTTTGAAGAGGCTCGTCGGCATGTCACCAGTGTCTCACGTGTCTGGGTGCGCGCCCCTACCACGTACCTAGTCCTCGAGAGTCAAGAACAAGCCATGCCACGAGCCTCGACAGGTCTCCATCTCGCCAGGTTATCTGCTCGGTGTCCTTGTCCGTTTCAACACGGGCGGCATATTTCTGCTATCAGCGAAACACCTCGTCTCGGACCGACAGCCCGCGTATCTCTTGATCAATCTCGTTTCAAAATTGAACACCAAGAAATCGACCATGAACACGAGCACAGTCAGGCTTATTCTCCGGGACGCCTGAGCCGCGCAACGCTAATCCATGGCCACGAGTTTACTTGATATCTCTCGAAACACGTCCTTTCGCCGGTTCAGACAGTGCATTTCCTTCGTCCAAGGAATTTGGCGAGGTGCGGTGAGTGCAGATAGCTAGGGGGAAACATAGAAGAGTAGGACAACGGAGCAAAGAGAGCCGATGGACTTTTTGGCGAAGAGGCGAGGACACAATCACGTCTTTTCGGAGGACCAGACGTGGCCAGCACATCCACCCACCTTTTGGGCTGTTTCAAGTTGGTGGAGCAGCCACTGCAGCATGGCCCTTGGGGTCACCTCAATGGATCAAGCATGCCACCCACCCGCACTGCTCTCGACAATACCCCTGGCAATTTTTAGCGACGAGGGATCTGCCGCGCCCGTGCTCACGGTCGACGCCTCAAGCGCGTCTTGTCGGATGGGCACAAGGCCATCATCTGGTCGAAGAAGGTGTACCAATCATGTTTGGAGATGCAGTCCATTCGTCGTCTTGGAGGTGGCTGCCCGAAATACGAAGTAAGGGGGAGGCTGCAGTACGTACAAGTCGCAGAGTCCAGTTGCCAATTCGTCGGCATCGGCCTGCCACCCTTCCCTTGGTCTTCCTACCCTCTGAGGTGTCTGTTTCGAAGTGCTGGTCTGCTATCCACTGACTCTCCACATTGGTCCATCTTTAGGCATCCGACCATGCCGATGGTGTTGTCTTGTTCCTGACGATCTGGAGCCAGGGTGAGGGGGCGTGGCCAGGAGTTCGTGGCTGGATCCAATCCCATCTCCAGCCTCCCCCGTACCCCTGGCATGGCGCAGGCATTCTGCCTTGTTCCTGTTGGCACTGGCTGGACCCCCTAGTGGCTCTTTCGCAAAGGTCAGTCGATCCTCGTCCGCTTCTTGCTCTTTCGCGTGTTTCAAAGTCTTCATTCATCGTTTTGCTTTGTTCCCGTTCATCGAAGATGGGCATGCTCTTTTTTTGACCGGCTATCTGCATTGTCATCATCCGCACTTTCAACCCACTCTGTCGTGAAGGCGGGTTGTATGCCTGATAATCGAGATTCTCGTCCCGCTCTCGCTCTCGCTTTCGTTCGCTTCTCCTCCGTTCTTGCATCATGTGGCACGTTCTCAAATTGAGCTGCCCAGATTGGCAAATCCGCCATCGACCATGACGCTATACGAGGTATTCCTTTCATTTGCATCAAGGCCCTGGCCCCCATGAATCATGGCATGGTCAAAGCAATTAGGGCTGGCAGTCTCGAGCTAGGCCCCTCGTACTGATTTCAATCCATCCAAGGCCGTCAGAACTACTCCCGCCATCCTGTCAGAAGCGGGAAGCCTGGCAAGAGGCCAAAGGCAAACTTTTGGATCCTTTATCCACCTCCTTCTTGTTCCCATTGAACGATCTCCAGAGCGAGGGGAGTCCTCACTATCGTTATTGGTCCAAGCATCTTCCCTGCAGCACTGCATACACTTTTGCTGCATCTCTTCTCTCATCACCCGGAACCTTACCATCTACTTCTTCACAACTGCACTCCGTGCAGTTCGTTACTTTGACCTGCTGGTTCTTGTTCTCCTTCACCTTCTCCGCTTCAGCCGGAATTCTTTTCTTCAACCCCGACATTCTCATTCTCGTCCTTCTTTGACTCCCCGTTCTCCCTGTTGAAAAAGGCTTTGCGATCCTCTAACTCTGCGGTCATATTCCAAATTCTCTTCTCTTCTGACAGGCGTATCCTTGATCATCACGGCGACAATCCGCAAATAGTGTCAAAGACCGTTTTCCACCGATACCGGCAGATTTGGCTTCAATTCTTCGCACTCCCGAACGTCTCGAACGTCCCGTCAGTGCCTTGTCAGGTTTCTAGCCAGCAACCCTCGGCACCTCGACATCCTTCTGAGTTGATCCTTCTACTGAGAGTCGATGCATCAGACACCAAGTATATCACCTCATTCTTAACCCTGTCGCGGGGCTGCTCACTCTCCGTTGAGCGGTCTACTACACCTCGAAGAGGAGACTCGATGTTCCCTGTCCTTGTTGCGGCACGCCATCTTTCTTCATGAAGACTCTTCTCAATGATACTGGTTTACCTCTCTGGGTATACATCGTCATAATCGCCGTTGGTTCGACGCTTCTGTTGGTCACCCTTGCCGTTGCGTTACGATGTTGGTTTCTCCGCCGAAGGGCCAAACAACAGAGAGAGGTGGACAACCTCACCGGGCCCCTTCGTCGCGTCACCTTGAGACGGGGGCGTATGGTTCCAACTTCACAGCACCTGTCCTTGACAGGCTCAAAGTTCGGCATGAGGCAATTCGGGATGCTGGCAGACAATGAATCGGCCATGACGGGCAGAAAAAGTCCTTTCGAGTGGTGGGCCACTATCATGGACAGATCACAGTCCCGACAGGATCAGATGTCTCAGGTGGAGACGGCTTCGATAATTACTCGACCTACGTCCAGAGCCACCACCATCACAGCTAGAAGGGACCTTTACAATTCCACCCCTGTCCAGACCCCGGAAAAGTCCAAAGATGTGACTACGACGAGAACGTGGGAAATAACGATTCCTTCGCCAACGCCATCGCCGTCACCGTTGGGACCGAACAGGCACACCAACTTTTCCAGATCGTTCAGCAACCGTGCTCCTTGCTCACCAGTCACACAAAGATCTCAGGCAACTCTTTCCCGAATATCGGAACGGTCGCCTCACCAATCTATGATCAGCGCAATAAACGGTCCGTCAGTATCCCCACAAACGTGCTCGTCTTACCATTCGGCCATAAATGCTCTTGATAGCTCCCCTCTACCGGGACAATCACCACAGCTCAGCCCTGTCCCTCCACAGGAGCCGATGTCACTTGCCGTCCCAGCTCCAGACGCTCGATCTCTGCGGGCATCTCTCACCTCACAGCATGACCAACCCACTTCGCTCAGCCTGATGCCTCCGTCCAGCAGGCAACAGCGACAGAGCCCCTCCCCAACGACGGCATCTCGTCCTCCCGAACTGAAGCCGCCGCAATATTCAATGCCACCCTCAGCGTACCGCTCGAGCTTTAACAATGTCCACACCCCAATTTCTAGTTCCTTTTACCGTCAGGCGAACCAGTCTCAGTTCAATCTCTCCCATCCTGGCCAAGATAGCAACACGAGTTCCCCAGCAACGTCGACTACACAACTGTCTCGGGTATCTGTCTCCAGCATTGGCCCTAGTGGAATCATCTACGACACGCAAGTTCCCAGTTCGCACAACCCAACAGAGTATTGGTCGACAAGGATGGACGGACAAGACGTCTCTAACGGACGAAGCGGTTCCGCACCTCGGTCGGGCCACTCATCCCGAAACCCAAGTACAGACCAAACCTTGCGACCGCAGAATACCTCTTCTGGTCTCCACAGGGAGCAGGAGAGGGAGAACGTGATGGGAATCTTGACAGTGCCTGGGAAGAACAACACGAAAGTCCTGAGAAAAAAGTCTTTGAAGAGAGTGCAAGTCGTTAGCTCAGTTGCACCGTAAATTGGCGCTGGCATTCGGACATGGATTCGATGGTTATGGGCGGTAATATGTGATTATTTTGCGACACTTTTCTTTCGAAGCGGCGACGATCCTTTTCTGACGACACAGTATGACCCAACCAACCCTTTGAGGATATTGCAGTTTCTCAGGGGAACTATTTTCCACCAAAACACATACGGCCGAGATGACCTCCTTTTTTGCCTTGACTTATACCCGGCTTACGAAGTTTGTTTGGTTTTTCAGATCCCGGGTCTGGAATCTGGGATATCTGAGCTGCCTTTGTTCCATTTGTTATATTGGGGGGGCTCTTGCCCTCCCAGCGAGGTCTCTCGCCCACTCTCAGTATTTTCCACTTGCAAAAAAAAAAAACAAAAACAAATCCGCCGCTCAGCAGCAGGCGAGTCTATTCTACACACCGCGTTACCAAATGGTCAAGTTTCGATCCAGATCATCCAGGAGGAAACCCTCATCCACGCGCACCGACCCCGTTGCCTCAGGGAAAGGGAAAGCAGCGACCCACCGGCGTGTGGTGGTAACGAGGTTTCCTAGTGGGACAGCTCATAACTCTCTCAAGGCTACCACTACCAAAGGAAAGAATGGCCCATAGAAGAAGGTACATAGCAGAATCACAAAGTATTGTGCATGCCGAGAGTCTTTCAGATTGTTGACCTTGTGTTTTTCCCGGAAACGATCATTACGAGGGATATTGTGTCAACTTTTGGATAACGATTGTGCCTTCGCGGCGGTGATTTCCCCTTCGTCCGTATGTACCGAGTAGTCGACGGTGGCCCGGCGTCTATCAAGCCTGTCTCATGTCCATGGCTACTGGGCAAATTGAACATTGGGAGGGATTTGTCCTATGGGAATTGTACTGTCCCGCCAGCAACATTTGCGGGTGATGATGAACCACATATCAAACGATGGGGACAGATAACGCCCCTGCCGCAGATTGCGGTGCCCATATAGGTGTGACGATCCTTCCAAACGACAATGTACTGAGTTCTCAGGGTGGTGGTATTGTACAACGCCGGCGCTATGCCTGCAGTAGATGATGCCCTTTTCAACATAAATCCACCGCTTGAGGCAACTCAGCTTCACCCCAGCTGTTCTCCTTGTCCGGATCAGACTTTTTGCTTCTTTCTTTTCATTTTGCGCGTCCCACGTCCAAACCTCCACGTACTCTAAAGCGCAACTTAGTCCACGCTTTCGACCCGTTGCACAACTATGGCGGTCGCCGCACCACCGCCGTTGCAGATGGCGGCACATCCATACTCGCCGGGCTTCAGCTGATGCAGCAACGTCGTCAGGATACGCGCGCCCGAACTACCCAGCGCGTGACCGAGCGAGATCGCACCGCCCAGCAGATTCACTTTGGCATCTTGCAGACCCAAGATCTGTACAGAAGTCAGCCAAAGAAGCGTTGAGATGTGGTGACAAAGAATGCATAGCTTACCTGTTCATTTGCCTTGATGACTGCCGCAAATGCCTCGTTGAATTCCCAGATCGCAATGTCGTCCTTGGTCAACCCGGCCCTTTCCAGCGCAATAGGCACGGCTTTTGCGGGTGCGATGGGGAAATCCACCGGATCGATGGCCGCATCGGCAGAACTGACAATGCGCGCAAGCACGCGGCTTCCCTTGCCATATTCCCGCGCAATGTCTTTATTGCCCAGCACCAAGGCACTCGCTCCATCATTGAACGTTGACGAGTTCGCAGCTGTCACTGTTCCTTTTGAAGGGTCTTTTACGAACGCCGGCTTCAAGGTCGGGACCTTGTCCTTCTTCAGGTTGTTGTAACCTTCATCTTCGGAAATGACAGTGTCACCCTTTTTGCCCTTGACCGTGACGGGAACAACCTCATCTTTGAACTTGCCTTCCGCCCAAGCTTTCTGTGACCTCTCAAAGCTTCTGATGGCATATTCGTCCTGCATTTCTCGAGTGATGTTGAACTTTTTGGCTGTGTTCTCCGCGCAATTACCCATGTGAAACTGGTTGTACACATCCCAAAGCCCATCTTCAATCAGCCCGTCCTTCAGTTGCATGTTTCCGAACGGTGGGTTCTGCGCTGCTCTAGGCAGGTAATAGGGTACCCGAGACATACTTTCCATACCACCTGCCACTTGTGCCTCCGCCAAACCGAGTTGGATGTTCTGCGCCGCAATGACCACTGCTTTCATGCCTGAAGCGCAGACCTTGTTGATGGTAACGGCTTCGACCGTAGATGGCAAACCGGCAAATATGGAGGCTTGCCTGGCCGGTGCTTGACCTACGCCTGCTGCAAGGACGTTGCCCATATATACATCTGTGATCTTGGAAATTGGAACCTTTGACTTCTCAATGGCGGACTTGATCGCTACAGCACCGAGTTGGGGGGCGGACAGGCTGATGAAGCTGCCATTGAACTTGGCTGTCGGCGTGCGCGAGGCAGACAGAATATATGCTTCGCCGATCTCTTTCTGACGTGCATTTGTGCTCATGTGGCTGCGCATCTGCGACAGGCGGGCGCCAGCGCTGGCTGAGGAGGAGGCGCGAGACGCCACGCGAGCAGCGGAGGAGGTGAGGGAGGGCATCTCGGCGGTGCTGGAAGCTTGGGAATCCAGGTTGGACTCGGGCTCGAACAGGGGTATATATATGGAGTATTCGGCAATCAGCTGCACATGTCAAGTCTTGGTCTTGCTCGAGCGGGGAATGAGGAGCAGCGGTGGAAGGGAGAGGGGTGTAGTGGACGCAACCAGTATTTATCGAGACCGCTCGAGCCAGAGGAAGAGATGCCCTACTAATCAGTCAGGATCACAGGGAAGAGAGGAAGAGCTCTCTATTCATAATAGATCGGGAGGCAAACCTACGCTCCGGATCCTAAAGTCCATGAAGTGCGGAACCCAGTCTCTAGAAGAGCGGAAGAACATCCTCGGCTCCGGCGTGGAGGAATTTCGGAGCAGCCAGAGATGCCAGACGAGGGATCACGTGGTGCGCAGCTAGCGACTGAGCCACGTGAAGCTCGAATACTCCGGAGTATAGCAACTTCCCCTTTCGCTAGGGTGGAGTGTTTATCGTCACTTCTGGAAGAGTGAATCGGATGGCGGGCAAACCACTTCCTCGTACTTGGGCGCCACTCCGCCTTCGCTGCTCTTCTATCTTTCAACCTCGCGTGCGTCCTTCCTAATCTCCTTGTTTCCTCCGCACACCGAGTTATACACGAAACTACACCAAGGATCAACTCTCAACTGACTCCCCAATCGTTTGCTCTACCCCAAGACCTCAAGAAACCGCCATGTCCACCTCCGCACGACGCCGCTTGATGCGGGACTTCAAGGTACGCAGTTTCACCGATATCCTTAGGATACGGAGTCTAACCTGACGCTCAATTTTCCCATGAGTGCTAACCCATTGCTCTTATAGCGTATGCAAACAGATCCTCCCGCTGGTGTTTCTGCCTCTCCCATCGCCGACAATGTCATGACCTGGTAAATCGACCCCTCCCCGTTCAATACATGTCCAGAACGACTCTGACAGGAGTTTAGGAATGCTGTGATCATTGGCCCTGCAGACACCCCGTTCGAAGACGGCACATTCAGACTAGTGATGCAATTCGAAGAAGCCTATCCAAATAAGCCACCGGGGGTCAAATTCGTCTCACAGATGTTCCATCCAAACGTGTATGGCACTGGCGAGTTGTGCCTGGATATCCTGCAGAACCGGTGGTCTCCAACATACGACGTTGCTGCAATCTTGACATCAATTCAGAGTCTGTTAAACGACCCCAACACGAGCTCTCCGGCCAATGTTGAGGCGAGCAATCTCTACAAGGACAACCGGAAGGAATATACCAAGAGAGTGAGGGAGACCGTGGAAAAGAGCTGGGAAGATTGAGAACAGTGGAAGCAACTTCGAAGAGTTCCGAATGGCCTGTTTTTCAGCGACTGCATCAACAAACGGATGGGCCGGCGTTAGGTTCTTATCGGGCATTTTCAGCTGTCCCGGGAGGGGTTTTCTATGGGAACGAGCGCGACCTTGGATATGGCACATGACACTGTCTTGTCAGCATTTGAATGCTTCGAAATTAGCGAAGGAGTTTCTGCGACCAGGTGTACCTCTCACGGGCGGCTCAGGCTAGACGGTCATGCCAGAGCAGCTTGTCTGCTCTCCATTCTGCAGGCATTCGCCCTGACTGAGCCTCATTTGCGTCTCAAATGCATCGGCCTTGATCAGATAGCTCCTCGACACCAATCTGAAATGGTTGTGTTCTCCCTTGGCTTCATTCGGCATAATGCTAGAACCAGTGACTCGACCACACAAAACACGTGGACACGCTTGTTCTACCTAGGTAATCATTCACACACATGTCACATCTATCGTCGGGAGGGCGCTATTCATATAATCTCTCTATACCGTCCATCCATTGGTTCTCCTTATACGCCCCATCTTCACGCCAACGCCCCCATCGGATCCCACAATGGCAGCACGGTCGGCTCTCCTTTCAACACGTCGCGAACCTCCTTGGCCACAAATCCGGGATCCACCACGACCTGATACACAAACTCGTCCATCCATTTATCAGTCATGACAAAGTAGCCTTTCTCGCCTGCGCTTTCGCCCCAGGAGTTCATCACGCGCCATCGCACGCTCTTCTCGCGGCCCTTGGCGTCGTCTTCCATTTGGACGCCGGTCAAAACCATGGCGTGCGTCATGGCGGATTCTCGCACCTTGAGGCGCTGAGACTTGGACAGGTTGAGCGAGATGTTGAATGCCAGGCCGTAGTCGTACAGTTCCGGGTCCATGATGCCGCTCTGGGAGTTGGAAAATTTGCCCACGTCGCTGCCGAAGAAGACGGGCAGGCCGGCGCGAAGCATGGCGACCGCCGCTCGCTTCATCGTGGCCATGTCCACGTTGACGTAGGTGATGGGCCGTCCGCCCACGACGTTGCCCAGGCGTGAGACGGTCAGGAGGGACATGTACTTGTTCCGGGGATCGTTCACCAGGCTGAACATGCGGGAGACGTCGGCGCCGCCCAAGCTCCTGACCACGCTCGGCGTGGAGAGGGACTTGGCGAGTTCGAGCGGCGTCATCGCCATCTTGTGGTACTTTTCGTCCTTGTCGTAGAACTCCCACGTGAATTTCTCATCTGGTTTGGGCGGTGGGCCCAGCATGAGCGTGAGAATGCAGTGGATTTCACGCATCATCTTTGCCTTTGCCAGCACCAGCGCGGATGACCTGGTATTGGACGAGACACCGTTGTGAACAAGAGCGCGGAGGGCAAGGCCGTCTTCTCGCAGTTTGGTGGTCAGGATCGATCCCATGGCCGACGAATTCATGGCGTTGTAGCTGTCGGGGTACAACTTCTGCGGAACCTGTACATCACCACGACTGTCAGGACTCAAAGTTGCCGTACGAGCATTGTCAGAGGCGGCGCCTTACCAGACCGTATTTCTCCACCAGATTACTGGCCATATCCCACTGCCCACCATCATTGACGGGAGCCCCCAACAACTCCTGCACCTCCCTGTCTCCCAAGTCCGTGGCGGCCGTGTCAATCATCTGTTCCAGGAACCAGTTCGCCTTCTCCATCTTATCCCAGAAGAACAAATACGACTGGCTCAACTCAAACTCTTTCAGGTTGTGCTTCTTCATGATCGGCACGCGCAACACGTTTGTCGTTGCGAACAGCCAACATCGTCCCGAGGAGCGCTGGTTGGTCACGGGCGACCCTTCAAACGGGATCTTGACGTTGAATGTCTGCGTGTCGGGAAGAGTGGCGACTTTGTTGCTGATGACGGAGCGGATGTCGTTCGAGAGCAGGGCGTTCAACGCGAGGCGGTTCTTCGCCGAGGAGAGGAGTTCTCTCTCCCATTCCGAGGCGGTCTTGATGTCTAGAGAGGGATCGGTAGAGTATGAGTGCGGGATGCCTTTCTCGGCGTCCACTTGGATGTAGTCGTGGTCGGCTTCGACCTGCGAGAGCTTATCGCGTGTGCGTAGTGATTGGAGCTGTTGGACGAGGAGCTTCTCGACTGCCGGCTCATTGAGGCTAGAAGAGCTCTGTGAGTTGCCCATTTCGACGGTGATGAGAAGATGCGAGCGACGGGGCAGCAAGGGTATCTGATCTTGTCTATGAAGATGCGAGGTAAGATGGCAGATGGGAGGAAGGGCGCAGCGCTGGGCGGGGGGGATTCGAAGATCGATGGAGACTGGCACGCCTGGGCAGATAAGCGATAAGGGTTGGTGGGTGAACAAGACGGCAAGGCTCGACGGGTCCACGTGCCGATCCACCGACTCCGTCAAGTGGAGAGATACAACGAGGCTGAAGTAGATCCCACCCTTGTCCGCAATCTCAATATGTGGTGGACAAGTTAACAATACCTCTATACCCCGGTCACTATATGTGATATCTGTTCTCTCACCACCATGAGGTATCGGACCTCTATGCCCCCGAAGACGTTGCGTCGCGTGCCATCAAGCCAAAAGAACACATGGAACCCAAAGTGGTCGCGCTTCTTCAAACAAGTAAATACCCCAGATAACTCAAGAGACCAACCACCAGCCCCCCAGTCAGCTTTTCGCTCCCTTTATGGTCGACTCTTGCTGCGGGGTTCGAATTGGGATTTGCGCTCGGGGTCGATCCGCCGACGGTGACAACAGAATAAGACGCGGAAGGGGCTGGAGTTGTGGAAGGAGTCTCTGCAGCAGGGGTTTGCGTTGTGCCTGCCTGGGTGGAGGGTCCAGAGTCCGTGAGCTGAAGAGTGCAACTCGTTAACTGGCTGTACAGAGAGAAGAGCGCTAGGTATCGCATCGAAGTACTCACCGAATTTCCTTGGATGATATTCCCAGGGGTGGCCGAAGTTGTCGCTGATGCGGCTGGAGGAGAAGAAGTGATTTGTGCATCGGCTGCGAACATCGTGCAGAAGCCTTCCAGCGCACTGGCATCGCTGGCAATTTCGGTGTCGATAGTGGCATACTGTGATGCACATAAGGAGGCCAGATCGTCGAACTCCTGTGGACCCCAGGTCAACGTGGAGATTTGGGTAGTGCAGAGGCAAGACGCCTGCGAGGTCGCGGGGAGCAGGGTAAAGTCACTGGTTTCTGCCTCGCACAGCGACATGACATCGACCAGAGCCTGGCAATAGTCGAGAGATGTCGATTGGGCAAATACGGCCGACAAGCCAAAGGCAAGGTAGAGGAGATGCTTGGCCATTGCTGACATGCTATGCTGGTATTGAACGAATCTTCTGGGTAAGGCTGTAGCAGAGCTAACGCAAGGCAGGTCTAGATGGTTCCTGCACTGGAAAGAAAGAGACTGTTTTTCTGCGAGAGTTGAAAAGAAAGTTCGCGTGGGATATTCTGCAGAACAGAAGCAGGAGGGACATGTCGCAAACCTTTTATGCCCGTCTGGAACAGGGCGACGCTGGACGAGAAAGATAGCTAGCGCACCTCTGAGGTCACACGAGCCTCATTTGTGTATAGGGCGGCTGAGATTTGAATCTGGTCTACCAATGGACTTTGCGGGATGCAAGGACACGCGAGGGGGAACGCTCTGAAAGAGCCCTACCTCTCGCGTGGCACAAGACTCGGGTGCATCCGATTTAAGACAGCGTGACGGTTTTTGTCGCTTTATTGAAGCTTAAAAAGAAAAGCGGTGTGTGTATACGAGAATCGAGGAGGTGGCGTCGCTCTAGGCACGTCCAGATAGTTTCAGGGGTAAGGCTGGACTTAGGCTACATCGACAACAATCTCAATTTTCCGAGCTGTGGCGTTGACTGTCTGCCTTTCAGCCTCACCAGGGAAATTGCATCACTCGTCCAAAACGCCTCAACACTACTACAGTGAGTAGCCTCATCATAGACTGGGGAAGAGTAGCTAGACGGTAAGTCCCCCCGGAACTGATGTAGTCGGTCTGAGCCGTTACTTCTTGAATGGGCTTCATCTCTACAAGTCGAACATCAGACAAGGGCTCGAAACAATGTCTACTGAACCCGGGCGCATCTATACCGGATCATGGGTCAACCACTCCAAAGGCTCAGTAACTGGAGCGACGTTAACTCTGTCTAGCTCCCATGGCGCTTTCTTGGTTGCTTTCCTGGGTGTCTTCATCACATTAGTCGGATCGCAGTTCTGGGTGCTTTTCAGTTTTGCTCTTCATCAGCTGAATTGCACCAAGACGTACGACGGACTCAAAAAGCAGCATCAGATCATTCTACGAAATAGCGGGACTTCTGCTGGCGCTGCATATGAATTGCTCCTTCTTCCGTTCAGCTGGTGGCGACGAAAGGATCCAACCGAGCACGTCGAAAATACCCGTCTGTGGCCCTTCCTGAGACGCTCGTGGATTTTGTCACTCGCTCCGCTCCTCTCTTTCGGTCTGTTTGCTGGAGCTGGAGTCCTCTCGTCTCAGGTGACCAAGGGAGCGGGCGACGAGTTGCTCGTCTCTGGAGCTAACTGCGGACAATGGAATTTCGACGCTCAAGCGCCGATGAGCTCGTATGTGGAAAAGTCCCAGAACGAGAGTCAGGTTGCCTTCAACTACGCTCGCGATTGCTACGGCGGCTCAACGAGCTCCACAACCTGCAATACCTATATGCGTCAACAAATCAGGTGGTCTGAGGATCAGAACGCTACCTGCCCATTCAAAAGCGGAACATGCCTGCTGGGCGACACAGCGGCCCTGAAGCTCGATACGGGCTACATCGAGTCCCACACAGTCTTGGGCATCAACAGCCGGGGAAGAGATCGCATCAACTACCGAAGAGTCACCACTTGTGCACCATTGAGTACTTCTGGCAGGATACAGCCGAACAAAGTCAGTGGCACGAGCATCATCTACTACGATTACGATTTCGGGCCCCTGAGTAGTGGCAACTCCACATGGACATATTTTGAGGTTTTCTCCACCCTGGGAGGTCTTTTATACTCTCTTAAGTAAGTTCCAATACCCAGATCACCAGGGAATGAGGACTTGGAGAAGACTGACTACGTTTGTTTAGCCAATGGGTCAACGAAGCGGGTGTGGCCAACCAGTCTTGGTTTCCAGCCGGTGATCTGGCCCAGACAGATGCAGACATCACACTCTTTGCTGTCTCGGCCAACAATATTGCATATCTCAGTCCAGTAACAGACCCTTTCTTTCAAGCAACAAAGCAAGCCAAATTGCAAACAACAACAGGCACACAACTATACTACAAAGCGAATAGTGAGAGCTTCTCTGGTCTTTCACACGAACTATGCCCACGGATCATACAAGCTAATATACACTGTCCCCAATAGATTATGACGAATTTGTCCACTTTGTGTCCTGTGTGGACCAGCATCAGCTCTGCGACCCTAATGCGAGCCCTCCCAATTGTACGGCTCTTCACGGGTGGATGACGCTACAAGCTGCAATCTTGAACTTTGCATGGACTACGCCTCGTCAGCTCGCTACAGCTTTGCGCATCCAGCAAGTTCTGCAGTACTCATCCATGTTCTACACCACGTCCGGTCGAGGGGGATTAGTCTTGCGTGCGTCGGAAAAGGTTGCTGAGATCATTAGTGCAGGTCTGCCCAACAACCAGTGGGTGATCGAGATGTCCAATCTGTTTGCGATGGCACTTGCTCGACTCCAGCACGGAGTGGTGGAGTACGCCACGGGACCCTCTGACATTACAGACGGAATGATCGTGCAAGGCCCTTCGGACGCGGAAGGTCAAGCTCTCTGCTCCGCGCAGATGGTCCGGAACACAGGGTCCTACGCCAACTTCTCGATCCTCGGCCTGAGCCTGATCGTGGGACTCGGGGTCCTTATCATCATCGCCAGCATCTTCGTCGAGTCGATTGTCGAGTTCTTCCGTCGTCGCCGTTATCAAACGGTCAATTCCTCCATTGACAAGGGTCTGGAGTGGGTGCTGGATGGCAAGTTTCAACTCATGCGGCTGGCGTACCAAGGAATCGGGGTGGGAACATGGATTCGGACGAGGGAGCACATTCCAGTGGTGAAGGAAGGTGAACAAAGGATATTCCGCGCGTTCGAAGGCACCAAGATAGATCGAGCTGGTGCCTGACGGGAGTATGCTCGACCTAGAAGTCGGTGTTCAGCCATGTCGAAGCGGCTCTATCCTAGACAAGCCAAAGACACAATGCGTTCTCTACCATTGGCGGAAACAGGGAGGTACCTGGTAGTTTACCGTGGCTATGTGTATGCATCAGTAATCTCAAAACTCGCCATGAATGAATGGGTCTTGGATTATGCCAAGTACTGACACCCAAATTGTTAGGGACTAGTTTCTACAGTGACGTACCCATTCTAAAGAGGTGATTCAGCCTCGTCAGTCTAAACTCCCAACTGGACCAACGCGTGTCTATAGCCTGGCTGATTTTTGTAAAGCCTCTTCCCTCTTGGCCATCTGCTTGATCTGGTTTTTCAAGACCTTTCCCGCTGCACTCTTGGGGATGGCCTCGACAAATCTGACGCCGCCTCTTAAGCGCTTGTGGTTGGCCACTTTCGCTTCAAACCACTTGATAATCACATCGGCATGCTCCCTGCTCAATTCATCTTCTGGGACGCCGGTCTCCTCGTTGGCTCCCTGTCCGCCACGGCTGGCGTGCATGATATACGCCCGTGGGACCTCGGTGTGCTGCGACCGATCGTATACGCCGATAACGGCGACATCGCGGACCAAGGGGTGGTCGCTGAGTTTCCCTTCCAGCTCGGTCGGCGCGACCTGGAACCCCTTGTACTTAATCATGTCCTTGACACGGTCGGTGATGAAGAAGTTGTGGTTCTTGTCCTGGAAACCAATGTCGCCCGTCCTCAAGTACCTGAGGCCATCCTCCTCGACAATGGCCAATTTGGTGGCCTCGTCGTTTTTCCAGTATCCTTTGAACACGTTTGGGCCGGCAAGCCAGAGTTCCCCGACGGCGCCTGGCTCGACTTCTCCCTCGGACGAAACGAACTTTCCAATCATGTTGGGGAACATTTTGCCGACGCTACCGGCCGACGTCTCCCACTCGTCCCAAGGCTGGGTATGTGTCATCGGCGATGTCTCTGACAAGCCGTAAGCTTGGTTGATGGGAATGCCGAGACGATTATGGACTCTGGTAATGAGCTCCACCGTCAGAGGGGCTGCTCCGCTGGTGATCATGCGAACACTGCTGAGGTCGTACTTGTTGACCAAGTCATCGTGAGCCATACGCACGATGACCGGAGGGGCGACATAAATAAACGTGATTTTGAATTGCTGAACCAGGCGTAAGAACCTTTCAAATGTATAAGCTCGCATGACGACCATTTCTATCCCGCGATAAAGACACTGGTGAATGAGTCCGATAAGTCCGTAGATGTGGAAAAATGGAATAATCCCAAGCATTCTGTCTGCTCCTGGCTTATACCAGCGCCCCACGGCTCCCCGGATGAGGCACAAGTCAGACACCACGTTGCGATGGCTCAACATGACGCCCTTGGGAAGCCCAGTGGTGCCCGAGCTATACACCAGAAACGCAAGATCCGTATCCGGGTTTAACTTGCAACGTGAAATTCGCGGACTTCCGGAGTCCCTGTGTATATTGAACCAGTGGCGGAACGATGAGGATTCAAGAGAACCCAGAATCAGAATTCGGTCTTCGGGGATGCCGGACTGTTTGGCGGCAACTGTGGCTTTCGGGAGAAGATCCGTCGTCGTCACCAAAGCCTTTGCGCCGGAATTACGCAGCTGGTAGGAGAGCTCGTCTGAGGTGTAGGCCGAGTTGGCTGGACACACAATACCGCCTGCATAGAATACGCCGAAAATCACGGGGGCAAAATCGACATCGTTAGCCGCGTAGATTGCCAGAACGTCGCCCTTCTGCCAGTCAAAGTGGTGACGGAGTCCTTCCCCAAACACCGTTGCTGCTAGTCGGACGCCGTTAAAGGTGTATCTTCGATCAGGATCATCGCCATCTCTGTAGATTACTGCATCCCTTGTGAGCATCTCGCCATTTCACAGAGCTTTCTCGACAGTCTCACTTTGCGTGTCTGGAAAGTCCCGCTCTGAATCGAAAATAAAGGACCACATGTCACAATCGGGAATGGCGACATCTGGAAATGTCGACTTGAATACCATTGTCGCTTAATTGGACTCGATGAAGACAAGTCCTCACCAGAGCGCACAGAAGATCAGATCAGAAGGAAATCTCAAAGCCCTGCAACAGGACATCATCTAGGAGACTAGGACTTGGAAATTGGCTATCCAATGGGGCTCGGTTCAAGTAAAGATTGCCCATCCGGTCCGAGGGAGTCGGGTATTCGAGTTTGATAGCAGCAGAACAACCTGAGCGGCCTGGTCGCCGATATATTCAGCACCACTCGTCGAATCCGTGCATTCGGAAGGTTGCTTGCGAGGCGTTTCTACCGCTTAGTCTGGCATTGCAGCTTGCCGTGGCCGGAACGGCCATTGAACAATTTGGGACCCCACTGCGCCTTTGCGCCAGGCGATGCTATTCGACGGTGGATTAGTGTATAGCCAGGTTGGGGGCCCCATCGACTAGGTGAAAAGTCCAGAGCTGAAGCCGTAAAAAGGCGGCCCGCTGGCGGAGTGGTATATCACGTTCACACTCTCTACAGTTCATACCCTAACCGAGCAGAGTCCCAGGCTCGGCAGAGGCTAGCTTGCTCTTACATACTATGGATAAGGTAAGCGACGTGGACGAGAGTTCAGGGACCTCCGAACCAGCACTATACGAGTCCCTCCGTAACAGACGTCGGAGCGGCGGCGGGCCCCCGCTCCGAGGACGGTGGAACTTTGATGTGTCCGCATTTTGGATATCTCCGCACTTGTCTATAGCTTTGGCGACTTTGGCGGCAGCTGTATCCGGACTATTTTACAACGAGCAACAGGAGAAGCAGAGTGCCAAGGCATCCATTATGTACTGACCGATATTCATGATATATGGAGACTTCTGATCGGTCGACTTGAAATTCAAAACAACCTCCGTGGCTGCCATAGATGATAGCTCCCAGACGCTGTGACTCTTTTCGGCATTACCCAATATCATTCGAGCTCCTCACTTTCCTCACGATCCCAGCAGCCGATAGACAACATACACCATGAAGTACACCGACATTGTTCTCACGGTCTCCGGCCAAATCGGCACCATCAAGCTCAATCGACCGAAAGCGCTCAATTCGTTCGGTGGGAATCTCATGATGGATGTTGTCACGGCTCTGCGCGAGCTGAACGAACATCCTGATACCATCATGACGGTGATAACCGGTGAAGGCCGATTTGTGAGTCCATTCGCGGCTGAAGAGAAAGGGGGACGACACGGGGGCGCTGATCCAGAATATCTAGTTCTCTGCAGGTGCGGATGTCAACAACGTTGTCCCCCTGGGCGAGTTTCCCAGCGCGGCACACAAAAAGGTGGCAATCTTGGCCGACTATGCGCCCGTTCTTGAGTTGCTCCGAAGTATGGTCGATCATAAAAAGGTGCTGGTCCTTGCCCTGAATGGTCCAGCGGTGGGTGGTGCAGCGGGTTGGTTCGTCGGAGTCGGTAAGTGATGGTGGCATTTTCCTGCTTTTTCCTCCAAGCCCTCAGTCCGAACCCGTGTCAGAGCGTTATTCAAATTTGCGAGTTTGACGTGTTGAAATGTCCGTGATGGCTGACGGCGTTCCTGTTTAGCGGATATTGTCCTTGCGTCGGACACTTGCTGGCTCCATGCCCCATTTTCCGAGCTTGGCCTCGTCCCCGAATTCGGGTCTGCCGTAAACTTCGCACAGTCAATGGGAGTGCACAAAGCCAACGACTTTCTGATGTTCGGGCACCAAATGACGGCCCAGGAACTTCAGGCTTGTGGACTGGTCAACCAGATTTTCCCCACCACATCTTTCCATCAAGATGTGGAAGGCCATCTGAGGAAAGAATTAGAGGTCAATGATGGCCTGAGCATGATGGAATCGAAACGGTTGATGAATGCATCTGTACGAGATGCAAGGCTTCTGTCGATAATGACCTCGCTGGACGCTTTGGCAGAGAGAATGGTTGAGGGCACGCCTTATAAGAGATTTGCTGAGCAACGGAGGAAGATGAAGGAAAAGGGTCGCCAGAAAGGCAAGTTGTAAGGTGTCGTGCTATGGAGCTCTGATCCAAGAGCGCACGACGGGTTCACCGCTCCTGAGTCCTGAAGCCAGGGCTCTGGTGATGCAGACCTGGAAACTCGAAAAGGCGTTGAAAGTTTCATACTTTTTTGACTTGTGTCTCACATCCTCTCGCAGTAGATGAACTTCTTACGGATCGAACTCAGAATTTCGTATGCACTCTCGGCCGCAGAGCCGTCTTCTGCCCACGGCCGTAGTCTGTCGAGGGCAAGGTGCTGAAGCGCGTCCACGTCCGTGACAAACGGCTTGAGAATTGGCGAACGAGCGGATATGGATATCATCAGGGCCGACGCGAAAGCGCTGGAAAGGTATCAGCAAGACACCATGGAAAGCGAGACTGTACAATGAGGACTTCAAACAACAACGCCTGGTGGGAGACGACTCACCCTTGTGTCGCTGTGTATATGTACGGAGTCCGTCTCACAAGCAGACCTCCTACTGATTTTAGAAACATCCGGCAACTCATGATGCAGGTTTGGCATTTTTCCAGGAAATACTGCGGGACCTGTTGCCCCGTTGGCAGAGACGTGGCCTTCAGCACGAAAGGCCTGTGGATCTTGTTCATCGAAGACCAGTAGCGGCAACGTAACAAGCAAGATTGGATGTCGGGATCAGGTTCTTCCACCACAAGTTCGGGTTTGATGGCAGCGGGCAATGAACTGTACCACGACTCCAATTGACGTGTGAGCTCGTTGCAAACATTTATCAATGGTGCCAGCGAGTTCGCGATGCCTGTTCCATCAGGAACGTCATCTAGCACGCTATCAGTATAGGCGCTCATGCTGTCGGTAAAATTAATGGAATAATGGATTCGATTGCCCAAGGAGCGAGCAGATATCTCTGCTAAGAAGAGCATGCGGCTCGTGTCAGGAGGATCCCCGCAATGGGGGAAAAGCATCTTGTCTGCGAGGAGTTGAATGCAGCTTCGTGGCTGGTGAAACTCGGCAAGGATGTCGCTGATCAGTCGAAGTGAGCCTCAGTGTCAGGAGAAGGGGACTGTGGATGAGATATACCATTCAATGACGAAGGAAGACCAGCTCAAGCGGAGGATCTCCTGTACTCGAGGCTCGTCTGGTTCTGCGTTTTTGGTCCTTTTGCACGGTCAACGCCTTGACACAAACTGCTGAAACTACTAACCGAATGAGAAGTTGCTCCACGTTCGTAGAAGCCAGGTGCACAAACTTCCACGCCAACAGCGGCTGGACCGCATATGTGAGGTATAAAGCACATAAAAGCAGTCCTTGCGAAAGAAGGAGATTTCCCCCCACGGATTGCGTCCATCTCGACATCAGAATCTGCTGCGCAGCCCTGTAGTAGTGAATGCCAGGAATAGTGCGTCCGCCCAAGGTATGTTTGCCATCGGGATCTTCACTGATCACGGCTCCCAGGGCTAAAACAACGAAGACAACACCAGACTCCTCGTTTCGGCATAGAGCCTTGGCAAAGGCATCCTCATAGAGTGTAGTAAACGCCTTCCTGTCGAAGATGGGATGAAAAGGATGAACTAGCTCAAAGAAAGCTTGGAGAAACATGTCGGCAGCTTCGCGCCCTACTTGCGGAATATCAGACGAGTCTGCGGTCACTGTATTAGATGAACACGTTTCCATGACCTTCGCATGATGCGCCTCGACTCGAAAGAAGAACTCATCCGGGAATTCTCCAGCCAAGGTTTCCACCTGCGGCAGGCTTAGAAGGTTACTGCTGCTGGCTTCATGGCCCGGAGGAATGGTCAGAGGGGGAAGCTCCGAAGTTTGTTCTTGCATGTAAGGTGATTTGGGCTTCGAACGCCGTCGTCTTGTGACCGATCGACTGGGGCTTGGTTGCGAAACAATCGAGTCGGCGAGGGCGTCGGCGAGGATGCTGTTATGCGAATCGACGGAGTTACCAGCATCAAAGCTTACAGGAAGGGTGCCCGAGCCAGCCCTCGGCGACCGCAATGAATCTTGCAAGTCCTTCAGAGCCGCGGTATGTGACTCGAGAAGACTTGTGATCGCGTCGATCGAATCATTTCCGACAGGAGGGTTGGTTGGGACCGGACCTGAAAGCCTGATGGTGTCAGAGGCGGGATTCCTGGGGCTGGAAAGCCACTCAATACGAACTGTGAAGTATCACTGCCGCGCTGAACATAGGTACATGTGACCTGCCTAGCCGTGCATGTTCCGCACGTGGGCTTGAGGCCATCGCACCGCCGCTTTCTGTGACAAAGAGCTGAATCAGTGGGTCTGGAATATGTTAACAGAGTAGGTTCCTGTCGGAGCCTTACCTTCGGCGGCAGTATAAGCATGCCATGGTCGGGGAACTGCTGTGGGAAAGCTAGAGATGGGAGGAGGCGAAAAGGCGGACAAGGCGGGCGGCAGAATGCCCGCCATTTATGTATTTCTCCTGCTGATGCGGCCTATTACGCTCCCCTGAAGTCAAACACCCCCGCAGAATTAGACTCGCCAGTTGCCCCACAATTCTTGGTGGCTCGGCGTGAAAATGGGCGCATCGACGGGCATCTGTGGGGGGGCGGCATCCTGGAATCTCACCCGCCTATTCTTCCTAGCGGGAGAGTGTCAGATAAGTCGCTGTCGCTTCAGGTCAGCCTGGGCCGGCGGGGGTTGGGTGGAAATGCTGATGGCAGCCTCGGTCAGATACGTTAGAGACCTTCCCAATCATATTTTGATCCGCCCCGAAATGCATACTCGTCGCTGAAGCCTAGGTCTTGTTGCTCATTCCGTATCTATTTTGCAATCAGGTACATTATGCCTAAAGCAATAAGCATCTCTCGAGTCGACGGCAAGCCCGGTCGGGTCTATTACCCCTTAAGCCTCGACGAAGTTCCAACATCCCAACCTGGGGAAGGCGAGGTGGTAGTACAAATCCACGCGGCAACATTGAACCACCGTGATCTCTTCATTCGACAACATCTCTACCCGGGAACATCGTTTAGTATTCCTCTTTTGTCTGATGGCTGCGGCACGGTTGTTTCTCTTGGAAAGGGAGTCGACCAAGAATGGAGGGGCAAAAGAGTGATCATCAATCCCACTGTTGGATGGAAGGATTCGGTGGACGGACCTGAAGATCAGAACAACGTCAGGATCCTTGGTGGCACGAAGCCTTTGCCTAATGGGACGCTCCAGGAGTATTTGGTGGTCAAAGCGACTGAGTTAGAGGAGGCACCGTCTCACCTGGATCACGTCCACGCTGCAGCACTGCCCCTAACTGCTTTAACCGCCTGGCGAGCAGTCATGGTGAAGTGCGGTACCGATCGCCTCGGACCAGGCAAGAACCTCTTGATAACCGGCATTGGCGGGGGAGTTGCGTTGATGGCTCTTCAGTTCGCGGCCTCAATAGGCACAAACGTCTATGTTACCAGCGGAACTCAAGCCAAGATCGATGAGGCAAAGCGACTCGGTGCAAAGGGCGGCGTGATCTATAAGGAGAAGGACTGGGACAAGAAACTGCTGGCTATGCTTCCGCGATCACGTAGCTATCTGGACGCTATAGTGGATGGTGCTGGCAGCGATATCGTGCGGAGAGGCGTGACATTATTAAAGGTCTGTTGAGACTGGGGCTTGCCCATTTACAGTGTACAAGCTAACATTTTATCCAGCATGGTGGCACTATCGTCATCTACGGTATGACGACTGGGCCAAGTACACCCTTTTCTATGCCGGCAGTTTTGAAGAATATTGAAGTGAAGGGGTCGACAATGGGTTCCAGGAAGGAATTCAAAGACATGGTCAAGTTTGTCAATCAAACAAAGCTCCAGCCTGTCGTGTCCAAGGCCGTTAAGGGGTTCGATCTGCGAGCTATAGACGGCCTTTTTGAAGACATGAAGAATGGAAGCCAATTCGGCAAATTGGTTATCGAGATTCCTCAGCCTAGATCAAGCAAGCTCTGAGTTGGACTAACGCTCCTGATAACAAGTTCAATCGTCATGTTAAAAGATAGATAGAGGCGCGGGTTCCAGAGTCTATAGAAATACAAACTTACTTGCGTGATTGGTTTCAAGCAAGTTCGATTCCAGGCCAGAGATGACCTCGTGTCTCCATCACTCTACAGCTCAGATACATCATTCCCTTACCAGCACCTCTAATCTTCCGGGCCGTCGGCCACGAGGCTACCACTGCCACGAGATCAGACTTAGTGGACGGTGAATGGCTTCAAGGAGTGGCATAACACAGGGGACTTCTATTACAACCCTCCACCTTGATTCTTAACGAACCAAAAGCATAGCAAGGAATGTCTGATCTAGCCCTGCTTGAAGAATGGCGGCTTTTGGCCCGTGTATTGGAAGCAGCAATGCGACTCCAGACTCGCCCGGCTGGCAGACGCCTCACGGGTTCCGTGGCAATGCCATCGGGGGAAGATCCAGTGTACGTAAACACGAAATCAGGAACAAACTGCATGAGTACTTCTCTTGACGATACGTTGTTCTCGAGAGGGGTCTTTCCAAGCTAGTGGTCTTCATGAAGCTTTTCAGTACCGTGTCGGATACTCAGAGGTCTGCGTATGTCCACTCCTCCGCTGTCCGCTTCCGCTTCCCGCCATTAATCTGCACATGCATTGCGGAGGTTGTTACCTAGGCGAGCCGGTTTGGGAAGGGAATCTAGAATTCTGAGAACGGCCCAAATGGGTTGAAGCCGTCATTTCCTAGTCTCACACGGCTGGTAGATCAGATGGTCCGACTTGCTCTAACCCGCCTTGAATGGGTGGCCCTTGATTGACCGTTTGCTGGCAGGATGTATGGTCACCCTCCAGCCCGGAGTGCACACCGACAGACAGTCCAAAATTGAGACTCTCCTTTGGGGTCAGGCAAAACAATCAGTCCGATCTTGTCCCTGGTCTTGACTTTCGAGCACCTTAGAACTACATCACTTCAGATTTTGCGAAGGGCAACACTTCATAAATTGGCATATAGTGACTTTCGTCCCTTCTGCGTCCGGTGAACAACAAAGGCTGGTCCTTGCTCGACTACCAGATTTTCCCGGCTTCGAGCATGGCAGACATCAAAGTCGAGGAGGCGAACGAAGAGGAAGCCGCATACACAATCACGAGCACAAATCAACTACCTCTGGAACCCGACATTCCAGACGGAGGTTATGGATGGGTGGTTGTGGTCGGCATCTTCATTGTCAATGGATGGGCTTGGGGGGTGGTATCGGTGCGTGAATTTAGACCGTATGGCTTTGCGGCTCATTCTAACACTCTTTTAGTCCTACAGCGTCTACCTTGCTCATTACCTCTCAGCAAACACCTTTCCCGGAACGAGTCCACTAGAGTATTCGTTTGTTGGAGGGACAAATTTTGCTGCAGCCATGATTGTTGCACCTCTGGTTAACATTCTGATAAGGAATTTTGGAACAAGAACCTCGATGCTCCTTGGCACCTTTTTCATTTCTGGGGGCTTGATTGCCGCCTCCTTCGCAAAACAGTTTTGGAGTCTCATCATCACTCAGGGTATAATGGTTGGTATCGGAGTGGGTTTGCTATACGTCTCCACGGTTCCAGTGGTGAGCCAATGGTTTCTGAAGAAACGCAGCTTCGCCCAGGGCATCACGGCTGGAGGCACCGGGATTGGGGGACTGATTTTTTCTTCGTCAATCACGCCGATGATAACGAACATCTCCCTCGCTTGGTCTCTTCGCATTATGGGTATCATATGCTTTGTGATGCTCTTCCTTGCTTCGTGCATGGTGCGAGACCGCAACAACAGCGTACGCCCAACGCTGCACCCGTTCGACGTCCGGTTCTTCCGTCGATGGGACGTCTGGCTTCTGATGATCTGGGGATTCCTATTCCTTCTTGGATACATGACTCTGATATCTTCCCTTCCCGACTTTGCGCGCTCACTTGGGATCTCACAGAGCAAGGCAAGCATCACAGCGGTTTTGATCAATCTGACGACAACGAGTGGGAGAACCCTGGCGGGATGGGCCTCCGACCACTACGGAAGAATCACAGTCGCCCTCATCTGCACGTTTGCGAGCGGTATATTTTGTCTGGTTGTTTGGGTGCCCTCAGAGTCACTGGCTCCAACTTTGGTCTTTGCATTTCTGGTGGGAAACGTGTACAGTGTCTTCTGGATAGTATGCAAGCTCGAAACATTTCATCGAGGACAGAAGAGCTAACCTTGACTAGTCAGTTGCACCAATAGCTGCTGAGATTGTAGGACTGCAGGAGCTCCCATCTTTATTGGCAATTGCGTGGCTGAATGCTGCTGCTCCATGCTTTGGTGAGATTCTTCAACTTCACATGAAGGTGACCTCACTGATAGAGACGCAGTTTCAGAGGCTATTGCACTAGAGCTTCGTCGTCCAAATTCGGACCGTCCATATCTCTACCCGCAGCTCTACGCAGGTGCGTTGTAAACTCTCTCTAATCGGAGCTCAGAAGCCCTACTGACGGTCGATAGGCTTGAGCTATATCATCGGGGGACTGTTCCTCCTCGAACTGCGGCGAATCAAAATTGGGCTTTTTAGCGTGGAAACACATAGATAACTTAGAGATGATAATAATGAATGAATTACTCTCTTTTCAACTCAGCTTCTTATCAAGAGACCAACCTGCCCTATTCTAAGATCTATCGCGAGACTATAACGCCGGCTTTGCGTTCAGGAGATGTACTAGACTGTGCCGGAAAGCTTTCCGGACTAAATGGCAGCAAGATGCGGGATTATCCTGACTGCAAGTCACAAGGTAGTCTCTGCAATACATACTCATCGTAGAGCTCTACCAAGACAACATCCTCCTCAGGCAAGTATACCCAACAAAGAAATCACCACCATATGGACAGATAAACATGAAGGGTCTGGATAGTTAATTACTTTTCTTGGAGTTCACTGCGCACTTTAATTCCGCCAGTGTCGGCGAGGTTCGAGTATAAATGGTTTGCTTTGGAATGGCCCCCCCTGGGCACTTAGAACGATCTTTCGATGGAAATATTAGAGCTTCCGTAAGTGGCTAGCCAAAGGCCGGCTCCTGCTTCGCCTCTGGAACGCCTTGCAAATACCCAACGCGGTCCTTTGTGTAGAACTCAATGTCAATTTTGTTCCCGAGCCCGGCCTTCGACCCATCAAGGCCTCCTGCCTTCACGCACGTCATGTCTGGCATAACTTCCAACTCGGTATACAAGCTAGACCCGCAAGTCGGGCAAAAGAAGTGTTTATTGATCTTTCCTGAGTCCCCGACACCGTCCCAGGCCGAAGGATTTCCTGACAACAATATCGATTTAGCTCCAAATCCAGTGTGAAATGGACATCCAAATGGCCACTGACCTGAAGTAACTCGGAAGGACGTGCGAGGAACAACAGCATTCGAAGTGAAAGCTCCTCCAGTCCACTTTGATCAAAAGAATATCAGTGAAACCCCTTTGCGGTGCAGTGACAGGCTAGAATGGCAGACCTTCTGACAGTCGATGCAGTGGCACAGTGCCGTGACTTTCGGCTCCCCTGTGAATTCGTACTTCACCGCGCCACACATACAACTTCCGGTCGTCGTCATTTCGTCTTTGTTGCCCGCCAAATGTTGTCTCACTGTGTCCAGCCTGGCTTTTGGGGAACTCATGGGACACTGGCGAAAGAAGGAGGTTTGGTTTTCACTCTGGCCGAGTCACAAAATGAAAGAGAGGCAGGAGAAGTTGAGGGCTTGCTTCTATCCTCGAAATTTGCGGGATTCGTAACTCTACCTCGAAGATAAATGCGGGGGAGATAACAATAGCCCCGCTGACTCCTTGGTCCGCTTCCTGACCGCCGAAATCCCGCCCTCTCCGCCTTCCATCCGTCCCTACCAGCTCGATTCGCCGGATCCTCGGTATAGCTAGCCAATTAAGTTAGCCTCACTGAATAGGCTCAACTCACTACTTTTTCGGTGACCCCACTACTTCCCCTCTACTAACCTGATGCAGACCTATCCACAATGTGGTCCATCCCAAGGGTAGCTTTCGTCGACTGTCACCAATCTACCGAGGTCCTATTCATCTCCAGCCCGACTGCTGGTCTTACATATTGAGTCAGCGAATTTAAAGATATCTATGCGCCCGGATTAATATCTCGTTCGGCGCAGATCGAAATCAAGAACAAGATTTCAACTGTCTGCTGTTGTGCCTACCATCTAGCTGCTCCTTTGTCTCAATATCTCCTTCTATCCTTCATCCATCGGGGCCACGTCGAAAGCGCTCAGCGAAAGTGTGCTTCCCACGAAAATGGAGTCTTTTCATCACCAGCCTCCTCCCACCTCATTCGTCAAGCTTTCATATCCCGCACCTCATGTCGTCCTGGTTACCATGTCGCGGCCCGAGAAGCTGAATTGCACCACGGCAGCAAATGTTATCGAATTGACAGACGTTTTCCGCTGGATCGACGATGAGCCGACTCTCTTCGTCGCAGTTCTGACAGGCGCCGGTCGCGCGTTCTCAACAGGTGCAGACTTGAGTGAGTGGCAGCAGAAAGCCGACGCCCCCAACGCAAGGCCGGGAGCAGGTCCGGGAGACGTTCCCGGTGCATTACCGCTGTCTAATCGCCTGGGCAAAAAGCCGATAGTTGCCGCAGTAAACGGCCTTGCACTAGGAGGTGGATGCGAAACGGTGATAAACTGTGACCTGGTCGTTGCAGCGGATACTGCATTGTTTGGCTTGGTAGAGGTTAAACGTGGGGTAGCCGCGTATGCAGGAGCTCTTCCCAGATTGATTCGGACAATCGGACTGCAACGTGCGAGCGAATTTGCACTGACCAGAGCGTACATCACCGCTCAACAGGCAGAGAACTGGGGCTTTGTCAACAAGGTTGTCCCTCAGGCGAAAGTCGTTGAAGAAGCAGTCAACTTTGCCAAAATAATCGCCGAGAACAGCCCGGATTCCACCATCTGCACCAGAGCCGGACTCAGAGAGGGCTGGGAAACGGCAAGTGTGGTACAAGCAACAGCGATAACTGGGAGAAGAGAGTGGGCTGAGCTGCAAAAGGCAGACAACATCAAGGAAGGCCTGATGGCATTTAAGGAGCGAAGGAAGCCAGTCTGGAAAGGAGCCAAGTTGTAATACGCCAAACTCGGAGTCATTTCTTGCTTGTGCGACTTATGATTGGCATGTCTGTGCTGGGTCATGAAGATATAGAGATCAGGAACCTGTGGAAAGGTCTCTGTCGGACACATGGAAGTTCTCGATGCGATTCCGCATTCAAGCTGCCTGATAAGTCATGTTCACTGTGTCCTTCAGCGTCCAAAATTTCATACGATAGCAAACATTCCCCGAATTGAATGCATTGGAAAGAAGCACTTGCTGCTTGTGGGGCGGACCTATAACGACCGGCACTCGGTGCCTGTGCGCTGGAGTAGAGAGCAATAGCCAGCCTTCATTCCTCCTAGGTCTAGGATGAACCTTCTGTCTTTCTGACAATTTCAACTGGTCCCTGAGCTATCCAGACAACTAGACGACTGCCAGAGAAGCCTCGCAAGATGCTGCAGCCGGCCGTGCGCAGAAGGCGGCATTCGTCGGCCCTATCCCGCCTATTCCCGCTTTTGCCGTTCAGATCGTCAATCAAGCCGCCACTGACTGAACTAGCCCACTAGCCCAAAGACCAAGGTAACAATACCCCAACATGTCAGCCCACCAGCCCCAGCAGAGACCAATCAAAGTCAACTACATCGGCAAGATCGCGAGGCCCTCAAGAATACTTCCACTTTCGCTCCCGGGGGTCGTGTCTAGTTTGCGCTACTTCCCCGTGGGGTTTGAAGGCTGCGTAATGGCCTTGCTCCTGTTGTGGAGCTGTGGGGTATGGGCACGACATGAGGACGCTTTGAATTCTGCCTCCTGCCAGTCCACGGAGATTCTCGATACAGAGAAGGCAGATAGCACTGGGACGGCCTCGTCTCCCAGGCAACACCCTAACTCATAGGTTGGGATGTAGATGGCGGAAGAGCGGACATTGCTATTGCTTTCCGCCACCCCCTGTATCACACCATGGGTTGCCTTTCCTATGCCTGTCTACCGTGCTGGTTGTGGTATTCTATAGACGGCCCGTATCCCGCTGCTAGTTCTGCGACGACAGAGAATGTCGTACGAAGTCAATCAGCATAGATCTGTGGTCTATATGTATCGCCGGCCATGCCTATGGATGTTGTCTCAGAAAAGCTTCGATTTCTCTTAAACGTGCAACTGATCTCGACTTGGGCACTAAGTGGCTACTGAGCATATCCAAAAATGCCGGAACTTCGAGGAAAACCTCTCTTGGCGGGAGTAACTGCCGCCTGTAGCGTCGGGTTCTTCCTGTTTGGTTGTGCGTTGGACCCATTTGCCCATGCTGAATCTCCTATTGTGATTTGACCTCGGTGCTGACCTTGAGATAGATGACCAAGCGGTCATGGGAGGAGTGATTGGTGCAAAGACATTCAATGAACAATTCAATCATCCAACGGTGAGACTCGAGCCTTCCCGCGACTTGAGGCATTTGCTGAGGCTTTGGCTAACTCTTCCATTGCGCCCAGGCTCTGCAGCAAGGCCTCATCGTTGGCCTTTACGATGTAGGATGTCTGATAGGGTCTCTGTTCATCATCGCTTTCGGCGAGCAATTGGGCAGAAGAAAGGCGATTGTTAGTGCTCCGGATTCTGACTCTGTCACATTCATCACGATTACTAACTCGGGAATTCTGAAGTACATTGGCTCCGGGGTCATTATCGTCGGCACAGTTCTCCAGGTCACCGCTAAAGTCATATCCCATCTTATTGTGGCTCGCGTCGTATGTGGCGTTGGAATTGGCATCATGACTTCTGTCGTGCCCGCTGTAAGGATCTTTGCCGCCCAGATGTGTTGTCTGGATATTGACCCGCGAGCAATAGTGGCAGTCAGAAGTCTCGCCGGCTCACTCAAGAGGGATATACCTAACAATCCAGAGTGGGAATATCGCTGTTGGCTTCTGCCTAGCAAGTTGGATCACTCTTGCATGCTCATATGCAAGCAGCCAGGCTCAATGGATCCTTCCGATCGCCCTCCAGGTTATATTTGCCGGGTTCCTCTTGGTGACGGTCCCATTTCTCGTCGAGTCCCCCCGCTGGATCGCCAACCATAGGTCACTTGACGAAGCCACAAAGGTCATCGCGCGTCTTCAGGATCTGCCAGAGACACACGAAGCTGTGCTCAAAGTCCGGAACGACATTGCAGAAGCACTCGAGGTCGAGGCAAATGCGTCCTGGCGCACGCTCTTTGGGAACAACAATGAACAGAATTTTCGCCGCCTGTGCCTTGGGTTTGGGGCTCTCTATATGCAACAACTCACCGGTATCAAGTAAGTCGCTATTCCAATTTTCAGACAGAGGACTTACCTCATGGCCAGCACTATCGCCTACTACGTCGCATACATCGAGCAAGAATATCTCCACCTCAGTAATAGCATGTCCCATATTGTAGCGGCAATCACAGCGACCCAGTATTTGCCATTTGCTCTCTCCCCAATTTTTTTTGTGGAAAGATTTGGTCGCCGTACTTTGTTGATGTGGGGTGCTGCTGCTTTGGCCCTCATGTCGGCCATGATTGCCGTTGGCTTCAACATTCCAGGGCGAGCAGGTGGTATCGTCACCATGGTGTTCTACTGTCTATTCTACAATTGCTTTGGGATGAGGTATGGAAACCAAAAATGTCGGGGTTGCTCAAAGTCCTTGGACTAATCTCTACGACAGCTACTTGAATATCCCCTGGATGTACGCTCCGGTAAGGTCCAATTACTCTTATCACAATTTTGACACTTGGATTGTTTTGGTTCTGACTCTACCAGGAAATAAACTCGCTCAAAGTGAGATCCAAGGGTATGGCTATTGCGTCTGCCTCAAATTGGCTATGTGAGTTCCAAACTCTGCCCGTAATGAGGGAGGATCCACTAATCCGTGTGCTCAGTCAATGGCATTGTTGTCACCGTGACCCCTTCTGGACTTCAAGCTATTGGTTGGAGGTTCTACATTGTCTGTAAGTTATCTACCACTCACCCTGCTGAGGTTTGCTGGTAGTTTGCCGTCAACTAAGATTCAATTAGGGGTTGTCTTCAACCTGTCTTTTATACCGATGGTTTACTTCTTCTACCCAGAAACTCGAGGCTTGTCTCTTGAGCAGATTGACCACATATTCGAGGGCAAGGGCCAAGGGTGGTCTTGCTTTACTTCGGGTGTCCGCGAAAGCATCAAAGGCCCTGCTGCAATTGAAGCAGCACGCTCGAATCGTTATCATGCAACCAATATGCAATCTGCTAACGGCGATGATCCACTTCATATGGATGATATGGAAGGCACCAAGGCTAGCACAATCGGGATCGAATCGGTTGAAACCAAGGTGTGATTGATGTGGGCCTTTGAACTGGTGAGGCACCGAATCTGAAAGCTGAAGTCCGGAGGGAAGAATCTCGGCCTGGAGCCTGGTGAGGCCCATACAAATGTTTTTGATACAATGTTACTCAGGCTGTTTTGCAGTATACGTACACAAGGTCGCTGTGCTTGAGACCCTTGATATCTTGAAACCGAGGAATACAAGCCTTGAATGTTTCCGTCTTCTGGAACGCGAGATGTGCTTCGACCGAATCCCATGCCATAGAAGCCAAAAAGGCTTTCGCTTTCCGACCTGCTTCCGCAGCCTCTGCAGGGATCACAACATCCTCCAAGATCCACCCGGAGGTGCTCATGCGGGCGCCAGAGCCTGGAGTTGCTTCGAAAAGACTCGCAATGCTCTTGATGGTGTCCTCGACCAAGGACATGTCAGACTCGGAATAGTCGGCCGGAAAGTACTGGGTGAATACTTCGGTTGCCACCCCTGCTCCGTGTGGGAAGGCGCTGACGCAGTTTGGGGTCAAATTCACATGAAAAACAGTAGTCGGGCCACCGGTAATAGTGTCGAATCTGGATATGTGTGCTTTGTAGATACTATCGAGAGTAAGATTTGACTTCGGATTCTGGATAGCCGCCAGGCATCACGGCAGGAGCACTCGCGGCGATGAACTCTGCTGTGGCGTGTTGGTGGAAGGGAGAACTGTGGACTTACCCAGAAGCGACAAATCTCTCGTGGTCCTCGATTTTATCCCATTCTACAAAAAGCCTCAACATGTTGGCTTGGTGCACTTCGGTTCCCCAAAGCATTCTTCGAAATCCTGGTTGTAGAGAGGTTGTCTCGCAAATCTGCAACCATGTCTTCCCTGCAGGGCTGGATGCATCGTTGATGTTCAGCCCGCCCTTAAGCGGAATGATGGCGACTTCTGTTACGACCATGATGTGGCTGGTCTGGGGGCTGAGTTTGGATTGTCTGAGAGCTGTTGCAGAGAATGCTGAAACATGCTTCTTATCTATTGGGACAAGTGGGCTGCCGAAATGACGCAGGCATGTATGGATTGGAGTAGGGAACATAACGCACTGTCTAATTCATGGATCGGTAGCGGGCCGCCTTTTCCCGCCATGCAATACATTCTACTCGAACTTGAAAGGAATTGCAACTAATACACTTGCTATATTCAATCTTTCGAGTCTCTTGCCGTCTTCCGACGGGATGGTAACATGGTTATATTATTGTATAAAGAAGGAATCCTTCATGATCCCCGTTGCGCCAGCTTCACGTAGTTGCAAATTTTCATCGCATTTGAGCACTCAGCAGGTCAAGCCAAAGGCCACTGCCTGCGCATTTTCGTTTCAATCATGGGATCTCTTGGTACAGTAGAGTCCATACCGGCCCATTCATCAGTCCATACGCCTGATATTTTCAGGCTAAACTGCAGGACAATCATAGGTAAGTGCCTACAAGCCCCAAGCAACCCATGAGGAGCCTCTCGGCACAATTTCGACCATGTCCATGAAAGTCGAACCACTGACGAACAATGTTTAGTTACGGGTGCCGTGGGCGGACTTGGCGTTCAAGCGGTGACAGCAATCCTTGAATCAGGCGGAGATGTAATTTGCCTCGATCGGCCGGAACAGCCTCCACAGACCGTATGGGGTGAGAAGTAAAAGTACACAGGATATCTCTGGGGTCCAACGCTGACTGAATTTGCCTGAAAAAGATAAATTGAAAGACGTTGCGGTGCTAAATGGCGCGCAAATCTTCTATTACGCCTGCGATATCACAGACGAAGCCAAGGTCAGCGTTCTCTTCGAAGAGGCTGCCTCGCAAGCACGTTTTCCTGTTCGAGGCCTCGTCACCTGCGCCGGAATTACTCGCGTCGGCCCTTCGATCAAGTTTCCTCTAGCTGAAGCACGCCGAGTCATCGACATCAACCTGATTGGAACTTTGGCAGCTGCTCAAGCAACTGCGCGCATCGTTCAAAGGCAAACACTCCCCGCGAGTTTCGTGTTCATTGCGAGTATGAGTGGCCATATAATTAACAAGGTACGGCAACATATAAAAGAGAATCAAGTGGGATCGCAGAGAGTCTGATTGAGAACTCCAGGGAGCGCCTAATGCAGCGTATTGTGTCTCAAAGGCAGGTGTCCATCAACTAGCCAGAAATTTGGCCTATGAATGGGGCGCATCATCGGAACTTCCTACGATCCGGGTCAACTCGATCAGCCCTGGGTATATCAAGACCAACATGACCCAATCCTACATCGACCAAGCCGACTTGGAAAAGATCTGGCTCGAAGACAGCATGCTCAAGCGGTTCTCGGAGCCCGAGGAGTATCGAGGGACAATCGTTTACATGTTGTCGGATGCCAGTTCGTACATGACGGGATCCGACGTAAGGGTCGACGGAGGTCATACAGCTTGTTAAGCGTCGGAGCCAGCGTCGTGAGAAGGAGTAAAGAAAGTCGGACAGACTCCCGACGGATGCATATTGAGAAGGAACCTGAGAGTTTCATGTGTCTTGTGCGATGGAATGTACCTGCGAGTAGCTTTTTTAAAGAGCCAAAACAGAATTTCAAGAACAGTGCTACGATTCTCATTGTCTATTCAGCAATAAGATAGAATACCTGGCTAGTTACTCCGCGAATATCAGGCACTGTAATGTATAAGGGCAACTGTCAGGAAGGGACCTGGTCCTGAAGCCCAACCAAGCAGAGATTTGCCAATGCGTACACGACCACACAACTACAAACAAGTTACTGTGACGCATTATGCTTAAGAAGCAGTTCAAGCATTTCACCAATCACGCATATTTATACCGACTTTAGCCAAATAACCATGTGAGTAACAGTAGTAAGTTTATGTTTTGACATTGAGTTAGAACGACGATCAAAAGGATAGCTGATGGGATTCGAATTCTCTCATTTTACATAGCCCCTGTACAGAGAATATTACCCAATGTCCAACCAAACTTCATCCCGCAAACCAGGCTCCTTTCACAAGTGAAAAGGGACCTGAAATTTTCCCCTTCAAACAGTTCTTGCCTCCCACGGGAGCAACGGTCTTACGATATAGGATATGCGCAGAGCTTGCCGCGGCTGTAATTTTCAGATGTGCCACTCTTTGTGCAGCCTCAGCAGAGCCAGATGATATGCCTGCATCTAGCTCACAGCTATGGTTTTGGCAACGTCTCGACATGCGACGTCGTAATGACTTTCTGTTCCGCCTGGGCGAGCTCTCTGAAGCGAATTTCCTCCTGGACCGCAGTTTTCCGAATGACCTGTGTGTGGTTCTTGTTCAAGCCCATGCAGATGCGTGGTTCGTCAAAGAACTGAGAGCAATCGAGTCAGTAAGTGGCTTGGGCTTCGAGGGTCGGGCTTTTTCACTGACCATTTGATCGACCTCTTCCAATGTGCGGCCGGCGGTTTCCACCCCGAAAAAGTATGTCAGCGGCACAAAAAGCGCACAGAAGGCGCCCCAGATCCAGAAGAAATTTCCACCGAGGTTTTGCACGCCGATCGGGGTGATCATCACGATCACGAAGTTGGACATCCAGTGCCAGAACACTCCAACAGCCATGGACTTGTTTCGAACGCGCAGTGGTTGGACTTCAGCCGAGTAGCACCAGGAGACTGGGAGAATGCCGGAGCCATAGCAGTCAAAGTAAACAAACATAAAGGCCACGGCTGCAGCGGCAGACGAGTATGTCTTGTTGAGCAAGGCCCCGGCGATGATGAAGTTGCAAATCGCACAGGCAGTTGACGAGATCAGGACCGTCTTTCGTCTTCCAAGTCGGTCGAGGAAGAAATATGGCGAGAAGGCCATGATGGATTCCTGCGTGAAGCACACAGACGCCAGGATCAAAGCCAACAGAGGCTTGTAGCCAAGATAGGTTTCCAAGATATAGCCCATGTAGTAGCCGAGGACGTTGGCACCACTCCACTGATTGAAAAGGTACGGGCCCATGCCGAGCAGGACACGCTGCAGATTTCGAGCCCGGGTGGCATTGCTGAAACACTCGGACCAGGTGACTTTACTCTCTGCTCCCTCCGCGGCAATGTTGTCCAGAATCTCGGCCAGTTGGCCCTGCACTTCGGCGTCATCATCTGCCTTGTCCAAGAGGCGGGCAATGATCTTGCGAGCTTCCTCTTCCTTTCCGTGCTTTGCCAGCCACCGGGGTGTCTCTGGACAGAACAGACAGAACACCAGAATGCACAAGGAGAACAGGATCTGACACGCCACCGGAAAGCGCCACTGCATCGATCCTGGGGCGTACAAGGTGCCTAGGCAAACCCAGGAGGCCAGCGCAACTCCAGAGGGGATAAGGACTGACTGAAAGACGAGTAGGGAGCCACGGTTATGTGCTGGCAGTGTCTCTGATTGCAAGATAGGGACGGCCACCGTGCTGAAGCCGACACCTAGGCCGGAGATGATGCGAGCAACAAACATCTGCTTGTAGCTGTAGGAGGCAGTCTGAATTGTGGCTCCGATGATGATAATGAAGTTGGCGTACAGAATCGACCGCTTGCGTCCAACACGCTCACCGAAGAGAAACGCAGTCACTGCACCCAACGCACAACCAATGTCGTAGATTGCGGTGACGAGACCGCTCATGGTTGCGCCTGGGTGGCCGAGCATTTCCTGGAAGCGTTCTCCTGCGAGAATCCCGCCGAAAAGCCCTTGATCATATCCGAAGAGCAAAAAATCAAACCCGGAGGTGATCAGAATGAGAGCTATGAGGGATTTGCCCCTTAGTTGCGGGAGACCCATGGTGAAAGGTGGTCTGCTCTGGGCAGAGCCTGGTGTGTAAGCAACGGAACGAAGCTGTGATATGCGGCGGAAATGGGTTGTGCTGTGAAGAGCGAGGTTGATTTGTGGGATCACAATTTGGTGTATTCCATAGGGACCTTAATATAGATTTCCTAATGTCGTTGTATATGTGAAGTCTTCGCCTGCCTCTACCCCGTGGGGATCCCGTGAGAACACCCTTTCGAGGCTAATGTCCCGCGTCGAGCTTTGACTTCGTCTCCCAACAAGAAGCGGAGGTAAGCGGGCCGACCTCCGCCTGCATTTTGACTTCTCTTACATTGCATTCGAGCCGCCTGGAACCCCATGGAGGTTAGATACTCTCTCACTGTTGTTGTAGCGTACGGGCCAGAACAGTGTTGGCCGACGCCACCTCGGACCATCACCTGGCGCTGTGCCTTAATCACAAAAGAGGTCTTCTCCATTTTGAGAAGGCCGTCGTTGAAGGGCTCGTCTAACGAACGGACAGCAAAAAAGGGGAAGAAACCCGAAAGGCGTCTCTTCGTCAAACAGGAGTATGCCCGACACGCGGGGCAAGAGTCTTCGGCCGGGGCTGGGGCGGCACAGGCCCCTCACAGTTTCACCGGCATTAACTAAAATGAGACCCTGGGGGGACGACGTAACTGATGTGACTCCGCATGAATACTTGGTAGATTCTAGGCTTTCAAGTTACTGCCTGAGAGAGTAGCACAGCCCAGACGTGCCGCTCTCACACTGCGAGTCCTGTCATACCAACGAGAAACGGGCCCGGAAAGCGAGGAGACTCGGCTTGGTAAATCGCATGCACAGCAATACATCGAAACCGCCTGGCCTTCAGCACGACAAAATGAGTACTTCCCGCCGTGCTGCTGTCGCTTGCGACTTCTGTCGCTATCGGTAAGTGCTGGGGAATCGCTCTTGAGATACCAAACTTATTGTCTCTCTACCGGCATCTCGATTGCGTCCAATTTCACTAATGTTAAAGTGAATAGCAAGCGGCGCTGTGATGGGAAAAGACCTTCATGCGGGATCTGCGACAGAAGGGGACGTGAATGCTCATATCCTGAGCCCGAATGGCACAGGTCTGTTCTGAAGTTCCCACATCTCGTGTCCAAACTGACGGTATATTGCAGACCCAATCTTCGAAAGCACCATGTAACGCAAGATGAGCGCCTGGCCTCCATCCAGGACTTGGTAAGAGAGCAGAGGGATATGCTTGCACAACTGCAGCAGAGATCGAACCAAGCGTCGTTCAAACTTCCAGCTCTATCATCCAATCCCTCCCAGGTACCAGGTCTGCTCAGGTCGATCAACAGCTGCGGCCCAGAGTCTCCTGCTTCGCCTTCGCAGTTCTCGTTCGGAGAAGAAGGGACAGGTCAACAATTCCGAACCTTCGAGGCTGATGCAGAACCTCCACCATGGACAATTCCTCTCGGACATCAGACAAGCACCAGCAGTTTACTCAAAGTCGCGGAGCTTCAAAAGTTATTGGGAGAATATCCTGCTGAATTCTTCTACCGCGTCGAGTCTCGCAGGTCCGGCGGTGGCTTTTTTGGCGAATCCAGGGTGGATATCTCCAAGATGCCCGACATTGACACTGCATCTGTGAGACGCCTAATCAACCAATTCCTTGACACCGTGCATTCCATCTATCCCATCTTCGAGGTGGAAGCATTCCAACAGTTTTGTGACAAGAGAATAATCACCGGACTTCAATTTGACATTGAATCAGCAATACTCCTTGTTTCCATGGCACTCGGCGACTTGAGATCTAGAGCGCCGGCGCCCAGCACTGCCGTCCACGGCCATGAGTTGGGCTCTCAGTGTTTTCAGATTGCTGTCTCTATATTCATGTCAGCCTGGGTATCATCACATGCCGACAACCTGTCTCTCTGCCAGGGCCTTGTCTTGTGCGCAATCTACTTAGCTACCTCCGTTCGACCGCTGGAGGCGTGGAAGCTGATTCATATGGCGTCGACCACCGTACAGCAGATACGGCTCAAGTGCTTACCCAGCCACCTAGTGAAGGGGAAGAAAGCTAACCAGTGTCAAGCTCAGAAACGATTGCTCCAGAAAGCCCCCATGCGGAAGAAGTAACTCGTATCAGTTGGGCATGCTTCTTGATAGAATGGTACGTACTGCTTCCCGTCTAGGACCTCCTGCTGAATATTCTTCACCAGCGATATCCTCGCGGAATTTCACCTGCCGAGAAGTGGCATTGATATCGTGGTGGACAACATGTTGCTACCTTCCTGTGGAGACTCGACCACTTCGGCAAATCTCTTCTTCCTAGCGGAGCTGTCAGTTCGGTCCCTTTTGAATCGCATTTTCCATTTCGTCTACTCCAGGGGAGACAGTATATCTTCCTCCACGAACAAAGCTGTGTCTTCTCAGCCTGTCAAGCCTGATGCCTCATTCAAGCGGATATGTACGGAACTAGACCGACAGCTCGAAATTTGGTACAAGTCTTTACCATCTCAAATCTCACCCGATCTCTCGAGAGGTTCCAAAGCAGTGGATCAAGCATGTGTACTGCAGCTGAGATATTGGTCCGCAAAACATCTGATATTCAGGCCATTTGTGCTGTATGCGGCCACTCTGTCTCCGTCAGAACACGTCTCCGAAGAGCTCAAGGACAAATGTCTGTTGTGTGTTCAGAGCTGCCGAAGTTTCTTGGAGTACGCAGGCTGTCTGCTCTCGAAAAGAACAGCGTATACGTACTATTCGTCGCACTTGTGAGTTGCTCCCTTTTGCACAAGCCCTGCTGTCTTCAGGAGTTCTGACCCATTTCACAAGCTGTCTTTCATCCGCCCTGATCTCGGTACTGGCATTTCGATGTCCTGCTCTCAAAGATTTTGTCTTGGATATCGATCATTTGCTGGACGCTGCTATAGACAGACTGAGACCGTGGGCATGTTGTGGCTCGAGCATAGAGTGCGCTTTGGATATCGTGGTATCTCTCCGGAGAAAACTGACCATTTCTGCTTTTGATCGACTTTAGACAACGACGTCTTGTGCAGGACGGAACATGTCAGTGATTTAGCACCTTGATAATGGCTGTGAGATAATCAGCTCTCGAAGTAACTCTAATATTACTACTTCGGCCATTGACAGCGATATCTTTACTGCTCAAGGAGAGATTCCAGGTCCACCAAGGAGCTTTGCAATCATTTACTTCGCTATCTGGGTTTAGTGTCATTGTACTGCAGCACCTCTATTGCCAAACACATTCTTGACAGATTTCTGTCCTCAATCGGTCCGCCCGACTTAGCCCAATTTCAGGTCTTCGCGCTCCCATCTGCTTTACGGGTGGTGGGATACCCACTTCTCTCTTCGCCACTTGCTCTCAGGACCCTAGGCCACGGAGTCTAGAACATCTTTTCTTCTTGCACCGAATCTCCATTGTACCTAATCTGGGGATATAGAAATAACACCGTCAGAAGGCATGGCTGGTCCGACGGGGAAGGTGGACGAGGCGGTCCGCAAATTGCCGCCACATTGGTCCCTTTTCTGGAAGGAGCGTACCCTGGAGTCTGGTACCTGAGATGTCGCTTGTAAAACTTGGGGTAGCATTACACTAAAATAAGGGGCTAGGACGGGAAGACGATGGGGCAACGAAGTATCCTCTCTTTGTCATGAGGCCGCCTTCCTCCGCGCACGTTGGAACCACGGCCTGGGCGTTCGTCAACCGACAGACTGTGGCACGGGCGTCAAAGCCCACTATGGCTTACACGCAATTAATTATTCTACCTTTCTTTGTACATCCGCTTTCGCTAGATCAGTATTCGAGCTTATTACATGTTGGATGAGAGCACCAGCACGGTTCTAACAATTTCTATCATCTTGCTGTGTCACCTCCCTGCTTTTATAAGGCCCAACGCGGAAACACTCAGTTGGACAGAATCGATCGAGGTATCCTTGATACAACTACGATATGGCTGGAGAAAAGCAGAGCATGAGAGCGGCGCGGTATTACGGCCCTCGCAACATACAGGTCGAGAATGTTGATGTTCCTGAACCGGCGGGTGACGAGGTCCTTGTAGATATTGAGTGGTGTGGAATATGCGGTACTGATCTCCATGAATATCTCATTGGTGAGTGCAGCGTGCCTCGGATCGTTGAACGCAATCCTAACACCTACAGGCCCCGTCATCATTCCAACCAAAGAAAAGCCATCTGGAATCAAGGGCGCGTACTTGCCCGTGATCATGGGTCATGAATTTTGCGGCAAAGTTGCGAAGGCTCCTCAGGGGAGCAGCCTCAAAATCGGGCAACAAGTGATGGTTGACCCGCGTTTATACTGCAGATCTTGTTATACATGTCAAAGTTCCAACACAAACATCTGCACACAATGGGGTTTTCTGGGTCTGGGAGCCGACTTTGGCGGAGGTCTCGCGGAGTCGATTGCTGTTAGACCAGAGATGTGCTACGCTCTTCCAGATTCGGTCCCTTTGGCCGATGCCGCAGTGATAGAGCCGCTTGTCGTTGGCCGCCATGCAATCAAGTGCTCAGGCTTCGAAGACTTCAGCTCATTATCTGCACTAGTCATTGGTGGCGGGCCTGTTGGCATGGCCGTCCTTCACAATCTCCGAGCCAAAGGGTCAAGGCAAATATTCGTGTCTGAGCCGACCCAGAGGCGACATGCACACGTGAGCACTATTGCAGATGCAGTATTCGACCCAACGAAAGTCGATGTCGGCGAGCAATGCCGCTCTTTGACCGCTGGAAAAGGCGTTGATGTTGTGTTTGACTGTGCCGGAGTCAACCCAGGGCTCCAGCAGGGTATGGATGCGTTAAAGCGAGGTGGCACTATGGTCAACGTTGCAGCATGGGAGACTAAAGTGAGTCTCGTATCGTTGGACAAATATCGTGAACTGACTTCAGCAGCCCATCCTGCCGTATGAACATTTTATGATCAAAGAGCTCAACTACAAAGCTGCAATGTCCTATGACGACTCGGACTTCAAGGAAACTGTGGAGGATTA